AGAGGCAACATGTTAGTCATTTCTCTAGAGGTGATCATGATCGCTTTTTACATCGAGCAATCGAAAGCCTTTGCGTACGGACAAAAGGCGTGGCAATGTTTAAGTTATCTAAACCATGATTCTGCCTCTAATAGGCTTCGTATTAATACTATCGCAAAATCGTACCGCATGATGCCACGAGAAACTTTACATCTTTGCTCTCCGAAGATGGTTGTAATGCGATCATGAGTTAAGCGTAGCCTTTGCCATACTGGCCGATCTTGATCATCTCCAATACCCTTTCCGCTAGCAAATATGCTATCGTGTTCACAAGTGGAAAGGGCTGCTTCTTTTGTCCCGCATTAGTCTTGTAAAAGTTCGAGATTTTCGACGGCGATTGGTTTGTCATTTATTCTCACATTCCTGATAGGGAAAGGCTACTACATTTTGTCTGATTAATGCTGCCTTTTCCCATCCTTTTCTCTATCGGAAAACGGTCATTTCTATGCAGTGTGGTGGGCTGAACGCTGCAGGTCTCGGCGCTGCGCGGTCGCCAGGTCGACAACCCTAACGCAGCCTGACGGGTGAGCTGGCGAAGTTGGCCGTACACGGCGCCGTCGCGATGTCGCGGTCTTCCTCTTCGCTCGGGAAAGCCAGGTCTGATGCAGATGGGCAGAGGATCGGACGTTTGGTGGTGAGTGTGTTCCGCAGTGGGAATGACAGCAATTTTCGACTGATTGTAGGGTTCAGGTCGATGCGAGAGGAGCTTCGGAACAAGCAAAAGGCTAACTATTGAGTTGAGGGACGGTCTGCATATGCAACGCTGTGTCTCCGCCACCGACGATACAAGGATCTCTCCGCGTGTGGAGCAGCGGAGCGCACAGATCCAGCATGGAACGGAGCATCGACGAACCACCTCCAAACTCAAAGAATGGCCCACCGGGAGCCTGTCCAAACGCTACTTTTGAAAATCGGGGAACAATATCAACGTTGAACAGCTGTGCGTCCTCAAGTTCGAATAAACGAACTACCTGCACCGCTCTCTCCGTCCCGCGACTCGCAAGCCTCCACCCCAAACCCGCGTATCCGCCGTCGCGTTGACTCCTTGTTTCGGGGCGCCCTTCACTGAGCGGGATATTGCCCCAGTATTGCCCGCGCCGCCGTCGCGTGCTGTCTCTTCGCGCGCGGGATGCCGCTCCCGTCGCACGACTCGGGCGAGATGCCTCGGCCTCACGCTGCGCCGGCTGGAGGCATCTGCTGACTGACTCCTCGGAGCTGGAAGACGCACTTCAAGCGCTGAGCGACGATCGGACATAGCGACCGCCCGTGATAGCCCAGCGGCAACGAATGTTACCACTCATCCAACGATGATTTGAGGATGCAACTCAAACGAGGAGCGTACGGTAGATCGACCTCACATGTGCTCACACGAATACTACGAGCAAACGGCATCATGGAGGCACGTCTCACGATGTAAGGACCATTAGAGGCAAGTTACGTTAACGGCGTGTATGTTCCCTATCTCTACAATTAACTCTAACACGTATGGTTCGTCAATATCTACACTACGAATGCGCGATCCTACGCGTCGAGGCCCTCGAAGTGCTCATCGACGCGCGCCATGCGCTGAAAGAGTTGGGGTGATACACTGAGAGCGGAAATGCCACAGCATGAGCGACTAAAGGATACGACGATGGGCAAGCGTGAAGCCAGAGTGTGTTGCAGAAAGAACGGATACAAAGCGATGAACGAAACGAGCGGACGGAGGCCAGCCGACGCAACGGCGAGAGAGGGGAGAGACGGCGGCATCCAGTGAAGGTTTTGGTATAGACACTGACAGCGGCGCGGCGGGCGGGGTGAGGAGGTAGCCCCGCCCGCATGCATCACCTATCGTACAGGATTCGAGCGCGGCGCGATGTGCCCCCTTCGGAGCGCGCGCCCCGGCTGCAGCGGAGATAAATACAACCTAGTATTCAATCGCGCTCCGTCGAAGCTCGGAAGGGGGCGGATGCTGTAGGTGGGCGAGCGAGTCGCTCTCACTCCGATGGTGCCTTGCCGCTCTCGACGTCACTGATGTCCTGCCGGACGCCCTTCTGGTCGAAGCCATCGAAGCTCGCCCGATCGTGCGTGCGGCTGACGGAGACATTGATCGCGACCGGCTGGAGAGGGTAGGCGTGTCCACCAATGGTCTGCAGGTGCGAGGCAGGACCCGCACGGTCGGAGATGTTCCCGCCCGCACCGCCACCACTGACGGAGTCGTTCATGGTGTACCCGAGTCCGACACGGATGATGATGAGCGTGAACACCACACCCTACACGCGCGCGCGTCAGCCACCTAAGCGCGAAAGGCGGTGTATGACAGAGACTTACGATGAGGGGCTGCAGAATGTCGACGCAGATGTACTGTGCGTTCGAGCCAGCAAGGTACGTGCCCAAGAGTGAAGCGAGCGCGGCGGAGTAGACGGCGGCGGACTGGATCATCGTCTCGACGACCTCCCAGTGGGAGCCCACAGCTGCCCCGTTAGCACGGTACTTGCGCACACGCCGGTTCGACCACATGATGCGCGCGGCGATCAGCACTGGAGAAAAGAAGCATGAGCGAACGCCGGAAGATTGTCATTGGGAGCGGAGTTTCAAGGAGGTGAGAAGGTCATCGTCCGGCGAGAGTCGGGTATTGGAAGAGTCGGACCAGATGGAGAGAACAACTCACAGGTAGCCAATAGGTTGGTGGTCAAAGACAGCGAGAAGAATGCACGGATCCACGGCTGAAGGTTGTCCGCGAAGATGGCGTTGCCTTCCTGCGCCAGGCCAATCTCCACACAAGCGCCGTACCCGGCCACTGTTGAAATGCGGAGGCAATGAGGCAAATTGTTCAGTGCATGAAGATATAGAAAGACGCACCTGCGGTCGCGAGGAGCAAGATGCAAGGCCCAATGAGGATCCACCAGACACGACCCCACACAACGAACAACCGGTACGTCTGATGCACAGCCGTAGTGAGCAAATAATAGCAGAGCGAAAACGAAAGCATGCACGTACGACGAAGAAGTCCGCAACGAGGGTCATGGTGATGTAGACGACGTTCTTCGCGACGAAAGTCGGGTCGCTGATCCGTGCGTAGAAGTCGTTGGTCCCGTTCGGCGACCCGCCCCACTCCACAAAGCCCTTAATAGCACGCGTGACATCTATCGCAAGATGCTAGACGTCGCGCATTGAGCGCGCTGCGTACAATGAAGAGGGGAAGACGAGAGGACGTACCGCGACAGAGAGCAACCACATGATTGTTGTGGTACCGAAGAGCGCCCTGTTGAGTGTAGATCTGCCCCGGACCTTCTCCCTGTATAGCAGAATCCAGATGGCGATGGCATAGAGCACCGTGAACGCCCCAAACATCATCGACTCGAGAAACAGCGCTATGAGCTGTGGGGAAAGCAAGACGGATCAGCATTGTGCATGATCGACGCTAGTCCGGATGCAGGATTCGAGGACGACGGATGAGGGAGAGGGAGACGGGTACGGGCTTGGCAGGGGGACCGGGATGGCGAACGTACCTCAGCTCTGGCTAGCGGGAAAGTCTCTTCGGCGGACATGTCTGCACGGCGTCTGCGGGACGAGAAGACTAGGTGCGACAGTAGGGGGTGGGGGGCAGGGTTTTGGCACGGAAGGAGGGCTGGGCCCGGGGGTTTATATCAGTATCGAGGCGAGAAGGGTCGTACTTTGATTCGACCGCTGCTCGATCTGGGAGTCTAGCTGTACGGCAGCGGGGGCATGTATGGCATGTCGCAAAGGAGCGGGAGCGCAGGGCGTCACTCGCAAGCGTCCGAGCGGCAAGCCTGAGATTCATCGCGCTGGAGATCCGCTGACCAGATGGCGACTTGCGACACAGATACGCTTGCACCCCGGAATGATGCGCCGGTGTGACGCGCTGAAGCGTCCTCTGCGGGGGCCTCGCGGCTTTCCACGTCCACGGCCATCCGGAGAAGCGTCGGCGTGCTCCTGCCAGTGGAGGGCAGAAGACTCCGCGAAGCGTCCGGCAAACTTCTCGTGCCCCGTTTGATGGAGTTCGCTGGCTGTGTTCGTATCCAAATTGGGCCGGCGCGCCCTCACGTTAAGCCCGCATTCTGGCCATCGCTGGCACATGGATGTGTTCTGGTTCAGCGCAGAGAAGCCTGTAGATTAGCCGAGGCGCTCTGGCCCTGGCCGTGGAGCCGACGCAGTCTGTTGCTGGAGCTCGTTGTTCTTCGCCCAACCGTTTCCCGAGTCGCCAGTCAAAGACTGCACGTCAGAGAGCAGCGATTGCCCACAAATGTGTTACAAGCAGCCGCTCACCCTGAACTCGCCTAGACGTCCTATTTGAGGCGGTCCCGGACGGCTATGTAGCAGGCCTCGGTGTCTCTAGGACTGCGCGCTGGGAAAGATTGCACGGCAGTATAAAAAGGGTGAACATTGCATCCGCCGCGCGTGGCTTTGTTATATCCCATAACAGGTGCTGCTCTGATTGTGAAATCTACATATGATAAAGTAAGCGACAGGTCAGAGATCTCAAGAAGGGGATTGGCCAACCCAGAAGCTGATGGAGCGCGAGAAATCGTTGAGAGGCCGGAGCCTTGGTGGCGCTACGTTAACGGGCTGCGTACCCTTCGCACGAGTGTCGTCAAGTGCAGGCTACCATCAAAGTCAGATGTCAGCACTATCTATCCCATATGCGCAACCGGGGCACGGGCTTATGAGAAAGAAAGCGTCCGAACGTATGGTAGTATCCTTGCGACACTGCAGGATGCCAACGAATCGCTCCCGTCCTTACCTTTCATATCACAGTAGGGGAAGTTCGCTACGAGCGAGGGCTTCGGGCTTCGGGGGCAACGCATTGCAAACAATATCGCGGCCATCTCCGATCAGAAGGACTCTGCAAGTCGGTGCACGGGGAACTGCCAAACGAGGTATCACCTCCTATCGCCCTCCACCAGCGGACTCCGAAGAGAAAGCGACTCTGACCACAGTCGCCATTCGAGACCCGTTCACGCGCTGTTAGGAGACGGTCAGCAGGCCAGCGTACGCGGATCGAAGCACCCACAAAGGCGGACCGATGCCGATGGTTGAAGCGTTTTCGAGGGTGCTCGCGAGGACGTGGGAGCAGTCCTACGGATTACTGCATTCTTCATCTTTTCGAAGGGCGTTGCGTAGAAAAAACTGTCTTCTCACCATGCTTCTCCACTGCTCGAGAACGTGGCCATGGGAGATTGATCAGGTCAGCCGGCCGCTGGGTTGCGGAACGTAAAATTCGTCCCTCAGTGAGGAGTCTAAGGTCAGTATGTTGGTGAACGGTGAGCAGCTACGGCGTACCACAATCTTCGCTAGGCAATGCTGGAGGCGCCTCTGTGGCGTTGCAGATCACATTCATCGCTTTCAGGGTCCCGAACGGCGAGAGACAACGTGTCGAGGCCGAAGCCCGCGGACCGTCGATGTGAAGGCGCTATCGCCGCTCCAAACCGAAACAGTGACGTTTCCTCGTCGGTTGTGGACGCGATCCCGACGCGAGCCCCTTTGGTTCCAGCTTCCCGACGCCAACTCACTTTCCTCATTCATCCCAGACAAGAGTGAATCGGGGCGGCCCGACTCCGCCAGCGGTCCTCGGCGTCATCCCCAAATAGACTCTGGCGCGTCGCCCACACTACGGCCGATGTCGGGGCCGCGCTGTCCCTGGATGGCGCTTGAGTTATAAGTTAATTTCATTATACAAAATTGAAGGCAGTACATTTACCATCAGCACTGCCGCACTGACCTGAAAGCATAGGTCCTGGTGACACGAAGTAGACACTTCTCGCCATGCATGCTCACAATTGTGACGGCCAAGTAGATGAGCAAACGGTATAGACGTCTGAGAAGTTTGAGAACCGCAAAAGGGTGCGAGGGACGCACTCTCCCAGCCAACGCGGACTTCGCCGTGAAGCCGCCCAGGCCCCCGAGAAGCATTGGCAGCCGAAAAGATACCCGTGTGACGCGATCTTGTAGCATCAGCGAGTGCATCGAGTCCACATGAATGCCATTTTTGCAGGTGATTGTACATTGAAGGATGAATAGACCGGGCTCCGGCCTGTCAATGGCTGTCAGCTAACCATGTGGGCACGAGTCAACCAGTCAACCGAGCGTCCAAGGTTGCAAATACGTTAGCTCACAGGACGTAGGGTTCGAAGGAAAACAACTCACCGAAATCGACACTACAAGACGACGTCGCGTCGTATAAATCGCTTTGTGCGAAACCTGTAGGTCACGGTACTGGCGCGGGTCGCTGGCTCGAATGAGTTAACTTGATGTCTCTTGTCGCTCATGGACGCCGGGAGCGCTCCGCAGGCGGCTTTAGATATCGCTGTAACCATCTGTAAATTCGACAATGATCATGGAGGTATGCGCAAGGTTAAAGTTGGAAAGAGCGTCAGCGTGCCTACTAGGCAGTGATAGGCAATGCACTTACGCCGTCCTGTGTTGAAATGCTCACCTAATCTCCGTGAGAACAGATACCTGTCGGCGGCGTACCGGGAGAACATGTATACCAACATCTACGGGGGATCAGATGGCATGAAGATGCAAGGCATGGCATATGCAAAACCCGAGCAAAAGAATCCTCAACCTGCGCGATCTGACTGCGATGTTCGACTCAACGTAACTCACGTCGAACAGGCATTCGCGATCGGTGAATAAACCAGCCACTTCATCGCAAGGCCTTTCAGGAAGATGAGTGGTAAGTAACGACGCAGAAGATTGGCAATCATGGGATCTCTACTCGTACCATGGGCTAAAGATGTCTTGCGAGCACGACTCCGTCAGCATGACCGGTGCTTAGGATGGTTTGTACGCAGCCAGGTGGAAGCAAAGACACGTCCACCGGCGCCGGCCGGAGGAATCTCCGGTGTTGATGAAGCATCAGAAAACATAGAAGACGCTATTTGCGAAGAGCTCACCAGACCTTCCGAAGTCTATCTCATCGTTGAGAGTCCCAATACTAGAGCGCGAGTTTCTCCTTCGGGCTCTGTGTCTCGCCGGCCGCCTGCGGTTGTGTCATGCATCAGCGCTTTAGACGCCGTGTAATGCAGACAGAGATGGCGCAGTGACCATGCGCACGTCGAGATGTCAGGAGAACGTGATAAACCACGCAGCGTCGAACTGTGAACGTTGCAAACCTGTCCCCGCGTTCACCTGCAGTGTTCGCAGCGTCGCAGTGCAGACTAGACAGCTTGTACCTTGTGATGGCGACGTGCACAGTCGAGAGCATGCTGCGGGACAGCGCAATTTGAACGTTGTTGGCCGTCTTCTGCTGATTCTGATTGATATGTGCTGTGCATATCCGACGTTGTTCGCCGACAAGGCCACAGGCCAAACATACATGCATTGCGTACGGACTTGAGGCAGCCGCAGCCATCGGGATCATTCGCTTGCTGCGAGTGAGGATGAGAGGACTCTGCACGATTCATCAGCTGCAACTCGCCCACCTCCACACGGTGCAGCGCGAATAATTAGACTGTACACTGAGTCATAGCGACATCGGCGAACCTGCGGATCCTATGAGAACAGCGTGATAGTTTAGGCAAGGGCGACAACATACCATGTGTAGGAATGTGACCTGAGTCTAGTTGCCTGGTGCGATGAAGGAACAGATAATCAGTATCGATGGAGCATGTTCAAACTTTGCTTGAACTCACTGAGAACTGGAAGGTCGCAGGCGTACGTGACTTGTCCCCTCGAAGGCTTTAACCAATGCGCAAACACCGAGCTTCCTTCGACAACATTTGAGACCCGAGCGCGTTCAAGCGCGTGACTGATATGGGGCCACTTCGAAACGTTATCGCAAACGCACGGTTTGACCTGTTAGACACGCGCGACTGCAAGGATCCGCAGTGAATTGCCTTATTCGCAGTTATCTGCGGTGTGGCTTTGTGGTACTAGTTCCGTATGTCAACACCGAGCCACTCACCTTTCGCCAAGGACGTACGAGGAAATATACGGTGCCACCCCAAAGAATTCGATCACCAACGCTGGCAGACAGCCTTTGAGGCCCCATAGATAGACAGCAACGCACCAAGATCCGAACGGGGGCGGTCGCCTTATCGCAGAAACCGTGGCAAGCCGTACCTCCAGGGAGGTCGCGTGCGAGCGTTGCCGCACGTTACGGCAAGTGAGACGTCGGGACGCCATGGAAGCGCCCCTTCCCAGACCGTTCTTCGGTCAGGGGAGATACTCGGTTCAAACGTTGTTTCATCGACCACGCTCCGGCTGAAATCTCAAAGAATATAATGTACCGAGAACGACTATGAATATAGCTCGCGCAGATCATGAAGGGACAAGGTACGTACGGTGCAGCGCCTGCAGGCTCCGGACGTCGTGGCGCTCCATGAGAGACACTAGTGACGAGCCTGATACCACCTTGGCGTCTTCGTGTCCGTTTGCGGGAACCCTACAGCCTCGTGGTGTCAGTGCTGTTAAGCCCGGTTGGCTACCGTGGGGCTTCCAACCGCGCTGCGAAGGGCGGACATGAGTGGCTTCAGACCGCACCGGTCTCGATAAGGCCGGCTTCGTCTCACGAGCGACACACATATAAGTGCCATATCGCGCATGTCTCACCTCCAGTCGACAGGCTGACGCTCCGTGCGACGTCTCCAGAGCTAACCCCGAACGCTCAGCGCTGTCCAGCAATGCTGCACTGGTCGTACACCTCACCTCTGATTCTGCTCGCGACATGCCTCGGCTCGCTGGCCTTCCCAGTTACACCCGGGACGCAAAGCGTCCTTGACGTCAAGCGGAAGGACGCCAAGGTCCTCATTTTGGGTGGTGGTGTCGCCGGAGTCATCGCCGCGCGGACGTTGCATGAACAAGGCATCGACGACTTCATGATCATCGAGGCGCGACCCGAGCTCGGCGGGCGAATGATGAGTCACGAGTTCGGCGCGGCAGGCAACCGCTGGACGGTGGAGCTCGGCGCGAACTGGGTACAAGGGACGCAGACGGGGAACGGCCCTGCAAATCCGATCTGGGAGCTGGCGAAGAAGCACAACATATCGATGCATTCCAGTGAGTTCTTCGGTAGTGTCGGTGAGTGCCTGCCATCGGTGAGCTTGCCTTCGCGACCGATATATTCCTGGCTCAGCGACGTACGACTACTCGGGGCCATCCGACTTTGAGGACGTCTTCCAAGAGTCGATCAAGAACTTTGACAAGTTGACGTCCTTGGCCGGTGCGTTGGTCTGATGAAGCGATTTCGCCGACCGACTGAGCGTTGTCACAGGTGCACGAGTCCCACAGCGGCTCGTCGATATGACCGCGCGGAGTGGATATTCGCTTTCCGGGACCCGACCGTCCTCGCCGCAGGAGCGGGCTGCGGAGTACTACCAATTCGACTGGGAGTTCGGCGCGACGCCTGAGGAGACGTCTTGGCTCGCTTCAGCCTGGGTACATAGCTCCGCTGCTCACCCCTCGGGCGTTCTGGCTTATCGCGGCGGGGACTCGCGCGCACCACGGTAGCTGCGGCGGCTGGTCTTTCCGGTAGAGCTTGGCGCCTCGAGACAACACGACCTCGCTGACGAATGAATAGGCCCATAATCGCACGTTCCGCACGTTCTCGCACGAGAACTTACTTTCGATAGACCAGCGGGGCTTCAAGGCGCTCATCCAAGAGGAGGCCAGCGCGTTCCTGGACGAGAGTCGCGTGAAGTTGGATTCCACTGTGGCCGCAATCCACACGACGAAGCGGGGTGTGGTGGTCACTCTGTCTGATGAGACCGAACTCGCGGCGGACTACGCGCTGTGCACGTTCAGCCTGGGGGTGTTGCAGCATAATGACGTGCAGTTCGTGCCTTCTTTGCCGGGATGGAAGCAGGAGGCCATCCACAGTATGGCGATGGTACGTCTATTTCCTACATTGCCTATGGCTGTGAGCGAATCATTAAGCATTTTAAGTAGGGAACGTACACAAAGATATTCTTGCAGTTCCCGCACAGGTTTTGGTTCGACACCGAGGTGCAAAGTATAACGCAACTGCGGGTTCTTCCACACTGACAAGCCCGACAGATGGCGTTGTACGCTGACCACGAGCGAGGTCGATATCCGGTCTGGCAGTCGCTCGACCACGATGGACTGCTCCCCGGAAGTGGTATCCTGTTCGTGACAGCTACCGTGAGTGATCCTCCCATTCGTGCCTGAGCACTGCTCACTCACCTCTCGATCTGGATCCTGATGATCGACGACATACCGCACAGGGCGACTTCTCACGCCGCATCGAGTCCATGGCAGACTCGGCCGTACAGAAAGAGATCTTGTCCGTGCTGCGCACCATGTTCCCCAACGCGACAATCCCAGCCCCGCTCGACTTCTACTTCCAGCGGTGGTACAGCGATCCGCTGTTCCGCGGGTCGTACTCGAACTGGCCGGCGAACTTCTTGAGCGAGCACCAGGTCAACCTGCGTGCCAACGTGGAGGAACGGCTCTGGTTCGCGGGCGAAGCGACGAGTAAGATGCATTTCGGTGAGTGGTATGATCTGCGTACCTAGGTTGGAGTCTCATGAGTACTCGGCATGGATAGGATATTTGCATGGGGCATACTCCGAAGGCCGCGAAATCGCGTTGATGATCGCGGAGTGCATATACGGAGGCGGCTGCCTGGGGCTGGAGCACGTCGACCGTGTCCGGAATGCGCTGCCATATGATATTGCGTAGAACATTACCTTCCCGCGCTTCGACTTATCTTGCCATCTTGTACGACATCAGCTTGTCAGCATATGCGATTTCAGCATGTACTTGTATAACATACCTGTAGTAACGCAGTAACATTTTATGTGTGGCCAGACATACCTTGAACCTGAACCGTTCGGTAGGCAAACCGTCGATGACTCGAGGCAACCAAATACAATCACAATAATGTACATCTATACAAAGTACGGCATGTTTCCCTGCACGGGAAGCTTCAGCTTTAGCGAGAGTTATCAATGACTCGCACTTGTGCTTACCATCTTCCTTGTCCGCAGCATACCCTTGTCTCGCTCATTTTCAGGCGCAGCGTCATACACGGTGAATGATCGCTCCCCGTCTGGTCGAATCGTGAGGATCGAAGCCATATTCCCGCATCGGTAGCAGTAATTTGGCGCAGACCAAACGGTAACGAGCTGCTCGTCGAACATGTATTTGTACCCTTCTTGTACCAGTTGATGTGCGCGTGCGATGAGCCGTAGTGAGTTGACGTGATTAAACTGTGGGTATGAGAGTCAGTGGTGCAGCACGCCTGAAGTAATAATCCACGCGCACCTCCCGCGTTACGCTCCCGCCGAAGAGCCAGCCTGCTCCGCGTGGACTGACCGCCCAATTGTCCACTTCGTCTGGATCTGACCACATGAGGTCTGGCAGCGACACCTAAGCCGTATATCCTTCCAACACTATGTTTGGAGAGCACTTACCGCAGAATGCTCCCTCGTGCGGGATCTCTTGCGCTCTTGAAAGCACTCGGATTTGGTCTAATGTACGGATGTCCGGGGATAGACCTCCGTGTACACATAGTGTCTCCCCATCGATGATCTGAGGGCTCTTAGGAACTTTTAGTGAAACATTGAACGAGACGTACGCACCGCAGCCAAGTTGAGATAGTCGAACACGCTACAACACGCCTTCCACACCAGCGCCGAGCCGTACTTCTGTTGGCATTCATCTACACATCAGTTGTAGAGAAGTCCACGAGATGGGAATGATAGTACGCACCGTAGAAACCGTACACCTGCGTGATCTGTCTACTCTCATGGTTTCCCCGCAGCAGCGTGACCTTGTCCGGGTATCTGGCAAGCTATCTCAACAGCAAACCCCGCCTACAGAGCACAAGTCCTGACTTTGCCTTCAGCACCAGTAATAGCGAGACCGTCTCCAGGCTGTAGTGTCCGCGGTCGACAAAGTCACCCTGTCCAAAGTCTGAGCAGTCCTTCTGGGCTCGCTGAAGGAGTACATACGTGCCATGAAAATGTAGCTCGTCTCCGGGACCATGCCCCCTTTCCTCAGGAGCTCGAGTAGGTCCCAGAACTGGCCATGTATGTCGCCGCAGATGGTGACCGGACTTGACACAGGCTGGATGTTGGACTCCTCGAGGAGGATGGAGCGCACGCGGTCGCAGAGGACCTTCATATCGGCTTCGGGTAGGTGTTGGCATTCCATGAGCTGAGCAAGCCATCTATCAGGGTCGAAGGTAGCCATTGCGAAGGAATCAGAGAGCCCTGCTGATCAGACAAGGTATGAAATGGGTAGAGGATCCTAGATAGAGCTGAGACAGAGATGGCAAGGATGAGGAGACGGAGATGGCGGCGGAGAGGGAGGAGGGGAAACAAGCGCCGGCGGCATGCTCTTCGCCGTCGACCGCGACATGCACGTCCAGGGATGTTGCTGACCAAGTCGGACCGCGGACAGACCTGCGGACCTCCAGGTCGGACCTTTGGAGGTCGGACCCCGGTCGAGGTCCGCACGTGACTCGACCGGGGTGCTCGAGACAATCCAGTAGACAAGAAAACGAAACGCAGAAGCCGGGAGGTTGACAACACGCGCTGTAAATATATACATAGGTAATAACTTATGGACAAGGAGAGTGTGCAACATTTATTGAGCGGAGATTGGACTGCTACAAGCGCGAATACAAGATTAGTACATATAGTACGCCAGTCCGAGGTGACCAGACCCGGAAGCCAGAGCACCGCCGCTGATAGACATCCGAAGGCGTAGTGGGGTTGGTGATAGGAGGAGGGTGTTCGTGATGACGCAGCTCAGCTTCCAGCATGAGCGCACCTTCGGTCCATACCTCGTGCGCAACCTTGGCGAAGGCCGCAGAGCTGTAATCGAAGATGGTGCTAAGGAGGAGGTCATACAAGTCCTGCGCGCGAACTATAGACACATCAGGTGAGGGATTGGGCACGGCATGGGTGGTCGACGTCTCGGCGGCGTGGTCGAATAGTGCTGCAGCTACCAGGAAGTTGTCGACGATCGCTGAGAATGAAAGCTGTTCGTCCGAGCTGTCGGTTTCCGGATCTCCCAGCGAACCTTCAGGACGTTCAGCGTCTGCTGTCGGGTCAAGGGCGTCGTTCTCTGCGTCGGTGTTGGATGGAGTCGGCTCAAGGACAACGCGGGGAGTGTGGCGAACTTGAGGGGAAGGGAGAAGTCGTGTTATGTCGTCTTTGACCGCGACCATCTTCCTGACTCGCTCGTTTGCGAGACGGCTCCTCTCCTTCGTGTGAACGGCACCCATCTTGCTGAACTCGCGTTCGCTGGGTGCGGTGTTCGGAACGATACTGAGTATGCGCATCGCAAAGGTGACGAGGCCGCTTGGGCTGTTCAGTGCACCCGTATTGAATCGACGCCAAACTTGGACCAAGTTAAGTGGTGTGTGCTATACTTCTATCAGCTTGACCACTCATGTACCTGATAGCGGTAAGGCTCACCTGCATCTCCGCTGCAGTTTTCCATAGATCCAGCTGCAGCGCCGAGTCCGTCCCCCGCGCGAGTCGCTGAACATAGTCGTCGAATGCAGCAAGAGGCGGAGTTTAGACCAGAAGACGCGTCAGGCGCGTATATTTGGAAAGCAAGACGCGTAGCTAATGGACGTAGAGGGCAGTCTTTGGTCGACGTCGAGCGCGAGGCTGGTCAACGTCCCGACCGCGCGCTCTGGCTATACATGACGTTCCGATTCTTCCAAAGAATCGGTTATCAACGAGTGGAGGTTGCAGGGGTCACGTGCGTTTTGTGCACCATACTCCCACGGTGTTTCGCTCACTTCGCCGACGGCGGTTGATGCGTATCAGCAAGTACCACCACATACGAGATGAACAAGGGCACAAATAGATGACCTGGATACCCCATGATACATAAGTATTTTCACAGACCTAATCTGTAGCCGCATTGGCAAATACTGGCCACTGACTACCATTAGGTTTCATGGCCAGACATCCAACGGTCTGCCGCCTCGGTGGCGCCGCCCGCTCTACCATATAACGTTCAGTATGCACTGCACGATGCTGCTCAACCGTAAGCAGAAGAATCGGACTCCGAGGCGGCGCCGCCCGCCTCTCTAAGACACATCATGTGTCACGTGCGGACCCCCGCGTCCCAGTCAGACCCTGCCAGACCTCGCGTCAGACCCCCGGTCCGGGCGACGCAGTCTAAGAAAGGTCCGCGAGCGCCGACATCCCTGTGCACGTCTGCTAGAGCGTTCTCCACTGCCTACATCGTGCGCATACCTCATGAATATCGACGACTAGCTCCACTTCTGTATCAACCACTGTACACTACGCGTCTCCACACCCCAACGCAACTCTGAAGATGTCGGGCGAGCGAGAGATCGCCATCCGGGAGTCCACAAGCACGGTACCGAGAGTGAAGACGCCGCCGAAGTCCTCCGCGATCTCTGTGCCATTCGTGTATCACCCGAGCGACGATGGGACGGATGAGAACTTGCTTGTTCTGCTTCATGGCCTAGGTATGTGCCGCCACTTCCTCGTCGCACGAATTCTCATGTTGGAGCAGGCGATACCCAGATTCCTTTTGGTAGGCTGGGCCATCAGCTACACCTGCCACAGACGGCTACCCTAGCATTACGAGCTCCCGAAAAGTGCGTATAGTATCCATTACGTCGAGGGTCGCTGCCCCTCACCCTGTATCTGTGCAGGATTCCATACCTGTACGAAGAGGCGTATCAGTGGTTTCCCTCCTTCGACCACCTCGGGGAGCTCCTAGAACATCCGAACCCCACGTCCGCGCTGGAACTCATGACAAAGATCGTCAATCACCTCGTCAACGACTGCGCATGGCCACCGCAGCGTATGCACCTCTTCGGCTTCGCCCAAGGCGGGAGTGTCGCCGCCCAGTTCGCACTCAAGTACTGGAGCAGCGAGCTTTCGCCTCAGCAAAAGGCTCTCCCTTCTGTATCCGACATCCAGTCTGCCGTGCCTGCGTCGCGCTCTCTCGGGTCTGTCGTGAGCGTGTGCGGACCCCTCCTGTCCTACCCTACACTGCCGAAGCCGTGTCCAACCCCGCTGCTCATCTTCCACCGTCCACCCCCGGCCGAGACAGCCATGCGTCCCGCCGCGGTGGCCGAGTTGAAGAAGGGATTCGCGAAGGTCGAGGAGGTGAAGGTGCGAGGCGAGGGTATGCCGCGGTCGAAGGAGGAGTGGCAGCCTATCATGCGCTTCTGGAGCGAGCATCTCGGCCGGAGACAGATGGACGGATTGTACGAGGTCATGTCGGGTGCAGCACCGCCATAGGTATGCGAAAACGAGCTGTGTTGTGAGCGCGAAGAGGTATAAATACAAGGTGAGACGAACACATCCAGGATGTACTATGATACAATTGACAACATGATACATTCAAAGCCCACATAGTTCGCCGTCTTGTTCAAGCGACGGAGATCCTCTTCGGAAGTTGCTCAGGCGTCTGCCTAGGGAACGTCACGGTGAGGACACCATTGTCCATGGACGCCTTGATTTCCTCGGGCTATGCGCGCAAGTCAGTACGCTACTCGCAGATATGAAAAGCACGCACAACATACCTTGACGCCCTCAGGAAGCGGGAGAGAACGCGCGAAGCGTCCGAAGCGGCGCTCGCGCACAAGATAGCCCTTCTCGTCCCGGTCCGACGAGAACTTGGACTCGCCCGAGATGCTCAGGACGTTGTTGCGGACCTCGATGTTGACGTCTTGCTTGTTGATGCCCGGAAGCTCGAACGTCGCGGTGACGAGGTTCTTGTCCTTGTCTTCGTGGAGGTCAATCCTGAGACGAGCGTTAGCGTTTTGCCGACACGAAGTAGGCTAGCACAAGAGTGGACTTACTTTGGGCGGAGGGCACGAGGCGCGTTGTTGGCGTTCCCGGGCTGGTGTTGCAGCTGGTTGTCGCTGCCGCCGTCAGCACGGCGGGCGAACGCCTCGTCGAAGAGCTGGTCGAACTCGTTGAAGAAGTTGACGAGCGACATTTAGCTGGGGTTTGTGATGGAAGAGGGTAGCTGGGTATCAGTGCGGAAAGGTTATGTTTCTTGTAGTATGCAGCAGGGGGCATACGCTGGCTTCTTATATCTGCGCAGGCGAATGCGCACGAGAAATTTCAGCGCCATGTGTGCACGCTTCCCGTTGTGCCTAGAACGTGCCCGGTCGGTCATAGGGGTCTCGAGTTCTATGAGGTGCACGCTAGAATTGTCGAGAAGCAGTCACCGTAGACGCCCGGCGTTGAGTAGGAAATATCCTTTGGGACATGGAACAAATAGACGTCAATAGCCGCCACAGTTGTGCGGCGCTTGACGACCGGGCCTGCACTTCTGCTCAACGTCGACGACCACCTGTGGGCTCAAGTCATGCTGAGATCTTCTAATTCTCTGTTGATCTACTGGGGACTGAAGGATGAGAAGCGTACGGATCTCGAACTCTTGCGCTGGGTGGCTTTCCAACTCGTGACTGAATCTGCAGACGCCGTCGTAATTTCGAGAGCCTTCGTTCGCACATCTCGGAAACTCTCGTTCTGCAGTCGCGCAGCGGAATCTTACCTCATAGCAACGACCTGAAGAACAGTTCGCGAATGTTCAGCTACAGCCAGGAGGAGCATAAAATGCGCTCTCAGCTCGTCTCCACTCCCCAGCATAGTCGAAAGTTACAAGTCCACGATCACGACCGCTTTCTTCGTCTCACCCACTCATCCTTCTTGAGCTCTTTAACGACTTCTACGACTCGAAATGTCGCTTTCTACGTTCTTCACCGAGCCGTTCTACTCCCTCGCCGACTTTGACCGCCTCTTCGATGAGGCGTTCAACGCGCGCACGTCCGCAGTCGCGCCGAGGCAGCAAGGAAACAACGGCAACGCCGTCTCCCGCCCTCTGCGCCCAAGGTGAGTACTTGGAACCTCCCTGATTTCGTCCAAAGCAGTTTGTTGACGATACGCTTGCAGACTGGACCTGCATGAGGACCAGGAGAAGAACCTCGTGACGGCCACGTTCGAACTCCCCGGCCTGTCCAAGGAGAACGTCCAGATCGACGTGCGAGACAACGTCCTGACCGTCTCTGGCGAGTCCACCATCTCCAGCGAGCGCGACGACAAGGGCTACTCGGTCCGCGAGCGGCGGTTTGGCAAGTTCTCGCGGTCGCTGCCACTCCCTCAGGGAATCAAGGTACGTATCCTCTTACTTGGCCATTCGCGGCGTGCACGGTGTACTAACTTGTGAACTCTAGCCTGAGGAGATCAAGGCGTCCATGGAGAACGGCGTCCTGGCCGTGACCTTCCCGAGAACGACCCCGGAGCAGGCCCCGAAGAAGATTACGATCTCGTGAGCAGCTTTGTGGGTTTGTTCTATCTCAGGAGATAGGTTGGTTGTTATCATAGAGACGCACGTTAATAGGATTGAGTTTTCTATAGCCAATGGTGTGATTAGCGTGTGATACATCGGCCCAGTGGTAACAGATCAAGCTTCGAGGTTTTGGTCGGATCGTGTCCACGACGTTAGAAGATACACGTGCACGACCAGGCTGGAACACGTAGCGTGAGTCGACGAGAACTTTTGGCCTGTCTCTATATGAAAGTGTTCTTCTCGCTGACACATTTGTTGCCAGCCTTGAACGTCGCTGATACAGTGAGTCCGTCTTCGAAGAGCTTGGCGGACGACATCATGGGTATCGGAATTTGGTTCTCTCGTGTGCTATGGCCGGCCGGGACGAGATTCAAAATGTGTCCTGGGCCAAACACCGTCACGGTGGCTGCAATTAGAATGATTCACCTTACAAGCCCAGTTTGGCGCGCTGTGACCTCGTCATCCAGGGCAGTATTTGACACCTCGCTTGCAGTGCACGTAAGGTACCGCTCTATTTGCCCAAGTTATGTTATGCTAATGGCGAGAGTGAAATAGAACTCCGACGGTGCCACCATTGTGCGCGGTGTGGCCGGTGATGGGCGCTTGGATGTCTCTCGCTTTTGTGTATCTTATAAAGCCCTCCTCTCTTAACAGACTCAGACCTCAACCACCAACTCTCACCTCTGCTGTATACTGCTCAGGTATGACTCGCACATCCTCACCCCGCCAAGACAAGACCCGACGCCCAGTTCGCTGCGCGCCAAAAAAGTTGAACACCGCTGGCAGGAATGCCTGGGCTGGGCAGCTCGGCGGACGTATCCATATCTACGGCGACACCGCCGACCGATTCATCGACGAACTTCTTCCTTGTTCTGCGCATTACGTGTGGGACTACACATTACTACATGATGCGTTCAAGGCATATCCCGCCGGATCAGGGAAGGAGAAACTGGAATGCGACAACTTGGTGCGGATCAGCCACTCGCATGCCTACGCTTAGCTCTGACCACCCTTATAGGTATTAGGGCTGTCGAAACTCGTCAAGCCCTTCCCGGTCAAAACGAGACCCAGCTTCAACAACACATGCGGGCAACATCTCGACTTTCCCTTCGCCGCGTCGATGAACGAACATCACCGCTCCGCGCCTGATATTTCGGTCTCGTTTCCAGGGAAGTCTCTAGGCGACTCTCCGTCGTGGAAGCACATCTCTACGGTGATAGAGAGCAAAAGCGAGGCCTGCAAAGACCCATTGGTCAGGGACGGGCGGGCTCGTACTAAAGCGATCCGGGCGCTTGCGAAGAACGCGCGCAACCTCATGCTCACTCACGGACTCCTCGCCGCCTTCGTCATCGGCATCTACGGGAACACCGTCCGCCTCATGCGTTTCGACCGCACGTGTGCGCTCGTCTCCGTGCCGTTCAACATTAAGAAGGACGGTCCGAGGCTACTGCAAAAGTTCTTCTGGCACTTCACCCATCCTCTCGTCGGAAACACTATCGTTGGAGCCGACCCGACCGTGATGAAGCTCAGCGGTGCAGATCAGGACTGGGTGAAAAGCGAGCTACGCAGGGCGCGGGTTCTGCACTGGCAGGCGCACGTCGCCGAGATAGCCGCAGGACGGCGCCTCGAGGTTTACGACGAGAAGACCGGCCGCTGCGTGCCATACCTCCTCTACCAGGCGATCAACGTCAACGGGCGGCTCTTCTCGAGGGCGACGATGATCTGGCGCGCTATCGAGGACACTCGTATCTGGAAGGACGGCCGACTGGTGCCAGATCCCTCGCGAACCACTCCCGTCAAACCGCAGATCATGAAAGAATATTGGCGGCAGCTGGCCCGGATAGCTGAAGCGAAGTTCTACGACCGGCTGAACGAACGGATCGAGCCGGAAGATCAGTACGGTCTCGCGACCATGGTGTGTGGTGGGGACCTCGGCGAGTTCGCTCTGCGTCAGTGGAACGATGCCAGGCGTCGTCAAGAGGGCGTAAAGCCAGAGCGAGAACCAGAGCCATCCAAACCAGCACCACCCTCGTCTTTGCCCTCTCCACTATCCAACATCGCATCCGCTGAAGGATACGTTCCGGACGCAGACCTTCCGCTCCTACACCCACAACATCAGACGTGCTCTTGGCGGCTCGCCTTCGGCAAGGACGATTGGCATCGGGAGCGCAGCCTCGTGCGTATGGTCATCGACGATGTCGGAAGGCCGCTCACTGAGTTCAGGTCTACTTATGAGCTCGTCTGTGCCCTACGAGACGCGATTCGGGGTAAGTTGCGCGTTGTCCTCGTTGATGTCGATAAACTCTTGTGCTGATCACCTTCTAGGTCACCAGCAAGCATGGGAGAAGGCGCGCGTAATGCATCGCGATGTCAGTGTCGGCAATATTATGATTGTAGATCAGCCGCAGGAGAACAAGTACACCGGATTTCTGCACGACTACGACTTCAGCGCGATGGACCCCGACTTATATGAGAAAGACGATGATACACGGCCACCCTCATCTCCGTCCTCATGGTCCTCCGTATCTCCGTCCTCTGGGTCATCGGGAAGGAAACGTGCCAAACCCGCACCAGAACGCATAGTACGCCATCCGGGACTTCCCAGATAAATCGCTTAGCTGACGATCTCCCCAGGGCACATACTATTTCTTTGCTTGCGACCTCCTCGATGACCCAGGTATCACTCGCCGCACTCACCACGACCTCGAATCGTTCTACTGGGTCCTGCTATGGGTCGTCAGCCGGCACACGGACCACGAACACCCCCATGGCAATCAATTGTGCCGAAGAATTTTCTCATACGGTAACGACAGTGATAGTTCCAATCTGAAGACTGCTTGGGTCTACAGAAGGGCGCGCATGCTCAACATCGTCCGGAACAAGCCGCTCTCACACCTCCTCGCGAGGTTCAACAGGCTCGTTCGCCACCACTTCTCGGCGGAGCGCGACTTGGTCACAGAGCCACTCGATTATGAGCCCGTGCTCAAGATTTTCGACGAGGCTATCGCCATGACAGGGTGGCCCCAAAACGACTGGCGCCCCTACCGCCTAATACCGTGCGCTGCCCGCCCCAAAGGCGAAGGGATACCAGTGGCTGTGGCTAGCTGTCCCCTCCCTGGGGAAAGTTCGGCCACTGCACGTCAGCTAGCCGGGAAGGCCCTAAAGCTTCCTCCCCTCCCCGCTCGCTCGAAGCTCCCTGCTTCAAATGCGTGTCCTGCTCCTCATGAGGACCATTCATCCTCGAGGAAGCGATCTTGCGCCGTCCTGGACGAAGAGGAGCTGGACTCGCACGGAGCCGCGGGGACGTCCGAGCGCCTCCTCGAGAATCACCGCAAGCGGCTGAAGACGAATAAAGGGACGGCGAGTCCTGTGGCGATCGCACATGTACAGTCGTAAGGAGCGAAGGAGTCGGCGGTGTCAGCGTATGCGATGATCAGCGTAGAGGTTCGCTTCGGGTGATGTTTACATGATTGGTGCTCGACGAAAGCTTAGGTAGTGATGCTTTCCTTTGCTATGTATATCTTCACATTCCTGTGTGTGGCTTGTAGCGGTATCCAATTCCCGTTCTCTGGTTCGCTTCGTTTGGACAGAGCACCTACGTCGCGCTACAAAGTGTGTCGCTCATACACAGAGTAGATGCATGATACCGCGGCTCCTATCCGAGTAGCCGTTGATCTATGTGGTGCGTCAGACATCGCTACCCAGTGCGACGTGAAGATCCTGAGCGCAAACGTACCATCACAACGACTCCATCTTCGAGGAGCGCCGTAGACAGCTGCCCCCATTGGTACATGATCGCGGGATCATACTTGACGACCTTGTGCACGACACGAAAGGGGAGCCGGTTCCGGATTGGCCCCTTGAGAGTTTCGACGTTTGTAAGCACGTTCGACGTGTCCATATACAGGTGTGCGGTAGCGCGATCTTGATCTTCGCCATCGGTGGGGGAGTCTTCCGCGAAGGGGTGGAAGTCGCAGACAAACACATCTAAAACTGCCTCGGATTGGGGCCGACCAGATACGATGAGGCACCTGGAGCCCACGACGTGCAGCCCACTTGATATCCAGCGCAACCGCGCGGTAATGGGAAGTAGTCGGCTGCACGGCTGCCCCCACGACTGCCAAGAGATCGGGTCGTGTATCGGAGAGGGATGGTCGCTGGCGATGGGCTGGCAGCTTTGGCTCGTGCTTGGAGGGCCGATGTGAGCGAGGAGTGCACGTGTGGGGACGACGATGATGTAGTCCTGGCCGCCTGGTCTCCACACTATGTTGGAGTAGGGTTGACTACTGGCGGTGGACATGACTATCACGAGCACTGTTGCTTTCGCGTCAGGCATGAACAACGTCCCCCGATCAGCGCTCCCCGAAGGTTCATCCGAGGCGAGACCTTGAATAAGGGCGTAGCAGTCATATACATCTTCTGTTGGCGGGAGCAGGAATATGCGCATGTCCGGTCCATCGGGGAGCTCGTTTCCAGCAGGTAGCGTCGGAGATGGTGTATCGGGATCAATATTGTAGACTCGGAGATGATCAGCACAGTGTTGCGCCACGGCCAGACAACGTTGACCCAGGAATGCGAAGTAGATGGGATAGTCGTGGTTGCATGCCTTCCCAAAAGTTAGGCGGGTTCTGCGAGCCTCCAGTGGATGGAACATACCCATACGACCTGCCCGCTCTTCCAGTTGTATACACGAAGATGTGTTGTGTCGTCGGCCCAAGTCCAGGCTAGAAGATCGCCACAAATTGTAACCTTCGAGTTTTCATCATCCTCGCGAACCGAAGTGACGACAGTAAGAATAGGAATGTCTGCATCCTCTTTAGAGACTATGACAGCCTTGGAGAGAGACAAGATGTGACACTCGCTGATGCTGAGATAGGAGGTCAGTCTCGATGTCGTATAGAAAGTGACGGGCACATACTTTGTGGCGGTGGCCTTTTTACCACAAAGAACGAACAGGTCCTGTGATAGGTCGATCGTACAGTACACAGGATCGAGAGGTATGTCTTGGAGGTCATAAGACCATACTTTCGAGCGAACGCGTCGCGCAGGAGAAGCAGGGAGGTATAATTTGAGTTCGTGCCCGCTGATGAAAGGGATGGCACCGCCGGAGAACGGCAAACACCGATATGACTGCGGGCGCGTGGTTGGGAGCTGGGGGTCCTGTATCGGCGTAGCTGCATGCCACGCCTGCCCGTAACGTTCCAGTGCGGCCAGCCGGTCATTCACAGGCACTCCCGTCCCAGGTCCGTCGACCATGCCTGACCTAGCGAGCGCGAACTTGTACTGCAAAGCGGAGAGCTCAAGTAAGGTCTTGCAGTAGTGGCAGACCTGCCAATCGCTTAGAGGAGGTGCCGAGAGTGGGAGAGAGGGTGCGCTCGGTGAAGACGACGCTCACCTGGCCGCAAGAAAGTAAACTCGGAACATCCAGCTGCAATAAGATGTGCACGAGCACTTCTTGTGGTAGTCCGAGAAGGTTCATCTTGAATTTTGGATCACTGCGTGGGCACAAGTAGCCCGTGCTGAGATTGGCTTCGATCTTCGCGGACACCCGCTTGATATTGGAATGGGCCTAGCAATTGCGAAAGGTAAGCTTGCGACAGATAGTCGTGGAACCAAAACCAGATTACCAAGACGACTCTGCGCGCGAGCGCAGCACCTGATGCACGGACCGAGAGCCGAACTGCGCTCCGCACAACTCCGGAATGGAGTACCCTTGTGAGGCCGCATCTTCGGAACTGTTTATGTGCATCGTGACGTGAAGCCTCTGGGCGGGGCGGCCGGGAATAAGATGCGGTCAGATTCTAACTCAGAGTATATACTTAGTACTCGGTCATATAACCTGCATCTAGTTTCTATGTTTCTCCTTTCATAAACATTACTCGGATCCGATTCAAGCGGACTACTTACTGTATTGTCTGGAAGTTCATTCGAGTGACTGCGACATCGTAACTTGTTGAGCGCGAGTATAAAAATCAAGTAAGCGTACATCGTGTATGACCCACGAAGCCTCTGACCTCGAGCGTGCCATTATCCATAACACCCCCTGCCTCGCACCGCCAAGTGCGGCGCTCATACAGCGAGCAGATGCATGATGCCTCGGCTCCTATCCAAGACACTGTTATTCTGTGTGGCGCGTGAGTTATTACTGCTGAGTGTTAGCGTAGCGTAAAGAGGAGCGCAAACGTACTATGACAGCGATGCCATCTTCGAGAAGCACCGCAGATAGCTGTCCCCACTGGTAGCTTATCGCGGGATCATACTTGACGACCTTGTGCATGACGCGGAAGAGGAGACTATTCCGAACAGGGTCCTTGAGAATGTCGACGTCCGTAAGCACGTCCGATGTGTCCATATACAGTTGCACAGTCTTGCTATCGTCTTCGTCTGAGCGGTTATCTGCTGCAAATGGGTGGAAGTCGAAGACAAACGCATCAAGAGCTACATCGGGCCCAGGTCGACCGGAGATGATAAGGCACTTGGAACCCATGACATGAGGACCGTCGTCAACCCAGCCGAACCGATCCGTGAGGGGAAGTAGCCGGCTGCATGTCTCCCCCCATACTTGCCAGGGAACGGCGTCACGGTGCGGATCGGAGGATTGGTCACTGCCGATATGCGGGTGGCTTGGGCCTGTGCTTGAACGACGCGGATGGCGAACATGGGCAAGAAGTGCACGTGTGGGGACGACGAGAATCCAATCCTGAACGCCCGGCCTCTTCACCGTGTTGGAAAGGGAGAAGTTGACGGTGCGCAACACTATCACAAGCACCGTTCATCAGGAAAAACCCCCCTGGCAGATTAGTACTAAATGCGACAATTTATCGAAGATTTACGCTCACGAGTTAGGGACCTTGCATATTAGTGTTCATCTGTGCTTAGGAAGATAATAATATACTATTGTAGAGCTCATGAGATCTACGTGGAGGACGCCCGTGCTGATCAGTGACTATGAGAAGTCGGTCCCCGATGCAGACTTACAGTTAGCAATTAAGTATCACACCGGTGCATCACAGCAGCTTGTCAATAGCAGGATAGAAGAGGTAAGTTAAAAGAAAGACATATACATATGCGCGTCACTGAATGAGTTTACCCAAAAGCTGTCGCAACGTTCGAGAACGGTACTACTTGTCCAATCCCGCGGAACGGCGCCGGTCGTAACAGGAAAGAGGTGGCAGCTTCGGCGAATATTGCGTACTTCTACGACACTTGCGAGTCGTGCACCGGACCCGTCGCGCTGTCGTGTGACCTTGTATAAGCCGTGCACGGGATCTGGGCCTACCATCGGAGTGAAGCGCTCTATGTATGCCAAATGGCCCGGCGCGAGGACACCGGGGAAGAGTGTTTCGTTTGCAACATTCGGAAGCTTGAACACAAGGCGGAGCTGGGCAACCTCGTACCCTGGAATGCATATCAGGTATGAGAGAGATGCAGGCTGCTGATCTAGGCATACCGTGACTCACCTTGCACTCCTGAACGACCACCTGTCCCGTTGTTGACAAGAACGGTATCGAAGCGGCCCGGTACAGTCCTGCCTTGTTTATCCTGCCGTTCTGGTCGCGCATGCGCAGCATCGCGCACATCCTCCATCACTCCGAGGTCTTGAGCGTCGTCGAGTATGAACTTGAGTTTATTGAAGGCTTGAATCTTCCGGAAATGGAGAGACACATTGAGGGATTGCTGCTCGACCTCGGCAGCGGTGAGTGTGGGATCACGATGCCGTACAACAAAACGGGCGAGTGCATCGCGGAGATAAACGGCTCCGTAACGCTCAGCCGCATCGTCGAATGAGAGCGCCTTCACGCTAGGCCATTTCGCAATCTTGATGCGCGTCCATGCAGCCTGCGCCTGCGCTCCGATGCAGAGCGGTTGCCCCGGACTAAGCACCAGCTTGTCTCCTGCCCGCCGCTGTATACAAACGTGAGGTTCTTGACATCACAGGGTGACCGCCGGAACGTACCTGCATTGCCACCGCTGGGAGTTGCTTGTCCTGAGGCTGACGATCAAGAGGGGCAGGCACCGACCGAACAGTAGCGAGGCGCTTCAGACGCCACTTGACATACGCGTCATGTCGCAAGATCTTTTCGCGGCGCTCGAGCCACGTCGTCATCTGCGGGAACTCGTCCTTGTGATTGGTCGCGCGATACGCGTCCTTCGCGAAGTCGATATGCAAGCGTTCAGTGTACTGTGTGTCGTAGTTGTCGGTCGTCCCGAAGAGCTTGATCGATTCGATGTAGTGATCGAGCGAATGCAGTTTGGGAAGCTTGAAGTGTGAGCGAACTCCGAGGTCTACGAAGATGGACTTGTTGGCATGGAAGCGTTGCAGTGCATCACGAAGAAGGGCGAGTGTGTCGGATGTGTGGGCGGGGTACTGCGACAGATAGAGGATATCAAGAATGGCCCGCACAGCCCGGACGAGACGCACGGGCGAGTATCCACCGGGGAGCGGAAGGCCGATTACGAGCGCCAAGAGGAAGCGAGATATGTCGCCATGTTCCTTACCCGTGACCTTCTGCAGGGTGGTCACACCGCGGAGGAAGAGTCGGATTTGATGGTTTGGCGGTAGACGTCGACAGCGAGCATCGAGTTCTTCGGGACCATACGCAGACTTCAGCCAAGATAGGAGATGCTTTATCACTCCCTGATAAAGTTGATGCAGAATGTCAGGTGTGATAGAGCGGAAGATGTCGACGTAAGGGAGATCCTGCCAGAACGGATTGACGACCGGCTTGATACCAGCTTCTCTGCAGGCACGGGAGAAAGCGGTGGCGCCATCATCAAAGGTGTCAAGAGCCTTGAGAACTTTTTTGAGGTCGCGCAGTGGCCGTCTTGTGTCAGTGGAGCTGCCGACGTCGTCACGAGAGACATCGCACTTCGGGCAGGTCCCGGTCTTGCAGCACGTCACGAGAAGTTGCTCTGGGTAGTCCCCGATGTACATCGCGAAGATGGGATGTCCGCGTCGGGTGACACCGTCTCCGCTAACGATATCGATTCCATGCACACCGGCCTCTCTCAGCGGCGCGAGAACATGCCCCATACATGCATGAAACAGGTTGGCTAGTGTGCGCCGGCGGGCAGCCTTGTTCACGATATGTTTGAGGTTCGATGAGGGGAGATAGGCGAGGAGAATCTGACCCCGACGTGACGGTTTGCGGCGGACGTCCTTCGGGAGATTTCCGATTGTCATGTAGACGGGATAGGCGGTCTTCGACCCGAACGTGGTGAGCTGCGTCTTGTCCGAGGATATGATGATGGGCACTATTGTTGCGCCAGGAAGACGCTTCTCGAGTGCCTTCTATTGGAGACACCGGGCGTGAGCGCACTGTACCTCATACATGACTTATCGAGACTCACCTGAGTTTCCCACCACCATTTCCCTGTATGAACGTCGAAGTAGACCCGCACCGAGTGTTCCGCATCAGCATAGTGCCGTTCGGGGGTGAATACCAGGATGCCCGCAAACTCGGGGTCTCCGTAGAGCGCGCGGATGCATTGAATGACATCCCGATAGAAGATTTCGAAGACCTCGCCGGCGACGACTATCTCACGTCGTACAAATCTCGGACGTCCGGATGCGAGCTTCTGGTCGACAATGTTGTTCAGCTCCCGCGCGTTCTTGTAGGACAAGCCAAGACGTGTGACGAGCTGGTCAATCAGGATCATAAGTATGTGTATGTATGGAAATTCGGTAGGCTCACGTACCTCCTCGATTGCAAGCAGCTCTGAGACTGCCGTCGAGCCAGGGCCGCGCATCTTGGCCCATCGAGCGACTTCCCAGTCAATACGAGATGCAAACGGAGCGTAAGGATTCGCGTTCACCGCATCGATGCGTCCCTGAAACTGCTCGTATGCTGAGCGTTCGCGTCTGTGTTTGATGGGAGCACCTGCGTGGTCGCTGGGGAAGCGGACCGAGTGCGTCTTCGTCTGCAAGTGTTCATGGGCACGCGACTGAGCGGCCCGGTTGGGAGCACCGTGCCCTCCAGTATTCGCGTCTTGGCTGCTCTCTGGACTGGTCGTAGGCTCAGCAGGTGCGCGGGGGATGTTAGCAGGTGGCGGCGGTTCCCAGCCGGACTCAGCCTCGAGGTTTGCAGCATCGACCTCATCGTCGTCCTGGGCTTCTATATCCTCCTGACGGTGTTCTTCTTCATCCCCTGCGGACTCCTGTCGACCCGCGTTATGATCGTCGTTGTACTCGTCAAAGTCGTCGAATTCGTCTGCAGAGTAAGCCCCGAAGTGGTCGCCCTCGAAGGGCATGGCACGGTCTTCGGCCGGATGGATCTCCTCATCAGCACTATGGCTTGATGGGCTACCGGGTGGTGAAGATACTGAAGGCGGAGCAGGATCCTCAGAATCCTCGGGCTCTAGTCCAGCTACAGCTTCGCGGACTGCGATGCATGCTGGCCTAGACGTTTGCTTGAGATGCGAGTCATACCCGGAGAGCGTGAAGTGCTTTCCGCAGCCAGTGCAGCATTTCGGTTTGTTAGACACCCGAGAGTACATAGAGCTCGCAGCAAGAGATGTGAATCTGACAGAAATGGGTTCAAGAACAAAGATTACTGATTCCCTGGCGAGGGAGACAGGCAAAGGCAAAGTCACGATGCGTGGTGTGCCGTGACCGTAGATTGTGACGAAGACACTGTCGGGCGAAATCGTCAGGCCTCCCGGGAACCCCAACCCGAGCTCCCCAAAGTGCGGCAACGTACCACGCAACCGCCATCCTCTCCTCTTTCCCGTCCACCTCTCCTTCATATTCATCACTCTCTCAGCTCCTAAACCTCTCACCACACTCGTTCACTTACCCCCAAAATCACTCCTCGCCGTCAGCGTTTCAAACTGCTGTTTGTACTCGCATGGCGGCGCGGAAACATCGCATTCTGTCCGACGATGATGCGGAGTCTGATGGTGCTGGCACCGTGGATGCCCCTGTAGCCTCACACAGTCGTCGTATGTTCTCCTCCTATCATATATCTGCTTGAATGAGGTTAACATGGACTGTTCTATCGTAGCGTCCCGCCGGTCGAAGGAAGAGGCCAAACAGAGTACATTCCTCACCATCAGTACAGCATCTGGGCGTTGTTGCTGACCGCATTCTGGCAGAGTGGGAGTCGCTGGTTCCTGGGCAGGCCCGCAAGAAGAAACTGGGTGATCTGCAGCCGGAGCCGCCATCTGACGAGGACGACGATGACGACCGCAGTACGACACACCGGCCCAAGTCCCACAAGTGTAAGCCGCAGATGTACATGATGATATGTATGTTCAACACTCACCGTCTATGTACAGCAACTCCAGGGAAAGCGACTGCCGTCCACAAAGGCACCAGCACATCGCGTGCGAAGTCTACCAGACAGAGCACTCCGCGTGCACCGGTTATTGATCCCCACGCATCTGACGACGACGCCGACGAGCAGACACAAGCGGTGGGCTCGACCTCAATGACACAGGTGCGTCTGATCAGTGTTTGTAGTGTACACAGATGAGTCAACTATCACTCACAAGACCAAGCGTCCGCGTACAAGCGATGATAAGCGCGAGGCGCCCTCTCAGACCGAGAGAGGGCACAGTACCAAGTCGCACTCGCCCAGTCAAGAGCAGTCGGACTCAGAGGAGGGCGGCTCGTATAACAGTTCGTCATCAGAGTCAGACTCAGAGGGTGAGAAGTCGGACGAAGACGACGAACTCGAGGCAATGGAGAAGAACCCCCGAGCGCTTGAGAAGAAGTTCGCGGAAGAGGTAAGCCTCGCCGCAGCAGGCGCTCATTGTCTTCAGCGTTCCGAGTCAGCGCTCACTGTTCTATACGGCTCTCAGACTGCATACTGGGTTGAACAGGATGCATCTCTATCTCCCAGTCATCGCAAGTCCCGTTCCGCGGCACGGGAGGCTTCGTCTACGAGAAGTCGGTCCCTTAGCACGCACCTAGCGCCGCCAATCTCGCGATCTCCGAGTCCCACCTCTTCTAATGAAGTTGAGCATCCGAAGTCTCAGTACCGCAAGGCCCACGGAAACGATGCGGACCGTCCGACTACGAGCAAGAAACGTCCTGCGCGTGAGCATAGCGATGCCGAAGACGATACAACTTCACCGGTAAGTGAAGTATCAACCACACCATCGTGCTGACACCATTGGGATTGCTTGTGCAGCCTCCGAAGAAGATGCCGAAGCCGCATGGAGTGCATCGTGCTGATAAAGAGCGCGCTCAGAAGCATGGTAACAATTCTCGTTGTATTTGTTCTACTGCCTGCTCTAACATCGTCTCTAGGCACTTCCCAATCCCAGGCTGCGGCCGGCAAGAGCTCTGTGAAGCGCAAGGAGGCGCCCAATATGCAGCATCACGCTAGCAAGGACACTCGGAAGCGTGTGGCCGCGAAGCGCCAGGATGAGGTGAGCTCCGTCCGCATATGGCGTGCACAATCTCACACTGCGGCTCAGATCCCGAAGTTCGTGAAACCCAATGCCGTGAGTGATACCTCTACCAACTCGAAGCGTCGACCCGAAGTGAAAGAAAAGAAATCGGTTGCGCCATCCAAGTCTCACCCGAAGAAGCGCACGTCTCACGCGCTGGTATGCGTGTCTTTCTTCTCTAAGTATCATCAGCTGACTAGGAATCTGTAGGATTCCGACGAAGACTCATCTGTGGAAGACGCGTCGGGGACGGATTCCGATTCCGAGGACTCCGGGATCGAGATTGTGCTGCCGCAACGTGGTAAGCTGAAGCTCACAGATCAGCACCGTCGGGTCCGTCGGGTCGTCAAACACAGCATATACACGATGCTTGTCGACATCGGGCTCAAGAATGCGTTCCCAGATGGTCCACAGAAGCAGGGCAAGATTGTCCACCGCGCACTCACCAGTGCTGCGGGCGAGTATGGGTACGACGATATTCTCAAGCGCTTGAAGAAGCAAGATGAATACGCGTCTGCGTTATCCAAGATTGTATGTCATGATACCTTTCGAAGTGGTTTATGTTTACTACTTACCACTTCCTTGTAGCCCTCTCAGCGTATCCCAACCTTCCGCAGTAACGTCCGGAAGCTCGCCGAAGGCCAACCATGCACCGCGTTCGGCCTGATGTCCCGTGACAAGGACAAGGGCGACTGGCTTCAGGAAGGGTTCCGATACATATACCCCTTCGATTACGAGGTGCGTAGCGACTTGTCACGTCTCGTTTGACCTCATTGATCCGTTCACTGGGCAGAACAAGTCTATCACGGCCGGCAAACCGTACAGTCCCCCCGTCTTCCTCGAGATTCTCCGTGTTGCGTTCTTCAAGCGGCCGTCAAGTTTGGGCTTCAAGATCTGCAAGTACTTCGAGTCCTCGCTTCCCGACAAGCCTGACGAGAAGGAGCTACCCGCGTCCTTGCTCGCACTCGTCGCCACAGCAGTACGTTCAACTTGTATATCTTGCCGCTGCGATCTGCTAATATAGTAATAGCTTCATGCCGCCATTGAAGACTGCAAGCACGGCCATGTACAACCTCGCGACTTCACATCCAACGATTACTGGGGCGTCTATAAGGACCACATGCAAGAGCTCTCGACGATCCGTACGCGCGGACCGGTCCAATACCATGTCTTGATGCACGGGTTTTGGCGCCAGCTCAGGTAACGTTCGACGTGTACTTATGTTCTGCATTTGCTGAGTTTCGTTGACGTATTGTTGCTGTTCTATGCAGTTCGCCCATCGGCAACCCGGGTCAGGCCGGAGCTCCACGCAAGAGTTTCCTTGACGTCGCAGCTATGGACGTCGACTAGTTTGCAGTCCATTACGCTGACAGGCGGTGCGCACGATCTCATCCGCCTTGATACCCTCGCTCGATCATCTCGCTTCTAGTTCTCATCCTACTATACATTTCTGCACCTGTGTCTCTCTCTAATACCTACGCTTGTGCTGTACTGCGCGTCCTGTCTTTACTCCGTCATATCATGGACAATCCACACCTCTAATACATCAATTGGTCACTGCTCTATACTGCTGGAAATTGCGTGATCTTTGACTTGCTTCAGTGCTACATAAGTGATAGTTAGGACCATTAGTGCTACGTGAGGGCTCACATGGTCTAATATATCAGGGGGACCTATCTAATTAGAACTCGGGCACTAAGTGTACTAAATTATGCCTTACGAGCGCTGTTGGGTACCAATTTGCTCTCATTTGCCAGGGGGGTTTTTCCTGATGTTGATTCGGGGTCGGGTTCGAACAACGTCTCCTCCGGGGCGCGTCTGCCTGAAGGTCTCTTGGAGTCCATTCTCTCGACCCCTCCATAGCAGTCTTCTTCCGTTGGTGGGAGCAGGAATATGCGCATGTCGGGCGCATCGGGGAGCACATTGCGAATAGGTGGGGTGTGCGCGGGGGTCTCGGGATCGACAGCGTAGACTCGGAGGTAAACGGCATCATTCTGCACGACGTGAACGGCTAGACAGAGTTGATCCAGAAATGCGAAATGGATAGGATCACGATGGTTGCAAGCCTTCTAAGCGATCAGTCAGGTCTAACAGAACTCCTGCGGACGATACTCACCCATACGACCTGTGCGCTCTTCCAATTATACACATACAGGTGTATTGTGTCGTCGGCCCAAGTCCACGCTAAGAGATTGCCGCAGATTACAACCCTCATGTGTTGATCGCGCACAGTTGGCCAGTGGGCCGAAGTGGTGGTAGTGAGAATAGGCATGGCCGCGGCTGTTTCATGGGAAATGACAGCGTCGGAGAGAGAGATAATGTGACACTCGTATACACTGCGATTTGGAGACGCTGAGACGGTGCCGATGCTACGGAGTCGTAAGCGACGGACACATACCATGTCGTAGCGGTCTTTGCGCCACATAGAACAAGCAGATCTTGTGACAGGTCTGTTGCACAATATTCCGGGTCGAGCTGAATGTCATCGAGGTCGAGCGACCACATTTTTGAGCGGATGTGGCGCGTAGGTGAAGCAGGGAGGTGTAGCTTGAATTTCCGTCCGCAGATAATCGGGACAGCACAGCCGGAAAACCGGCAACACCGATACGGCTCCTGGTTGGCGATTATGTGCTTGGGATCCTGTATCGGGTTAGAATTGCGCCAGACCTGTTCATAGCTTTCTAGTCCGTCCAGTCTGTCTTTGACAGGCACCCTCGTTGCATGTCCGTCGACCATGCCTGACCGAGCCAGAGCGAGCTTATATCGCAAAGTGGGAAAATCGAGCAGAGTCTTGCAGTAGCGGGATACCTAGTGTTCGTCCAGCAAATTTGAAGAAGATACAATCAGCGAATGCAGTACTCACCTGGCTGCAAACCGCTACGTTTGAGGCGTCCATGTGCGAAAGGATCTTTACGAGCACCTCTTGTGGTAGCTCGAGGAGATTCATCTTCGATCCTGGATCGCTGGCAGAGGGAAAGAGTGAGTGATTTGACGGTTTGCAAGCCATATGGTATAGAAGCCGGCGCCAACCTTCAGATGTCACGAAGAGTCAGCTTGCGTCGGATGGTCAAGGGTGCGAAACGCGGCTACTGGTAGTATGACTCTGAATGGGCGGGACGTACACACACCGAGCGCTGAACGGCGCTCCGCGCAAAGTCGGAATGGACTAGTACTCTTGCGCGTAATGCTGTCGCGGTCTATTCACCATCGCGGATGTTGTAGTGGCCTATCTCAATCCGCGGTCAACTTGCAGGAGATTTCCAGTATGCCACGGACCTCTACACCTGTTTCGCGCGACAACCCATGAGGGGCGAGAGATGAGCGTAGCTTGGGGAAACCTGTGCTTCTGTCAACCTCGTCCGGCGATGGTATGGCTGCGCCCACGTGGATTGTACGTGAAGCGCCCGAGCTCGATTGAGTCTCTCTCTCGGTTGCCACCATCTCCGAGTCCTCGTTCGCAACACGAACCCTCTGCACCGTCAATCTTCGCGACTTTTCTATGCAACGATGCGACCATGCTCTGTCGCGCAAGCAGCTCCACCCGGCATATCCTTCTCCGGCAGACGCTGGCGGCCAGCTCGTGCGCGGAAAGAAGGGCGGCCGGTGTTTCAAAGAATGTTGCATGTTGCATGCGCATATGTACCTCAACGTTCAACCTCAACAGCCTGATGATTTTATTTGAACGAGTGCAAACCAGGAACACGGGCTTTGACGACAGTTTGTGCGTTGCCTATAGATGGGTTCGAAGGTTTAAATGCGCGCGACGCGCGTAGCAGATAAAACCGGTGGCTTTCATGGTCGAAGCAGCACTCGACGTACGGCATCCTCGCTCCCCTACTTCGCTCCTGCCGCTTGTCCTTTCCAGACACGGTAGCTCTGGATTTGCTGAACATGTCTTCAACTTCGTCCACGAGCCTTGCAGAAATCACTGCTGAAAACCAGTACGCGTAAGTCTTCAAGCTTTATGGGTTCCTAGGCTTTCAGTATCGATATTAATGGCTACATTCACGCAGGAGGACCGCAAACTGCATTACTGTGGCAATCACAAGTACATTTCTCCACGTAGTTCCTCAGGCCCGGTACTGACTTGCGGATACGACACAGCGTTGCTATTATATGATGTGCTTCTCTGTATAGGCGAGGAAGTGCATCACGTCTGGAGTCCTTCAAAGACTTCCCGCAAGGTCTCGCGGCAAGTTCTATATGTATACAACAGGTACATGTCCTTGCTACACGGTATCCTGGCCGCCACGGTACTTGGCCCTGTGTCGGACACTGTAAGTAATATTTATCAATATCTGGCTAACGCAACATTGATGAGATATGTATATTCGCTTCCAGAGGTACGCAGTTCTGTGTGCAGGGATATGCCTAGCACTCCTGACACCGTGTTCCTGAGCAGCTGTACTACAATCAGCTGGCTCGGCAACATCATTGACATACTAAACTTGATTGGTCCTGCCGGTAAGTGAATCAAGCAGACCTGCGCCTCTGAAAGGAAATCGCGCTCATGGCATCTTTACGCAAGCGTTCACGACCTTGCGAGCTCGTGCGCTCTCCGGGGGGAACAACATATTGACTGGTGCGGTGTTCACGCTGAGCATCATCCCGTTCCTCATCAATACGGTATGTCGCTTCATCACTATGTCAGGTATTACTCTTGCTCATTCGGTTTAACTACGCAGGTCACGTTATACCAGGTTGTCCCTGTAAATCTGCCCGCACCGTCAAACTGTACCGAAGCGATCATGGAGAGTACATGGCTGTATATTGGGTGAGTTGCTCTTGATTAAGCTTGGCATCTTACCGACGCTTACTACGGAGTATGGTAGATGTAAGTCACGCAAGATGGATAACCAACAAGCGACCATCGTTCATCTGACTATTTAAACAGTGGTTATTGCGTCGAGGACCAGTTTGATTCTTACAGATGTTATAGTTGCGATCGTAACGTGGCGGTGCGCCCATAACGCCACCCGGACGTCAACACATACCCTTCGGGGACCGTCTCTGATACAGGTCATGTGGGAGAACGGTGTGTACCACCATTCGTCCGTGCCTGTGTCGCTCGTGTGCTGATTGTTTGTGATCTGTCAACTACACAGGGAACATCTATTTCTGGTGAGACGTCTTCCCATTTGGGAACGGCACTGGAACTTAGGGCTGTTCTGCGTACAGCACATTAGTGTCCCTGAACACGGCGGATATCATCCTTGTCGTGCTAGCCGTACGCATTTAAAATTCGGTCCAGGTACACACCGACTAACCCAGGACTATTTTCTTATTTTGCAGATCACGACTCGGCCCAACGAGGCACTCGACGTCGTCGGCTTCATTGACCCGTAAGTCTGATTTCCAATTCAGCACGAAGTTAGCGCTACATGTGATGCTATATCCTCTGCCACAGTATCTGCTCGATATTGAACAGCCGATTCCTACTCGCCCTTTACGAGACGAATGCATCCCTCGAACGGGGCGGAGCGTCGGACCTATCATTCTCCCTCAATATCGACGGACTCGTGGACGGAGCGAAGTCGCCTGATCTCCCGGAATTTCTTCCTTCTCTTGCAGGCCCGGTCCATATCACACCCGATGACGAAGCGGACCTGCTAGACTCAGAGACGGGGCCGGGGATTGGATTCAAAGCGAGCACCGAAGTGGAGATAGGATGTGTTGTGGACTTGACTGGAGAGGTTGGACAGCAGGCGTGACAGTGTTTCCCTGTTCCTTTCTCACTACCTAGTACTATTTTGGTGTCGCATTTTTTGAACTCCACGAAGCTCACCCAGTGAGGACAGTGGCTGCTGGGCGGAGCATGCGGTCAGGTTATCCAGAGGATAGGATATATATACCTATATGTGCACGTGGATTCGACGTCTCTCTGTCTACAAAAAAGCTTGAATATTCGAGCGGACTACAGGCATCGTTCAGAACAGAATCAAGGTGTACAGGAACCGTCATACAAATCCGCGCAAATCGTTCCTGGGAACCTCGGGAAGTATTGCCCCTACTGTCACGTCTAGAAGTCCATCCGCAATAAACTCAACGAAGGAACTCTGCCCTTCTCCTTCGACATCACATGACACTCGTCTCCTCCCGGACTGCCAGTGATTCGCGCCGACGGCTCCCCTCGCAAAGACTCCAACTCTTATGTAGCGGTATCCCTCGCAAAGCGTACGGCGCTCAAGCCAAGGGTTGAGAGGCGATCTTTTCAAGTCTGGAACGAACGATGCAGAAGCGTTGTAGATGCCCGCCGCGCCCGCCGCATCTGGCCTCTCCAGTATTCTCCAAAATTCTGAACTATACGTTGTGGCCCATCGTTACTCCATTCGTTTTCCAGCTGCGGCTTCGAGCCTGGGTTGGTCGCCACGATAGCGCCCAGCGAGACAAGGCGCAATGTGAAGTGGCGTCCGAGCCGCCTGAGCCATTTGAGCCACTCACGAACCGGAAGGGTTATATCTGGTAGTAGTGGGAGAATGGCTGAATGAGCTACACCCGTACGCAGAGCAAGAGGAAGAAACGTGCTCACTGTACTATAGGGCGGGGAGCGCAACAGTTTCTACCTGCGCAGCCGGGGGCGGGCCTGAGAGTTCTCCGAGGTACTTTAGGTTTCGTTCATATTGCTCGAGGAGGGAGGTAGTCCAGTCACCGGATGGGTGGACTGAGGGTATAGCATCCCGACAAGCAGCCAGTGCAACCTCGAGGGAGGAAACGAAGCTACGCGGAATGATTGCGCTCAGTGACATATCCCATTGCGAGCGTATGGTGTCAGTCAGGCTACCTATCAAGTTGCCGAGAATGTAGAATTCTCCAGGGTAGGTGTGGATAAATGTTGCCGGACGGGAGAGTACGTCTCGAACGCAAGAGACCAGCCTGTCTCGGTCGGCGTCGGACATAGCAGTACTATGCTCCGTGGAGAGCACAACACAGCGAAGTAGCACATCTGCCGAAGTGATCAATGTATGACCCGCGTTGAAGAAGTTGATGGGGTCTTCCTCGAAAGCGTGAGCCTCCTGCAGTAGCTGCAATGTCATGGCAGAAACTTTATAGACGTGAGAATGTATGATGGCTTACACCAAAGATAAAACACTCACTGTGACGGAGCGTACTGCCGTCGACGAAAACACCCGAAAATGACTCCATCCAAGTAAGTAGTCTTGCCGTTTTCGGAATGTTATTGTCGCAGTACACGTCGGGTGCATGGAATGCGACACAGGCTACGGAAGAGACAATCCATTTTGCCCAATGGGAAGCGATGTCGAGAGGCTCTGGCACGTCGTAAGAAGCAAACTGCATGTTCAAGGGAAAGTAGGAGTTGATGCTCTGGAGCGTGTCGATCCAATTTTGGTCTCTCTGCTCTGGGTCCACGTCGCCGAGACTGATCAGGGTGTTCATCCATAAGACAAATGACTCGTGGCATATCTTGCTGTACGAACGTGCCAGTGGATACCTCCAGCTGTAGTGACCGAGGTGGACCTCATCCAGCATCCTGAATGTCTTGATAACTTCTCTAGGATGGAGCTCAGTAAGACAAACAGCCGCAGCGGATAGGGTGTTTTGGTCCATGCTGACATCGTACGCCATAACAAGCAGGTCGGCATCCAAGATGGGCGACTCCGGGGTGCGAGGCTCCATGAAAGATCGTTCGCGTCCGCGCCACGTGCGGAACTCGTGAGGTCCCTGTCCGGCACACTTGTGAAAAACATTTTGGAACGTCGACCGAGGGCCGAGCTCCCTCGGAAAGATAGTGCTCCATTACTTCGACCAAGCGCTGGATCCGAGGTTGCCGAATAGACCGTAGCGCGCATCGGCGAAAATGTATACGACACGATGGCGGATTTTATCGAGAGCAAACGTCTGGGGGGAGAGATATGCGCAGCCGAACTGACCAGAGGGAGGAGCATCGTGCCAACGGTAAAGCCAGCGAGTAGGAAAACGAGAGCTGAAGCCACTGCGGCAACGGTGTGGTGGAGCGTCCAAAGGAGGATGAGAAGGCCCGGGAGGAAGAGCGCGAGCGCAAGCTGGAGTAGGAGCGGGATGGCCATGACGATGTCCCCAACACGCCACTTGATGAGCTGATTGAGACGATATTGGCGCAGCCGCGCGGTCTCGCGAGAAGTGCTCGGCGATATTCCGCTGCAGTACTCGTTTAACCACTGTTTGACGAGGATGCCGATCGAGGCCGAAGAGAGGCTGAGGATGAGGCTCGAGAACCAGAGTGTGTTCAGCCACACCGCTGCGTGCGGGGCAGGGGGCGCAGGCGTGTCTTCCCGCCGGTATGCTGGCTGCGTGGAGTTACCGAGCTGGGCCGAGATTTGCTGCAGAGCGACAAGGACCGGATCTGGGGTTAATGCAGGCTGGAGGAGCTGGTATGACTGCACGTTGAACGCCGTCAAGATGGCAGAGAAAAGACTAGCCTACGCGATTTTTGTTAGATTAAAGAGGCGGATGGTAGGCGACGCGACCCACGTAGACCAGATAGGTGTCAATCTCGGTATTGAAACGTTTAATCATGTCATCACTGTAGGTCTTCACGATATCGGCGGTCTCTGACCATGCCTTCGCCTTTTCCTCTGTACTGAACATCGTCTTCCGTGACTCTAGGACGTCCTAATGTTGTAGATCGACGTCTGAGTCACAGTCAAGAGGTTTCAGAATAAATTTGACCTTGATTGTGGGCGGTGACCACGGTAAGGTAGGGATGTCCGTCTTTGCGGCAGTATTGGTCGGCTGCGTCACGGTTGGTTGACCCGCCTGTCGGTCAGTGAACAGCCCATTAGAGACGGAAAATAATACATAACACTCGTAAGACTCGTTGAGAGCACACCTGCAGAAGATTCTTGATCACCCTTCGTAGTAGGATCTACGATGGATGCGCCAGAGGGTGCTTGCGACGATAGCCCCGCGGGGGGCGCTGCCCCAAGCACCGGAACAAGCTCGATCGCGGCTTGAGACATGTTGATGTTTGGGATGTTCAGTTGCGCTCTACTCTGTGTAGCTGGACGGACGTTGCGGGAGATGTGTAAGGCCGCTGAGGGACTTGAGTGGAAACCTAGGATGACTAGAGGACGCTGTTATACTACTACTAGTAGCGCCTGTCGGTACAGCCTGGGGGCAGTTCGGCTGTCAGTCTGTATGTGAACTAGGTGTCGAAGAACCTCATGTATAGTTACGTTACATTCACCGCATTACCACCGCCTGAAGAATCTTAAGGTGGGTGAGACCCTACGCCAGTACACAATCATCACGCAACTGGGGCCTCTAGGGTCGGATCGAGACTCTCGATTGGATGTTTCCTGGCAGCTTTCGCTCTCGTTAGTAAGGGGACATGTGTCTTTAAATTGACATGGAGTGAAGTATTTTTTGGGGTCGTACATCCGCCGGAGAGACCGCGCCATAGCAGGATGGAAATATCTGGAGAAGCTTGAGGGAGCGACCTCGAGTAAGGGTTGCCCGGAAGCGCGCTATTGCCATCGGAGTGAGTCGGAGTCGTTGCGAAGCGCCCGGAAGCGTCCACCGCTGAACTCTAGCGTCTAAAACCGCGGCTTGACTTCGCTCGTCCATCGTCGTCCTGTTGTCGTATCATCTGTGCCTCTCGACCCTTCTCGGACGACTGGAAAATATTCTCATGGATGTACTTGTACTTATGAATTGCGCTACCGCATGAAGAGAGGTCGCCATGAGCACCAGCAAGACTTCGGAGCCGACCGACCCGCTGCTCCAGCTCTCAGGTATGTCTTCGCTATTCGATTTAAACATGAGCTTGACCGTCTTTGCTGATGAATTGTTCTAAGTTGTGAACGCCTGTGCAGAAGTTTCTCATCACAAAGGAGAGCATCAAAAATTTCGTAGGAATCACTTCGCCATAACAATACCAGGCATGTCTCGTCCCTTCTTTGCTAGGGGTCATCTACTACTTATGAGTAACTGTGAGTTTTCCTCGCGTTCAAAATGTACTTGCATTGCCAACTCTGTACCTTTGGAGATGGGCGATGGGCTTGCTTTGCTCGAGTAAGTCTCCGGATGTGAGGTGCGCTTGCCGGAGGTTTCGTCCCGTCATACTCTTGCTGCACTCGGTTCATCCGGCCAGGGTTTTCCGGGCTGACCTTCTACTTCGCCCCTTCCGACATATTTTGTCGCCGTCCATCTTGAGACTCAGGTAGCTCTGGTGGAATATCCCTGGTGGCACTGGTCGCGTCACCCGTACTTGCAGCGCTGATCAACTGGTCACGAGTAGGACCCTGTTTCAGAAGGCGCTCTTTGAGACTTCTTAACTCTCGATGCAGCCCGACGCGAGGCTTCGCGAGGACTGGCTCGCACCGCGTCCGCGAGGCTGTTTGTCAGGCCACAGCCTTGGAACCTTCGACATCCAGCGCGTACCGCCCGCTTAAAGGCTTCCGCTCCGCTCTCTACTCGTCCGGAACTACGTCGATGTCCCCTTCCGTATCGGAAAAATCATGCCCGCGAACAATCCACCAGATCCGCACGCATTCATCCTGGTGGCAGCTCTTCCCACCCCTCGTGCGGACTTCCGCAGTGGGAGTGCATCACGGCGAGTAGAAGGACGATTGACTTAAAGTTTCATCACCGGTGAGGTGCCGAAGCGCGTGGTGGGACAGGAAGCCGCGCAATCGCATTCCGAACACGTCTCAGGCAGACACGGAGCACTAATCATCCCGCAATCGGGCAAGACAGTAGGTTTGGATATCCGTACGCATGCAGTATGTCATGCCTTCGGGGTGCACACTCTTTGGAAGTTCGCCGTATCCGGAACGTCGTACCGGCGCCCCCACAACGTTGTACAGGTCATCCACTGCCACTGCGCACATAGCCACTTGACAACTCTTCCCCGCATCGCCTGCACATCGCGGTGTCCTGTCACAGCTAGCCCGCCTTGCCCATCCAGGAACATGCATACGCCCCCCTCGCCGCCCATGTCGTGAGTAATTTGATTGCATCCGTCCGTCGAAGCCACATTGGGCGTCTTTTGTGGTCGGCGACTGCTTCTACGCTGAGAAGGTCTGTCGCATTTACTCAACCCCGCACATTCGCCGGCAAGCTCTCACACTGGTCCACCGGCCGTGGTGGCTCCGCACAACTGGCTGCGGGTGTACGACGAGCTCGACGGATCGGTGCTGCTCCATTTTCATATGCCAGTCGGTGAGTAGTACCACCGTATAACGTAGGTTCTCGTGCTAGCTAATGTTACGTCGCTGACATCTATCTATCCAAAGAGGCTCTACAGCAGGCATCGCCCGACAACACCGTCCGGCCGAGAAGCGGCGTTCGCACGCGCAGGCTAAAGATTGGGCGAACTCAAATTCACGATCGCCCGCGGGGCCGTGCGAGATCGTCTTCTGCGTGTCTCAATAGCACGTCTCCGGACAGCTTTCCATTCAAGCCCGCCAGCCTAGGTCGACCACACAGACACATTCGGTGTCATGCTGCATGCAGACACGCGTTGTCAGTCGTATTGCACGCGGACCCGCGCACGCCTTATCTAGCCAGGCGCACCACAGGACACGGCAAGGGAGCCCCCGCCGCCGCCGACACCATGTCCAACTTCACCTCCGCCGACGGCACCGCGCTCCCGTCCGGGGTGACGACCTCGACCGACCTCAGCTCGTCGCTCTCGATCCTCCTCGTCGGCACGGTCGGCTCCTCGTTCCTCGTCCCCATCAGCGCGGTGCTGCTCTACTTCCAGACGCCGCGCGCCCACCGGAGCGCGAGCTTCCTCATGATCCTCTCCTCGCTCGTGCTCGGCCTCGGCGAAGGCGGGTTGAACATGTACAATCAGGTACGCCGGCGTTCCGCCCGCCCTAAGCGCTCCAGCTTATGCTGAACGTTGAATTCCCCCCTTTGCGCCGCGCAGATCAGCGCGATCCGCCACACCGCGGTGCCGAGCGCGGTGACCACGACGTACACGATGGTGCACCTGTTCCTCCCGCTGCTCACCGAGTCCGTGCTCGTGTTCCGCGTGACGGCGATACACCCGCCCAAACGCCTCTCGCGCTTCTGGCGCGCGGTTATCTACGTGCCGCTCATGCTATTCAAAATCCTACGGATCATCGTGCTCGTCGCAATTGCCATCTCGTGGGTCGAGAATTCGAAGGGGCTGCCCGCGCCCGTCCAAGGCGGGCTCGACGCGCTCACGGCGATCAACAAGCTGCCGTCGCAGCTGCGGTGGGCGCTGCAGGTCGCGGATACGCTGTGAGTAGCGTCCTTGAAGTGCGCGCGGGGATCGTGTGCTGACGAAGTGGTGTCTCCAGGTTCATGTCTATAATGTTCTTCCCGCACTCGGGGAGTAAGGCCAAGAAACACCCGAAGCACGCGAAAGGCGGCCGCGGCGCCCTCCCCGAGTCGCACCACACACAGGACACAGTACTCGAGGAAGAAGAGGAACCTCGTAAGTACACAGCCCTCCGCCCACCAGCCCACACATGCTAACACTACTATCTGCTATGCACAGTGCCGCTCTGGCCGCGTCTGAAGCTCCTCTTCTGGAAAGCGGTCGCGAGCTTCGTCTTCCCCGTGCTGCTCAACATGATCCAGTTCGTGCTCGTGCTCGTCCAGAACGGCGTCCTCCAGTTCCCCTCGCTCTTCGCCGTCAACAACCAGGCGGGCATCATCGGCATGGTCTTCGCGACCGTGATGACCCCCGCCTCCGCCGTCACCCGCCCGCCGACTCGTAAGGCTGCGACCGCGCACGCACGTGCGCCCACGCGGCCGGGGATCATGACCATGCTGTCGGACGTGTCGTCCAAGTTCGACAAGGAGGACGGGTCGATGGACTCCCCGGGCCTCCCCGAGCTGCGGTCGGACGACCGACAGGCCGCGCCTGCGAACTGGATGACGGGAGGTCACCCGCACGCCGTGAGGGACGACGAGCCTGAGGGCGACCTCACCACCGGTTTCGGCGGCCTCCTGGACATCACGGGGCGCGAGTCCCTCGACGGGAGCGGTGGCGACATGGGCAACCTCGGCGGCATGTTCGGGAGCGTCGCGGGTGCACTCGGTGGCGGCACGGACGGCGCGCTCGGCCACGTCGGACACAGCCTGGGGAACGTCGGGAGCCTGGGGAACGTCGGGCACAACCTTGGGCACGTCAGCGGCTGGCGCGACCTCGTGCACGGCATCGGCGGGGAGGTGCGGGAGAGGGTGCACGACATCGAGGAGGGCGTCATCCGCGAGGAGAGGCGGGCGGTCGCCGCGGTGAAGGGCAAGGCGCGGAGCGTCGTGGACGGCGTGAAGGACATGGTCCATGAAGTGCACGATGCGAAAGACCAGGCTCGCGATGCCGTGCGGGGAGCCAAGGATCAGGCTCGCGAGGCGGTGCGGGGGGCGAAGGACCATGTTCGCCAGGAGGTGAAGGATGTGGAAAAACAGGCGAAAGGCCAGGCGAGGGCTGCCGTCGACGGCTTGGAGAACCGGGCGAGGACCGCTGTGGACGATGTCCAGAACCGGGCGAGGACCGCTGTGGACGATGTCCAGAACCGGGCCATGTCTACCGTCAACGATGTGAAGCACCAGGCCAGCGCTGCCGTCGACGACGCGGAGGGCCAGGCCAGGACTGCGGCGAACGATGCGGAGCAGCAGGCGGGAGTCGCCATGAACGGCGTGGACAACAAGGCGCGGCAGGAGGTGCAAGGGGTTGAAGCGCGGGTAGCCGACGAAGAGATGCGAGTGCGCGACAGGGCGAGGGAGGAGATTGGGACGGTCGAAACCCGGGCGCGCGACGAGGAGAGGCGGATGGAAGACAAGGCGCAGTCCGCGGTTCGTGTGGAAGAAGCGCGAGTGCGCAATGAGATCGAGGAGGAAGAAAAAGTGGCCGAGGTTCGGGTGGAGGAGCCCCGGATCGGCGAAGAGATGGACGTGAGGGAGAGGTTCGATATGCTGTGAGCGGTTGTCTTGGGCTGTCGGTTGTTTGTGGTTCGCTCTTTCCGATCACGCACGGACTCTGTGGTATTGTATGTGCTATATAGCAGCTTCATGTATACCTACCTTTGTACTAATACGCTGTTGTTGACAACTTGGGCATCGATATTCACCAATCGCGAATACAGTCTTGTTACCATCGCTCAGCGAACATGTACAGGCAAACGATGAAGGACATCCTCAAGACATCAAAGCATATATCTGTTCACCCATTCATGTCGTGAGCACGCAACCCGCATATCGAAACGGGCGGTCTCAACGAACCTGTACAATGGCGAAGCGTCGCCCATATCAACGAATTCGCTGGTGTTCTTGTCCGTGATTCCCTCCCGCGCACACTGCGCTACTTTCCGGCGGTTCAGCCTAGCGAACTCGAGCATTGAGACGATGCAGATGACAACTCTGATCGGTTAACGATGCAAATCAGCACTGAGGTCAAGGGTGGAGGAGACGAGTGCGGAGCTGCCAGTACTTACACGACGCAAAGACACGCGATGTTAATCCCATGTCCGAGGTGATAACGCGGGCTGTCCTGAGGACGGTATATGAACGACGCGACGATACTGCGCGAATTTCGAACCTCCGTCAGCGCAACATTCCGACATTCTTCAACGAAAGTAGACGCACCCCGCCAGGTTACCCACGCCGATGACCATCGCGATCACGACCCCGCGCTTCATCTCACCACCTATATTTGCGCCTGTCCACGCAAGTGTGCACGGAACACATGGAAATATGCCGCACGTCGCGATGATCGTGCCTGCGTATCCCGCGCCTGGGGACGACGTCCCGTATAGGATTGCGTACCCAGCAAGCGCGAGGAGCGTGCCGGCCATTATGACGGGCCCGCGGACGCGGAAGCGGTCGGACAGTGCGCCTGCGAGGATGGTGGTGAGCAGCGCGCAGAGGTTTGGTGGGATTGTGAGTAGCTGAGCGTGCGAAGCCGAGAACCCAAGCCCGGAGATGATCGTCGGCAGGAAGAGCGCGGAGGAATAGCCGGGAATGAAGATGCTGCAGAGGGCGTTTCAAGTAATCAGAGGCTGAGAGAAGGAAGGGAGGAAATCATGGCGCGTACAAGAACAAGAGACTGATCATGAGGTAGGAGTGGGGATCGCGTAGCGCCTGTGCGAGAAATCGCCACTTGAGGTCCTTCGATAGACCTGTGTTGTCTGTCTTCAACGTGTGGACCAACCACGCGCGCTCGCGTTCTGTTAGGAATGGGGCTGTCTCCGGGTACTGGAAGGATGCGAGCATTAGTTCGGGGAGCTCGACACTGAGAACGCATGTATCGACGGACATCATACATGACGAAGTACGCGACGGCCGCGACTGTAACCGTCAACAAGCCTTCGAGCAGGAACTGATCACATCCAACAGTCAGGCGGGCTCATCAAGGGCGAGAAAAGTGACGCTCACGATCCATGCCCATCCAGCTAAACCTCCTATTCTGAGAGCATGGTGATTTCAGTCGCGGAGCTCGCGTCGAGACGCAGCGAGATCACTATTCACGCACCCGCCCATCTTCTCGATTGCAAACGCCAGCAATCCTCCGAACGCACCTGGAGTAATTGTTATTGAAGCATGTACAAATGAGATTGGAGCTCGCGGAAACACACCTGCCACGGATGACGCGCTCGAGAAGATAGCAAGCCTCTTTGCTTGCTCTACCTTCGGATACCACGTGCACAGATAAAACGTTACACCGGGGAAGAGACCTGCCTGTGGCACAAATTAGTGTTGGCACGATCAACATCAACATCAGACATACCTCTGTCACTCCAAGGAACACTCGTGCGCTGCTGGCAGGCAGGCGTCAATGGCGCACTGCAGTCCCGATATCATATGCGCTTGGTACGTACGTGACTAGGCCGGCGAAGTTCTTAACGAACGCCATGGACAACACGATACAACCCCAGAAGAACATGATGATCGGTACTGTGTGCAAGATACATGAACATCAAGCTTGAAAAAACAAGGCTTGAGATACTAGAGCCAATACGTACTCCACTTTGACGGAGACATGACCTTCAGCATGATGTTTCTGCCGACATTGAAGTCGTCTAGAGTTGATCGGAACTTTTCAAAGAAACCAAGCACGCACGAAGGGACTTCAAACAGACAATAGGTGACCTAGTGTGTGCACGAGATGAGGTCGTTGGCGAAGGGATGAGTGCGGAGAGGCTCACGAAGAATATAGCCGAAGCGAGGCTGTACTGCCATCCCGCCAAGTGTAGGTCGGCCGTGAGACCAGCCACCTTCGCGTTGCCTTTAGGTCAAGAGTGATGGTAATGCACCCAGTACGTGAGGTAGTATTCTTGATATCGATGATTTGACCCTCACCGATGTTTGTACGGTCCCTGAGGTAGATACAAAAGGGGTCAGTGCACATGCACTCATCATTATTAAGTAGGTTGACTTACAAGAAGCTCAGTACGAAGAGCAAACAGACGAACGGAAGCAGCCTAAAATCAAGCTTCCGAAGCACTTGCCTCTGGTTGACGTCGTCTGCAGTCTTCTTGATATCCGATACGGGAGAGAGGACGTCTTCTCCGGGAGGATGCTTCTCGTTGTCGTCAAAAGACATGGCTTCAAGCTCGAGTGCGACGAGAGACTGAAAGAGGCCGTGAAGTGGGAGATCGCTGACGTTCGGCAGGGGGGATGGTGCCGTCCGTGCTCGAGTATAAGTGTGGAGGATACCTGCGTGTCCTGCCTATTACACGTCGACTGTGGGTAAAGAGGAGCGTGCTCCGCGCTCAAACCGCATAAAGCAATCGCCTGCCAGGGTGATAAGCAGAGTAAGCCACTACCCGGAATCTTCGTTAGAATTGTGGCACGCCGTACTCGGTCCGCTGTCAAGGGATTACTTCCGCCCATCCTACTTCTGGAAAGAAAACCCCCTCGTCTAGACGCGACTCACCAAAATGGAGCCTCCCAAGCGCCTCAGTCTGAATATGGTTCTGTGCGTGACACTTTCTGAAGCTAGAGAGCACGAGGGGTCTTGCCAGCCTCCTCGTGGGTCGTAGCAGACATAGACCGGACCGTGACGCTCCGACGCCGTAATGGTCTCCTGGTGTATACCTACCTTTGTATCAAAGCGTTGTTATTGCCAAGTTAGGTTGCGTTTTGTTGGACGTTATCTTGTTACCATTGCTCAGCGAACACGTACAAGCGAGCAACTAGGGCTGCCCTCAAAAAATTAAATCATATATCTGACCATGACTCCAGGGCATGAGCACACAAACTGCGTATCGGAACGAGCGGTCTCGACGAACCTGTACAATGGCGATGAATCACCCATATCAACGAACTCGCTGGTGTTCTCGTCCGTGATTCCCTCCCGTGCGCACCGTTCTGCTTTCCGGCGGTTCAGCCTAGCAAACTCGAGCATTGAGATGATGCGAATAACGACCCTTTTCGAGTCGCGACGCAGGTCAGCAGTGAGCAGAGTAACGGGGCAAGAGAAACGAGTACAAAGTTGTTACTTACACGACGCAGAGACACGTGATGTTGATCCCGTGCCCGAGGTGGTACCACGGACTGTCTTGAGGACGGTAGATGAACGAAGACACGATACTGTGCATATGCCGAAGCTACGTGAGCGCAACGCTCAGACACCGCGGACTCGACGAAAGGAAGGCAGACGCACCCGGCCAAGTTTCCACACCCGATGACCATCGCGATCACGACCCCGCGCTTCATCTCGCCCCCAATGTTTGCACCCGTCCATGCCAGCGTGCATGGCGTGCACGGGAATATCGCGCTCGTCGCGATGATGGTGCCCGCGTACCCCGCGCCCGAGGACGACGTCCCATACAAGATCGCGTACCCAACGAGTGCGAGGAGCGTGCCGGCGAGTATGACAGGGCCGCGGACGCGGAAGCGATCGGAGAGCGCGCCTGCGAGGATGGTGGTGAGCACCGCGCAGAGGTTTGGCGGAATGGTGAGGAGCTGCGCGTGCGAGGCGGAGAAGCCGAGACCGGAGATGATCATGGGGAGGAAGAGGGCGGAAGAGTAGGCGGGGATGAATATGCTGTGCGGAATGCAACGATCAGAGGTTGGGCGATATAAATGAAGGAAGTTGGGACGCGTACAAGAACAGAAGGCTGATCATAAGATAAGAGTGGGGATCTCGCAGTGCTTGCACAAGGAAGGGCCACTTGAGATCCTTGGATAGGCCCGTGTTGTCGGTCTTCAGTGTGTGGACCAACCAAGCGCGCTCACGCTCCGTAAGGAACGTGGCTGTCTCAGGGTACTGGGGCAACGCGAACGTCAGTCTGTGGCGGACAGAAAAAGGAGGACACTGAACCAACGGACATCATACATGACGAAATACGCGAGTCCCGCGACCGTAATAGTCAGCAATCCTTCTAACAGAAACTGGCAAGGTCAGATAGTCAGTCGCTACGTTCATTTCTGTGATCAGAGCAGTACTCACAATCCATGACCATCCAGCCAATCCTCCTATTCTAACGGAGTAACGTCATATTAGTTGCGGAGTTCGCGCCGCTGGGGGAGCTAGATGACAGTGTACATACCCGCCCATCTTCTCGATTGCGAATGCCAGCAGACCTCCAAATGCACCTGGTGAGAATGCTTTAGCACATGTCCGTGTATGGCTAGCACATGCTAGCGCGGACCTGCCACAGAAGATGAGCTTGCGAAGATGGCAATTCTCTTCGCCTGTTCCGCCTTCGGATACCATGTGCACAGATAGAATGTCACCCCAGGAAAGAGACCCGCCTTTCACCAGAATCAGTTCCCAGTAAAGACGAGAGTGGCAATGGACATACCTCCGTCACTCCGAGGAACACTCGAGCACTGTGAGGGAGGCGTCAGAAACGCGCTGAGGCTGCAGTCCCAAGACGCTGGCATGTGTGGCACATACGTAACGAGTCCGCCGAAGTTCTTGACGAACGCCGTCGACAGCACAATGCAGCCCCAGAAGAACATGGTGGTCGGTACTGTGCGCGATGCATATCAGTGTCGAGTACGCGAAATCATGTTCAGCCAGAGACAAAACATACTCCATTTCGAGGGAGACATGACCTTAAGCATGATGTTTCTGTAAAGATATGCTGTCAAGATATGATCCCGACGTCTGATGAATACAAAATACGCACGAAGGGACTTCAAACAGACTGGACGTGGCCTAAAGTGTGTGCGAGGTCGTCGGCCAAGGTTGCAGGTGCTAGAGGACGAGGACACTCACAAAGAATATCGCCGAGGCGAGACTATACTGCCATCCCGCCAGATGTAGATCGGCCGTGAGACCAGCCACCTTCGCATTTCCTGAAAACGTAGGCGCGACAGCACCGTATGGTGTTAATGAACTTAGCCTCTGGATGCTGCTTTCGTGAACGAAGCCCTCACCGATGTTCGTGCGGTCCCTTGAACAAAAACACCTTATAAGCAAGGGCGCGTTTGCTATTATCGGATCTATTGACTTACAAAAAGCTCAGGACGAAGAGAAAACAGACGAACGGAAGCAGCCTGAGATCAAGCTTGCGGAGTACTTGGCTCGGGTTCACGCTTGAATCCGCCGTCTTCTCGACGTCTGAAGCGGACGAAAGGACTATCTCTGTATGAGGAAGCTTGTCGTGACTGTCGGAAGACATGGTTGCGAGCTTGAACCAAAGAGATTTGAAAAGACCACAAGCAGTTGAGGTCCTCTGGAGTTTGCGAGGGACCGCTCACATCATGTACGGCGGATATGTATATGAGCGGCACTCGCATGCTGAAAGATGGGTATCAGCTGTGGGAGCGGGGATCATGCCTCGTGCTCGAGCAGAACAAAGCGAAACGCTTACCGTGGCGATGTCGTCCCCAATTTCCGTTAAGAGTTACGTGCACTACGTCCGCTGTCAAAGAAATGTACTCACCCTCCTGCGTCTGTAGATAACAAGCCCCAGATATAGCCGCTTCTCCGGGATACGGCACCCCAAGTGTTCCGTTCTGAGCTTAAAGGGGATGAGAAGTGGAAGATCCCGAGCTCCTGTTATAAAGCACAATCGGTGACACCGTGGGGTGACTGAATGCGAGAACTGTGGAGAAGCCCGGGCGTACCTTCTTACGCTTTACCAATTGGTCAGAGATCTTGTCCTTTCTGCGTCGAACGAGCAGCTCGAGCAATATATTGGCGGTATCGATTCACCCCTATACATACTTTACAAGTCGCTGCAGTCGTGTAGCCGCCAAAACATGCCCTACTCGATCGCGAGAGAGCGGCGGGTCAGTTTGAACGCGCCTAATGCATCTGTCAGTCAAGATGAAGCTAAGGGCAATTCCCACGTACCTGTACAAGTGCGTACTGCAGCAAATACACCACTACGCTACGTCCACGCGCACGGGCCACTGAGGTACATCAACGGAGAAGGTCCTGGGCAAATCATTCCAGATTCCGTGGCGCCCCCTGACGAACTTCGGTTCGCGCTGCACGTTCCTCGAGCACTGCGCGCATATACCCACCCATTCCGACGATCTGAACCGGCCCAGCAGCTCTGCCCATGGACGCAGAAAGTCGCTACGATTCTCCCCGAATCGTCCATGAACCGAATCCCAGAACTCGAGCATCACCTTCCGGCATCTCATGGGCTGCAAGCACCCGCCGCTTTCCCCAACTACCTCGGCCAGTTCTCGGACAGACAGCGCTTCCTGGTCCTTTAGTCGCCGGTATCCGGAAAAACACCTTTTCAGGTCGTCGGTGGAGAGGGTGACCAGCGACCCGTCTTCGCGGTTGTACCCGTCGAGAATGTTCTCCCCGACGTTGACCGCGCATGCGAGAAGCGCCGAAGGTAGGATAGTGTATGTTTCGGTGAGGCGGGCAAGAGTGACGGCTTCGATGGCGTGGATGGGCTTCACTTTGAGCGGCTTCTGGTCCCGTTTCAGCCACTCGCTGTAATCCGAGTTATAGTAGTCGGTGAGATGGCTGAGCGCGTCTGTCAGGATCCCTTCCATTTGGTACTTGTGGGAGAGACGGACAAGGGCCGAGATGTACTCCATCGTGACGGGCGCATCTGTCGCTCGGATTGATCGCCTATGGAACGTTAGTCAGATGTGAAGCGGGCGAAGCTGAAAATCCTCTCACACAGCTGGCTTCGGGAACAAGACTCGCAGCAGATGCTTCAAGTCTGTGGGCGAGTCAGAGATCTCCAGGGTGGGGCATCCACTGAGGGAGGGCATGGTCGGAGGCTGTGGAAATTGGAGCATATCATGGAATACGACTGAGTTTGTCGCTAAAATGCCGTGATAGACCCGGGACGTCGTGTTTCCCGCAACAAGCACAATGGACCCGTCTGCGAACCAGAACTCGTCGTCCCTGGCATATTGAGACTTGCCAGGTGCAGATTCAGAGTCGCTGCGGGGTCGTTTCGCTGTCGGAGGGCTCGACATGCCGATGGTGCTGGTACAACTTGAACCTGTGGTTGCGCGCTTGAGCGCGGCGAAGGCGCCGATAAAAGTGGGGCTGTGCGATCGGAAACAGCCGACACGCCCAAATGTAGAAGGTCAGCAGGAACGATACCCGCCTGGCACCATCCGGTAGTGGCTCAGGCTCTCTTGCACCATGCCAGTGTGACGCGCTCGGTGTTGATAAATGGAAGCCTTGTGCGGGAGAGGAGCGCATGGACTAAATGGCGACAGGCAGCGCTCGCTGTCCTCGCCGCCTGCGCCACGCGAAGTTTACGGCTGCGTGACCGGTGCCGAGTCGCCCGAATCACGGATCAGTCACTGCGTACCTTTTTTCTTAATTTTCTCCGCCGCTGAGTTTGGACCCGACCATCCTGTCGATACTTAGCCAGTAATCAGCGAATCTTCGCAGAGACTAGGTAGGCAACAAAAAGCGTCTACAACATCGGAATACTTACTCACATCACAACTAGGAATTCAATTCTACATTGCTGTAAGCATCAAGTCAACACCTTGGTACCGAGATGTGAGTCCGGAGACGGTGTCGTGTGGACGAGTAGGATAACCTGACCTGACCTGAGTTATACCGTTCATGGCAGCTCGAACTCAGCACGGAGAGCAAGCTCTCCAATCTCGACCAGTCGCTCAATTTCTCAGCAGAAAGTGTCTCTCTCGACGACATTGACTGTCAAGACCGAAAACAGAATGACAGAACCCGAAGCCTTTCAGCGCGACGACGAGTTCTGGATAGAGGATGGAAATATTGTTCTTGTTGCCGGCGGCGTCGGATTCTGTGTCTACAGAGGCTTGCTCGCCGGACAGTCCGAAGTCTTCCGAGGGATGCTTGCTCTCCCCAATCCGGTCGAACGCGAGCAACACAATGAACTCCCCGTCGTGCGCCTGTCGGACTCGGAGGAAGACCTGAGGCACCTCTTGCGTGCCCTGATTCCGAGTCAAAAACCACTGTAAGTACTCCAAAAGCTCGCCTTGCGTCTGAATGGGGCACGACGCTCACCTCCATGCATTTGTGCAGTTTCTATCGCTACGTGCCCTCCCGAGATCCCATTCCCTCCGCGATGCTGTCCGCCGTCATACGCCTCGCGCACAAGTACGGCTTTACCGAGCTCGAAAGCCAGGGCCTCGCATGTCTGAAGACATTCTACACGCACGACTTTGACACCTGGCAAAGAGCGAAGCGGTTCGAGACGCCGCTACCCTTCAGGGTTCATGACTTCTCTCCCATCGAGGTCATCCACATTGCACGCCTTACGGACACTCCCACCCTCCTTCCTATCGCCTTCTACCAATGTGCCACTGAGGGGGACGTCATCGCGAAACTCGCGGAGGGGCACACCCGTGAAGATGGGACGTCGGTGAAGCTCGACGCGGACGACCTGCTCCGATGCCTCAAAGGCCAGCGTTACTTCGCTAACCGCGGCTTCTCGACGTTTTCCTATCTCTTCGATGCGATCCCTGACAAGCACTGCATAAAGCCGAAAGATTGCAAGGGGATTCTCCTAGACATACGCGCCGAAGCCGAAGACCACATGCGCGACTACGAGAGCATACTCTGCCCACTCGAACTATGGTGGCACTCTCCGTATCGGTTCTACGAGCCGCAAGACAGGTGGCCGGAGAACGAGCTCTGCAGTTGCTGCTTCTCCATGATGAAGAAACGGGACAGGGATGAACGGGAGGAAATCTGGGATGATTTGCCGGGCGTGTTTTCCCTTCCGGAGTGGTCTTAGTAGATCGATGCCTCGAGTCTCCCCAGTGCAAGCGATTACGGTATACTTCGATATCAAGTCTATATCTCGATTTCCGCTTGTGAGTATCATAACCACCTTTCTGTGCAAGGTCTCGTCATATATAGACAACTCCGAGACGTGGACCAGTGCGGACCGCGCGCTGCCCATCGCCGTGTTATGCCAACGCGGTCACCGTGACCGCGACCAGCTGCACGAACACCTCCCGCTTGGGTGACCGCATCTAGCAGGGCGGGTACGAGGATGTTACGGGGATGCGTACGCTAAGCAGGCGTCATCGAGCAGTCATCGTTCCCGTACGCCGAGCGCGTGCTCAACGGGCACGCGGAGTAGTGTGAGTGAGCAATAAGGTGATCCCGTGCGTGTTTGCGCCGAACGACAGGATTGTAGCCTACGACAACTCGGGGCGGTGCACTAGGACATTTGCGTCAGAAGCTGGCATGATCAGCGATATAGTCGTGAATATGTATAAGAGTGAGATGGTGTACACATGGAGAGTCTCGTTGGACGAAAACGCGCATAGAAGCTGTGCGATTCGCATCATGACCTGATCCACGCGCGAAGTAAAGGCGTACGAGCGGAGGCCGACAAATAGACTATGCACCCCATTTCGATAAGACCTCCACATGATATGAGTTAGACAAGCCCACCTGTCTAGCGATGTTATGACATAGTTTGCAAGCCCTCAATCTCTAGACCGACGGCTCCGGGCAGCTTGCGCCACACTTGTTGCCTCAGATCCAGATCGCGCGCATTGAGATAGCTCTTGCATTCCGGACACAGCTCCACGTGCATGCCGTAGCGATCCACATTCTTCGCCGTTGCAGCGTACGCTGCAATGTTCTTGAGCCAGCCATCGAGCGCACAGACCGACGAGACCTTGTGTGGAAGGTCCTGGAGCGCCGAGTGTTCTAGAACACGTTTCAGATACGCAGCGCACTCCGATTCTGGCCGATCACGGCCGTAGATGCACTTCTTCGACGGGGAAAAGAAGAGGAAGGCGACGCGCACGTTGTAGTACTGGAGCTTGTCGCGCGTCCGCATGTACAGCTCGAGGTCCTCTTCGGAGAGCTTCTGAAAACTGCCGTCGTTTAACGGGCGTCCGCGAAGAAGATCTGACATCTTGACGCTGCAGAGCTCGTAGAGGGCGGTAGGGAGGATGGAGGGGGTGTTCGTGAGGCGCGCTAGCGCGATGGCGCCTATCGCATCAATGGGCGCGGGCTTCCAGACCGACGCGTGCGCGTCGTCCACCCAGTCCTCGAAGCGCGACGTGTAGTATGTGGTCAGGTGTTTCATTGCTTGCGCTTGAAGTGTCGGGAGCTCGTACTTGTGGTCGAGGCGGATGACCGCAGACAGCACGTCAATGTCGATGCTGCTCCGATCGAGCCTGAACGACCATCAGCTTGCCGTTCTGTGAACAGTGTAATTACTCACTGGATGTTCGAGTTCATGGGGTAGATGAGTCGAAACAGCTGGCGTATGTCGTCCGGAGAGTCGTCGAGAGGGACGACTGGGCATCCGTCGAGCTGCTCTGCCGCGGCCTGTTCCCCTTGCGCCACGACAAACATGCCGCGGAATACGGCGGAATGCTCGGCGAGCAGACCTTTGTAGACCTTGAAGCCCACACTGCGTACCAACAGCACGATGTTCCCGTCTTGGAACCAATACGTCTCGTCCCGAACAAAGGGCTGCTGAGGCTGCGAGGATGGGCCGGTAACATTGTTGAGAGCTATGTCTGCCCGAGAGTCGTCGAGATCATCGAGCCTTGCGCGCTTTAGAGAAGGAGGTTGTTCTTCCATCTACGCAAGTGGGATAGTTCTGAGCGAGATGGAGTGGAGGAAGAGGAGTACAAGTTGGCAGTTTCAGCAGAGGCATGGAGGAGCGGCAACTTCCGATCCGCCCTCTCAATCGGCAGCTGCCGGGAGAGATCAGTGGCTGTGTTTGGGCGCTCAAAGGCAGCTGGCCCGGTCCGTCGGATGGAATTCTGAGTCTGCGTACCCGCTCAAACGTGTTCTTGTACCATCATCTACTCGCTATTGATATCAGACTGAGCTTTCTTGCACACGAACCCTGGTAGAATTTTCAGTTATTCACTTGCACAAGTGCTATGATGCGGACGAGCGCGAACAAGCCAGGTACAGGTGAGCTCAGTCGCGATGTGGTACTGGATGCACACTACATCATGATGCACCGTGGCCCAACCTCCTTTCGCTTTGAGCAGCGAAACGTATCATGGTTTGTTTCAAATCATTGGAAACTTGTCAATGCGTTCCGAGTGTCCATTTCTTTTCTCAGTGGAATGAGTATGATCGTACTGATTGCATTTCTCCCTTGTCAGAGCAACTGGCCCGCACTCTGCCACTAGTTCCGGCGGGTGCGGTCCCCGAAGATATACGCAGTCCTGGTTTCTCCAAGGACTCCGAGTTCTGGTTTGAGGACGGCACCATTGTGCTTGTCTCCCAGAACGTCGGCTTTCGTGTCTACAAGCAGGGACTCGCCGAACGCTCCCCACTTTTCTCTGATCTTCTCTCGATCCCTCAGCCCGGCCTCGCGCACTCTGAAGGAGCGAGCGACTGCCCCGTCGTCACTCTCACTGATTCCCCTGATCAACTGAGACACTTATTTCGGGCGTTGTTCTCGTCCGGCGGACATGTATTGTGAGCCGGGCTTCTGTTTCTGCGAGCACCCATTCCCTGCGCGCATGCTCAAATAACACACAGATCCGACAAGGAGGATGGGACTGTGACGATGGACGTCGTCGCCGCCATCGTTCGCCTCTCCCACAAGTACCAGATTGAGAGCCTCCTCGCAGAGGGGTTGTCGATCCTCACGGAGTACTATACAGACAACTTCAGACTTTGGATCAAGAAGCGACGCCCCACGCGTCTACGAGCGTCCGCTCGCGATGCCTTTACTGCCATCGATCTGGGCCATCTCACCGATACGCCCTCCATCCTTCCTCTGGCATACTTGTATGCCAGCGATGCTGGGTTTCTGGCGCCTAAAGATGGTTGCATTGACGTAAATCTGGCACGCGCCCTCCTGGACAGCGGCGAATATGCACGCCTCGCCAGCGGGAGGGCAGCGTTCATCCAAGCCAGCAGCGAGGCCCTCGCCCGGATCGTCGCCCCTGATGCTGATTGCTACGATCAAGAAGTCTGCGGACCCAACATCACCTGTCCAGCGGCCGGGCTGGACCGCCTACTGCGTCGACTCTACTCGGAGCCGTGCCAGCTTCACACGTGGGCCAATGAATTCAAATACTCCTCCGCCGATTCAGACGGTGTTTCGGACGATGGCTCGGACAAAGCCTCGGACGAGAATTCAGATCAACATTCGATCAAAGTCCTGAGCAACAATTGGGACAAAGATTGGGCTATATGTAAGGATTGTCGGGACATGGTCATCGAACGGGAGCTCTATGAACGCAAACGTCTTTGGGCGAAGTTGCCGGGCATGTTTTCAGTCCAGGTGGATGGCTGGTCTGCAAACTAGTCGTGAACCGGTAAGCATCGATCCACTCGCAGGACGATATCCACTCATTATCTCATTTCTCGCTGTAGCTTTCCGCGACCTCTCTTGTTTTTGCATAGCGTCCTCGGGTTTCAACACCCTCTCAGGTACAATGCAGTGCCTCCTTGTATGCCCTACTTCCCTGTACCGAAGGTGGGGAGATCTAATGTGCTTTCATTTTCTAGTCTATGCCGACGCTGTCGTTTCGGGACACAGACGTAAGAATGACACATCCGGAATACCACTTCTTTCTCCGCATACTCGCCACCCTTCCCCCAATAGTACTCTCTTCCGCATGACCACGCTGGCAATTCTATTCCTTTCCTACACTCTCAGCGCGCGCAATATATTGGTGTCATTGTACCTGTATATGAGTTGTTCGTGAGGTGCTCTTGCGAGCGCGAGCGCGAGTCCGACACGAAAAAAGGTGGCGGACACGCTACTGGCCCCCCGAGGTTTACCGTGTGCAGCAAAGCGTGATACGCGCGAGTTCATCTCATTGGTCCCCCTCACCACGGTGATCTTAGCATCCGCAGATAGGGTATGCCCCATGTTATCATGATCATTATGATCCTAACATATGCGCTAGAAAGTGCGGGGATGTGAGCAGTGCACAACGTTTGATTCATCGTGGTAAAAAGTCGGTATCCCTAGAACGCTACGTCTCATCTATGTCGCATACAGCGATTCTTCATCAGGCCGATTGAGAGAAGGCTGCAGCAAGAGTCTCTACTCACAAAACGTCACGACTTCCCCCAATCCTCGAGGTCGAGGCCAAGGTCCTGTGGCAGATTGCGCCACATAACGCGCCGCTCCTCGACTGCGCGCGCCCGCATCGCCGTCCCGCACTTCTTGCACACCCCGTACTCCTTCGTGAGCTCCTTCACGACCTCCGCAAACGGGTCGAGCGCAAAGTACGCCGCCTTCGGCTTCGAGAAGCCCTGCTTGATCTTCATCGAGAGCGCGGTGAGCGCGTCCGCGCACGCCGCGGGCGTCTTGCACCCGGTCGTGACGCGCCCGGTCGTGATCCACGCGAGCTTCGTGTACGTCCAGTGCGCGAAGAGCACGCGCGCGTCGAGGCAGCGCACGAGGTCCTCGCGGGACAGCGTGTCGAGCGTGCCGTCTGGGCGCGCGATCCCGGTGAGGAGCACGTCAGCGTGGTGGAAGCTCGCGAGGTAGATGGCGGCGGGGAGCATGGTGAGCGCGCCCGTGCGGCGGGCGAGGTTGATCGCGCGGATCGCGTCCGTGCTCGAAAGGACTTCGAGTGAGGGGCTGCGGACGACGGTGTAGCGCTGACCGTGCCCGGTAGTGACGTGATCGAGCGCGTCCCACTCTCTGAGGTTGTCGGTGAAGCACGATTTGAGGCGGACGAGCATCTGTTCCATGAGGTGGTCGATCTGGTACTTGTGCGCTAGTTCGTAGAGACCAGCTACGACAGAAAAAGACAACCTTCTATCGAGTTGAAAAAGCGAGGAGTCTCTACAGCGCGACGTTTCAGTGATGTTTCCTTCGGTATGAATTCAACTTGCGGAGTGCGTAACGTCGACGGCGATACCAATATAACCCTGCGCGGCCTGAGTGCATGCTACTAGCAGGGATCTGTTCAGGTTACTGGGTATGGGGAAGCGCATCACCCACAAAATAGACGCAGAATATGATATAACGTCGTACCCGGATATATCCTTCACACAAAGTATCATGCAAGTTCTGAGCTCACCTGGACGTGTCGTACAACGCTTTCAGCAGGTTGCTGAAGTCCGCGGAGGAATCCGGGACGGGGACGACGGGGCACCCATCAAGGTGATCATCGGCGGATGTCTGCGGCACGGAAAAGAGGCCGTTGAAGACTTCGGAGTGTCTAGCAAGCATACTCTTGTGGATCTTGTATGCCGTGTCCTGGGCGATGACGACAACACTTCCATCGTCGAACCAGTACTCCTGGTGGCGCACCACACCAGGGAATGCATCAGGTCGCGAAGCGTCCACTGCATTGGAGACCTAGAGGTATATCACTGAGATCAAGGGTTTACTGGCGTCCACAGATGTCACAGGGTACATACAGATAAACCCGCAAGAGAATTTGTCGTCGCATCCGTAGATTCGGCCATACCAGCCGAACAAATAGACTAGGAAGGAGTTGTGGCGTGCTTGCGACCCGGGGCACAATCAGGTTGCGTGGCGAGTTTCCAAGTTATCCAGAGGCACAGATGTTCCAGAGTCCGTTGACATAAGAGGATGTGAGCGGTATATACCGATATCCAGGAGGTCGGAGCGCAAGAACAGCCGACTCAGTGACGAGAAGGAGGAGGGGAGACAGGGAGACTGGCGAGAGGAATTCTGGGTGGCGTACTGGGTGACGTGACTGTATTCTGCCCAAAACTAGACGTCACGCTGTCACACATGCCACACACGCGCGTCCACGGGCCCACATCTCACCTTGTTCTCTCTCCCCCATCCCCACCACACGCGCTGTAGGGTCGCACGACGCCTGGAGAAGTCTTGAGGCTTGACCCATTGATCTAGAATGTCAATATACTTGGATTCACTGCGACCACTTCTCCCGGCCGACGTCCGAAGTCAGCTCGACCGTGCCCTGGTCCCCGACGTGAAGTCCATCGTGGACGCCATTTTGCGACTAGCTGTGGGCGCATCAGCGCCAGAGAATGACCTTCTACCGGGCTGGGAGGGGCTGCGGTCTCGCGCCGCCGAAATCATAAGCGAGCTCAAGCGTGGTGAGCCTGCTATATCTCACAAACGCGCGAGAGAAGACGAGCCTGCGTCGTCGGCGAAGAAACCCAGGCCGCATAGCGAGTCTCTCGAGAACGATCCTCCCGCCTTCACGCTCCACGCGCTGTCCGTTTCCGCGCCCATCCGCAAGAAAGTCAACATTTCCGTGCACCGGTCCTCCATCCGCCTCACAAATCCCTCCACACAAAAAGAAGAGCATGCGCCTATACCCCTCGACGCGCTTCAGCGCGTGTTCCTCCTCTCCACGCGCGGAAAGAGCAAACCCCACTGGACCGTCGTGCTCCTGGCTACAGATACCCCCACACCGACAGGCAAGGCCTTCGACGCTGCAAAAGAGAGCGCAGCCCCCCAGCTCGTGTTCGGACTCGATGCTACCCTCACCGCCCCCTTCACCACAACGACTTATGGAGCCGATGGGTCTCCTAAGACCGACACATACCCCAAGGGAAGCGCGACCCTGCCCGCCCTGCGCGCGTTCCTCGCCCACATACCCATCCAGACGCTCGAGCCGTCCACATCCGTATTCCGCGCCGCAATCACACAGTCGGGAGATGGCGTCGCCGGGGTGGAGGCGTACCGCGGCGCGAAGCAGGGCACACTGTGGTTCCTCGACGAGGGTGTCCTGTGGGACGGCAAGCCGTGCGAGTTCTTCGCGCTCGAGCACCTCGCGTCCGCGGGCAAGAACGAGCACGCGTATGAGGGCGTGCGCACACTCAGCGCGACGGGCCGCACGTGCTCGGTCATCCTGCGGCGGCGCGCAGGCCAAGGGGCGGCAACGAAACGCAAGGCGGGTGCGGAGGCGAGCGACGAGGAGGAGGGCGCGGAGGAGGGCGAGGATATCGACTTCGGGATGGTGGATGGGAAGGAGCAGGAGCCCATCGGACGCTGGGTGAAGGCGCACCGACATCGCTTTGGTCGTCCGGCGGACTCCGAGGGGGGCGCGGGACACCGTAACGGGGCGTCTCAGGTGGCGGCGGATCCGAAGGGCAAAGGGAAGGCGAAGGCGGAGGACCCGCGTGCGGAGGACACGGAGGACGAGGAAGACTCGGACTTTACCATGGGCACTTCAGACGACGAGAGTAGCGGGGACGAGTCGGAGTCCGGCAGCGACGCCAGTGCGGAAGGACAGCGCGAGGGCGGGGAGGGAGGAGATGACGACGAAGACGAAGAGGGGAACGCGAGCGACGACGTTACCGGAGACGAGGCGGAAGACGACGACGAAGTTGAGGAGCTGGACCCGAAGCATCATCCGCTCTTGCGTCCGGGCGCGATGCCGAAGATGTCGCGCGCGGCGGTCGATGCTGTCGTCGGGATGGTTGAGCAGGACTTGATGGGTGGTGGGCGGAAGGGATCCCAGGCGGACGATGAGAGCGACGAGGAAGATGAGCTTGACGACTAGTCGAGCCGCAAGTCGATGTCCTTCGACAACCGAATCTGTGTGTACAATGACGATATAATATGTATTATTGGTCGTGAAGCTACAGAACTTATTTGGTAGCAGAGGTTGTCACTATGAGGTCGCAAAGAAGATATCAGTACTAGTGTATGTATCATGAGTGAACACGATGTTACGTAGCAGCATTATAAGATGATGTATGGAGTACACAAGGTAGATGGAGTGTTTAGAAATGCGCTATCCCGTCTGGGTTTGCGTTTTAGCGCACGGTTACTTCAGTAGAAGTCGGTATACTGATGAGTCCAACCTACGCGATCATCACCGCTATAGCGGTGCCGACCATCCCTCCACAGTGAGGTTAAACATAGCGGGAAGCTCATTCCACAGCCTCTTGCGCTCTTCGAGCTCGCGCGCATCGACCATATCACGACAAGAGTCGCACAGCTTGCACCCCGTGTCTTCGTCCTCCTCATCGAACTCGCTCGCCCACACGTACACCATCGTACTCTTGTACATCTTATCCAGAATGTTGTCCAGCGCGCCCGCCATCGAAGCGAGTATCCTCATGCACCGCCGCCTTTCAGGGCAACCTACGCTCACGTCGTCCGGCGCAAACACGCGCGCGATTGCTTTGCTGCTCGCCTCGCACCACGCCGCGCGCCCGTTTAGGACGCGCTCGATGTCCGGGAACGCGAGCCGTTCGACAACGCGCCCGTCGCGCACGCACCCCCGCAGCATCCCCGTGCCCGCCCTGCTGGCCGCGAGACATGCGAGCGGGAGCAACGACGGGGTGTTCGTGAGTCGCGCGATGTTGATCGCGGTAATCGCGTCGACATCGCGGGCGGCGATAGGCAGCGTGCGGTCAGGCGTATTCCACGTCTCGAAATCGTCCGTGTACTGCTCCATGAGGAGCGCGAGGCCCTGCGCGAGGAGGTGGTCGATCTGGTACTTGTGGGAGAAGCGGACGATGGCGGCGACTGCGTCCATCGAGTATGGTTCTTCGCGTTTGGCAAACCTGTACGGAAGACGTCAGAATGTGCGAAGTCCAAGCGCCGAATGACGCACGTTAGGTGCCCGTTGGTCGGAAACAGCACCCGGAGGAGATGTCTGACCTGCTCCGGCGAGTCGCTGACGACCACGCACGGAGTGCCCTCGACTGTGGGGGCGTTCTCCGGCTGGGGTATCTGGAAGAGGTCACGGAAGAACGGGGAGTGCTCCAACAGCAATCTTTTGTAGACACGGAAGCCGGTGTTGAGCGACACGAGCACCACGCTGCCATCCTCGAACCAGAACTCGGGGTCGTGGACGATGGCCGGGGGAGGCGCGGGTTCTGAAACTTGGACACGACGATTCCAAGCGTGAAAGTTGGGGTCGCTTGTGGCTCGGCGTCGCTTGCGCGCCCTTCCGTCTAGGTTGTCAACAGGTGGGCGGCGGGCGGCGGTGTACGCCAGTGGCAATCCGAGTCCTGTGCGGCGGTACATTGGAAACTGTAAGTTCCTGTGGTCATAGCAGCCTCATCAGATGTTTGCATGCTTTACTAGGGAGCCTGTGCGTACCCGATTAATACACAGACAGCACCGTGCACGCGTGTTGGGATGGATGTGGAGAAGGAACAACCTGACCCACTGTGCTCCGAATCTGACGACTCGAGCGCTTATTATACGCCAGGCATCGCCACCGGGAAGGACCCGTTTCGGTAGGCATGGATCGTGAGTACTTCGCATGCTACGACACCATGACGGGTGTTTACGGATACAGAAGAGGAATGATATGATACACAAGGTTCTGGAGAGAAGTGACGTGGCAAGGGAATAAAGATACGGTGGATCCGGCGGGGCTTGCAGCTTGGGTCAAGCCCGGCGGGAGTGCGCGGGGCGGCGGGCAGGAAATACGCAACTAGAGAGAAATATGATGTTCGTGTCGTTCTTTGGGACGCATTGGGAGCCGAAGTGAGGGACATCATGATCCCCAAAGAAAGTGGTCGTAGGGTTTCCTGTAAATCACAGATCTAAGGTGGCTAATACGGAGGCTGCTATAGCGAGGTAGCCTACCTGAACTGTTGGCCACAACGATGTACACTTGAGCCCCGGAATGATGGTTTGAGCATCAAATGGATTGTCTGTGGGATAAAATCAGCTTAACGACGGCTGTGCTTGCAATAAGCGGGGAGCGTCTTACGAGGAGCAACGGCGTGCCAGTGGACCCCGAGACCACTATTCCGCCGACCAGTCGTCCAAGGACAATCCAAAGATGCCAGGAAGCGCTTCCCAGAATGTCTTGCGCTCTTCGAGCTCACGGGCGGCGACCATTGCTCTACAAGGTGGGCAAATCTCGGAGCCATCCTCGAACTCGGCGTCGTCGAACGCATCCGCCCAAGTCTGAATCTGCGTCGGGTGCACGTAGAGTTTCTCCAGAAGCTCGTCTAAGACGCAAGCCTTCGCCTTGAGCGCCTCGATACACTCGTCGTCAATCTGTTCGCATGAGTCCTCGACGTCGGGCTTGAAGATCCTTGCGAGAGCTTGGCTTCCAGCTTTGATGACAGCGAACTTGCCGTCGAGAATGCGGTAGTAGTCGCATTCCATGAGATGATTAGCGCAGACACTTTGGCGCATATATTCATCCAGCTCTTTTGTTTCGATCCGACCGGCGTGAAAATATGCGAGGGGGAGGACAGAAGACGTCCCGGTGAGGCGCGCGAGGCCGATGGCGCTGATGGAGTCCCCGAGATCGTTGACCATCAGGCACGTTTCCCTATCCGGATTAAGCCAGTCCTCGAACACTTCGGTGTAATATTCTGTCAGGATAGACAACGCCTGGGCCAGGAGTTGATCGATTTCGTACTTGTGAGAAAGTTGGATGACGGCGGCGAGAGCGTCCATGGAGACGCTGCGCTGATTTTTTCCGAAGCTAGGAACGTCGTGAGCGTGTGGCGAAAGCGATTTTCGATGAAATCATAAACTGACTTGATGTTGCCGTTGATAGGGAAGATGACGCGGAACAGATGCCTTAACTGCTCAGGAGATTCGTCTACGACAACGACGGGGCACCCCCATGAGGACTCTACCGCAGGCTGGTTGGGTTGCGGCAAGGAGAAGATGTCCCTAAAAATCGGGGAGTGTTCGGCCAGCAGCCGCTTGTAGACCCGAAAGCCGACATCGCCCAGGCGGGATACGATCACGATGCTGCCATCCTCGAACCAGAATTCCGCGTCCGGGAGAATAGCAAGACTGAGGCCTGACTGATCTAGTAGAGTCACTGTTTCCGTGTCGGCTTCCTGTTTGACATTGTGGGGACTTTGAACATCTTGACAAGCTCCTGCGCTGGCGATACTGATATCTGCCGCGGACGCCGCAGCTGACACCGACATGCCTACTGAGAGAAGAAAAATACAGTTAGACAATGCTAGATGCGCGATGTTCGTGTCGCAATCCAGGGAAGTGCTACTTCACCCACATTGGGGACTCGGAGTGGAAAGCCGGCACCCACAATAGGGACTGTGACAGAGTACAGTCCGAGTGCAGAACGGTGGAACACATACTCACCTTAAGGATTGGGCTTCAGCTTATGTCAAAAGTGGAAGCGTTTTGAGGTGGAATCGAGTGTAGTGAGTGAGATAGGTGAGTGTATGCGGGCGGATGTTAAGGAGATGGTGGTACGGAGTGAAGGGGTGGAGCACGCACCCCGAGTGCCCGACTTGCAGGCAAGGCTCCAGCACTGCCACATCAGGTCGCCCTCCTCGCACAGAGACGTTGACGCTTCGCAGGTAAGTGGAATCCGTCCCTCTTCGTCTCGGAGTTCATCATGTTTTGACGTCCGCGCGATCTTCGCGCACGAACGCCCCATGTTATGAGCAGGTGCGTTGAGCAGTGGGTGCAAGCGCAAGGCCTACGCCGGGGTATGCGCTGTCGCGCTCTTCATCGGAAAGGCGGTAATCGCAAAGGCCGCGAACAGACTTGTCTATCGCTAGACTCGTTCGCGAAGGGCGGAAGATATGCACCACACCCACGCCACATAGGACGCGCCGTCTTCGCACACGTAAAGGTCGTCAGGTACTTATTCGACCGTCACAACTCGGTCCAATGTCGTAAATGTGAGCGAGCAGGGGGGGGTGTTACGGACGACGGTAGGTTTTCCCGTGTTTGTTTTGCACGTTTCTGATCTAGATGTAGACGAGAACCACAACAGCTTGTGTTCATTCTTGGGCGTCGCAAAAGAAGAGCGGAGTTGCCGACGGGTACGCCGCCGTATTGTGAGACGCATAGATATGCAGAACCGAGATGAGGACAGCGGGCATACTGAGAGGCTAAAGAATGTGCAGAGTGACGGCGCGAACGTGGGATGCAGGGCCTACTAGTAGAAGACGCGCAGTGATTGTACACTGACAACGAGGGTATTTGAGAGGTACCATAGATGTATGGTTCGGATGTCTACCTCGCAAAACGAGGACGACATGAACTAGCAAACGTATTAGGTTGGACTATGAGGCTCGGTAGAGGGAAGGAGGGCACACGAGACGGCGCGTACCTGGAGGGTGTTGAAACCCGACGATGGGCGAAAATAGAGAGATCACGGGAAGCTGCAACGAGGGTTGAGTCAACAGGTAGACTTCGTCGCGCGGGTGCTTACGAGCTTAGGACTTGTTCGCCGACCAGCTGTCTACGTGGACCGAGAACATACCCGGCAATTTCTCCCAAAGACGTTTGCGCTCTTCAAGTTCCCGTTCGATGACCATCTCCCGACACTCCTTGCATACAGACCATCCCTCGTACGAATCATCCGAGACATCCTCCCAACCTGTCTCCGAATCGTTGTCGGAACCGTTGCCTGACGTTTCGTTTGGGACTTTGTCCGCAACATCGTCCCGAGCTTCATCTTGATCTTCGTCCGAAAATTCGTCAGAACCTTCATCGGAATTATCGTCCATAACGACGCGGGCTGACTCCTCGGGCGAATCTTTGAATTCGTCAGCCCACGAATGGATCTTGCACGGTTGCGAGAAGAGTCGTTCCAAGAGGTCGTCTAGGTGGGAGGCCGGAACGGTGATGTTGTTTCCGCAGATCTCATGGTCGTTGCAGTTATTGACAGGTCTAACAATCCGGACGAGGGCCTGGCTGCTGGCCTTCACGAAGGCCGCCCTTCCGCTGGCGATGCGTGCATAGTCACCCCTGTCCAGGAATGCACGCGCGAGCACTGCGTCGACGCGACCATCTCTCGGCGCCAGGAATCCAGCATCGCTGGCATAAAGGTATGCCAACGGAAGGATGGAGGGCGTATTGGTGAGATGGCCCAGATCGATGGCAGTGATGGCATCGAGAGCGGACGCTTGTAGACGCGTGGGGCGGTCCGTCTTTATCCAGTCTTTGAAGTTGGCGGTATAGAACTCGGTGAGGATTGACAGCCCTTCTGCGAGGAGGCTTTCAATCTGGTACTTGTGGGAGAGGCGAACGATGGCAGCTATGACGTCCATCGTTACAGTCCCATCTTGCATGTTGGATCTGTGTGATATCTGAGCATGCGCGCAGGGAATGGGTGCTCGCGGGAGCAGAGCAAATCGCGACTCACGTTACATGTCCGCCGGACGAGAACAGCGCCCGAAATAAATGTCTCAACTGATCTGGGGGATCAGTGAGAGAGACGACGGGGCAGTCGCTCGTTTCTTCAAAACCCGCGGGGGCGGGCTGAGGGATCGAGAGAAGATCAGAGAAAAGTGGCGAGCGTTCGGCCAGTTCTTGCTTGTAGACACGAAAGCCGACGTTCTGCGAGACAAGCACAATGGTGCCGTCCTCGACCCAGAACTCGGAGTCCTTGGTGATACTAGAACTGTGTATTTCTTCGGAGACCGCACGCGCCGGGACTGCTGGCGGAGTGCGGGCCAGTTGGTCTGTATATAGTGATCAGTACGATCATGTCCATTCCCCGTTAAGATTGTCTCAGACATGTAGAACGTGTCAAAATGCTTCCAATCCGTTGCTCAAAACGAAAGGAGGTAGGGTCGCGGTGGATGTAGCGTCCAGCCAGTGCCATCGGATCGCGACCTCACTTACCTGAAACTATCTTGCTCGTGCTCGTTGGCGCCATAGCACTTCGTCTAATGGATGACTGAAGATGTTGCGAGTGTTTGTGCGCAAGAAATTTCAGTCTGATATCGATGGCGAGCAGATGATGGTACAAGAACAGGTTTGAGCGTGGCGGTTTGCACGCGTGCGGCGTGCGGATTCAGAATTGAAGCGCCCGACGGAGCCAGTGGTCATTACGCGCCCAAACACAGCTCTCCCGGCAGTTGCCGACTTATAGGGAGGATCGGAATCTGCCGGCTTCTGCCGGTCCTCCGTGACTGAACTGCTAAGTACTCCACCTCTCTCTCCTCCACTCTGTCCCGCCCTCAGAACTATCACACCTTCTTAGATGGAAGAACAGCCGCAGTTGCTCAAGCGGGCGAGGCTCGATCCTGACGATTCTCGGGCAGACATCGCTTCCGACAATGGCATCGCCCCCGTCCGACCGCCGTCTCAGCTACAGCCTGAGTCCCAACAGTTCTTCACTCGGGATGAAAAGTACTGGTTTGAGGATGGGAACATCATACTCTCGGCGCGCAACGTCGGCTTCAAAGTGTACAAAGGCCTACTCGCCGAGCACTCCGCCGTATTCCGCGGGATGTTTGTTGTGGCACAAGGCGCGCACGCCGCGGGAGAGCAAGCTGACGGCTGCCCGGTAGTTCCTCTCGACGACTCTCCAGACGATCTGCGGGAGCTATTCCGGATCATATACCCCTTGACCTCCAACGTCAGGTGAGTTGATTGCAGTTTTTCTCTATAATGCACTCCCCTCACGCTCGTTCAGCCTAGATAGGGGCACCGTCGACATGGACATGCTCTCTGCGGTCATACGCCTCGATCACAAGTATGAACTCCCTGCGCTGCAGCCGAAAGCCGTGGGGTTTCTGACGACGTACTATACGTCACGCTTCAGGAGCTGGGCGAATGGTGCACATGCGCTCCAATGGAAGCCTCAGCCCCTCGACGCTATAAGCGCCATCGCCATTGCGCGCTTGACGCACACCGCATCGATCCTTCCCACCGCCTTCTACGAGCTTTGCACTTTGAAAGCATCCCAAGTGCTCCGAGGGCGTCCGCGCAAGGAAGGCAGTTTCGAGAAGCTTTCCGAGAACGACGTCGAGCTGTACCTGGGGCTGCGGGACACGTTCGCGTACTACAACATACACTCCGCGTTTCGCCTCTTCAGAACTCAGTCGAAGGATTGTATCTATGGATCAGACCCCGCATCGGCTTGCGCCATATATCTCAGGGGTGTTCTGGATCAATCGGGGCTCTCCAATCTTCCTCACTTGGTGTCGTCTCTTCGTGCACTTGACAGCTGGCTCAAAAACGTCGCCGAGTACAAGCCCCCGAAGGACAATCTTACTCCTCCTGGGCTGTGTCGCCATTGCAAGAGCAACATCGAGACGCGCGATATAGATCTACGGCACCAAATTTGGGGCCTCCTACCGGATGCTGTGGGCGTCACTATCGAAGGCTGGGATGCTGGTTCATAACGGCCTAATGACCGGTGAGTGCGTCCATATTACATAGCAGTAACACTCAATTAATGGGACGTGCAAAATTCGTTATAGGGCTTTCCTAACATGACGTTACATAGTGCTGTTGTTCTGCACGAGTGGATCATATTCCGCACCGGAGGACTCGCACTATCTTATAAAGTATCCCTACTCGCCTGCCATCTCAGCCCCGCGTTTTACATTGCTGCCACCAGGTACACACAAGTGACGAGTCCCTTCCGAATTTCTGAGAGACGGACAACGGGGCAGCCGTCGATGCTCTCGCCAGCGGAGGGGCTAGTAGACGACGTGCACACACCCTGGAAGAAGTCGGGTTGCGCCACGAGCAGGCCGCGTTATGCGAGACTCAGTACGCCGTAAGATGAGGATGGTGTTGCTATCATCGAGCCCCAGTTTTGTGTCCCGAGTCCCGACTCCCAAGTCCGAGTCGTGGAAAACGGTGCTGGCCGGAGATCGCGCTTGACTAACCAGCGACGTTGGGGGACGATCATCCGAGACCAGTGTAGCTCAGTCAGACCTTCAAGTACTCTCATACCAATTACACCAGTGAGAGGTGGCAAGAGACGTCACGAAAGAGCCGAAGTCAACGGCCTTAAAGGCAATTCTCTTCGTCGGCACTTTCCGCAAAAAGCACCAGATGCGATCTGGCCGAATCGGGCCCCCATACGAAACTTCGAGTGTCTTAAGCGCCTAAACACTGCTCTCGTCTTTCCTCGTACCTCCCGTGGACGGATAGCCCGTGGAGTGACATCCTCAGACTATGTAAGCAACATTTTAATAACGTTGCTCCACATCAATTGAGCTCGCATATACTCTGCTCACAGCCTCGCCTAGAACGGCGCATCTTCTGAATAGGACACGACCTTCAAACGACAAAAACCATGTCGAGAGCGAGCAGCGCGCGTTCAACGAAGCGGAAGCGCAAGGATGACGACACCACCTCCGATGGTCCTGCTGCCCCAATCGCAGGGCCGTCGACATCCTCCATCGCTGGCGTCCAGTTCGAGCGCGACGCTGAGTTCTGGCTCGACGACGGCAACCTCGTCCTCATCGCGCGCAACACAGGCTTCCGCATCTATCGTGGCCTCCTCGCGGCCCAGTCAGAGGTCTTCCGCGACATGTTCGCGTCGTCGAGCCCCAGTACCGGCGAGTGCCACGACGGCTGCCCCGTCGTCTACATGTCGGACTCGCCTGAGGATCTGCGGCGCCTGCTGCGCGTCATCCTCCCCACTACCCGCAGAATGTAAGGAGTCGTCGCGTATTCTCCATTTCCGTACAGAGACTGACAGGCACCCGGATTCAGGTTCTTCCCGGACGATGAAAATCAGGTGGACGTATCGTTCAACCAGGTCTCCGCCATCGTCCGCCTTGCGCACAAGTACAACATCGCGGACCTCGAGGGCCAGGCGTTTTCCGCGCTCAAGGCATACTACACCGACAGCTTCGACGAACACGAGAGCGCGGGGTTCCACAGCCAAGTCTCGTTCGACAACGTCCACGCGATCGGCGCTGTCAACTACGCCCGCCTTGCAAACAGACTGGAAATCCTGCCGTACGCGCTGTATGCGTGCTGCGGCCTGCGCGGGGACATCGTCTACGGCTGGGAGCGCGAGGATGGAACTGTCGAGCACCTTAGCCCGGAAGACCTGAAGCACTGCCTGGACGGCCGTGACGCGCTGGCGCGCGAGGCCATGCGGCTGCTCCCCAAGGTCTTCGTCAGCACGGCCTCGGACGCGTGCGAATTCCCCTTGGATTGCTGCGAGAGCTTTTCGGGTGTGATGCAAGAGGTGGCAATCGGCGACGATGCAGGTTCTTACGTTATACTTAGTAGTCGGGAGGGCGTCATCCAGGAGGCGACACATCGGTACTTTATTTGCGCGCTCTGCGAGAAGTTGGCCATCGAACGTGACAGAAAAGAGAGGGAGAATGTGTGGAAACGCCTGCCGCAGCTTTTCGGGCTGGAGATTGAAGGGTGGGGGAGTGAGGAGTGAAATTTGAAACTTGTTCGCATGCTTTTCGCGTATACTACTTCCTTCTCATATTGATGTATAATGTCACTCCGCGGCTATATTGCTCGTCTTCTTGATAGTCAGACAAGATGCACAAATCAGCATTGATCGCATGAGCTGCGAAGGAAGGACTTACACATTGGGAAAAACTAGACCCTTTATGACGCCGAGACGCTCGCACCCCAGTTCTCGACGGGAATGCCCAAGGCGGTGGGGAGGTAAGCCCAGGCCTCCCGTCGGAGCTCCATGTCTTTCTCCTCGACAATAGCCCTGCAAAACTGGCACAACCCGGATCCACCAACGGCCGCCTGCATCTGCGCCATGCCAGCGTCGCCGAGATCGAAGCCTGCAATGTTATCCAGCCAGGTGTCCAAGACGCGCGTGTCCGCCAAGGCGTGCGGAACCGCGCCGACGACCGCGGATCGCTCCATCACCGCGGTCAAGGTGCGCGCGCATACCCTAAACCGAGCAGGGGCTCCTGCGTAAGGGCATCGCGGGGAGGTGCTGCCGCAGAGGAGGGTCACGGCGAGCCTGGCGTTGAAGTGCGTGAGCGCGTCCCGCATCTGCAGGCACCGCTCCAGGTCCGCGTCGTCGAGTCTGTGCTGGACGCCGTACTTGCTTGTGTATCCGCGCACGAGGTCGTGGGGGCTGAGGGTGCAGCAGGTGTAGAACGCCGTGGGGAGGATCGACGGGATGTTGGTGAGTCGAGCGAGAGCGATCGCACCGATCGCATGGACTGGCTGGGGCTGCCAACCACTGGTGTTCCATTTGCTGGTCCACGTGTCGAAATCGGTAGTGTAGTAGGATGTGAGATAGCCGAGGGCCTCCTCGCACAGAGCGGTGAGCTCGTACTTGTGGTCCAAGCGAATGACTGCAGATAGGGTGTCGATGTCGACATCGCCTCTCTTAAGCCTGCGGATGTCAGTGAACGTGTTGCGAAGAGAATATTATGTTTCTATAGGCGTACTTTGGACTGGCTTTAAGAGGGAATATGAGGCGGAAGAGTTCGCGCAGGTCGTCGGGCGAGTCGTCCAGCTCCACAACAGGACAGCCGTTGACTTGCTCCGCCGCCGACTGAGCGCCTTGTGCGATGTCGAACATGCTGTGAAAGACGGCGGAGTGCTCCGCGAGAAGTCCGCGGTAAACCTTGAAGGAAACATGCGGAGTGACAAGGATGATGTTCCCGTCTTCGAACCAGAACTGCGGGTCTTGCGTGGAGGTATGGGCGGACGCGCCACTCGAGTCTCCATTGTCAGAGCCGACCGAGTTGTTTCGAGCGCGTTTCCGGGTATGAGTTTCCATGTAAAGAGATGTACAGACAAAGATGGGTGTATATTGGGTGTGGCACCGACTCGAGATGAGGGGGCAGAACAAGTCGCGCCTGCTGCGAGCCTGAGTATGCTTAAACGGGTTTCGATCGGAGCCGATCGGGGGATCGCTTCGGCAGGCACCGATGACTCCTGTTTGACAGATCGAATCGGCTTCAGGCACGCAGAGATTCACTCAAATCGTTGCTCGCACAATATTCACCGTGTCATTATACCACAGTTGTCATTCGTTATGCTCGTTTTTGCTCATCGCGCGAGGAGGAGAGGTTGGCATATATACAGTAAGCATCAGGAGTCTAGCACTATTACACCCCCGTCTGTGGACCTACAGCCTCGTCGTCAGACTCCTCGCCACCCAGTTCATTCCCCTGTACGTCAAATATCGTCGGCAACATATTCCAGATGCGTCTCCGCTCTTCCTTTTCCAAGGCGAGTAACCCCGCCATGCACCCCGAACACCTGATCCTGGAGACTCGGAAGTGCTCGACAACTGATGATCCCCAATCGTCCAAGACTCCATCCGGCCCTCCTCCGGTTTTGAAGGACGTAGACGTGAAGACAGTGCGAATGCCATCTTTGCAGCGGCTGCCTGAGCACTCGATGTTGATGCCCTTCTCCAGCAAATTGACGCGCATGTCATTAGCCTCCTTGGATAACGGAGTGCGGGCCTTCAGGCATCGTCGGAGGTCCGCCGAGTCCAGATGCTCAACCGTCCCATCTTCGCGCCTCCGTCCGTCGAGGATATCGCCCCCCATATCAAAGCACAACATGAAAGCGAAGGGGAGAATCTCCGGGGTATCTGTAAGGCGAGCAATGTTGATGGCCCCAATAGCATCTGCGACACTCCGGCCCTCCTCGTAAGGCGTCTCGCTCCACGCACCGAAGGCGTCGAAGTCGGAGGGGTACCAGGTCTTCAGCACATCGAGTGCCTGCTCCTTCACGTCGACAATGTTGTACTTGTGTGCCAGACGGATGACCGATGAGAGCCGGTCGAACGTCGTAACTGTGTCTTTGCGAGGCAGAGCGCCACAGTCGAACCTAGCAGCAGAAACACAGTGAGACTCGCAGAGATATTATGAAGAAAGCAAAAGCCTACATACGTTCGTTTAGTGACTGGCAGGAGAACACTAAAAAGGTGCCTCAAGTCCTCGGGCGAGTCCGTAAGGTGAACGACCGGGCAGCCGCCAAAGCTCTCTCCCGCAGACTTGGATGGGGTCGCGCAGGAGAATGTGTCCTGAAATATGGGGGACTGAGCAGCGAGGAGTCCGCGGTAAACGCGGAATCCGATGTCGCGGGCGACGAGGATGATGGTCCCGTCGTCGAGCCAAAACTCCTGATCGCGGACGAAGGGAGGTGCGGCGCCAGCGTCTGACTCGGAGTCCGTGTCTGAACATGCGGGAGCACGAGAACGACGGCAGGTGGGAGGAGCCTGGCCTGTTGCCTCGTCGGCAGCTTGGCGCTGTGGTGAATGGAGCGATGTGGTGGTAGGCATGGCTTAGGAGCGGCGCCAGGGGAGAGGTAGACTGCACGTTCAACGATAGGGTACCGTCCGTACTTATGTATGGGTGAGCTACCGCAGCGCTTCAGACTCACATTTTGCTACTGGGACGGCCATAAATGCTGCGGGATGTTGGTGTGAGAGAGGTACAAGAAGTAGGATAGGATCGTTAGGTTGAGCACCTTGATTGGGCGCCGGGCTAGTGCCTTCGACGCTGCGGCACACCGATACTACACAGAAGCACTCGTGTGGCAATCGCCAAGTCGCACCCCACCCTTCGACCTGTAGCCTTCGTAGCTGCGGGAAGGAAACATACACCTCCCTCCCCATGCTCCTGTGGCGCTGCAGCAGACACCCTTCGTAACCCTTGCAAAGAGCATGTTCGAACACCATCGGTTTGATGAGGCCCCGTCTAGATCCCAGAACGTTCGGATCGGTAGTGTCTGTGAGGGCCCCGGAATTTGACTAGATGAGCAGCTCTCTACATCTCTTGCGGCAGAAGGACGTATCCAGACCACCGTCTACAGGAGGTGGGTGAAAGACTTGGAAGAGAACCGATGCCGTGGCCTCGGGTGCAAGCGTGTCGCGGCCGTCTGTGCACCTCCTCAGATCCTCAGCCGCGAGGTGCTCAGTCCTGTTGTCTCCCCTCGCCCAACTGTCAAATTCTAAGCTTAGAAGTTCGCAGTACCTGTAGAACGTGAGTGGGAGGATCGTGGAAGGATCGGTCAACCGAATCAGGTTGACCGCGAGGAGGCGGGAGCAAAGCGCCCAAGCATGCTAAAGCGAGTTTCCGGCCCTATCCTGCTCACATTAGGAGGACAATTATAGAAAAGGTACACTAGTAAGCATGATATTGCGAGCAAAGGTATGGTACTGCTACTATGAACTTGCTGTCTGTGAATCGTCCGCGTCGTCACACTTTTCAACGCCCGGCCAGTTCCCAAGTTGTACGTCAAATATCTTCGGTAGTATATTCCACATGCGTCTCCGTTCTTCCCTGTCCAAGTCCACCAACGACACCTCGCATTTTGTACACTCGCTTTCGGAAAAGCGATCCTGGATTGCTGGTACCCAACTGCCGAAAAAACCATCTGGTTCACCCCCGGCTGGGAAGGATGTAGACGCGAAGAGGGCGCGAGTGACTGTTTTACAAGGGCTGTCTGGCTTTGAGCACACGATTTGCAAACTCTTTTGCAGCATATTGATGCGCATGTCATTGCCCTCCTTGAACAGCGAGTCGCGGGCGTTTAGGCACCGCCGGAGGTCCTCTGAGTCGAGATGCTCGATCGTGCCATCTTGATGTCGCCATCCGTCGAGAATATAGCCCCGGAATGTGACGCAAATGTAGAGGGCGAGCGGGAGAATGTCTGGGGTATTGGTGAGACGAGCGATGTTGACGGCCGCGATAGCGTGTACTTTCTTCAAACCCTCTGGAGGTGACGTTCTCCATGCGTCGAAGGCATCGAAATCGGAGGGGAACCAGATCTTCAGGACGTCGAGCGCCTGCCGCTGCACATCGGATATCTCGTACTTGTGCGCGAGACGGATGACGGATGAGACCTGGTCGAACGTCAAGCCTCCCGTATCGATGCAATCCTTAACGACGAAGAAGCTGAAGAAAGAAGCGTTAGGGGCTTAGACGAAGAACGTAGGGAGCGCAGTAGCATACGTTCGCTTTGTTACCGGAAGGATGACACGTAGAAGATACCTCAAGTCCTCGGGCGAGTCGGCAAGGTGGACGACTGGGCAGCCGTCAAAGCTCTCTCCCGCAGACTTGGACGGGCTCGCGCAAGAAAACGTGTCTCGAAAGATCGGGGACTGAGCAGCCAGGAGCCCGCGGTAGACGCGAAACCCGATGCCGCGCGCGATGAGGATGATGGTCCCGTCGTCAAGCCAGAACTCCTGGTCGCGGACAAACGGCGGCGCGCCTGGGTCTGAGTCCGTGTCTGACCAAGCGGGAGCGCGAGATATCGTGGGGGAATCGTTTCCTGCCTCGTTGGTGGGTCTGTCTTGGGTCGGTTGTGGCGGGGTTGTGCTGGACATCGCTGGAAAGTGGGGAGGCTCGGGTGGAATACACGTCCAAGCTGTGGGCGTAGGGTGGCGGACGACTTATAGCCCAGTGCCGAACGTGAGGCTGGTTCACGAGCCTAGCCCAGTGCGACCTACCGCAGCTGCATCCGATATGAATCACCTTCTCCGACACGTTCTGTGTTCGGGACTGCATCTAAACTTCGATCGGGCCGGAAGGGTGCAGACGTGCTCGGCATGCGCGGGGAACGTCACTGTTCAACCAATAGGATCAGAGATTGCTTTTACTTTCACATTAAAGCCTATGATATATCAAAGTACTCGTAACGGGCATGTTAGCACAACTGCACCCTCGTTTCGCGAGTCGCGAGGCAACTCAAGTAGTACCCCAGCCCTCGATCTGCAACCCAAACAGCTGCGGAAGTCGGCCCCATACCTCTCGCCTCACGGTCTTGTCGCGCTCCACCAGCAACTTCTCGCACTCCATGCAGAGGCCATGCTCAAGCACGCCCGCCTTGATGAAGCCACGCCAGGATCCCAGGACGTCTGGATCAGTGGCCCCCGGGTCAGCTCCTGCCTCGGCGAGGAGCTTCGGAGATCGTTTACGACAGGAAGACGGAGTGAGGCACCTGTCGGCCGGGATTGGGTAAAAGACTTGGAAGAGAATCGACGTCGCCTCCCGCGCAAGCGCGTCGCGGCCGTCTATGCACCTCCTCAGGTCCTCGGGCGAGAGGTGCTCAATCTTTCCGTCCTCCCCCATCCATCCGTCCAGCACTGAGCTCCGAAGCGCACAGCACCTATAGAGCGCGAGAGGCAGGATTGTGGGCGTGTCGGTCAGCCGAGCTAGGGCGATCGCCGCGATTGCGTCGACTTTCTCGACAGTGATTGGGCGAGCGTCGTACTCAAAAGTTTCAAATGTATGGCAGTAGCAGCTTTTGAGCACAGAAAGAGCCTGCCTCTCGAGGTCGGCGATGTTGTATTTGTGTGCGAGGCCGATCACGGCTGCTACTTGTTCGAAGGATATATAGGGGCCCTTCTCGTCTTGATAGAACCTACCCTTCCACTGAGCTCTCATTCACAAGCTCAAACATGTGAATGAACATTCAGACTTACCTCCTGGTGGATGTGGGAAGGATCACGTCGAGCAAGTACCGAACGTACTCTGGAGAGTCCGACAGCTGGACGACTGGACAGCCGTCAAAGGTATTGCCAACTGCAGAGTCCCCGGCTGAAAACATGTTTCGGAAGACCTCGGATTGGGCGGCAAGTAACCCTCGGTAGACTCGAAAGCCTACGTTCCTCGCGACGAGAACGAGGTTTCCGTCGTCGAGCCAGAATTTTCCGTCCCGCTCGAATGAAACGGGGGTTCCAGGTGTGTGCGAGGATGATTCTCCTGTGTTGTCTCGTGCCCGCTTAGACGGCCTATTCCCGTTCATGGCTCACCAGGAGGACAGAAACCTATAGAGCGTGCAAGTAGTCGAGAGGCGTGGAGAGGCCCAGAGCCGCGCTGCATTCGATGCGTGCGCAACTCACAGATTGCATCGAGAGGAGATCTCGGCAGACCCCGGAATAGACGCTCGCTGTACACGTTCCGGCTGCAGCCAAGCTGCAACTTGCGTGACTCGTCTCGCCTGCTTCCTTCTGTCGCGCCCACAAGTCGGCCTTGAGAGACTCTGGTGGGGTTGACATCAATTAATACTTCAGCAGAAAACCAAGGCAAGTGCACTGGGGACACATTCATAGGACCTGATGTTTTAATGACTTCATCGTCCTGTAGCTAACGTCTGAGACATGGCCCAAGCAGCTCTGTCGGAGTCCACCATGGCCAGTGGCACATCTCCGGAGGGCATTGCCGTTGCTACAGAGCCTTCGGGATACAGTATCACGACGTCGCTTCTCAGTACTATGGTGAAGGATCAAGACTTCTGGTACGAAGACGGTAATCTAGTGCTTGCGGCGGGAAATCGTCTCTTCCGTCTCTACAGAGGCCTCCTGGCATCTCGCTCTCCCGTATTTCATGCGATGGTGTGTTCATCGAGCCCTAAAGATGAGGAGTCATTTGATGGTTGCCCTGTGGTCCATCTCTCGGACACATCCTACGAGATACAACATTTCTTGCGTGCATTGATACCTCTGCCCTCGATCGTGCCGTACGTGCCTTCACATTATCTCGTCGAGCGACCCTGACAAGCTTCATAGTACCCCATCCGTACCATACAAAGTCGAAGCGACGTCTATAGAGGAGCTAATCGCCGTTGCGCGTCTGGCACACAAGTATGAAGTCGACGGGTTACTTCGCCAAGCTCTCGACTGCCTCCGGACCTACTACAGTCTTTGCTTCGGAGACTTCTGGGAAGCCGCCAAGCTCGCCAAACTCGGCGACAATCCGTGCTACCACGCCATCGGAGTCGTCAACCTTGCGCGGCTCACCGGTGCCCACTCTATGCTCCCTGTCGCGCTATTCGAGTGCTGCACGTTGGGAGGCGCGATCATCCGTGGATGGCAGCGTCAGGACGGTGTCGTCGAACGACTGAGCGAAGACGACCTTGAAAGGTGCATAGACGGCGCACGTTCTCTATCACGCGCGGTCGTACAGGCATCGTTCCATATAGACGACTTTACACCCGGACTTCAATGTCGGGGCCGCGACCACTGCAAAGGGGCGTTTCAAAGGACACGTCATGCTAGGCGCACGTGTGGAGACTTTGGCTGCGGTGACGCAGGTATTCTATCGTGGGCCCGGACTGGGACCGAATTCTGCTGGACCCAAGGGTGTTTGGGTGCAGGATGCTGTCTCGTGCTCGAAGGTCGCATCGCAGAAGAACGCAGGAAGATTTGGGAGCAGCTCCCTTCGATTTTTGGGATTCAGATTAATGGGTGGGACGACCCCGTCGCATAGCCTGCGTGGGTGGCCTCAATCATTGCATGTGGGTTTCTCAACTGACATACTTAGAAAAATTACCCATAGATGTAAACGATGACACGTTCCACTGTCGACTACGGTAGCCGGCCTGACGCGCAATCCCGATAGTCATTCTCCCACCATCTCGCCCTTACACATGTCCCCGTCACCGAGCGTTTCCAACACAAGCCACGTCGTGAGCCGCGCTTGGTCTTTGTGGGGATATCTCTCATGGGATGGCTTGCCGAACGTTGTCCCCACGCTGACCCAGTGCGTCAATGTAGACGAACTCGTTTGCGACGAGGAGTGCTGGACGGACGACGGAAGGATCGTACTCATCGCCACAAGCCGCGGCTTCAAAGTCTGCAAGGGAATTCTCGTTGCTCAATCACCAGTCTTCCGCGATATGTTTGCTTCATCGATTCCTGAGAACGAGGCGATCGAAAACTGCCGGGTGGTGCACGTCTCCGACTCTGCGGAGGACCTCCGTCACTTTTTGGGTGCTATTTTGTCTGTCTCTGAGCCTATGTACGTCCTAAAAACTAGCGGCTTGGCGCATTCACTTACAGGGAATTTGCTACCGCCAGTTGTACCGCGCCGAATGCGATCCCAAGATCCCTACCGCCGCCATTTTCGCAATCGCGCGCCTCGCACACAAGTATCAGGCAGACAAGTTACAGTGCCGGGCGCTTTCATGCATCCAGGAGTACTACACAACACGCTTCGACGCATGGGAGAGCAAAGGACTCCAGGGCAATGTACCATTCGAAAAGTCCTCCGTTCCAGTTTACGGGATCGGTGCCGTAAACGTGGCGCGCCTGACGGACACCCCCTCCATTCGACCCTTGGCGTTCTACGACTGCTGCCGGCTTGGCGGGAAAGTGCTCGAGGGGGTGGAGACACGGAGGCGGCTCGGTGGAGCGCTTGGACGATGAGGACCTGCGCCGATGTCTGGACGGTGCTCGTGAACTAACGCGACACGCAGCCAGAGCGACATTGGCGATGTTCACCAACCACCCCCGCTGTGGCGCGTCGTGCGCTGGTACCGCCGGCCATACCCTCCTTCACCTTGACGTCCTCCGTCAACCCGACTGCCTCACTTCCCCACTCCACGTCTGGTCGGGCAGCTTTGTGGATGTCGGCGCACATAGGGCGTGCTCCCTTTGCAAGACGGTTATCAAGGCAGAGCGCGAGAGGAACGGAAGAAGATCTGGCTGCTACTTCCGTCCTTCTTCAACCTGGAGGTCGCAGACTGGGCCGCATAGGATGTTTGGGCGATGGCTCTCGGGGTGCAGTGGACGCAACGGACGCGGCATATTTGAGTCGTTTTATGTAATAGCTTAAGCATGTCAATTATGTAGGCCACCTTTTATCAAGAATTTTGGATCCAGCATGCCGATGGCTGCAGTGTCTCCAAGAGCTGCGCCAGGACAGTTACGGTCCGTACCATCTGGGCAAAAGTCATCGAATTGAAGCCCACCCGGAGTCGGGACGCAATTCTCTCACTAGCGAAGTCGTGCACAAGGCGGAGTTCCATGAGCTCCGCTGATCACAGGCTGGCGCCCATATATGCGGGTTGTGAGGCTTGGGCGTGGCGGTCACAAGTACCTCGATCCCCTTCCTCAAGCCTCCTCACGTTTTGAACGCGTGCGCATCGATAGCACGGCACGCAGCTGACGGTAGTATTAGTACTGGCAGTTTGATCGCCACAATCCATCGCCTGCACCCACACAGACGACCATCCACCACCACCGTGTTTCAACATTCTACGCACAAGAGATCTGAATGGCTACATCATCAGGTAACGAAGCTGTTGTGGATGATCCAGTATGTCCCTTCTCCCACCCGCTTCACATTGGCTCGCTTCCTCTGACCGAGTTTCAGGCGCGACTTCGCGCAAACATCGATGATTTTATCCGCGACGAGAAATTCTGGTTGGACGATGGTACCATCATCCTAGTTGCCAGTGGAATTGGCTTCAGGGTGTACAAAGGCATCCTGGCCAGCCATTCGTCCGTCTTCCGCGATATGTTCACCGCCGGGAATGCAGATATTCTGGCCGATGCCACCTGCCCCGTTGTGCATCTCTCCGACTCTGCCGAGGACCTCCGCCCCTTTTTGCGAGCTATCCTCCCTTTGGAAGCCAGGTACGCACGAACGGTGGCCAACCAAAGCCACCCACAAAGCTTACACGCCTGCAGCTTCCACCTCCACGAGCGCTCCTCTGTCCAGGTCTCACGGGAGGAAGCGATCGGCGTTGCGCGTCTCGCGCACAAGTACCAAGCCGACGAGCTGCAAGCCCAGGCACTCACCTGCCTAAAGAGCTATTACGCCCCATCCCACTACTCCAGCTGGGCGAAGAAGGGCCTCCAGGAGGACATCCATTTCCTCCCGTCATTCCGGCCTGACTACGCCATCGGCGTCGTCGCCCTCGCGCGCTTGACCGACACCCTAGAGATGCTCCCACTCGCGTTCTACGACTGCGCGCGGCTCGGGGACAACGTACGCGAGGGCTGGAAACGCAAAGACGGTACCGTCGAGACGCTCAGCGACGCCGATCTGCAGCGGTGCTTCGATGGTGCCGCTGCGATGAGGCGTCGGGCGGCGGCGGCTGCCGCGAAGGTCTTCGCGCCGACGCCGCGGTGCGACGAGGGCTGCACTTCCCAGGGGCGGATACACGATATGTACGACAGGGTCACCGAATACGGACTGCTGGACGAGCCCCTCGAGCCGTGGGCGAGCACCATCGAGAGTGCTGCGCAGGGCGTGTGCGAGACGTGCATGGAACAGTTGCTGGACAGGGCAGACATGCACCGGCGCGAGCTCTGGTGGGAGCTGCCGTCCTTTTTTGGCCTGGAGAAATGAGGGGAATGATGGGATTCGGAGTTGGTGCGAAGGGAACGAGCGAGAAGCCGAAACATAGGTTCTAGCACGTAGGTGGCGGATCGGTTACATTAGCGGCAGCCGGGTCGTATGGTAGATCTGTTTGTACACAATCCAAATGTCCTGTGCATCACTGTCGTGAAGAATCCAATATCGTTACAGGAGCCAAAGCGCATTTTCCTCAGAGAGACTCGTGCTTGGTGTCCGTTCGCTCGAATGATCCCGCCAAGGATCGCTCTGCGCTCGTGCCGCGTACAGTGTCTGACAACCTCGGCGACTCGTTAACGCTGTACCCCTCGCATCCATCGTCCGAACCTTTCTCGATGACGAGGACGCGCGCGCCCGGGTTCTGCGCCTCGCCGCCCCCGTATGCAGCCAGGGGTGGGAGGTGTATCGCGGGCGCCTGGAAGCAGTTCGACACGCGCGCGCCCTCCGCCGTGATCGGGAGGAGCGCCGCGCTGCGCCCGCGCTCGTGCCACAGTGGGCGCGAGTCGGCGGCGCTGGGCGCGTCGCTAGCAGATGATCGGCGCGCGAGGCGGAGGACGACGAGCGAGAATATCAAACCCTGTGCGGGGTTCGAGCGATGAGGCGGTGAGACGGGACGGTAAGCAAAGGATGGCACGTACGATGAAGGGCGGGAACATCGTGAGGCACGTAGCATAGGCGGAGTCGGGGCTCACGCTAACGGTGACCAGGAGGGTGATAGACGCTACGGAGTACACCGCGGCGGACTGAACGATGGCTGTGATGACTCTGCGGTACAGCGTGAAACGCGCCACTTGCACTGTGTTAGCGCCCCCAGACAGGACACGCCACATGATGAGAGCTGTTTGAGACTCGTGTGGTTAGTGGACAGCCATATCCGAAGGGTGCCGTGCGACATGCCTGTGGACAGGGAGTTCGTGAGAAAGGAGGCGCATGGGAAGAGGATCATCATGGTGAGGTTGTCGCCTTTCGGGGTCGTGCTGATGTAGCCGGAAACTGGAGTGGGGGTGGTCAGCGCACGATGACTGTAGTACGTCCGTGTCTCACTCACTAGCATCAAGGATAAGAAGGATTAGGGGGAGTGCGATGATCTTCCATTGTCGCTCCCATATTACGAAGGCACGGTAAATCTGGCAGGCGTGTCTAAAGTCAGAAACGATGGAGGGATTTCTGAATGACATGCCCACCATAAACGTATCGCAAATCAACGTTTGCGTGACATAAATACAGAAGCGGGCTGCGCCCAGATGGCTCGTCATGTTGGACGCCTTGTACAGCCCATCCGTGACCCTCTCGAGGGTGCCGTACTGCGTAACGACGATGCTCAGCACAACATGCTGGTGGGTATAGATGTGAGCGTCGGGTACACGGTCGATTCGAGATGTGGTTGCTTACCGAGAGTGCAAGAGCGAACATCGTCGCGTTGACACCTAGGATTACGAGGTCGCGCCTTGACGGCCGGCCCATGTAGCTCATATGGAGAAGCGACCAAGCCCCCATGAAGAACGTCACGGCGTAGGCGCCAAAGAGCATGCACTCTAGGAATACCGACGCAGTGTAGGAAGGCAGTAGGTCGGCCAAGCTCTCGAGCTACGCAAGGATGTCAGGAATTCAATAGACAATCGTCAATATTACACGACGCACCGGGCTGGCACCCATCGGGGCCATATCCATCGCGGCGGCGTTCTTAGGGCTTCGTCGAAAGCGCAGCGGATGACCAGAAAAAAATGGACACACAACGGGGAACCAGCTGGTAGGGTGGTGGGGAAGGGCTTCGTTCAAATATCGAGGCCAGGAACGTCTATGGTCGGGTTCCCACACCGGGCCCGCCTCGGGTTTGACAGTTTAGCGAGGGGCTGTAGAACTTCAGCACCCCTGACCACAGATCAAACCCAAGACCATGAGATCCCTCATCCGCAGGAGAGATGCGGGTAGCATCTATGGGAGCAGACCTGTGCTACGCCCGTGTTGGGCGCGCGGGATGGCTTCCTCAATCATTGCGCCGAAGGAGAAGACGCTAGTGGCGCCTGCCTAACAAATTCCTGCGACGAGCGCTGTGAATCATGGTATGAATGCAGCTGCAACTTGCGTCAGCCGTGATCCTTGCACCCACATTAGCCTATGCCGGCGTGACGCTGAACATACGTACTCACCGGTGCCGGGACAGATGCTTGGTCGCGACCCTGCTCACGTTGCATGCGGACGTACGGTCCTTGCTTCGGTGACAATATATATCGCCGCCGCAGAGGCGAGAGGGCCAGACCTACTGCTGCCGTCGAGGTAAAGCAGCACTCAAGGCACGGAATATGATCTAAATGAGCGGACTCACTCTGACACTCACCGCTACACACGCGATGTCGCTTGGCGAATAGAAGAAGGCGATACGCTATCGCCCTGGCCGTGCCCGTTTTTGCCTCGTAAAGTCTTCGGCGTGGCTTCTCAATGCACCAGGCCCGTAATCCAGCACCGAGTGATCCCAGAAATCGTGAATATTTGACTGTTGCATGATCTTGTAAAGCATCCCCAGAGAGGCGCTATAATCACGTAGCATACATGATGGAAAGCGGAGGCATGGCACCCACTCTAGGTGAACGTGCCGGGTAGATGTGTTTCCACCTAGGCCACAAATTTGAAAGCGTCAGCAAACGCAACGCTCAACGACGATCCTACAGCTCGCACAATCATGTACAATGTTCTACACGCGCACGCATGGCAAGTACTGCCATGTATATCACTGCTTAATCCACCTATGTTCTCCAGTGGGACTATTGCACCTCTACGAACCGACACCGATGCCCATCGATAGCATGTAAACTGGTCCAAAGAACTCACAGGGAAATGTAGTTGTTTTAAACGCAAGTACACCACTCGTTCGCCAGTCCCCCACCGATCCGACCTGTGTTTCTTCGTTCCTTTATCGACAGAGCTAGCTAGCAGACAAGACTGACGCCATAGCACCTTCAACACGCATAGGACTCTTAGTATCCAAGATTTTCCCAGTTTTTTTGTCGTTAAAGACCTCCAAGATGAAGATAGTAGCAGTACACTGTACAGATATAAGAACACGGAGGGCGGAGAGTGAGTACGTTGTCGAGCAACGGTAGCGCCACGACGGCTACACGGGCGCTTCTTCTGGCGGGCGCCGATAGTTGAGCGCCTAACAAGCGTCCGGATCCTTCTTGACCGCAACCACCATGTATCCCGGCATGCAGCGTACCCAGCTGCTCCTACTCCCTTCTGACGGTGTAGCTTGCGTTTAGTCTGGGAATATTCTCTGACGAAATACCGGAGCCCAGCAAACAACGTTTGAGACATGGCTATGTTCAGTGAGTGCACTCCGAGCGACGAGTACAGAGGTGTCACTGACGCTTGCGTGACATCTAGCGCTGGTTTTTGCATGGAGTCTCAAAACCCTACATGCTGTAGATACTGGCGAGATACGCTTCCAAAGATATCATCCAATCCGAACAGTTTTCTAGCGCAGCGAAGGTTATAGCACCCTCATCCCCTTCCAGGCCGAGGACAACGTTTTCCCGCAATTCGGACCATCTGAAGGCGGTCTATCTGCTCAACGTCCCACCGAACAGGGCTGGGAGTTACGTTCTCAATATCGCACTAGTCCCACGGTGCTTGGAGCGGAACTCCGCGAGGTCTTGTGAGGCTCTATCTACGGTTTCCGCAGATACGTACTCCCTTCCTTATCGGACAGGCATTGCGTGAGGGGTGCTTCTCCAACTTGACCCCATGATAAGAGAAATGGATATCTTGTGGAGAGGACGTCTTTGGCGCTCCCTCTCGTTCTTGCCCAAACAGCGATGTCGCAAGCAGCTGAGACGGAGTTCAAGCCTTTGCTCAGTACGTGCAGAGCGATTTGTCTTCTCTTTCGTAGTCATCTGACACTAGCGCAGGTGAAAGCGTCGGATATGGTGTCGTCGTCGGTCAGTCCGATAACACTTTCAATTTCGCTTCATCATGCATGTGGTTCTGACATCCTATAGGCGTGGGCTTCTTCTTCGCGGCCTTGATGCTGTGTCTTACAGCGCTCCAAGCGAAATTCTTCAAGTTCTCACCCTCGTCGTCCGAAGAGTTTTCGGTCAGTCAAGGCGCATTTTAGTATCTAATCTCGATGCTCACGTCCTCCTGATCATCTCGAACTGCTCAGAGCGCGTCCAGAAGTGTGAAGGTACCGTCTATGCATCTATATCTATGCTATATCGATCTTTGTCTTACGCATCCATGTAGCCGGGTTTGGTCTGTTGTGGGATGTAAGACACTTCGCTCGGAGGCTGTGTCGCTCACTAACCACCAGTACGGTTTAGAGTCAGCGCATGGACGTGGAGCGCGACGCTCCTGCAGTCGAGCACGGCGGCCTATACCTTCGGTAGGTTCGCTTCGATCTCGTCAACATCAGCAGAACTAACCCAACATGCGAGTAGGCGTCAGTGGACCTTGGTGAGTCCGCTGCAGCTATTTTCTATGCCGCCAAAGTTGACTTTTGGTGAGAAAGGTGGTACGGCGTGGGCGGAACGATCCAGCTCGCGATATTCGCCATGGTCGCAGCCAAGGTCAAGATGAACGCGAACGGCGCTCACACGTTCCTTGAGGTCATCATCCCATCGCAATCTACCCAGATGTATATGCTGACAGTGGCCGTCGTGCATAGATCGTGAAGGCGCGTTTCGGCACGGGGGCACATCTGATGTTCACGTTCTACGCGTTTCTCTGCATCCTCGTCGTTTGCGGATCTCTCCTTCGTAAGCGACTTCTGCAACTACGCCCTTGAACGACACAACTGACATGTTTGCAGTTGGAGGGGCGGCGACGGTGAACGCGCTCACAGGGATGAACATCATTGCCGCATGCTTCCTGCTCCCTATCGGGATCGCGGTGTACGTCGTGTTCGGCGGTCTGCGCGCAACGTTCATCTGCGACTATGCGCACACGATGATCCTCTTCATCATCATATACATCTTCTTCGCCAACGTCTAGTGCGTCAATCATCGCTCTTGCTCATTCATCAGGCTGTACTGACGGCTACGCATGTGCAGCGGCGCCTCCAACGAGACGGGGAGCATTGGCGCTATGTACGACTTGCTCGTGCAAGCGGGCAAGGATACGCCTGTTGTGGGCAACCAAGATGGAAGCTACGTGACGATGAAGTCCAACCAGGGCCTGGTATTTGGTGCGGCGACGATCCTTTCCGGTACGTACTTGGTTGCCCAGGGTCTTCCTGCTATGGTTCCCAACCTTCGACCCCAGGCTTCTCGGGAGTATTCTGTGATCAAGGTTCGTTCATTTCACCGCCTGTCGCCATCCAGTACACTGACCTAACGGTATTTCAGGATACTGGCAACGTGTACGTCGCTGAATGAAGAACGTCATACATTGATGTCTCTGACCACATCGCAGGCCATCGCGAGCGCGCCGCGCTCTACAACAAAGGCATACGTACGTTTCCCTTCCGTATTCTCAGCCTCCCCGTAGATCCCTTGCTGACTACGCGCATAGATGTTAGGCGGTCTCTCATGGTTTGCTGTACCGTGGGGCTTCGCGTCCTGCCTCGGACTCGCCGCTCGTGCACTCGTGAACAATGTATGCCGCATGCTTCAGACTTCGACCCATTATCATGCTTATGCCTCCCCGGCAGCCAAAGTTCCCAACTTACCCGAACCCGCTCTCTGCCTCCCAAACGAGCGCTGGGCTGGCCGCACCTGCGGCCGCGGCCGTCGTGATGGGTAGAGGGGGCGCGATCGCAATCCTACTAGTCGTCTTGTAAGTGCCTTTTCTGTGTCTCTCTTTGTACTCTCGCTTACTAGCTCACCACGCAGTATGGCTGTCACATCTGCTGTCAGCGCGGAGCTGATCGCCGTCTCGAGCCTATTGTGAGTATCTACGCTCAGGGTATTTCGGTACAGGCTGCTCACCACACGGTTCTCATAGCTCGTACGAGTAAGTCATCGGCCTCATCCATGTCCAACAGTATCCGGAGCGTGACTCAACGGGCATGCATAGCCTGTACCGAACTTATTTCCGCCCAAAAGCAACGAGCACAGAGATCGTCCGCGTCTCCCACTACTTCATCTGCTTTTGGGCAGTCTGGGCCGGGTGCTGGGCAACTATCGTACGTCGAGCGTTTTCGTTTTAGGCTGCGGATTTGATCCTCGGCTATCCTCGCAGCTTCACAAAGCAAGCATCGACCTTGGCTGGTTGTTCTACGTCCAGTACGTTCTCTTCTTGGTTTTATCACCCGCGTTCTTGTGAATAGCTCATTCTCCTACTTCAGAGGCGTCGTACTGAGCCCTGCGGTCATACCCATCGCGCTTACTGTCACCTGGTCTGGACTCACCCGCGCTGGAGTATTCACAGGCTGCATTTCCGGTGCAGTCTTGGGAATGCTCGCGTGGATGATCGGTTGCCTGAAGATCTATGGTACGTCGTTACGCTGTTATATCATGCCAAGCGTGAACGGGATTAACGAGAGCTGTAAATTTGACAGGGGAGATCAACGTCCCGAATCTGGCAGAGCCGTACTCCGCCGTGTGCAGCGGTTTGACGGGACTGCTGTTCTCCGGGGTCCTCACGGTGGTCGTATCGTTGGCAAGTAAGTCCACCAGTCTCCAATCGAGTTGTGTTGTCGCGCTGACGTCGATGTGACATTAGGACCTGCGAAGTACGACTTTGCCGGAACGCGTGCGATTGCAATGTACGACGACGGAAGCTCGCAGGCCTCAATCTCCGAAACGTCCTCCCAAGTCGACGTGGAGAAGTCGCCGTCAAAGAATACCACCACGACTGAGGTCGTGCCAGTCGCCGAGCCCCGCGCTGAAACGCCTACGAACTCTGAGAAGGCAGAAGTGACCAGGACGGAGCTGAAGCGCGTATTCCGGCGCGCGGCGTGGTACTCGCTCGCTCTGACCGCTATAGTCGCGGTCCTCGGTACGTCTCTTCCGGCTGATGCAGTGCGCTTCGTTGCTCACGGCCGAGCTCGCGTGTAGTCCCGATCCCCATGTTCTTCTCGCACTACGTGTTCAGCAAGGGTTTCTACACCTTCTGGGTCGCGTGCACGATGTGAGCTATACCCTTTCCGCTGCAAATTCGCGAAGTACAGAACTGACAGATGGTCTGGGTACGCGACAGAATCTGGGCCGCGATGAGCGGGATATTCTGTATGATCTTGCCATTGTGGGAGTCGCGCACGGAGATGTGGATGATCGGGCGTGGCCTCTTCGGCGCGAAACCTGCTGCGCGCGCCGAAGACGACAAAGCGTAACGAGAAGCGAAGAGATATAATTACATGCATTGTCTACCTGTATCGTATGGACCACATCACACAGAAAATGATATGCTCAAGAGTGTCCTATGCGTGTCTGTCATGTACTGTAAAGAATATGACGCGCCCGCAAGCTATAACGTGATGATCTCTTTTGGGGCTGTAGCGCCGCTCGCACGAAGACACATACCCGTATGAGCCATCCTTACACAATTTACGCTAGTTTCTCCGCCCAGACATTTAGCAGACTGAGATAAACTCCTGGCCGGGCCTCCTCAAGGCATGGGCTTTGGCGAGCTGGGTGCCAGTCCGTATAAACACCTGGACACTATTCGTGCTTCCGGTGAAGCCGTCCATTGCCTTCGCGCGGGCGGGGGTCTAAGCGGTTTGAGCATAGAAAGACGGAACGTTGGGGAAGGAATTGTTTACCCCCGCCGGCGTATGCTGCTGAGTGAGGATGCGTCGAAAATCGCGCGGCCAACAACTGGCGGCACTAGATAGACAAGCAATGGTACTATGTTTACAAAATTCGTTCGTGATGATACGTAATATATCGTTGGGATCGTCTTCCCTCTTCTCCTCCTCACTCTTCCCAAATCATTTTCTCCTAAATTAACGCGATATGATAGCAGACCTAGAGGGGGACCGTCCCCTTCAGGCGGAAGTCGCGACTGCTCGCGCCGATCGAGAACGTGATCTTGCCAGAGGGCTTCCTCCATCCCTTCGCATCCACGTCCCACACGCTCAGGTCGTAGCGCGACAGCGTGATCTTCCCCTGTGCGCTGCCGTGTGCGGGGACCTTGATGTCCTCGAACCCACGAAGGACGTTGGGCGGCTCGCCCGCGCTGCTCGGGAAGTGGAGGTAGAGCTGCGCGATCTCGGTACCTGCGACAGCGCCGGTGTTCTTGACCGTGAAGGTGACCTCGAACGCGGGCCTGTGCAGCCAGAGCGCGGTGACAGCACCCTCGTCGGCGGGAGAGGGCTTGCCTGCGGCCCAAGCGGCCTCAAGGTCAGCGGACGTGCTGTCCGCGTGGGTGATCGGCGAGATGTGCAGACTGGCATACGAGAAGGTGGTGTACGAGAGACCGAAGCCGAACTCGAAGCGTGGCTGAATGTTGTTCTGTGAAGATTATGTTAGCATGCAGTCAACAGTAAAGCCCAAAGCACGACGTACGGCATCGAAGTGGCGGTAGTCGATGTTCAGGCCCTCGGTGTAGTCGATGCGCAGGATGTCGTCGACCTCGCCGCCAGTGATGAGTTGCGCGCTGTAGTCGGCAGGGTCCTTCGCGATGGTGTACGGGAGACGTCCTGAGGGGTTGACGTCGCCGTAAAGGACATCGGTGATCGAGTTGCCGGCTTCCTGTCCAGAAACACCAGCCCAGACGACCGCGGTGATGTTCGGGTTTTCAATCCAGGGCTCGATGATCGCGGGGCCGACGGAGTGCACCACGACGATGGTGTTTCTGTTGACCTCCGCGACGGCGGCGATGAGCTCGTCGGCATTTTGCCACAACGTGAGGTTCTTGCGGTCACCCTCGTTCCCGTCGACAGTAAGGAAGCCCTCGCCAGAGTCTGCGTTGACGAAGACGAGCGCGACCTCCTGGTCGAGCGCAGTGGCCTGCGCGCCGGCGAGGTCCCAGTTGTTGAGGAACCACGAGACCTGCGAGCCGGATGAATCCTTGCGGACGCGGGCCTGGATGGCCTCAAGCGGCGAGATAAGGTACGGGAACGCCGTCATGCCGGAACCCCAGCCCACAGCGAGGATGCCGTCGTCGCCACCAGCGTAGGTGTATCCGTTCGGGCCACGAGAGCTCGGGCCAGCGTCGTTGCCTGTAGGTGGAAGCGGTGTTAGCGAGAAGGATGTCAAGATGCAGAACAGAGCATACCGATGAGGGCGACACTGCGGGGCTTCTTGAGCGGGAGAGCAGAACCGGTGTTCTTGAGCAGCACGCTACCCGCAGCACCGATCTCGCGGACGATCTTGTAGTGGTCGGCCTGGACATCGACGTGGCCATTCGTCGCCGGGTCGTTGGGGAAGAACGCGTTGAAGCTGACTGTGTGCAGGAGTCAGCGCGTGGCATAGGATGGACTGAGAAAGGCCGCACCTTCAGGATAGTCCTTATCCTGGTCCAGGAGGTACCACGACGCGACAATGCGTTCCGCCATGTCGTTGATGCGTGACTCCGCGATCGTGCCGTTCTCCACGAACGCGGTGAGGTTCGCGCCCCACCACGAGCCCGAGGATGCGTCGCCCAACACGATCTCACCCGGCATAGACATCTGAGGCATACAGTGAGACCATGGCACACGAAATAGAGTCGGAAGAGAGACGCACATCCATGCCAGCGACCGCACTCATGGTCGAGTGGTGTCCTCCCCAATCGGTCATGACGTAGCCCTGGAAGCCGGCTTGCTTCTTGAGGAGTTCGTTGAGAGTGTAGTCGTTCTCGCAGGCATATGTGTCGTTAATCAGGTCTGCCAGTCAGTGTTAGTAAGCACGGTAAGCGCAGAGTTAGATTGGTGGACGCACTGTAACTGCACATGACACTAGCGACACCCGCTTGCACTGAGCGCAAGAAGGGATGGAAGTAGATCTCGTGCTCGGTACGATCGTCAACGTTCGAGGACTCTTGCATACGGAAATGTTCCTGTTCGCTACACCGCAGATCGCAATATGTCAGCGTAAAATCTCGCACGGAAAGGCCATGGACGTACTTGTTGATGTAGTGCTTCGCGCATGCTTGCACGCCACCCTCCTGCATACCAAGGATGGTTTCGTACGCAGCCTCGCCTGACAGGAATGGGTCCGCGCCGAAACCCTCCCAGTTACGCCCGCCCTGCGCGATGCGGCCCATGTTCATCATCGGGCCAAGGGCAACCTCCACGCCCTTACCCTTGAACTCCTGGCCGATCGCGAGCCCACGGGCGCGGATGAGAGCACGCTGCCAAGTGGATGCGGCGGAAAGTCCGGTGGGGAACACGGTCACGAAGTCGGTACCGCGAACACCGAGAGGCGCGTCCTGGAGACACAGACCGGGCCAGTCTGCGACGGCGGGGATGTTGCCGACACAGAGACCATTCCCATAACCGGTACCGGTGGTGGTCGCGACCTTCTGCTCGAGCGACCAGCCGGAGATCAGCTTCTTCGCACGGGCGTGTGCACTTTTCCAGGCTGGCGCAAAGTCGGGGATGAGGCGCGAGCCAGGCGGGGGAGGCGACTTGGGGGAAGTCGAGGGGAATACGCCCGGGATCGGGGACGCCGAGGGCACGGGGAAGGAGCTGAACGGGTATTTGGAGATGGGTATCGTGAGGTGGGCTGATGAGACGTAATTAGTGAAGAACATTAATGCTGACAACAGAGCACTCACTAGACTCAAGAGGAGGTCCCGTCGTAGCAGTGGACGCCGAAGAAGCGGCGGACACAGATGCAGAGACCGACACGGAGGCGGTTCCGGAAGAGACCGCGCTCGATGTAGAAGCGACGGAACTCTCCGAGAGGATGGTGGAGACCGATGCGGACGCGGTGCTCGTGACCCCGCTAGAGATAGCAGAGGAGGCAGACGCGGATGCAGAGGACGCAACGCTCGTCAGGACTGAGGATACGGCCGACGACGCAGCCGCCGCCGACGAGATTTCGCTGGATGATTGAGCATCAGCGATGGCGGCGAGGAGAAGGGCGCAGAGGGCGGAGAGGCGAGCGTTGAGGACAACCATGGCAGCGTCGACGAGCGGGGAAGGACTGCTCGGGGAAAGCTCGGAGGATGATCCATGGGTTTATATACTGCGCTCAAGCTCTCTCCAGCTTGCGCGCACCGACAGAGTCAGACAGAGCCTAGTGAAGGGATGGAAAGGGATGAAGCGGGACAGACAGCACTCTAGAGCTCTGGACCCCAGGCTCTCGTTACGGGCGCCCTGGCACGAGTGCACTCTTCCATCCCGCCTCATCCATTTCGAGTGCGCGCCCCCGCCGGCGGCACAAACCGCCGGCCCCTGTCCGTCTGTCGGCTAGCCGATCTGTCCTCTTGACCTCCCTCTCCCCTGGCCAGATGTGAAAAGATGCGCAAGTAGTCTGCGGCAGCCGCGATCCTCGCCGGGCGTCTGCGCAACTACATATGAAGCCGATGTCGTCCTCTGCGCCAGTCATCATGGCAGTGGCATGACCGCCCTTTTGAACGCCGATCAGCGCACCACCCCAGGCCGGGGAAATAGATCGGGGCCCCGTGGGGTCACGGTGCGAGTTGGTGTTTGTTTACCCTTGTCGCGACATACGGCGCCGGCGGCCCGGGCCAGCCCAGCACCTGAAATTGACATTCTGACTCGGGGGGACGGCCGAAGCCCACGTTCGCTGGTCGCTCGGAGTGCTGGACCCGCCGCCCACATCGAACGCTGCAATGCTATAGAGCTCGGCCGGCCGCACAATGAACAGAGAAGTTCTGCGGATTCCCAGAACCGCCAGAGTTGGTGCTGGGATTCCGCAGAACCTTAGGGACTATCCCTTGAAGGAGGCCTCATCCACAGGCCCCTACGCCCGGGGGTTGCGCGCCGCTGACGTACATCCGGCGATCACTGACGTAGCCGTCGTTCGTAAGGCAAGAATGGTATTTCTCTGACTCACCGCACTATATCCGACCGTCCTGCTAACGCGGATGTTTTCCGCCGGTCGAGGTCACCCCGAGTGTTACCATGCAGTCAGAGAACGGGATCTGTTGAGGGGTTAGGATGTAATCACGATGAATGAAGGAGGTATACGTAGGCCACCTCACCGGTGATGTTAACTTGTTCTGTGCGTCATCAGGGCGGCTATACGCCAGCACAGAGATGGCCTCTGGACACGCCCGGCATAGGCATAGGCGCACGGATATATATTGTGTACGGTATGGATAGTACACGTGCGGGAACCTGACAGTGATCAGCCTCGTAACTGCACTGAGCACAAAACACGTACCTATCGGATCCCTTGTCAAGCGATCCTCGCTAACCTCGTCGCGCACATGTCTAGTACGCCGAGGCCGTCCTCTCCCAGACGGCCCTCCAGATTCGAGACATTGACGTCGTCGAAGCAGGGGTCATTCCGCAGAAGCGCCTCCGCCGGTTTGATGATGATGACGAGGCTCTCCGCTAGTTGCACGTCGTTCGAGAATCGAACGGAGGATCGTTGGAGCGTTGGCGGTAGGAAAGCAGGCATGTGCAGCAGGACGCTCATAGGGCGACACGTATTTATAGCGTCGCGGCACCCGTCCGCCCCTCTGTCCTGGGTCTGCGGATCAAGACGGGCCGCGTCATCCACAGCGCTCCTGGCAAGCCGCAGCACTAAGAAAGAAAAGACGAGGCCCTATACAGAGCCACAGATTGAGCTCCCGATTCAATGCGTTGAGAAACAACGAGCACCCACGATGAGCGACGAGAACACCCCGATGCAGGCATCGAAGCCGATAGCGGGGCTGCAGATGAGGGTGATCCCCACGGCAAAGGACGCTGTGGAATAGATGGCGGCGGATTGCACGATGGCCTCGACTACTTTCCGGAATAGCTGGAGCCGCGCTGATAACGACGTATATTGATTGATGTTGCGCAACACGTGCCGCATAATGAGAGCTGTTGCAGAAGCGATGCATATTAGACAGCACAATGCAACTTCAGACGAATTGTGTGCCGACGAGGCGGACGACGTACCGGAGCAGACCGCGTTGCAGAGGAATGAGAAGAGGAAAAATGAGAGAGGGATGAATGCAAAGCCCGGCCCCGGAGCCAATGCGAGATAACCGCACACTGAAGGCGTACCAACGACAGAATAACATCGTCAGTATGCTGATATAGGCGTTGGAAACGACGCGTACTACTCACAGAGGTTAAGAAGAAACAACATCGCGGGAAAACCGACGGCCTTGCGGCTGCGATTGCATACGAGGAAAAGCCTGTATATCTGTGGGGAAGGTTCATTTGTATAATTACTGTGGAATGTAGCGGCCAGAGACGTTCTCACCATGAAAGAATCGCCAATCAAGGTTTGCGTGACGTAGATGCCCAACCTGATATACCACAGAGGCGAAACGAAAGTAAAGCCTGTCAACACATCGTAAACAGACTCTATAGTTCCCGCGCTTGTAACAAAGCCGAATAGTGTTAGCTTCAAGCTCAGTGCGAGATGCTACGATATGAGAGGTTCAGTTCACTGATACTACGGTCGTAGAGTTGACGTACCGCAAGCGCTAGTCCGAACATAGTCGTGCTCGCGCCCAGGAGGACCCACGCTCGTATCGAGCGCCTCCGTGAGGCAATCGTAGTTGATAAGGACGATGCCCCCATCGTATAGGTTACCGTGAACGCGCCGAAGAGCAGCGTCTCGAGAAAGAGTGCAATGATGTACGCGGTCAGCTCGTGATGCATTTGAGTGAGCTGTCAGTGTGATGAGTTGGAAGTGGTAGCGGTCAGCTCTACGTATGGCTCCAACACAGATATGACGTACCGTTCTGTTTGTATCTTCATCTTGAACTAAGGACATGGCGATATGAAGGAAGGGGCGCATGACAGGAGTCCCACCGCCAGACATGTTATATGGACGAGAACAATCTTTCATCGCCATCGACAAACCTGTGACTGGTGGGAGAAAGATACAACGACAGCGGAGTCACATAAGGCAGCCGTCATCCACTGCCGCCTCACATGGGGCAAACGAGCTGCTGTAGAACTAGGATGAACATCTGGAAACCGGCCTTCAGAGCGTCAGACTGGGGTGCTCAATGCACACTTCTCTATGTTCAGCCATGCACTGCACTGCAGCAGTCAACAAGCCAGTATTCGAGGACGCGTATATGATGCAGACGCGCACTTCAGCATTCTAACTGGACTCCAACTTGTGGGACTTGCGCGCTCCGATCGGAGACCTGCGGATGGTTGCAAGACTCACAGAATGTCGGCTTCAGCTCGGGAATGTCTTACAGGGATAGGTTAGTGTACACGAATGAGCTTGTGCCGAGCTGAGGTTGCAGTGGAATATTAAGCAGTGAAGGGTGGTGTAGGAAGAGAACAAACTGGGAGTCGCTCGAGTTCCTGGAATCGCTGAACTCTAATTCAGACTCCGCCCAGGGAACTCCGCTGGTTCACCGGGCACAAGCGGACTTACGACAGATCAAAGTCCGATGACCAAATCTATGCAGGTGAGCATAAACACGTCGTAGAATCAGTAAGCAGCTGGCTTGACGTCGATTGATCGACAAGCCCGAAAACTAGTCGCGTTTACAAAAGCCACTCTATGATATTTCAATCATACTCATGAGTACTACTGGCCGTCAATCCCTTTTATCCTAGTTCAAACACCTCCCTCAAAGTGGAACCGTCCCCTTCAGGCGGAAGTCTCGACTGCTGGCACCGATCGAGAACGTGAACACGCCCGAAGGCTTCCTCCAGCCCTTCGCGTCCACGTCCCACACGCTCAAATCATAGCGCGAGAGCGTGATCTTGCCCTGCGCGCTCCCGTGCGCGGGAACCTGGATATCCTCGAATCCTCGAAGAACGCTCGGCGGCTCGCCCGCGCTGCTCGGGAAATGCAAGTAGAGCTGCGCGATTTCGGTGCCTGCGACAGCGCCGGTGTTCTTGACGGTGAAGGTCACCTCGAACGCGGGACGGTGCAGCCAGAGTGCGGTGACGGCACCCTCGTCGGCGGGAGAGGCCTTGCCTGAGGCCCAGGCGGACTCGAGCGCGGCGGACGTGCTGTCCGCGTGGGTGATCGGCGAGATGTGCAACCCGGCGTACGAGAAGGTAGTGTAGGAGAGCCCGAAGCCGAACTCGAAGCGCGGGACAATGTTGTTCTGTGAAGCTATGTGAGTACCTTGTCTGATGAGGGGCCCAAAATGAGACGTACAGCGTCGAAGTGGCGGTAGTCGATGTTCAGGCCCTCGGTATAGTCGATGCGCAGGATGTCATCTCCAGTGCCACCAGTGATGAGCTGTGCGCTGTAGTCGGCAGGGTCTTTCGCGATGGTATACGGAAGGCGGCCGGAGGGGTTGACGTCGCCGTAAAGGACATCGGTGATCGAGTTGCCGGCCTCCTGCCCGGGCAGACCGGCCCACACGACTGCAGTGATGTTCGGGTTCTCGATCCAGGACTCGATGATCGCGGGGCCGACGGAGTGCGCGACGACAACCGTATTCCGGTTCACCGACGCGACCGCTTCGATGAGGGCCTCAGCGTTATCCCAGAGAGTAAGGTTCTTGCGGTCGCCCTCGTTTCCGTCGACTGTGATGTAGCCCTCGCCAGCGTCCGCGTTGACAAAGACCAGCGCGACGTCTTGATCGAGCGCGGTAGCCTGGGCGCCAGCGAGGTCCCAGTTGTTGAGGAACCAGGAGACTTGCGAGCCGGACGAGTCCTTGCGGGCGCGAGCCTGGATAGCCTCGAGTGGCGAGATGAGGTAGGGAAACTGCGCGGAGCCAGAGCCCCAGCCCATCGCGAGGATGCCGTCGTCGCCGCCGCGGTCGGTGAAGCCGTTGGGACCACGCGAGCTCGGGCCAGCGTCGTTACCTATACGGGGGCATAACTTCAGCGAGACACCTTCGATTCAGTCAAGGAAAAGGCGTACCGATGAGCGCAATGCTGCGCGGCTTCTTGAGCGGGAGCGCGGAGTCTGTGTTCTTGAGTAGAATGCTACCAGCCGCACCAATCTCACGGACGATCTTATAGTGATCGGCTTGCACATCGATGTGGGCGTTGGTCGCGGGGTCGTTCATGAAGAACGCGTTGAAGCTCACTACAGCTTCTCTGAGCATTTGTCGCGAAGTTTAGCGTTGATAGACGCACCTTCAGGGTAGTTCTGATCCTGGTCAAGGAGATACCACGACGCAAGAATGCGCTCCGCCATGTCATCCACGCGGGACTCAGCGATCGTGCCGTTCTGCACGAACGCAGTCAGGTTCGCGCCCCACCACGTGGTTCCAGAGAGGGACGTGATGTCTCCAGGCATGGACATCTGCGGCGAAAGATGAGCTTACGGCGCATTGATGCAGATTTCAGCGAGATACTTACGTCCAAGCCTGCGACTGCGGCGAGGGTAGAGTGATGTGCGCCCCAGTCAGACATGACATAGCCTTGGAAGCCGGCCTGCTTTTTCAGGAGCTCGTTCAGCGTGTAGTCGTTCTCGCACGCGTAAGTGTCGTTGATGAGGTCTGTTAAACAGTGTCAGTGAACCTGGTAAGCGCAGACTTCGATCGGTCGACGCACTGTAGCTGCACATGACACTGGCAACGCCGGCCTGCACCGAACGCAGGAAGGGATGGAAGTAAATCTCGTGCTCTGTACGGTCGTCAACGTTGGACGACTCCTGCGTACGGAAGTGCTCCTGCTCGCTACACAACGAAACGTCAGTGCATATACGTCAACAAGAGTATAAGACGTACTTGTTAATGTAGTGCTTCGCGCACGCTTGCACACCACCCGCCTGCAGTCCGAGGATGGTCTCATAAGCGGCCTCGCCAGATAGGAACGGATCTGCGCCAAAGCCCTCCCAGTTACGCCCGCCCTGAGCGATCCGACCCATGTTCATCATCGGGCCGAGCGCAACGTGCGCGCCCTTGCCCTTGAATTCCTGTCCCATCGCGAGACCGCGAGCACGAATGAGAGCGCGCTGCCATGTGGCAGCAGCTGACAGGCCAGTGGGGAACGCGGTCACGAAGTCGGTATCGCGCACACCGAGAGGCGAGTCCTCGAGGCAGAGGCCGGGCCAGTCTGCGACGGCTGGAATGTTGCCGACACAGCGGCCGCCCATCCAGCCTACGCCGGTCGTGGTCGCGACCTTCTGCTCGAGCGACCACCCAGAAATAAGCTTCTTGGCGCGCGCATGTGCAGCCTTCCAGACTGGGCCGAAGTCGGGAATCAAACTCGACCCCGGAGGGGGAGGAGACTTGGGCGAGGTGGACGGGAAGACGCCGGGTATCGGGGATGCCGAAGGTACCGAGAAGGAGGTAAAGGGGTATTTGGAGAGGGGTATCGTGAGGTGCGCTGAAGACAAACAGAGTTAGTGCGATGTTACACACGCGAGGCACCATATTTAGACTAAGCGCACACCCCCGAGCGCAGATGAGAAAATCACGCGCGCCCACAAGGGCAAACGTGTGCAACATGGAAATTGCTCCGCGCCATATATGCGCCATTCAAATGGTAGAGAATTTTCAAGTTTACTCACTGGATTCAAGAGGAGGGCCCGTGGCAGCAGTAGACGCCGAGGCAGGGGTGGACGCAGATGCGGAGGCGGGGTCGGAGGAGACTGCAGAAGAGACCGCGCTCGACGCCGAGGCGACAGACGTCTCGGAGATGACGGTGTAAGCCGACGCCGAAGCAGTGCTCACTCCGCTGGGGATGGCAGAGGATACAGACGCGGGTGCGGAGGATGCAACACTGGTCAGCACGGAGGACACGGCCTCACTTGAAGATGCCACAACAGAGGACGCCGACACAGCTGAGGAAATCTCACTGGCGGACTGGGCATCAGCTATGGCAGAGAGGAGGAGGGCGCAGAGAGCGGAGAGGCGAGCGTTGAGGACGACCATGGCAGCGTCGAGGAGCGGGGAAAGAGGGCTCGGGAAAAACTCGGAAGATTATCCATGGGTTTATATACCGCGTTGCAGTCGCCAGAAGCGCGAGTTGCGCGGCGTGCGAGGCCTGTGAGGGGGGAAACACGGAGAGAGGATGAAGCGGAAGCGGGGCAGCACGCGTTCTGCTCTGGAACGCAGCTCTCGTTATGAGCGCCTATGCGTACACTCTTCCATCTCGCTCGATCCCTTTTTCCTGGGTTTCGAGTGGGCTGTGCCGCCGGCAGCACACAAAGCGGCCCGCCACAGCTCGCCTATCGGCCTTTTAATCTGTCCTCTGACCGTACCGTCTCTTTGCCAAGTTCAAAGCTGGCCTGCGACAGCCACGATCCTCGCGGTAACTTCTGCGCAAGTACGTATGATGCTTGGAGCTTTACCTCAGATGTCCGGTGAGTTTGAGACGCCTAACAGAATATATCTTTTGAGTTGCCTGTCCGAAACATTTGCGGAGAGATACTCACCGTGGGGGAGAGGTCCGGGAAAAGGGCTCACGTTGATAAATTTGACCCCGGTCGAAATCAACATGTCTGAACATCCGCCGGCTTCGACGTCTGCGGCGTGCGCTCAGTCAGCTCAACGGCCGCGACAGGACCGTGTTGGTGAACTCCGATCGGCGCATCACTGGTTAACCCCAGACCGGGGAAATACATCGGGGCCCCGTGCGGGGCCAGCGTCCATCCGGGCCCTTCTCCGCAGAAGATCGCCGCAGGTCACGATGGGCATTGATGTTTATTTACCCTTGTCGCGACGTAAGGGCTCGGACCGAGCCTCTATGACGTCCGAAAGTGACGATCGGCAAGACGGCCAAAACTCCCGTTGGCTTGCCTTGCTTGACAACTTATACTACAAAGGTGCGAGTTTCGTTACTAGCCTGGATTCGGGAGCTCACGCAAAGACTTACTGGTGAATTTGACGGTCTTCGTAGGGAGGGTTAGGATGTGTCGCAATGACAAGTCGCATCTGTCACCTGGGAATAGACTCAACGCCGACCGCACATTGCCTTCTGCGCGCAGGTAGCCTCCTCCTTCGCTCATGCACGTCATGCCGTCACGCCGCATATAGACACAGGGCAGCTACCATTTCTGTATCAGACGAGTTTCCCAGTCGTCACTGTCCCGCGCACATAGCCACTGCGCGCACCGACGGCACTTCTGGTCGTTTGATACACTTAAAACGTCAGAAGTTCGCAAGGCGGGAGGAAAGGATAGATGATTCAGACCTGGAACCGCCGTCCGTGCAGAATTCACAGTAGGGCAACTGAGTCTGTGATGAAGGCTTGTCGCCGGGCCCTCATATCGCCGGCCTGTCGAAGGAGCGTATTTCACTGTACACGTTCATTCTCTAGCGGTGCTCCATCGGCGAGGAGCACACCTGCTCGAGTTGTAGTCCAGGATGTCGATGATGCGCGAAGAGAAGAAACACGCAGATATTCGGAGTCGGCCTGCTCGTGTGCCGCCGCCAGGCGTGGGAAGCGCTTAAGTAACGCCACATTAAGCGCTCCATCTCTGAATTCAAACCTATTCAAACTCGCGAACATACCCCTACTTAGTACTTAGGCCTAGGTATACCAAGAAACTCCGTGCTTCGTAGGATGATATCAACACGCCTATACAGAATGATCGTTCGTGGTCCATACGAGTGAAATATCGTTTACTTCGTGCCCCCCATTACTCACTCGTCCTGAAACCTTCTCTCCTGGACCATAGCAAACCCTGCGTCGACCTCAAAGCGGCACGGTGCCGTTCAGACGGAAGTCGCGACTGCTCGCCCCAATCGAGAACGTGAACTCGCCCGCGGGCTTCTTCCACCCCTTCGCATCCGCGTCCCAAACGCTAAGGTCGTAGCGAGAAAGCGTGATCTTGCCCTGAGCGCTGCTGTGAGCGGGTACTTGAATATCCTGGAACCCGCGGAGAACGTTGGGCGGCTCGCCGGCGGAGCTGGGGAAGTGCAGGTAGAGCTGCGCGATCTCGGTGCCTGCGACGGAGCCGGTGTTCTTCACGGTGAAGGTGACTTCGAACGCGGGGCGGTGCAGCCACAGCGCGGCGACGGCGCCCTCGTCGGCGGGTGAAGCCTTGCCCGCGGCCCAAGCAGCTTCGAGCATGGCGGACGTGTGGTCCGCGTGGGTGATTGGCGTAACGTGGAGCCCAGAGTACGAGAAAGTTGTGTACGAGAGGCCAAAGCCAAACTCGAAACGCGGAGCGATGTTGTTCTATGAAGCTGCGTCAGTATGCACTCGGCAACAAAGCGGGAACGAGAACGTACGGCGTCGAAGTGGCGGTAGTCGATGTTGAGGCCCTCGGTGTAGTCGATCCGCAGGATATCGTCGTCGGCGCCGCCAGTAACGAGCTGCGCGCTGTAATCCTCCGGACGCTTTGCGATGGTGTACGGGAGACGGCCAAAGGGGTTGACGTCGCCGTAGAGGACATCAGTGATCGAGTTGCCGGCCTCCTGCCCTGGAAGGCCAGCCCAAACGACGGCAGTGATGTTCGGGTTTTCAATCCAGGGCTCGATGATCGCGGGGCCAACGGAGTGCGCGACAACGATTGTGTTCTTGTTTACAGTCGCGACCGCGGCGATGAGTTCATCGGCATTCCCCCAGAGCGTGAGGTTCTTGCGGTCGCCCTCGTTGCCGTCGACGGTGAGGAAGCCTTCGCCGGAGTCCGCGTTCACGAAGACGAGCGCGACCTCCTGGTCCAGTGCGGTCGCCTGCGCGCCTTCAAGGTCCCAGTTGTTGAGGAACCACGAGACCTGAGACCCGGATGAGTCCCTGCGGACGCGAGCCTGGATAGCCTCGAGCGGCGAGACGAGGTACGAGAACGAGGTCATGCCGGAGCCCCAGCCCACAGCGAGAATGCCGTCGACACCAGCGGCGTACATGTATCCGTTCGGGCCGCGGGAGCTCGGGCCAGCGTCGTTGCCTGCACGTGCGAGTGCTGTTAGCGAAAACTTGAATCTGTGGATGTAGGGCATAGCATACCAATGAGGGCAACACTGCGTGGCTTCTTGAGCGGGAGCGCCGAGTCGGTATTCTTGAGTAGAACGGCGCCAGCAGCACCGATCTCACGCACGATCTTGTAGTGGTCGGCTTGCACGTTGATGTGGGCGTTCGTCGCCGAGTCGTTCGGGAAGAACGCATTGAAGCTCACTGTGCGGAGGTCAGCGCATGCACTGAGATTAAAGAACAAATGCCGCACCTTCGGGATAGTTCTGGTCCTGATCGAGGAGGTACCACGACGCGACGATGCGCTCAGCCATATCGTCCACGCGGGACTCCGCAATCGTGCCGTTCTGTACGAACGCGGTGAGGTTGGCGCCGAACCACGAGGTCCCGTCGCCGAACTCGATGTCACCGGGCATAGACATCTGAAAAAAGAGTTGAGACAACAGAACATGAGATAGAGTCGACGGAAACACTTACATCCATGCCCGCGACCGCCGCAAGCGTAGAGTGGTGCCCACCCCAATCGGACATGACGTACCCCTGGAAGCCAGCCTGGTTCTTCAGGAGCTCGTTGAGCGTGTAGTCATTTTCGCAGGCGTAGGTGTCGTTGATCAGATCTATAAATGATCGTTAGCAAGCTGTCAATGCGCGGACTCCGATCAGGATAACCCACTGTAACTGCACAAGACGCTGGCGACGCCGGCCTGCACCGATCGCAGAAAGGGGTGGAAGTAAATCTCATGTTGGGTACGGTCGTCGACGTTGGAGGACGACTGCATGCGGAAATGTTCCTGCTCGCTACGCCGCAGATTACGAAGTGTCAGCAGGAAATCTCGAACGTCGAGTGTATGGACGTACTTGTCGATGTAATGCTTCGCGCATGCTTGTACACCACCCGCCTGTAGTCCGAGAATGGTCTCATAAGCGGCCTCGCCAGACAGGAATGGGTCTGCGCCGAAGCCCTCCCAGTTACGCCCACCCTGGGCGATGCGGCCCATATTCATCATAGGGCCGAGCGCGACGTGCACACCCTTGCCCTTGAACTCCTGACCCATCGCGAGGCCACGGGCACGGATGAGGGAACGCTGCCAAGTGGTTGCCGCTGAGAGACCAGTGGGGAACACGGTCACAAAGTCGGTCCCACGCACGCCGAGAGGCGAGTCCTCGAGGCAGAGACCGGGCCAGTCTGCAATGGCGGGGATGTTGCCTACGCAGCGCCCGTTCATATTACCGACACCCGTCGTGGTTGCGACCTTCTGCTCGAGCGACCAGCCAGAGATCAGCTTCTTGGCGCGGGCGTGTGCGGCCTTCCAGACGGGGCCGAAGTCTGGGATAAGACTCGAGCCTGGAGGGGGCGGTGACTTGGGCGAGGTCGAGGGGAATACACCGGGTATCGGGGATGCCGAGGGCACCGGGAAGGAGGTGAACGGGTATTTGGAGATGGGTATCGTGTAGTGAGCTTGAGACGTGTACTCAGTGTAGGACAGATGTATCGACAGCAGAACACTCACTGGACTCGAGTGGAGGACCTGTCGCAGCGGTGGATGCCGAGGGAGCGGCAGACACAGAAACGGAGGCTGGGGCCGAGTCGACGCTCGATACGATGGAGCTCCAAGAACGGCTGGTCGATACTGATCCGACCGCGATGTTCGTCTGCCCGCTGGAGATAGCAGAAGAGGCAGACGCGGGTGCGGAGGACGCGACACTGGTGAAGACGGAGGACACGCCCTCGCTTGCAGATGCAGCGGCCGACGATGCAGCCACCGCCGAGGAGACTTTGCTGGACGATTGTGCATCAACGATGGCGGCAAGGAGGAGGGCGCAGAGGGCAGAGAGGCGAACGCTGAGGACGACCATAGCAGCTTTGACGAGCGGTGAAGGAGTGCTCGGGGAAATTTCGGAGGCTGGCCCATGACTTTATATACCACACCGAGGTGGAGAGAGGCACGAGTTGCGCGCTGAGCACGGGAGAGGGAGGGTCAGAGACGAAGAAAGCGACGCAAGGCAACAATCATTCTGCTCTGGAATGCGAGAGCGTTGTGTGCTCTCACGAGTGCACTGTAATATCCCTTTTTCCTGCACTTGGAGTACCCGTCGGCCTCATGATCCGTCCTCTTGACCTTTCGAAGCGCAAGACTAGTCTGCGGCAGCCGGCGAGGAGGCTTCTGCGCAACAACATATGAAGCTAGCGTTGATTTCTGTGCTCAGTCAGCGCAATGGGAGAGAGATGGGCGACTGAGTAAATACCGACCGGCACATCACCACAGACCGGAGAAATACATCGGGCCCACGGGGCCTGCGCAGATCTCCGCAGAAGGGTAGTCACGATAGAGGTTGTGGTTTGTTTACCCTTGTCGCAACATACGAGTTCGGACCGGGCATCTATCGGTATGACATCCGAAAGTGACATTTGGTGGGGCGACCGTTCCCTCGCACGCGGCCTGCTTTGCCGGCAAAGCTCTGAGTATCGTTACCAGCCTGAATTTGGGGGTTGTGTGGGGACGTTACCTATACATCTGGTGTCTGGTGGCTTTCGCAAGGAGAGGTGAGTCATGTCGCATATCATATGGGACTGGCTCAATGCCGGCCGCGCATTGCCTTCTACACCCCGGCAGCCTTCTGCCCTCCTCATGCACAGACTTATGTTTTTAAGTATCACTTAGCTTCTGCTTGTCTGGGTATCACTGTATCAGTGCGCCTTGCATAAGTAGATCGAATCGACTCACCGTCACACGGCCACGCTGCATTATACACGTGGCGGCTATTGGTTGCGTATTGGATGTGTTGGTCCGCGCAGTCTCCCCACGCGCGCCATAAGCTCTCCTGACTGTTTGATACGCAAACGAAAGTCAGAATGTCGCACAGCGAGAGGAAATAGTTTGATATAGTCGGTGAACAGGTGTCGTACGTCGTGATCGTTCTCAACGAGACGGAGTACATAAGCGCCTGTCAGGGCGTCTTCGCAAAGATTGAGGCGGAGTTGCGGAGTACTCGATTAGAGTTTCTGAGGTCTCGCGATCGACGCTGGAAGTGCATCTTCTCTTCGTTCATCTCACCCTCCTACACAACACTTGTCACTCGAGTTTCTTGACGCAGACTTCGCTCCAGAACTACGGCTTTTGTCGATGCACTTTGGGTCTTGTGAAGTGCAAAGCAGTGCAGCGCGCGATAGTTGCAGGTTAGACCTGAAGCCTGAAGCGTGAACGGCGCTGTCGCATGGACTTGTGCGTGGATCTTGCCTGGTCACGCACTGTGGACTGCTGTACATGTCTGGACAAACATCTTCTCTCTGTATGTGCACCCTGAACAAGAGATGGTAGAGGTCAACGCAATGGCGCTATCAGCTCTGCTATGATGCTACTAGTACGACAGGCGGAAGAACCTGGATCATGTCAGTCCCAGGGTATCGTTTTTCTTTCTCACTCTTAGGTCCTTGAAGTTCGCCTGGTATATCGCGAGAAGAACAATCCACTCGTCAAGATCGCAATCATTAGCGGACGTGCTGCCTACGGCCTCGCCTAATGCAAGGCGGCCGTACGACACACCAGATCGCATGCGGAAACATCGGGTGGACACGCTGTCACATGTTATACGCCCGATCCTCTCTCTTCCAAGCTGCAGAATGATGGTAAGCGCATCACCACATGCGTAACCGCGAAACTGACAAGGTATATTACAGGCGTACCGAGAAAAGTGGGTACTGGTTCTCTGTCTATGCCCCAAAGGTGCTTTGATGCGCTGTCGTTTCTTATGAGCAAGTTCAACGAGGTGGGTGAACCGACGGTGGGATCAACTGCGTCACTTGATGTCGCTTTTGGCTGCCAGGTATACTCCGCCACCACGGTACATAGCTAAGGCTCAAACGGCATTGACACGTCATCGTCCACGCAGCAGGATCTCTTCTCAGCGACACGAGTCCCGCTGCTCGCGCTGTCAAAGTCTCTCACCTATGCGTCTTGCCCGTCGTCATCGACCCCCTCCCGTTTGCTATACCTATCGTCCATCGACGCGCGCGTAGCTGTCGACGGCAACAGGCCGAAGGTTCTGAAGGTCGCGAACGGTAAAGCAATCGCGAATGGCCTCAACGTCGGCGCATCCCTCGCAGGCTTCGTGATCGTGTCCACGTATGCTCATAATATACGTTGGGCCCGCGCTCACGCACCCCGTTAGCGGCGAGTCTCACTCCCGGGCTGACAATCTATCGCGTCTCCTACGGAGCTGTATCGCTATGGGGGACAGACGAACAATACCGCACAAAAGGTGCCTGGGCCTGCGTCTGTTGGGGCTTCCCGCCACCCCTCTTGGGTCGAATGGCGGTAGTGCTTTCAGGCTTTGCTGCAGGCGTTCTGCTGGAGGTTCTTCTTGGAGGGTTCCGATGTTGATACTATCTATATGTAAGCCTGAATGCTAGCGCGCCGGTCCCGATGTGCCATCCATTCTGCACGTTATAAAGTCCATTTTCTACGAAAGCAGGCGGCGGTGGCTCGCTGGCCCAAGATTGTACGACACATAACTAAATAGATGATTCTTTCTCAGTCTGCCTGTCTTCTATATGCTATCTTCTCGCCTCGCCTATTTTAGCGAACACCTGATGAGCGTCCTAGCTGCACCCGGTACGGGGACACACGCACCTGTCCGATCTCGCCTCATACGTTCCACGACGCCTTCGACGCGCGTATGTCCAGCACAGCGATGTCGACCTCTCCCGGCGGGCCTTCTAGATCGCGATCCTCTGCGTGCGAAGACATGTTCCGCGGAAATAGCTCTCCCGGTTCGGCCCCATTCGTGCTCGTGTTGCTACTAGCCGTCGCCTGCTCGTCTTCGGGGAAATCGAGCGTTGAAGGGTAAAATGCGGCAGGGGGGATGGGAGGTTTGGGTAGCTGGATGTTCATAGGATGGGTCGGAGGAATTACGTCGCGGCACTTGTCTGCCCTGCTGCTCCATGTGCGCGAAGGGAGCCTGGCTACGTCTTCTGCAGAGCTCCTGGCCATTCGTAGGACTATGAATGAGAATACGAGGCCCTGTGCAGCACAGTTGAAGTGTCTTCGGAACTACTTAGATACTGCGGGCACTCACGATAAGCGGTGGGAAGATACTGACGCACGCCTCAAAGCCAATGTCAATGCTCTCGACATTTGTGATGATTAGCGAGAGAGACGCCATAGAGTAGATGGCAGCAGACTGCACGATAGCCTCGACTACCATCCCAAAAAGCTTCAGTCTTGTTGACGGCGGCGTATACTGGTCCGCGCTGCGGAATACGCGCCAAATGATGAGAACTGATGAGAAGTCAGCCATGAATGATGGCCGCTGGAGGGCACCCCGCAAAGGCCCAATAACGTACCGGAGCAAAGCACATTGGAGGTGAACGAGAGAGAGAAAAACGCCAGTAAGGTGAATACGTTGGCGGTAAGGTTGCCGTTCGGTGTGTACACGAATTCGGATTGAAGCAAGCCCGCCAGTGTGACATAACCACACACTGACAGAGCAAAAGAACATCATCAGTGTGCCTTTTCGAGCTCTTGTAGAGTGTTATACTTACCACCGTGAACAAGACACAATACCGCAGGAAGAACAATCACTTTCCAATGGCGATTCCATACGAGAAACACTCTGTATATCTGTAGTCACCTCATTTCTGTTACTACTTGCTGATACAAATATCCAATGGGATGTGCTCACCATGAAAGCGTCCCCAATTAGCGTTTGCGTGACATAGATGCCTAACCGAGCAAACCACAGGGGGGATCCGAAGTCGAAGAGTTCCAACGTCCAGAAAACATCAAACATGCTGTCTCCATTCGCAACGAATCCAATGAGCGTAAGCTTCAAACTCAATGCAACATGCTAAGGATTAACCATTCAGCTTTTCCAGAATGGCAAGCAAGGAGTATACGTATACGTACCGCAAGGGCCAGCCCAAACATAGTCGTGCTGGTGCCTAACAGGACCCATTCTCGCGTTGAGCGCCGAATCCGTGAGGCAAGCGTTTTGGATAAAGACCACACGCCCATCGTATAGGTGACGGTGAACGCGCCAAAGAGCAAGGTCTCAAGAAAAAGTGCCACAATGTATGTGGTAAATTCATGATAAGCTACCATAGGCTGTAATCGAAAGCAGGAGTCAGTTGTATCAAAGGGTCATATAGATTGAGGCCATCCCAGCCCTTCAAACAGCACGGAACGTACCCATGGTGATGGGTCAGTCGAGAATGGAAGCATGAGGAACCGACGAGGGGTTGAGGGGGGGGGGAGGCACGTAGGGCCTTCCCGTCGGACTCAAGTCTTATACGACGCGTAGGTGTCTCCATCTACGACTCGAACACGACGGAACCATAATTCGTCTCAGATGGTAATGCACTGCTGTGTCATTCAAGACAGCTGCTTATGAAACGTTAAGTCGGTTTGTGATCGCCTCGCGCTTGGGGCCTTGTTTACCTGCTGGGGCCGAACAAACAATTCACAGCCAATGGCTGAGGCAGCTCGGGCGGTCGGTGTGGCTCTCACCAGCGCTGTCGGAGCCTTGCGCCGTAAACCTGCCACATTCAAGGGTTCCGATTGCGTGCCGCCTGTTTGTTAGGCTCCACGTGTAGACAAAATCTCCAATGCAAGTGATCCAAGTAACGGCCTGATCGAACAAACGAGGCAGGGTCGCCTCCGCCGCTCAACGCGGCCCTGTCACGCTAGAGAGTACTTGTCTTGCCTGTATCGGCGCTAGCGACACAACGGGAGACACGGTGCCCCGAAACTCTCCCCTCAAAGCTCCAGCAATACGTGCCTGTGGCACTGTCCGCTCGCCTCTGGTGTCGTACACCGTTTGTTGCGCTCGACAGCGATGATCCTGCAGACAAGGGCGTTCTTGCATCTCCACGCGAGCTTACTCGCCGGGCCACTGTTTTGACATACACCCGCTGAGCATAAGCTCGTGTAGCTACATGCACCAGTAGTGCGCGTATGGGGGAATCTTCGTGAGCTCCGCGAGGTTGGCGGCGCGATATGCACCGACTCGGAGCGTGGACATGTGTCCAACCCGTACAGCCCGTGACGTGCTCTTCTCACTCCAGGGCGGCAAAGGTGGTCTTGAAGCATGGCTGTGGGGCGCAGAGGGACTGGCTTTGATAGTCAGCTATGTGGTACCGACGAGAAAGACGGATTACTCCATGGAGCTCGTTGAAGGTCATTTACGACCCTCGCCCGCGCATATCATGGAGGAACCTGTTGGGAGCTGTCAGATACCGGGACTCGTGGTGCCTCGAAGGCGCTTACGTGGGGATTCGGATGTGATATCCTAGGTTCCCAAGTTAGTCGGACAGATGATCAAGGAGGCAGAGTCTTACGAATCGAAACTATCACCCGTGAAGTCATGGAGAGAAGCGGCTGTACAGACAATGGATGACGGTCGGTGCGCGGCCAATAGTCAGCGACGATGGATAGTCAAGCAATAGCAGTAGGTATACACAAATCTTTCGCGGTCCGTGGGATGTCGTTCAGATCGCGCCCCCTTCCTCCACCCGTCCTAAATCCTTTTCTCCTAGATGAAAGCAAGACAGCGTGCCCTCACAGCGGCACAGTCCCCTTCAGCCGGAAGTCGCGACTGCTCGCACCAATCGAGAACGTGAACTGCCCCGCAGGCTTCCCCCACCCCTTCGCGTCCACATCCCACACGCTCAGGTCGTAGCGCGAGAGCGTGATCTTCCCCTGCGCGATCCCGTGCGCCGGCACCTTGATGTCCTGGAACCCGCGCAGCACGCTCGGGGGCTCGCCCGCGCTGCTCGGGAAGTGCAGGTAGAGCTGCGCGATCTCGGTGCCTGCGACGGCGCCGGTGTTCCTGACGGTGAAGGTGACCTCGAACGCCGGGCGGTGCAGCCAGAGCGCGGCGACGGCGCCCTCGTCGGCGGGGGAGGCCTTGCCCGCGGCCCAGGCGGACTCGAGCGCGGCGGACGTGTGGTCTGCGTGCGCGATGGGCGTGACGCGCAGGCCGGTGTAGGAGAACGTGGTGTACGAGAGACCGAAGCCGAACTCGAAGCGCGGGTCGATGTTGTTCTGCAAAACTGCGTCAGTACACACTCGACAACAACGTGGAGACGAGAACATACCGCGTCGAAGTGGCGGTAATCGATGTTGAGGCCCTCGGTATAGTCGATGCGCAGGATCTCGTCGCCAGAGCCCCCAGTGATCAGCTGCGCGCTGTAGTCCGCGGGGCTCTTCGCGATCGTGTACGGGAGGCGGCCAGAGGGGTTCACGTCGCCGTACAGCACGTCTGTGATCGAGTTGCCCGCCTCCTGCCCAGGCAGCCCAGCCCAGATCACGGCGGTGACATTGGGGTTCTCAATCCAGGGCTCGATGATCGCGGGGCCGACGGAGTGCGCGATGACGATCGTATTCCGGTTCACCTCTGCGATCGCGGCGATGAGATTGTCGGCGTTGCCCCAGAGCGTGAGGTTCTTGCGGTCGCCCTCGTTGCCGTCGACGGTGATGTAGTCCTCGCCCGAGTCCGCGTTGACGAATACGAGCGCGACGTCCTGGTCGAGTGCGGTCGCCTGCGCCCCAGCGAGGTCCCAGTTGTTGAGGAACCACGACACCTGCGAGCCGGAGGAGTCCTTGCGGGCGCGAGCCTGAATAGCCTCAAGCGGCGAGATGAGGTACGGGAACTGGGTGGTGCCAGATCCCCAGCCCATCGCGAGGATGCCGTCGTCCCCACCGCGGTCACCGTAGCCGTTGGGGCCGCGGGAGCTCGGGCCGGAGTCGTTGCCTATGCGCGCACATCAAGTCAGCTCTAGGTACGACGTAGTCCATAGGACAGCTTACCGATGAGGGCGATGCTACGGGGTTTCTTGAGGGGGAGCGCGGAGTCGGTGTTCTTGAGCAAAACACTTCCAGCAGCGCCGATCTCGCGCACGATCTTGTAGTGATCGGCTTGCACATCGACGTGCGCGTTGGTCGCCGGATCGTTCATGAAGAACGCGTTGAAGCTCACTGCACGCCACAATCAGCACGTATACATAACATCCATGATGATAGACGCACCTTCGGGGTAGTTATCGTCCTGGTCGAGGAGATACCACGACGCGAGGATGCGCTCCGCCATGTCGTCCACGCGGGTTTCGGCGATCGAGCCGTTCTGCACGAACGCAGTCAGGTTCGCGCCCCACCACGACGTCCCCGAGTTGAACGTGATGTCACCAGGCATGGACATCTGTAGTGGACAGTGAGTTCAGAGCACATTCGAAGTCCAACGGAACACGTACATCCAAGCCCGCGACGGCGGCAAGAGTCGAATGGTGCGCCTGCCAATCGGACATGACGTAGCCTTGGAAGCCTGCCTCCCTCTTCAAGAGCTGGTTGAGCGTGTGGTCGTTCTCGCACGCGTACGTGTCGTTGACCAGGTCTGAGATCCGTGTCAGCAGGCAGTTCAGGCGCACATTCAACACGACGACGTACTGTAGCTGCACATGACACTAGCCACGCCAGCCTGCACCGAACGCAAGAAGGGGTGGAAGTAGATCTCGTGCTCAGTACGGTCGTCGACGTTTGACGACTCCTGCGTACGGAAGTGCTCCTGCTCGCTATACCGCGAATCGTCAGCGGATAGACGTCAAGCGAGTTCATAAGACATACTTGTTGATGAAGTGCTTCGCGCAGGCCTGTACGCCGCCCTCCTGCATACCGAGAATCGTCTCGTACGCGGCCTCCCCAGAAAGGAATGGGTCCGCGCCGAAACCCTCCCAGTTGCGGCCACCCTGGGCGATACGACCCATGTTCATCATAGGCCCAAGTGCAACGTTCGCACCCTTGCCTTTGAACTCCTGTCCCATCGCGAGCCCACGAGCACGAATGAGAGCACGCTGCCATGTTGCGGCAGCTGACAGACCAGTGGGGAACGCGGTTACGAAGTCAGTATCGCGCACGCCCAGAGGGGAATCTTCGAGACAGAGGCCAGGCCAATCAGCGACGGCGGGAATGTTACCGACGCAGCGACCACCCATCCAGCCGACACCGGTGGTGGTCGCAACCTTTTGCTCGAGCGACCAGCCGGAGATTAGCTTCTTGGCGCGGGCATGTGCGGCCTTCCAGGCTGGGCCAAAGTCGGGAATGAGGCTCGAGCCCGGCGGGGGCGGAGACTTGGGTGAAGTCGAGGGGAACACGCCGGGTATCGGGGATGCGGAGGGGACAGGGAACGACGTGAAGGGGTATTTGGAAATGGGTATCGTGAGGTGCGCTGAAAGCGAACAAGATCAGTTCTCAGTTTTCGTGCCAAGAGAGCAAGCGAGAGATATTCGAGATGTATATGAACCGCCCTGAAAATACTACTTGCTAAAAGCATGCCCACCACATCCATAAATGAGAAACAATCTATCCACTAAAACCATGGAAATATCGCATCGCCAGACTCAGGTGAGGTTCGCGCCGAGGTATGCCGCGTAATTTATACTTAGAAACACCGCGCCACGCGGACTTTGCGGGCTCCGCTTTCGGCACCCGAACGGACATGAAATGACCGCACGCCCGCCCACAAGGAGCACGAACGCGTAGCATGGACACCACTTTACTCCATGTGCACTCCGAATGAAAAGGAACAGGAAAGATTACTCACTGGACTCGAGAGGAGGGCCCGTAGAGGCAGTGGACGCCGAAGGAGCGGCGGAGGAGATGGCGCTTGACACCGACGCGACAGACGAGATTGCACTCGACACTGACGCGATGGAGGTCCCGGAGAGAATGGTAGAGACAGATGCGGACGCGCTGCTCACTCCGCTGGAGTTGGCGGAGGAGACCGACGCGGGTGCCGAAGCCGAGACCGACGCCGACGCGGAGGACGCGACGCTCGTCAGGATGGAGGTCACGACCTCAGTTGAAGACGCGACGGCTGACGACGCTGCCGACGACGCAGACACCGCGGAGGAGAGCTCGCTAGTGGATTGAGCATCGGAGATGGCGGCGAGAAGGAGAGCGCAAAGAGCGGAGAGACGAGCGTTGAGGACAACCATGGCAGCGTCGAGGAGCAGAGAGAGAGGGCTCGGGAAAAGCTCGGAGGATGCGCCATGGGTTTATATACCTCGGGATGGCGAGGAGAAGCACGAGTTGCGCGCCGAGCACGATGGAGAGAGGCAAGCGGGGCAGCAAGCATTCTGCTCTGGAACGCGGCCTCTCGTTATGGGCGCCTACGCGTGCACCCTGACTCTGTCAAGTGACCGATGACGTAACGCGCGTCGTATTTTTTCAACCTCTTCGGTGGCCGATCGCCTTCTCTTCCTCCTGCCGTTACCTCCACCGCTCCGTCTTTCTCTGCACTTCTTCCTACCCGATCCCTCCGTCTCTTCCCAATCCGAGTTGCTCCTCATCGTCTTCGTGGCGTCGACATCGTACGAGCAGCGACGCCCGCGCGATGGAGAGCAATTGGGCAAGCGCACTCGCTCGGTTCAGGTGATGATGCATCCGTACCCGCATCTCTTCCACCGCCCAAACGCCCCGCCGCCGAGCGCAGCCCGCTCTCACCGTCCGTCAACGGGTCTCATAATTCTGCATTCCCATCACCTTCCAGGGCCCCCGCATGCGCTCGCCTCCAACGTGACTCCCTCCCCGGCGGTCGCCTGACCCCCCCGCCCGCCCCGCCCCGCGTGCCCCCTCCGGCCTCGTTTCTTCTCGCCGGGCGCATCGGCCTCTTCGCCGTTCTGCATTCCTGTCCTCGCTCAAGCCGAGGCCGGGTCGGAAGGCGCGTTGCCTGGAGAACCTTGCGCTAAAGTGTGCGTCTATGTTCGTATGCCGTTTGTGCTGTCGCGTCTTCCTCGTGGCCCTCTGATGCCCTCTGATAACCTCGGCCGCCCTGCTCAGTTTAGCAACAGCCTTTGCGCAGATGACCTGCTGCATGTTCGCCCGCGAACCGCTCCCGGTACTCTGTCTGCGCCACACGTCGTCCTCTTCTGCTATTCTGATCACCTTGCCGCCGCTATTGCATGCCTCGAAGAGTCGAAGGATCGATCGAGACTACGTGCTAACGCCGCCAGACCCACGTTTCTCGGCCCATAGACGACGACACCTTTCCATCCTGCTGGCTCTCTCTTTCCTCGTCTCTGAGTACGCTGTGCCGCCGGCCGCACATATCGGCCCGTCCCTGTCCGCCTATCGTCCTCCAGATCTGTCCGCTTGACCTCGCGTTGCCCTTGCCAAGTTCATGACTGCCGCGATCCCCGCTCGGCCTTCTAGTTCTACGCAATATCATATGCCAGCGGTGGGTCGACACCTTCACTCAGTCAGCACCATGCCATACACCGACCGGCACTTCAAGTTTCATCGTCCCATCGGCCGGGGAAATGCTTCGGAGCTCCGCGCGCAAGCGGGCGCCCGCCCTGGGCCGCAGAAGGTAAGTCACGGTGGGCGTTGTTGTTTATTTACCTTTGTCGCGACATACGGCCCCGGCCCGGCATGCCTGGCGTCTGAACATGACGTCCGGTGGGACGATTGAAGCCCACGTTCGTTCGTGCTCGCCTCGCTCGGGACCTTGCATACTGCGTTAGCTGACTGCCAAAATGCTGCAGCGCGCGGCCGGACGCGCAAGGAATGGAAGACATGCGTGCGTACCACCCCAAAATTTGCCGGTATGTCAAGCTTTATTGTACTTTGGATTCCCGCTCGAGGTGCGTCTGGGGATACGATTCGGCTCCGGTTGCGCTGGGGTAACGCCGCTGTTGTCCCAGGACGCTTCGCATCGCGCCCGAATGCGACTCCTCCCACGTTTATTGCACACCTTCCTTTTCTCCACTGGGCACGTCGACGCCTCCTATGCCGGCGGGCTTGTGCCATGTTACGGTGAGCTTGGCCCGTTCCGGTAGAGTATTCCGCTGAAGATCTGCTGAAGAACGTGTCTGTGACCTCCCTCTGGCGGTCGTCTTCGCCGCGGTGCATGTACGTACGTATATCACACTATTGCAAGCACACTTCTCGCTTTCGAATACCGCGAGAATATGCCGCACCGAGCCGTGCCCGAGGTGGTAAGTACCGAGCAGCCCAGCATCGGGAGATGGCTCCTGGCGCCCGCACGGACTACACGCGCTCTGATGAACCAAGGTGCGAGTTCAAACGACGATGTCGCCTGCTACAAAAAAACTACTCGTCCCCCAGTACATAATACCCCCGCAATACCCCGAACGAAGCCCGACCCGACCCGACCCGACCCCACCCCCTAACACGAACAAGACGCACACTCGCACGGACCTATCGTGCACCCCGCAACCGACGCGCTGACGCTCAAGCTCGCACGGAGATACCGATTCTGACGAGAACACCCCGCAACGACCGACCCGCCTACGCGCACCCGCCGCCGACGAGCCTAGAGGACCGCCCACGCCCCAGCGAGCACGCTCGCGAGCACCACCGCCATCCCGCCCACGAGCGGCCCCCCGCGCCCGGGTGCGGCGATCCCGGACGCCCCGCGCGCGCGCCCGGCGGCGTTGCTCGTCTGGCCCCCCGCACTGCCGCTGCCGCTGGCGCCGGGGCCGGGGCTGGTGACGGTGGTGGTGCTGGTGACGGTGACGGTGACGGTGGGGTGCGCGAGCACGGACGCGACGTCGCCCGTGAACGCGGTGTACACGGCGCCCGCGAAGGACGTGACGACGCCAAGGCCGCTCGCGGCGAGCGTGATCGCCGCGCCGTCGGCGTCCTGCACGACTGTGACCGCCTCGCCGGCCACCGCTGTCATTGTGTGTTGTCAGTGTCGTGGTGAGAGCAGGGGCGGGGAAGGGGAAAGGGAGACAATGGATGGACGTACAGGTGACGATGGTTGCGAGGGCGCCGACGGCGGAGGTCGCGTCGCTGAAGAGGGAGCCGGCTGCGCAGACGGCGGCGCTGTGTCAGTGCTGGACGGCGCCGGGCGCGGACGAGGGGTATGTACCTTCGGCGGTGGCTTTGGATGCTACGGAGCCCGCCTCAGAGGTGAGCGAGTCGATCGCGCTGCCGACTGTGCGGCGCGGTGGTCAGCTCGGGTGCACGGGGGGAGTCCGGATAGGGGATGTGGAGACTGACTGTCGCGCTGCTGGACGGCTGCTGTCGCGCTGGAGGCGAAGAGGGTGCATACCGCCAAGGCGGCGGGGAAGAGCACGGAGAGGCGGGCGAGCATGGTGCTGGTCGATGGCTGGCAGGGGGCGTGGGGTGACGAGGACGGATGTCTGCTGGGAGGAGGGTACGTTGCGCACATTATATACCCTCCGCAGACACAAAAACACTCACTAGTCTCGGTATGGTGCGCAAGGATAGTATTGGATTTCCAAGTGAGCCCTCTTGCAGGAGCAAACCACCTCATCTTTCTGGTGTCAGAGGTGGTTTGTACTACACGCCACAAGCTACGCGCCTTCAGGAAATGCAAGTTACCGTTATCCGCTGCACCGGACTCTATCTCCGCGTGCTCAGTTGGCTGGTAGACATGCCTACTCCCGCACTCCCGTTTGCAAGCAGAGCCTGTGAGGGCCAGGCAGGAGGATAGAGATGGCCCACGTCGTCCTCCGCTGTTCTCAACTGTCGTCGTGCGGCGGTTGCACCTCACTACTGCAACCGGGACCGGTCAGCTCGAAAGCGCTCGTTAAACGCCCGTTAAACGCCCTAAACACGCGAGATTCCTGATATCGTCTTCTGACACCCTCTTCGACTAGAATATTATGGCCTAGCGCATTTCATCCTGGTTAGGGTTGAGCTTTCGCGACGACCATCATAGACTTAGACTACGAGGCATCATCATACCATGTCACTGCGTTCCCTTCTCAATGTTAACCTCTTCTCCGGGTCTCGAGTCAAACACTGCACATTGATCTACATTCAACACGGGATGTATCTACTTATGTGACGTCCGCTATTGAACGGGCACCAAGACGCTACAGGTGCGTGCACACTCACATGAGCCTCGCACTGACTACGACCTAGCGGTTGCCCCGGGCGACATGGTGTGCGTTCTAATGTTCCATAGCTTGACGCCAAGGTCCACAGCATACATATCTTGCGGTCCGTGCACTGGCGCCCTGTGTCGACATGAACTACGCTCACAACTTCGTGATTACAGGCCACCCGCGCGCAAAAACAACGCATAAATCCCCCTGCATCGCGCAGGTGCTCTCCAGCATTTGCACACAGGATCGACCCGCAACCCGCAACGACGTCGACGCCACTCGTCGATAGTACCCATGCGACGCCATGCGACGGGCACGACCTCATGCTCTGGTCCAGACTCTGAGCTCCGGTGCCGCATCACACACTCGCAAGGCCATCTTCGGCCAACACATCTCGCATCCAGTGCCCGCGCCGTCTCCGTCCTGCGCCATATCAACATCCCGTTTGGCCAGCACACCAAGGGCCACAGCCGAGGGTGCGTCAGGGAGTGGCTGCAATGGACGTGAACAGACTTATTCGTGTTACGAAGTGTTCGCACGCCTCCGCCCTTATACTGTACCATGAGGTGAGCTCTCTCCAGCAGAATCAAGTTGTGGGCGTTGCTTACCGTTCTAGTCCCTCGGGATTGACTGGGCGATCTGACCTTCCTGACGTGACCGCACACGGCACGGAGAGTAAAGAAGCCGCACGAATAAATCGACGCGATGGCGAGATAGTGAGCCATCCGCATCCTCGGCCGCGCAGAGGCAGCACAACAACACCGCTAGGGGCAGGATGGGCTGTCCTGGAATTCCGCGGCCCGCACGAGCTGTATTGTCACTCTCTGGCGGTCTTGGCTAGGCATGAGGGACCCGCTCCTCAGCTGGCTCTGAGTGCATGAAAGCCTGAGCGCATGGGGTGCCCTGGGGGCAACTGCGCTCTGCAACAACGGCTCCTCGCTCACCGTCCCCGAGTACGCGAGACCCCCAGCATCACGTACTCTGTCGTCGAATCACTTGTCTATGTTCGATTCGACGACAGAGTACATGCCTGGCATCTCGCCATATCTTGACCGCATGGCGATCATATCCAACAGCTCGTTCGCCTTTGTCTCTGTCCTCTGCCGCCCCGGGAGCGCGCAGACGGCGACGACCGTCTCGTCGCAGGAAATGGACCACATTATCGAGGGCGGCCATCTACGGTGCGAACAACTTGCCCGACATGCCACAGTCGACCGTTACCGCACCTGCGACGCTGTGCTCGAACGCGTACATAGCAGCTGGGCGTGAGTCCTGTATCTTCTCCACACACCAGAATCCGACCAGCCAGTCCACTCTCCGGCAGAACAGCCTCCGCTTGCGACGCTGCCTTCATCGCCGCCGTGCAGTAGGTGCGCCGCATGCGCCTCCGCGCGGTGTTGAAACAGATAACGTCCTCAGCAACAAGATTGTCGGTCTACAGCGTAGACGACGATGGCCTGACGGACGTTGCGGTGCTGCAAGCCCCGACGCGCGGATACCTGTTCACTGGCCCAGTGCCTACCGGACGGTAAATACAAGTAGCATGAGCTGCCAGTGATCAAATTAAGTCTCCGAGAGATATGTAGTATAACAAAGCATATTGATTGTATATACGACGTGAGCCATTAATGGAGGTGCTCGGAGTCCTGTACGCCACAACCATGTGGGTACGAGCGCTTTCGAGCTGACCGGTCCCGGTTGCAGTACCTCACTGTGGCTCGAGCGCGATCCTCGTCTCGCCAGGCGTCTCGCAGGAGTTGGGGTTGAAGACACTGAAAGCACGCTGCTGCATGCGTTGGGTGGTCGCAACGCCGCTGCCAGTGCGTCCTACTCGACCACATTCCGCAGTGATGGGCAACCATGCAATGTGGACCCCGCTCCCAGCATCACGCGTGGACCCACGAATGTATGACTGGTGCTGGCGCAGTAGGACCGGCTCGGGGATCGTCCGTGCTGGGAGCGCGTGGTGCTCGAGATGCGCTACGTCCGAGGTGGTTGGGGTGGGGACTGGGGCCATGCGCGTGGTTGGTTGGGCAGGAAGTGTGGGGCGCCGGAGAGTGTTAGTTCCAGTTCGGAGACGGGACTCAGGAGCGTTGAATGTACTACAGCACTTGATCAACGTACGTGGCGCTCTGCTATCTACGTCGTTCCGATAGCCAATTGGAAAAACCATCCTGGTGCTAATTCATCTCCAGGTCGGACATTGCGTACTCTGTCGACCTTGCGATTTTCGAGCCCTGGGCGGACGAGCCGAAAATCACCGCGGTCGTGTGGGGGCTGGTCGTTTTGGCAAAGGAGGCCTACAAGTCAATCACGGACGTCCTCTACGGCGACGGAAACCTCCTGACGAGGCGTACCTTCGGCGGTGCCTGCGGACGCGAGAGAGCCCGCCTCAGAGGTGAGCGAGTCGATCGCGCTGCCGACTGTCAAAGGGACCGTCAGCTCGGACGAGTAGGTGAGTAGATGCGATGGCTGACTATCACGCCGCTGGACGGCCGCTGTCGCGCTGGAAGCGAAGAGCGTGCATACAGCGAGGGCGGAGAGGAAGAGCATGGAGAGGCGGGCGAGCATCGTGTATATCGAGAACTTGCGGGGTGTCATGTATAGAGGATGTCCGTTGTTGGAGGGAGGTACGTTGGCCACAATATATATTTTCTCCCAGTAAACTCACGCTCATGTCGTGCTAGGGCTTTCCGTAGCAGTCCTGAATGTCGGTGTGGCCCCGTATGGACTGCTCGCGCAGGAACATACCAATCCGCCAATCTCGTGTCATCGGTGGTTTGCATTGCATGGCAGGAGTTACGTACCTGCGATATCACCCTTGAAGGAAGCGCGACCCTATGCTGACCGCATATCTCGCTTTCTCCAGACCTGCGTTCCCGTCTTCCTAGGTTCGTAGTGAATGCCGTGTCTGTGCCAAGCCAAGCACGATTTACTGAACCCACATATGGAGCGTACCTCTCGTCCATGGTCGCTTCAGAGCCTCAGGGCCCACATTGTACGTTCTCCCGCGGTCAGTCACACAACATCTGCGCACGTACACTAGCGCCGCCACCAGCGCGTCCTTCTCGACCACAATATTTGATGGACCACGGACGCGAATTCACCTTGGCGCGCCAGACGCGCGTCAACGCTGCAGATTCGTGGTCAGCTGCAGGACACTGCGCTTTGGGGAAGCACGGACGCGAGGATGGGGGCGTACTGCTAGGTTCGGGGGTGCCGTCATCGATGCAATTTCCTTTGTTCACAGCAGACACTATCTGGCGAGAACTGCTGGGACGGGGCCGGTGTGTTTGGACTAGAAGCGTGTGGCGCTTGAGAGTGCCTGTTCCAGTTCGGTAACGGAGCTGCAGCCTTGAATGGCGTACAGTCCTGATTTCGAATGAATGTGATCACTGGGGTCGCCGTCAAGGTGGTCGAACTCAGCTACACAGTCACCCGCTCTCACCTATGTTGTGCGTATGGAAACGCACTTTGCGTCACGCTGTATGATTGAGCTCTGGGGCCACCAGGTACTGGTACAAGCCAAGCACAAACTCAGCTTAAGCTCCAGTTTGAGTTGGCGAAACTGGTGTACGTACTGACAATTAGCGTCTATTCTGTGACACAACCCTAGTGCGATTAAGCGCCAAACGGTGAGTCACCGCAGTCAACGCACTAGTACCTACACCGCACTACCACCTGCATCCTTGAGCGAGGTCGCAGCCCCATCCTACGTGGAGGGCTGCTAACTGGTTGCTGAAGTCTTCACGGTTGTAACAGGTCAGTGCTTATTCCACAGTGGACCGAGGCTGAATTTATGTCAGGCTCGGAATGCGTACGGGCTCGTACTTACATATTAACAAGGCATTTTCTCCCGGTAGCTTCGCGTCAAGTCAAGTCATATCTCGATAGGGCAACATGCCCCCGCTGAAACGACGACGCGAAGGCGATGAGCACGAATGCGCCGTGCCTGAAGACCCTGTAGCCGCCGCCTCGTCACAGGCTGACGCCAACGCCGGGTTCGACTCTCGAGACGGAGAGTTCTGGCTCGAAGACGGCAGCATCATCCTCGTATCGCGCCGAACTGGTTTCCGAGTGTACCGTCATCTGCTGGCGGCACAGTCCCTTGTCTTCCACGACTTGGTGGCGTCGGCGGACCCGTCCACCGGCGAGAACTTCGAAGGATGCCCGCTCGTTCATCTCTCCGACTCACCTGAGGACCTGCGACATCTTCTCAGGGCCATCCTACCTATTTCTAACACTACGTGAGTGTTCACGCGTGCATCATACCCGCCTATAACTGACAACACCTACGATAGCTTCTTCCGCGAGACCGAGCGCGAAGGCGTGATAATGACCTTCGACGAGCTCTCCGCGGTCATCCGTCTCTCCCACAAGTACGCTATCGCGGACCTCCAAAAGCAAGCCATCCGCGCCCTGAAGTCGTGCTTCAAGACCAACTTCGATGCCCTCGAGTGGGACGTCGAAGAGGATGTCAAAGGCTGTGTAGACTGGACGGACGTCCATGCCATCGGCGCAGTCAACCTTGCACGCCTCACCGACACCCTCGAGATCCTTCCGTACGCGCTCTACCGGTGCACCCAGCTGCATGGGCTTGTGCTCAGCGGCTGGACGCACGAGGACGGCACGGTTGAGCATCTGGACAGGGACGACCTCCGGCGGTGCATGGACGGCCGCGGCGAGCTCGCATGGGAGATGAACGCGCTCGTCTCCGCGATCTTCGCCTCGGGATACGGAAACCAGTGCGAGACTACAGACGCTTGTCGGGCGGGCCACGGGCTCGTCCTGCTGGGGATCCTGAAGGGAGGATTTGGGGGCACGGTCACCCCGGACGTCCTGAGGAGTTGGAGCAGGATCATCGCATCGTTGCCGAGCATCTGCGAGGCTTGCAAGGAAGGCATGCATGAGCGCGATAGAGCTGAGCGGAGGAAGGTTTGGGAGAGGCTGCCTCGTTTGTTCGACCTCGAGACGAATCAACGTGTGGATGGTGATCTTTACTAGGTGATACGACTAGGGTGCTCGAGCCCGGGCTCTGAGGGGAATGACACATTTTTGAACGCAGGTTATTTCCTGATGGGGAGCGCTGCATTGCGGGGCGCTGTGCTGAGTAGATGCTGATACCTGGACGTTGTCTTCGAGACTGCGGAAGCATCATAAGATTTGGGCGATGAAGTCTGAAGACGGGGCTGCGGGGTAGATGGAGAACACGAGCTCTATCATTCGAGTGAGTGCTCTGTCCAGTCCTATAGTACTCGCACCCCCCAACTCGTGCTAGACACATTAAAACCCTGCGATACACTCCATCGTGCCAGTCTTTGTCTGGTATCCAGAAGCCTCGATTGGTCCACAACTCTGAGTCTCGCAACCAGATTCCAATCATTGGAAGCGCACATGCCCCGCATCGTTTACCGGAGAACCACCGCCCTGTCTCTGACAGCTTGTTTGCTTCGCCTGGGACGATGGAACTTGATGGTATCGTTCTGCTACGATGCCGCTATCTTTGGCTCGTCTTCGACGAGTTATAGTTCTGTCGTTCCGTAGATGGAAGCATTAGATGTCGTATAAGAGGTGTCGCGGCGACATGACTCTCCACCAACTTGCCCTTCTTCCCGTCGTATCACCATGGAATCTACGTCAGATGATCCATACGAGGTACGTTCAATTTATTTTGGCTTTACCGAAACATGCATACAACTCACTTCTGCCACCTTTACTTACAGCTCGCCACAGAGCATTCAGAGCTAACTCTGTTCGTAGTGGCACTCTTTCTTGAGACACTGTTTTTCGGCGCGTTCACGGTCACCTATACGATGGGATCATGCTCCTTATCAACGACAATTGCCTCGAGGAAGCACTCGACGCGGGACTGGGTTTTGCTGGGTGTGAGCACAACTATGTTTGGGCTTGCCTTCACGGTACGGAACGGTCTACTCTGTTGACTGTAATCAGTCTTACACATTTCCACCCTTTAGCATATCGCGCTCACACTGAGGTTAGCGCTCCACCTCTTCGTGGGGATATCTGCAAGTCTTGCGACTATCGACGACGAGTTATATGGCATTTCCATCCGGAGTGCTCTAGGGGCTCCCAGGGCCGGGATATACGTCACGCAGATACTGATCGGGGACATATTCATGGTGAGCACCTCTCTTCATACTTACGTCGTGTGGCCGCAGTACTGACTGCAACCCCACAGATATACAGGCTCTTTCTTGTGTGGAATCGCAGCCTCAAAGTCATCATTCTCCCCACTATATTTTGCCTTTTGGGTGGCGGTGAGTATACCACGTTTCTATGGTTTGAATGCTCATACTAACGGCGCGCGGTACACTTTCAGCGTGTGGTTATGCCGCATTGGTGCCGTCTTTTTCCCTCACCCTTTTATTATTTTCCGCCTTGTCGTTCGTCTCCAACACGCTCTGCTCAGGTACATTTCACGCCTCGTGAATTCTAGTGTTCTAAACGCATCCCTGACTTTGCATCAGGTCTCATAATGTGGCGGGTGGTGCGGAACGCGGACCAGTATACGTCCCGTTCAGCGCGGCGCAATCTATATCGGAAGGTGGTCGAAGCTATTCTGCAGTCTATAACTGCATCTGTCGCTCTGTGCATCATACTTTTCGTCAATCCCGACATCGGTTTCATTGTGTGCACGAGCGCATTCCCATCTCTGATCGTGAGTGCGGCTCACAGTCTATCATGATCTCTACTCATATACCCCACTTGGGCGACGCGCAGGGTCTTGTATTCTCCTTCATAGTCCTCCGACTCGCTAGGAGCTCTGCGGAAAACGTAGCACGGCTCGCTGCCATGCAGAAATAGAACGGAGTGGCGGAGAAGTGGTGTCGTGGGTGCGGAGCCATCCGTTGTTCTGTGAGCGCCCGACTGGCCAAGCTTCCTTTCCCCCATCTCGTACTTCATCTGGCCCCAGTCAATATAACGGAGGACGTGAAGGAAAGGGTTAACACTATTGGCAATGATATCGCATAGTATGTGAGAAAGGTCTGGGTAGGTACGTATCTCCTTGCATCTCCGGCGGCTTTGGAGCTGCAGCTGGTCAGTCGCTGGACTCGGACGCGAACTTGGAGCGGAGGAACCTGCGAGCTAATCTATGTTCTCGATTGGGGCGAGTAGTCGGGATTTCCGCCTGAAAGGTACGGTGCGGCTTTAAAGTCGGCGAGAGACCTGCTATCTTGCTTTGAATGATCTAGGAGCAAAGGGTTTAGGACGGGTGGAGGGGGTGCACGATCTCAACGACATCTTACGAACCAAGAACGATTGCTTTTGTAAACGCACTGCTATATCTCTTGACTATTCAAATATTCAACACCGCAAACCATCGGCTGCTCGTGAGTACCGATATCATGAGCGGACCTGGAACTCTGGCTATCGTACAGTCCGCCGCGATATACTCCACGGCGTCGGTCGCTCTGGCGCTCACCTTCTTCCTCAATCCCCACAACAAGCCTGGCTTCCTGGTGTGCCTCGATCTGTTCCCACCGCTCATCGTGAGTGTTCGTAGTCTGTCCCAGCACATACTCGGGTGACTCAATCGGGGCGATGCGAAGGGACTAGTCTTCTCCTTCATAATCCTCCGAATGGCCCGGAGCTCTGCAGAAGATGCATCGCGGCTGTCTTCGCATACAGCTAATGGTACGGACAAGTCTCGTAGCGTAATCCGTCCTCGAAGCCGCCCCTTGAGCGTCCGGTTACACATACCTCCGTTCCCCCCTCCGGCGCTTCAACTCGCAACATTCAACATCCGGGAAGATATACAGGCGACAGGTAGCAGCAATGAAAGCACAAACAGTTTCAAACCTGCGAAGCTCAACCTGCGGAATAGCGAGCTCGCTGAGGATCGCGACCTGAAAGGCCCACCGAGAGAGGATGACCTCGGCGTGTTGGATATACGCGCGTCGAAGTCTTCGTGGAATATGTGAGGCTGGAAAACCGGTGCGAGTGTGTTTTTATATCAGGTATTGCTAGGTAGCTCATTGATCGCATGTTTCATAGGCATGTCGGACACAGCAAATGGAGAATATGCATCGAAAAATCGTGTACTTATATTTAATGTTTTGTATTACAACCTTGCCAGGGCGTAGTGACGATTCCCGCGTGCTTTAAACTCGATGTGGGTCAATTTCCAAGCCTATAGGGAGACCCCTTACAAAGAGATCATCTTGTTTCTAAGCCGGTGTCGAAATTGTGGCTCGCTATTTAATGAGCGCTTACTTAGAGTTAGCAGTTCGGCCATTTCCGGCCGGACTCGGAGCTCTCGGGGACTCAGATGTTTCTTCTCTTCGTCCATCACCCAGACTGTACTATGTATCACAATGCCGGATCAAAGGTATGTTTTTGTGCATTCTCATACCTTATAGAAGTAGTTTATGTGCTCAATCTAGATGCCCATGAGGCTTTCAAGCAGTTGCGACGTCCTCGACCCGGATGAACGTCCACCGCATCGACAGGCACGTAGCTCCTAGCTCATCGACTACCAGCACGTCAACGTTGTACGTCCCTCCTTCGTTTCATACCTCATGCTGACATCAGTGAAACGAAATTGAGCGCGGATTTACATCACGCTGGCATATGTCGGGATCCACGTTACACACATCACGCACGTAGACCGCGCATCCGCCGCACTTGAAGCTTCCAATTTCAAGTGTTTGGGCTCACCTGGCTTACGGTTAATGGAGTACATAGAGGAAGAAAAATTGTGCGTCGTGTGCTGCTCCTGCCACGCGGGCTTCCGAGTAGCCCGCCGCCCACTAGCTACATAGTCGTGTTTCATGATCTCGTGGCTCTAGCGTACCACTCCACGGACGATAGTTTGCAAGGATAACCCCTTGTTGATCCCTCCGATTCCCCTGAGATACGATTGACTCTTGACACAACGTGAGCAGAACCGTCTACATTGGGTATTCCGCTCGGAGGTCAACTCGGAGACCGACTCGGAAGACGTCACGTTAACTTCTGGTGAGTTCTCTTCTGCTATAAATACGTCCGCCTCTCACGAATGCGCTACTACGTACCATAGAGATGGTGATAGTCCTTTGCCCTGGAGTAGGACGTGGAAAACACCATCAAGGGCCATGCATAGACTGGACGGACATCCACGCCCTCGGCGCCTTCAAACTCGCACGAATCCCCGCCCTACGACGATTACCGGAGCAGTGCTTCCCTGCTGCAATGCTTCGTTCACTTGTCCTGGGATGGCGTTTCATGGCATCCTCGCCATATGATGCTGCGATCGCGATCACTAGCTTGCTTTCGACAAGTCCTTTGCTCTCTCGGCCCTTATACGAAGGGTGTAAAGGTACCAGCTACATCATTAGTCACTTCGAACGGTCAAACCTTCGAACGTACGTCAAGTCGAAGCTGACGAGCAACGATCCACGCCTGTGGGTCCCCTCCGAGTTTCAGGTCTGTCACGTCGTAGCTATATAAAGCACCCATATAGCCTATAAGATGTGTCGCTGTGGGATGCGTGGTGTCTAGATATCCTCAAACGTGCGCTCTTTCTTGTCAGTGCTACATACCATATCCGCATGATTGAAATTCAATCCGGAATCCCATTCCAAGTGGTGCGTTTCTCCTTGTGCCGTAGTCATATATCGTATAGCTCACTTACCCCGTCTGCGACTGCGTCACAGCTCATGGGATTGAGCCATGACACACTACATGCATATATAGTGTCGCTCGTCCTTGAGGCATTGCTCTTCGGCACATTCACTGTCACTTACACCACGGGAGCATACTCTTTGCTAAAATCACTGGTTTCAAGGAGGCGCTCAACCCGAGACTGGGTTTTGCTGTGCGCGAGCACGGCTATGTTCGGGCTTGCACTGGCGGTACGTCTATTCTATCGCCGCGATGCCAGTGGACTGAACTTCGACCCCATAGCATCTTGTGCTTAGCCTGAAATTGACGTACATCGTTTTCCCTGCACGTCGAGGAAGCGATGGACAGCGTGGGCCTGCCATGTTAACCGAGACCACAGCCATTTTCCCTGTGTGGTATGGCCGGTTGGGCATTTACGTCTCGCAGACACTGATTGGCGACGTTTTCATGGCGAGCACTCCTCTTTAACATTTAGTTAATCCTTATTGCTTAAATAGATCGTCCCCATCAGATCTACAGACTGTTCATCGTCTGGAATCGCAGCAAGAAAGTCATAGTCGTCCCTGCGACACTATGTCTTGTCAACGCCGGTTAGTTTAGTTCTCCCCACGAAGTTGTATTAGCGTACTGAACATTCATTCGTTGGCGGTATACCCAGTGTGTGGCTATCTTACACTGGGACCCTTGACTACAACGTTCATTTTGCTCGGGTTCATCCTGCTGTCATTAGTCTCCAACGTGCTCTGCTCGGGTACGTGTTCAGATCTCGCTCGCACTACGGTCGCGCAAGATAGGCTCCAGTGTCTGCCATGGTTTACTGACTTTCCTATCATCAGTTCTCATAATCTGGCGGGTCTTCCGCAGCGCAAACCATAGCACGCCGTTCTCAGCGCGGTTCAAGCTATACCAGAAGGTTGCCGAGGCCATCGTGCAGTCCGCCGCAATTTACTCGACGGCATCCATCGCTCTCGGGCTCACTTTCTTCTTCAATCCCAACAACAAGCCCGGCTTCCTAGTATGCCTCGCCGTGTTCCCGCCACTCATTGTGAGTACTTGCCGTATTTCTAACTTTTCTATCCTGAGATTGATCTGCGGGAAACGCCTAGGGCCTGGTATTTTCGTTCATAGTTCTTCGAATGGCCAGGACCTCTGCAGAGGACGCAGCCCGTCGTTCTTCGCACACAGGGAACGACAAGCGCCACACCATCATCGCTCCGAACCGCCGCTCCATGAGCGTCCAGTTGCACATGCCTCCCTTTCCACCTCCCGCGTTTCATCTCGCAACTCTCGATTTCCCGGAAGACGCCCGGGTGACGGATAGCAGCAACGCAAGCACGAACACAGTCAAGCCGGTGAACCCGCTGACGCGGAACAACACGTCGCTGGCCGAAGACCTTGGCCTGGAAGGCCCACCTGGAGGGAACGACCTCGACGTGCTGGATGTACGTACGTCGAAGTCATCGTGGAGCGATTCGGGAGGGCTCAGATAAGTGTGTATGTTCCAGAACGCGAAGCTATAGAGCTGATTAGTCGCCGATTTGTACATAGGTAGCGATACACGTCTCATAAAACAGAGAGTATATTGGAAGGGAACGCATACTTCATTCTGTGTCATATGTGCTCTGGTGATATCGACGTACTCCGGTGTAGAATTGTATGTACGACTCGCGAAAAGGGTCTCATCTTCTCCGATTGACTTTCTCCGTATCAGCTTGAGCGCCGCGACGCGATAGACTCGTTGCGCGCATCTCCACTTTGTTAACACTCCGTGTTTATAAACAGCGGTACATGCACATATGACGGTCTACACACGAGAAAACTGCCAGAGTTAACCCTACCCGAATATCTAATCAGTCGGATTCGACCGGTAGCTAGTGTCCACAAGGGGTCCGGTATCGGAGAACGATCCCGAATCACCTGCTATCGGTAAAACGTCATCTAGCACCAAATTCGTCAGGTACTTAGTTTCACCCGAGAAGGCCGAGGGTGTCAGTACTCACCCAGTGCCGGTGACGCTAGTGCTGGCCGGCTGCGCAAGCGCGGACGCGACGCCACCTGTGAACGCAGCGTACGCTGAGCCCATATAGCGTGTGACGCTGTGTTGTAGGAAATTGCGAGCATAATCACTGTATTGGCTACGTCCTTTATTGATGATCAAGCCGTCGTCATTAATCGCCGCCCGTGTTTCACTGGGCCGGTAGGTATACTGGGAGTAGCAAATGGGCGGAAGATGGCGCCCAGTGAAACGACGGATGCGGTGTTGGTGGGAACACAGTCGGATTCGTGGAAGACGGCCGGCCAGAGCATCTCGAGCATTGGCGTTGGTGGAAAGGCGTACCTTGGGCGGTGCCTGCGGACATGAAGGTCCGCCTCAAAGGTTCTTAAATCGAATGCCCTGCGGCTTGGTATATTCACCCACTGTTATATAAAGGGAGAGGTCAGAGAACGATTTCACTGGTAAACGGCTGTGCAAGGGGTGCGAAAATGGGGTGCTCGTCGCTCCAACGAGATAGGAACAAATGGGGCAGGATTCGGATGGGAAATCTCGAGTGACGACCTCCAGACGGATTAGCATATGAACATAACTCTTCTCTAATATAGAGGTACTCTCTCCCGTGCAAGTAGTATTGCCTAGCTCCGGATTTCCTATGGATATATTGCTTCGGAATTCGATCACGGCTCACCGAGTTTCGATGGAAGACCATCTAGCGGTGACCTTTTTCGTTGTATTTAAGGTTGATCGTGGCCAGGATCCGCTAGGCAAGTTATGCGCTCTCAAGGAGACCATGGCAGTGATCGTGGTCTTCGAACCGGTGTGCCGTATATCGTCGGAGTGGACAGAGTAGTATTGAAAGAGTGGAATCAAGCGCTTAGTTAAACCTCATCATCGGAGTTTTATTTAGAGTTCGCTGCACTTGGGCAGTCGACCCCGCAGTCCGTGGCAGGTCGGACTTCGTACATCACCAGACCGCACACATGCAGCTCGAGGTGGTCACAGCCAAGGCGGGTTACTCCGTCGTACATTGTCAACAATGCTTCCCCGTGTTCAAGCCACTCTTCGTCCATGCACTGTGTGTTGCAACCAGCTGCAGATCAGAACACGTACGTGCTACGAGCTCGAGTGAGAGTCTAGCTTGGAGCATTGATACTGAATTTCGTATCTGCAGGATATATCTGTCTTCTAACACCGGTTTGGGGGCGCCTGGAGCGCATGGCAAGAGCAAAGAAGCGCTGCATGGCGCTCCGCCACATTGACAGGCTCCGGACCGCCTTCCTGCTTCCAAAGGAGTTGGTTGCCTCTCTTGGGGCGGTATCTTCATTACATGACGCCGCTGTCGGCTTCAGTTTGTCTTTGATGAGTCACAGGTCTGTCATGCATATGAACGCATTTAAATCGTATAAGACGTGCCGCAGCGAGATGACTCTCCAACCTTGCCACGCCTCTGCTGCCCCCCGTATCGCGATGGACGCAGCTCCTAATTATGATTCATATGGGGTAAGTTTGATCTCATCTGTCGCTTGTAATGCACAGATATCTCACTACTTGTGCCCGACCTTGCTCGTAGCTCATGGTAGTGCATCAAGAGCTGACGACGTTCATCGTGGCACTCTTTCTGGAGGCGTTTCTCTTTGGCGCCTTCACGATCACCTACACGATGGGTGCATGGTCCTTATTAACGACGCTTGCCTCACGGAGGTCCTCGATGAGAGATTGGGTTTTGCTGAGTGCCAGCACGACCATGTTTGCCCTTGCACTTGCTGTACGTCCACTACCGGTCCGAAATGCTGGCGAAAACTGGACTATTCATCCCTTAGCATCTCGCGCTGAGCTTGAAATTAACGCTCGTAGGCTTTGTTAACAATGCAGGAAGCCTCTACTCCGTCGACAACGCGCTGTCAGGTGCCTCATTGTGGTATTCCACTCTTGGGGCTCCTAGGTTTGGCATCTACGTCACGCAGACGTTGATTGGGGATGCTTTCATGGTAGACCTGTTATCATGCTTATATCGCTCACATGCTCACACAAATCCCACAGATATACAGACTTTTTCTTGTGTGGAATCGCAGTCGAAAAGTAATCATACTTCCCATAATATTGTGCACTCTAGACGGAGGTGAATACCTAATGCCCGCCTAAGACTCTGGTTAAGATACTGACGACCTTGCTTCGCTGATTCTACACCATTAGTATCCGGCTATCTGGGCATCACGCCTTCTTTTGTGATCGTGCCTCTGGCATTCTTGTTCTTCTCGTTCATCTCCAACACGCTCTGCTCCGGTACGTTCCCATTCGCACAGAAGTCACGCGGAAGACCTTCTCTGTGGCTACTACACATCGCTGAATTTGCACCAGCTCTCATTATGTGGCGCGTACTTCGCAACACAAACCAGTATATGCCGCTGTCAGCGCGGCTCGGGCTCCTTTGGAAGGTGGTTGAGGCAATCGTGCAGTCCGCCGCCATATACTCTCTCGCGTCTATCGCCCTGTTGGTCACGTTCTTCATCAGCCCCAACATCGGGTTTACCGCGTGCGCCGGCGTGTTCCCACCGCTCATTGTGAGTACTGGCACTCACCACATCGCTATCCTGGCATCTCATGCGACTGCGATGCGAAGGGTCTTGTTTTCTCTTTCATAGTTCTCCGACTTGCGAGGAGCTCCGCGGACCACGTAGCGCGCCTTCCCGTGCACCCGCAAGACAGGGGAACAGAGATGCGCCGCCGCGCCATCCCGCTCCCTTTTGGTGTTCCGCCGCACACGCCTCCTTTTCCTCCACCTAGATTTCGTCTTCCGACGCTCGATTTCTCTGGAGACGCGCAGGCGTTGGAGAGCCTCACTACGAGCACGAGCAGCATCAAACCGTTAGAAATGCTCTTACGGAGCGACTCCTCACTCGATGACGCCCGTGGCCCGGATCCGGAAGTCGGAGGACGACCCAGAGAAGGCGACCTGGGCGTGCTAGACATATGTGCGGAGAAGCTAGCATGGAAGGTCTGACGAAGGACAGCAGAGGTATGCACGTCTGATCTCTACGTGATGTCGCCACGATACTGATCGAATTTTAGTTTCTATTCCGGTGCCCGCAGACAACGTAGCGTAGACAGATGTACAGATCATAACAAAACCGTACTGGTATGTATACTGAGGCTTTCCCGGGATTGGGTATAATGTTGATCCTTCGACGTGCTGAACGAAGCCCTGTTCTCACTTGTCACTGCATTTCCCGTGCTGCCACGTTCAATCCAAGAAGGCGAATGGATGTATCCTCGCGACCGATTCACACCGATACGGTGCGTAACACCCCTACCCCCTATCTACTGGCTAATTTTCTTCAGGCGATTCCATCATGATAGAAGGCTTCAGATCTAGTTGAATGACATATATGTGACTGTGGCGTTGTCGCCGAAGTCCTGAACTGCCTTATGATCAGGATAACTGCCTGTTGGTAGCGAACATCGACATATCTTCTCCATCTATAGATGTCAATGGACTGCGATCCTAAGGAACGACCGTCTTCCACATCTCAAGATCAACTTACTCTACTATTACTCCTACAGCGGGACACGAAGTGTGCGAGAACACCTTTCCGCCTGCCTCCCGGTGCGTACAGGAGTGTGGCACACATGCATGAAAGCCTCGAAGTACGTCCCAGACAACGTCTTACTCAAGACCGCCGCATGAAGCTCAACCTGACCATTCAACAGACATGGCACTTGGAAGATGCCTTCCAGTCAGTTGCGAATTCTATCGTAGTACTCTTGCTTGAGGCTTTGCTACTCGGCGCTTTCACGATCACATATTCCATGGGAACATGGTCTATGTTACGGATTGGCCGTACAGGAAAGCCCTCGCGGCGCGATTGTGCGATAGTCGCTATGAACTCTGTAATGTTTACTTTGTCATTGGGGGTACGTCTGTTTTCGAGTTTTCTGTGACACGCCTTAATGTAATCCATCGCAGCACTTCATCATGAATGGCGTCGCGCTAGTCAATCCATTCACGAGTGCGACTGGCGACATATGCGATCCAAGCTCCCCAGAGAGCATAATAAGCTCGCGGGGTTCCTCATATATGTCACACAGACATTGATCGGCGAAGGGTTCATGGTGCGCTCATTCGGAACCTTCATTACTCTCACATGAGCTCATGATCTAACTAATGGAAGATATACCGGGTATACGTAGTATGGGATAGTCACTGGGAATCAATCATCCTACCGCTCGTCCTGTTGTTCGTCAGCGCCGGTGTGTGATTCTTTCTGGCTCTCCGCATTTGTTTCTGCTTACTCAAGTATGTTTGCAACCCGAGGCTCCGGATATATGGGCATGGTTCTCGACTTCCCTATCGTCTTCTTATGCATGGCTATGCTTGCGTATGGTCTATCTTCGTGTGAGTGTATCGTTCAAGTCGTGCTATGGCTCTAGCGCTGAGCTCAGTATCAGCTCTCATCATGTGGCGTATCCTTCGAGTTGGAACTCTACCGGTTCACCTCTACTGGCGCGTCGTCGAAGCAATCGTACAGTCCGCTGTCATATGCTGTATCGTGGCCATCTCGTTGCTCGTCATGTTCCTTGTCGACGATGCCAGTTTTCTGGTCTATAGCAAGGTCATCCCGCCGCTCGTCGTAAGTATATGTATTGCCGCCACAGAGGCCGTTTTCAGATTTCAGTACCTAATTTTGAAATTCAACAGGGCCTCGTCTTCTCCTTCATAGTTCTACGCATCGCGAAGCAGTCCAAGGCTCGCGATCCTCTGCCTCTGTGTCAAGAACGGCTCAGCAGCGCCGCCGGCGCTATGCATCGCACCCCCGCGCGGCCAATCGTTCGGCCGGTATTTATATAGTCTACGAATACTCGAACGGTGGATGTACGTACGTGGTGGACCTGGACCGGGGTATTAGCTTCACATTGCTACAGACGGGTTCATTGTGTGCAAAACGCCATGATTTTCTGAATCCGGATGATGGACAAGGAAACGAACCTTACGCTTGCTTTTACGAGCTTCAACACGACTTATTCCAGATCTGACGGAAGGCGTCGAGCAAAATTATTACACTGAGCGGGAGTCGAACCCACGCCGCTTGCTACCTCGTGGTGGAAGGCAAGCATGATACCGTTTCACCATCAGTGTATACGGCGTTGGGTCAACCAAACGTTTGGATTGTTCACATGATGAATTTGACTACCGACTTTCGGGAACACTAACTGGTCCGTCCACTAATACGTACAGGTTCTTCGTGAGGTTCGTAATGGGGTATACTGAGAAGATGAGTGCGAGGGGAAAACATAAACGGAAACGGTATTTAGTGGAAGTATGCGTACGCTCCTGTGCGCGCCACACCCGGCGCGGTCCTGCGATGAGGAGGGCGGTGTGAACGTCGTGCGTCGACTGCTAGCGGCGCAGGAGCTGTCAGAATACTGTCCACTAGATACGGAGCAGAAACCTAGCCACATGCCCGTGCACACCGCCCAGAAGCCCGTATAAATGCGTAGCCGCAGTTGTTAAGCCGGGATCATGCCGTGACGATATTGACGGCGTTCATGTGCGCGACGAGGCCACGGATGCGGTCCGAGCGCGGGCGGAAGGCGCATGTGAACTCCTTCGGGTGGCTGGGATCGCGCAGTGCACAGTTCAGCCGTGGGCTCGGGGACTGGAGATGTGTGGCCCTTACCTGACAAAACCCGAGATGAACACGGCCTCCGGGACGATCGCCCGACCCAGGTTGTCCTTCGCAAATGTGAGGTCCATCGTCGCGATGATGTTCGCCGCGGCGAGCCATATGCTCGACTCTGCGAACGCCTGCCCAGGGCAGATGCTATCATGGAGCCGCGATGAGCTGTCACTCCAAGTAAACGCATGGCAACCCGTCTTACCGACGACCAAACCCAAAGACCACGTTCCTGGGGTCGACGCGTGCTGCAACCTCCGGTGACAGGTTCAGGAACCGCTCGGGGTCGAACCGCTCCGGCGAGGCATAAACATCCGGATCCTGTGTCATCCACCTGAACGGTGCACGTCAGCAGAGGAAGCATGCCCAAATGCATGACGTGGGACGTACCAGATGTTCGGGATGATCATGGCACCCTCGGGGATGTGGCACCCGCGATACACGTCATCGGCCTGGACCCTGTGTGGCACACCTACACACGTACATAGTGTCAGCGCATGCACTGGAAAGAAGCACCCTGTAGATTGGGCTGACCAAGTGGCACGGGTGCGTTCCACCTGACCACAAACATAGCGGTCAGAAGTCGGGCTCAGGGCTCGCGGGAGGGAAGAGCTGAACACACCGGAACATCTCCTTCAAGATGGCGTCCAGATATGGCATGTTCTCCCTATCTTCGTAGTCGGGTAGGCGGTCGGATCCGATGACCTTGTCCACCTCTGCTTGCGCCTTCCTGTAGACATCGGGGTGCAGGACCATGGCGAGAATGAACGTCTTCATGGAAGTAACGGTCTGAATTTTTGGATAAGCCCAACGGCGGATACGAAGCTGAGCGAAAGGGTTACCGTATCGGTTCCAGCTGCAAGGCACGTCAGCAGGGCAGCGGACGGGGTCAATGGACTAGAACGTACCGGCGTAGATAACTCCAGCTGCGCCCTTGATATCCTCCTCTTGCTCCGCTGTCAGGGTGCCTGCCGCAGCGGACTCCTCGAGGAGAGTCGCAGTGAATGACGGTGCTGCCGTGCCGGCGCGCTAGAAGGAGGTAATGAGTCCGTGTTCGCAGTCCACCGTAAGTTTGAACGGACCAATGCACGTTGTACCATCTCGAACGGCGTGTTGAGCGTGCGGTGGACGAGTGATCGGACATAGAACGCGCGGTGCTTGAAGCCAGACCCCGGCGCCCAGAGCGGAATGCCCTTCACTGCGCAAAGTCACTCAAAAAATGATTCGGAGGCAAGAGGGCAGTATACGCACGTATTGGGAAGAAGTCGACCAGCATGGAGCCTGGGCTTCCGGCGAGAACGGTCTCCACCGTAGTCTTCTCGGCCAGAGCGATGTACTTGTCGTCGATAGAGGTAACATGGTGCCCATATGCGATTTCCATGATAGTCGCGGCCGCCCACCTTTGCGTAATATCTGTCAGCTTGAGGACGCACGCTATTTGGGGGAGACGCTACGCACCGCTTAACGTGCTCCATGAACAGCTCCGGTCTATCGCATAGTCCAGCCAGCAGAGTGTACGTTTCGCGCCGTTGAATGGGGAGGTACGTGGCGAGGGCTGCCTTCGATACGAACGCGTCCTGCAGCCACTTGCGGTGCTTGCGGAACCGGTCGCCGTAGGGCAGATTGTTCAGCACGCTGTCCCAGCCCATACTAGTAGTACGGCATATCAGCGGTAGAACGCCATAGGAGATAACCACACTGACAGCTCCTTCAGCAGTATAAACCGAGGCCGGTCGGAGTATTTGGCGCTGCGCTTCTCCATCAGATCTATGGCCGCTTCCCGCGAATTTAATACTACTGCGGGGGTGCGGAAGAAGCGCGCGAACACGACGTCCCCTACAACGGCGAAGAGAAAGGTTAACGAGCGGTTTGCGCGAATTTGTCGTCGGTGCGTACCATATTGTCTGCCCCACTCCGCGAGCTTGCGCTGCTGATAATCCACCGGAAGTTGATGCACGTTTCCGAGGATCGGAAGTGCGGGCGGACCGGGGGGAAACCGGCGCTTGTCGGCGTCAGACGAGCGAGCGCAGACCGCGCGGACCACAAGGACAACAAGAATGAAGATCGACAGCGCTGAAGCGCTGACGATGAGGGAGGATTGAAGGGCCATGGGGGTGATCCAGAGGCGTACTAGAGAGGATGGGCCGGGTGGAGTTGGCGTGCGTACTTATACGTCGCACGCTAATACGGCCTTTAAGCTCAGACTGTTCACTTGAGTCTGGGAATCATGGCAACAAGCGGGACGTGGCGAGCGGTAATTGTCGGCCAAAGCTGAGTGCTAAGTTGCTAGGCCTTAGGACCCGCGCCCGGCGCTTTGATTGGCGCCTGTGAGAGCAGCTTACCCTGCCATCGCAGCGACTGCGCTATCGACTGTCGATACTTGTTGGATGAAGCGAGGAGAGGTATAGGCTGAGTTTTAAATGGAAATTCGGCCGAGAACCCTTCTCGTGCTTATTTAGCAGCTGGGGGAGGTGAGTGAACATTTTGTTCGAGCTCCGTCCCAAACGGCGGATGCTGTGATAGGGCTTCCCATGTGACGACATCTGCCACCGGGTGTCGGCGTTGAGGATCAGTTTACTCGAGGCGTCGATATTCCCGGTTCATTCGCCATAGCCGCATGATAGGGTCTCTCCTGTGTGCTTTGCAGGGCCGCCGGCTCGGGATTACGTGTAAGTCCCCGAAGATACGCGTCGCAGCGACACACGTACGCCTTCTTTTGGGTTAATAGAAAGCCTGGGCTGTCTGAGGAGCAACCTGTTCGTAAGGGGAATGAATGGTTATGAAATACTCGAGCGACGCCCAAAGATACTGAATGACCACTCACACAGAGCTTCGCCCGCAGTGTGTCCTTCAAGTTAAGATAAGCAGTTCCAAAGCAATACAAAGCCAATGCGGCATATGAACCTTGCCAGGATAGCAACGGTCTACAAGAAAAGAACGGAGCATCGATAGAAGTGGAGCAGGCAGTCTTCTGCTGGAGACTCTATGACGCGCAAGGGGTAAAGGTGGATCCCGCGTACCACATACGACGGAGAAAATGGTGAAGTACAGGTTGATTTTGCACGATCCGGACCGCTCGGAGGGAGGCATAGCAGGATCCCGCACGAGCGCTAAGAAAAGCTTCAAATTTCGCAGATTGGACTCACCTATATTAAGACTTCGCTCCGCGGAGACGTGAGATGTGTGCTTGGAACCCAATTACCGAGAAGTCTTGGGTATCGGTGAGAGCATCGCATAGGCCACCATCGACAAAGACCGGGATACGAAGATGATTTCCGAGTTCGACTGCATGCAGGAGGGCCGATCAACGCAGTCGTGCAGCCTCATAGTCGCAGATAGCAGGAAAGCTGCTGATTTACGAAAACATGGCTGTCCCATAGCGGCATATTACGAAGCAAGGTGGGAAATGAGGACGAGTGATGGGGGAAACCCGGGTGCGGACGACTGGAAGGAAATCAACCTGGGCGAAACGCGTAAGCGCCGGTGCTTGTAGGTCCATGGGACTTGCCGGCAGTTCCCGAACTGACTTGCCTCTCTCCACGCTAGCGAAGGTTGTTGTACCTCTCCCCATCGTCACGGGTCACTGCACCCACCGCGAGAATCTTTCCGGGTTTCCCATGTCGGCTAGCAGTCCAACGGATCATACAGTCAGTGAGAACATCTCCGGTATGTGTTCGCAGATTGAACCACCGGTTCAGCAATCCCAAATCGACGTTGCAAATACGTCGTCGAAACATGGAATCCAAGCTGACATACAGTGCATGTCTATTCCACAGACCTTCGAACATGGCCCCTGGGCTGACGTGTCCGCATATAGGTGTCGTTGACATCGGACGCCGGGCGCGTGCCGAGCGAGCACATGCGGACGGCGTTCTGCGCAGCCAGGAACGGCCTCGAACTCCATCTTGAGCGGCGCACAGCTTCGACTCGTACCACCAACCCCTTTCCCCATCCATGGCAGAAGTACACGAGCACGTGTCCCCTCCCGTGATGGAACTATCTCTGGAGGTGAGTACCGGTTGTGCGATTACGCCAATCATCATCGATAAGCTTACGTCTGTGGCTGGTGAAGTCAGGCGACACTCCTAGGATGGCTAATCGTCCTCGGCGTAGCCAGTTTCCTGGCTGGCGCATGTGTACCATGTTACTGTTCAACGTCATCGCTGCATATGCGGGCTTGTACGCCTTCCTGAGATGGAAAGACGGGCAATGGATGTTGTCCAGGTCCACCAGTCAACGACTGCCTGTTCCGCAGCTCGAGGAAGCGGCTCATCAAGTCATTACCCCAGAGTTCTCCGAGCTCGTGCGGAAGCTCATGAAGAAGGGAGACGTCCCGGGCCTCTCGGTCGGCGTCGTGCGGTGGTCTGACTCCTCTACGTCGAACGCGGACGTCGAGTTCGGCTCATGGGGTATCATGTCAGAGCAAGGCGCCAATGTCACTGCAGATGTGAGTCCTTGCACGGGGCCCCGCAAGCCCGACATGTGTATATGAAATTTACGGAACTGATGACTGCTAGACCCTCTTTAACATCGGATCCTGTTCCAAAGCCGTGCTAGCCGTTACGATGGGCATTCTCATGGAAGATTTCAAATTGGGCCGCAACAAAACCGCTCTTCCTCCGGGCCTCACCGAGCTCATCTGGGACTCGCGTATCAGCGATCTGCTCCCCGCTGACGAATGGGGGCTTGCAAACGAATGGGCGACGAAAGAAGCTAACATCGGAGATATCCTCAGCCACGTGTCTGGTCTCCCCCGGTCAGTTCGCCGACCGCATTCATACGTATCACCATGGCGAAGTTGCTAAGTGTTGCTTTGCAGGCACGACTTCGCTTGGGACTATGATGATTCCACGCTGGATGTTGTCAAACGCTTGCGGAACCTGAAAACAACCCACGGACTGCGACAGGAATGGGACTACAACAACCAGGTACGCAGAGAAAATATCACCATCTTGCGCCATACCAATCACGCATCTCCTGCAGATGTACATCCTCGGGGCGCATATCATTACGCGTTATGCGGGTGTTCCGTATACCCAGTACGCGACTGAACGCGTGTTCGATGTGCTTGGCATGAACGCGACGACGTTCGACCCATCGGTGGCAGAGCGCTCTGGAAACCTCAGTCACGCATGGTCTTACACAGGCAGAAGAATCCCGCTCTGGTTTGGATCGGACGCGTCGGAGATGCTTGCAGGTCCCGGGGGCGTCATTTCGAACACAAGGGACATGGTAGGTCTTGTTCACTGTCTTCACGACGTGGCTAAAATGCTGACCACCGCGAACAGACCAGATGGATAACCGCCCTTGTTCCGGGAGTCACGAATCTACTCCCCCAAGAACACGCACTCCCACCTCAGGTGCTCACCGACGTCACGCAGGCGCGTGCGATCGTGTACGGTCGCTCCGCCGTACCTGGCCTCTCAATGATAGCCTACGGCATGGGCTGGATGAGACTCACGTATCTCGGGCACGAGGTAAGTCCGTCTTACTTACCGATAGTCCCTACCAAAACATTGACCACCTCCTGTAGATTGTCTTCCACTCCGGCTCCATCCCCGGTTACAAAGCAATCGTGATCCTCCTTCCGAGGGAGCGTGCGGGAGTCGTAGCGCTGGTCAACAGCGACGACAGCCTCATGATACACAACACAGTCGCATTCAGTCTCGTTCACAGCATCCTCGGGCTGCCTTTAGTGTCGATCCCGCCGGCCCCCATGTTCACTCCTAAACATACGGGACTGGTGTCCCCAGCAGCCGACTCGCGAGCATACGCGCACTCCGTTTCGGAAGACGCTCCTCCCCAGAGGATAGTGTCTTCGCGCCCAGTACAATACGACTCGCTCGAGGTGTACGCAGGAACGTACGCGAACATCGGCTATGGCAACGTCACGTTTTGCGCGCCCTCCACCACATCCGCGTACTGCGACGGCGTCCGCGCCGCCTTCACGCTTATGCACAACGACACTGCCAACTCTACCCCGGCGCTTCTCGCAGATTGGCCACGCCTGCTCGCGAGCCACATCCGACTTGTGCCACATCAACCGGACGCGGACGAACCGAGCACCTTCTGGCTGACGACGCACTACATGTTCCCTGAGGGGTACGGAAAAGACCGGTCTCCATTCGACTATGAGATATTCCCGCCCGGGCTTGGGCTGTACGCGCAGTGCACGACTGGTGATGAGGGAGAAGGCGAAGGCTGTGGGGTCTTCTTGACGTTGGAGGGGTATGTGAACAAGAAAGAGGGCGTTCCGCTCCGCGAGCAAGCTGATGTGTGGTTCGAGAAGGTCGCGTAGGGATCGGCGCTGCGAGGGCGCCAGATCTGGATCCCATGTAGTACTTCAGGAAGGAAAGATATGAACGTAGAACGACAGGCGGGATGCACTTCGGAGTTCGAGAGGAGGGTAAGTGAGCGCCAGGGCAGTTGGTCCATGGGACTTGTCGCCGGCATTCTCCGAACAGGCTTATCTCCTGCCACGCTGTTGTCCTTCCACACACACCGTCTCAAGCCCTTGCACCACCACAAGAACTTTGCTGGTTCCCCCCGTGTGGGCTATGTGAGTAGTCGCATAGCGGCTTGAAGATCCAGCTAGCGATTCGGAGGACCCCAACATGAAGACTGGAGTACCGCCTTCTTGGCTGCCGTCTATGGGTACGCCGTCCATCGTTGCAGTCCAAAAGTCCAAAGCGCGACGTCCATGTCAGGTCCATGTAAAACTATAGAACACTTTCATCAGGATTTCTATCCTGTTATGGAAAAACTCTCTACTGTCATAGGAGTGTCATGAACGTGCGAGCAACGTCGTTCCACGCTTCAGGTACCATCCCTTTCGATCCTACGAAGCCACATGCGACGAGTATGATTACGCGTCAATACGTATCTTCGGAATCTACCCGTTTATCACAATGCTGAGATAAAAAGCCGGACGCGTGCGAGCACATGGGGAAAGCACGCGCGGGCGGCACTCATTCAGCTGCGGCCAGAAAACTCAATTACAGGGCTCCGAAGCCGAAGTTGAACGTCGTACACTGATGTCGACTAACATTGCCATCCCTCCACCCTGTCCACTCTGTCCACTGACGAACACGAGTTTCCTCCAGCCATGGAACCATATCTTGAGGTGAGATACAGGCTATTCTGCCTCCCTACAATTGCTCACGACACGTTCGAATATGGAAGACAGATAAAGCTCCGGACACGGTGAACCGTTTGAGACGTAGTCATGTTCGAGGTGGTCGCATGCGCATCATGCTCCTCTTCAGCATCATTTCCGCATATGCGGCCCTCTGCCTCTTTCTGGCTTGGAACTATAGGCAATCAGCGACGATCGCCGGGTCGGATGGCCAGCATTTCCCCAGAAACGCGCAACCTGACGCGTCGAGTTCTCGCGTGATCACCCCAGAGGTATCAGAGCTCGTACAAAGGCTCATGAAGAAAGGAGACATTCGCGGTCTGGCTGTCGGCGTCGTGCGCTGGTTGGAGGAGCCCAGCGCGTCAAACCCAGACGTCGAATTCGGCTCGTGGGGGATCATGTCCGAGCAAGGCGCCAACGTGACTCCGGATGTGAGTAGCTGACACGCTATTTGAACTTCGTGGCGCTGACGACGCTTCGTAGACCCTCTTCAACATCGGCTCTTGTTCGAAGGCCTTCCTAGCGGTTTCGATGGGCGTTCTCATAGAAGACTTTCGACTCGGCCGCAATAACACCGCACTGCCGCCGGGGCTCAACGAACTTACCTGGGACACGCGTCTCGCGAGTCTGCTCTCCGCCGATGAATGGGGGCTTACGGATGAATGGGCTACGAAGGAAGCTAACATAGGCGACATTCTGAGCCACGTCTCCGGGCTCCCTCGGTAAGTCAAATACACCCGGCATGTCGTATTGAGTATCTGACTCTTCTCGCACAGGCATGACTTCGCTTGGGGCTACACCGATTCTGTGGTTGACATCGTGAAGCTCACCCGATACCTGAAGACAACCCACGGGTTGCGGCAGCAATGGGACTACAACAACCAGGTACGCATGCGGCCCCCTTCTGGTTTCGGCTTCATGCTCACGATGCCCGGTCGCGAAGATGTACATCCTTGCGGCATACATCATCGAGCGCTATGCAGGGATGCCGTACAGCCAATTTGCGAGTGAACGTATCTTCGATGTACTTGGCATGAGTGCGACGACGTTCAGCCCTTCGGTAGCAAAGCGATCCGGACACTTGAGCCATTCGTGGTCGCACAATGGGAGACGCATTCCGATGTGGTTCGGATCCAATGCGACCGAGATGCTAGCAGGTCCCGGGGGCGTCATCACGAGCGCAAGAGACATGGTATGTCCTGTTCGCTAGTTTTTTGCTGATGAAGCCCTATCACTGATACTCGAGCTTAGACGAAGTGGATAGTTGCTCTCGTTCCCGGAGTTACAAGTCTACACCCGCAAGACAATTCTCTCCCCTCTCGCATTCTCATGGACGTCACCCAAGCGCGGTCAATTGTCAATGGCCGCTCATCCGCACCCGGCTTCTCGATGGTTGGCTACGGCATGGGCTGGTTCCGGCAGACCTATCTTGGGCACGAGGTAAGCCCTTGCGAGCTAGCAGGACGCCAGGGCCCCACTAATGTGCGTACGCTCCGTTGTAGCTCGTCTACCACGCCGGCGCCGCTCCGGGGTTCAGGGCGAAGGTGATCCTTCTGCCATGGAAGCGTGCAGGGGTGGTAGTGATCGTCAACAGCGACGACACTCTCACGTTCTACGATACCATCGCCACCAACCTCGTCCACAGCATCCTCAGGCTCCCTCTGCTTCCGGAATCTGAACCCCTTGCACCCATGGTCGACACGAGACACGCCGGGGTGCTGCCTCTAGTGCGTGGAGACGCCCAAACAGGCGCGAACGATGCACTATCACCTGGCGGAACGCAAGCACCTTTCCGCGCAACACAGAGCGCCCCGCTCGATCTCAAGGCATACGCGGGGACGTACACGAACGGCAGCTACGGCAACCTCACATTCTGCGCACCCTCCACCACATCCGCGTACTGCGCCCGCGTCCATGCCGCCTTCGCCCTCACGCACAACGGCACGCTCACCCCTGTGCTACTCTCGGAGTGGACGTGCCTGATCGCGTCGCACGTCCGCCTCACGCCCCTGCGAGACGCGCGAGCGCCAGGTACCTTCCGGCTGGACACGCACTTCCTGCTCCCTGAGGGGTACGGAGAGGACCGGTCTCCGTTCGACTATGAGATGTTCTTGCCTCACGAGTTCGGATATTACACGCAGTGCGCGATTGGGGAGGAGGGTGGGGACGAAGGTTGTGGGGTGTTCTTGACGGCGGAGGCGTATATGGACGTGAAGGAGGGCGCGCCGCTGCGTGAGCAGGCGGATGTGTGGTTCGAGAAGGTCGCGTAAAATGCAGAAAGTCCGAATACAATTAGGGAAGGGGAAAGAAGTCTGGCGAATGTATGACTACAGTAGTGTTCGTCGAACAACATCCTAGGTACGATGTTCCGTGGGGTTTCGTAAGGGTTCATAACGTATCTCGAAGTGGTCGATACCCTCCGGGGATACCCGAATATAGCCCATGCATCGAGGGACGCCCGGCGAGAGACGTGTGCAACGCCGAGTCAGATGCGTCTTCATACGCAGGCGGTTTGACCTACAGAGATGTTGGCACGATCTCTACTCGCGTTAGAAGGCGACGACATACAGGCAGGTATGGCAGGTACGGTGTTTCCACCCTATACACTGGCTCGGGAAATCGGGGTGTGGATCCCGGGGTGTGCGTGGCGGGAGCGTCACTGGGGCCAGCGCCTTCCATTTCCATGGCCGCGGGCGTCGGCGCGCGGGACGTAAGGTGCCGTCGTATCCTCCGTCTTTCGAGAAGTAACTTGACGAGAAAGAACGCTGCGAGGAGAATGGCGACTATACCCATAAGTTAGTGAGACGCAGGCAAGAGAAGTGAAGATGTCGGGCGTACAGATGGCGATGCCGATCCCAACCCACACTGCGGTTGACAGGCCGCAATGCTCTCGGCCGAGGCTAGCAAGACAAATGCCAATCAGCAATGGTTCGAAACAACAGAACGACAAGGCTGCCACCTCTCTTCTGGATGGCGGGGATATACATCACGAGACACACTTACAGATCTCTCCTGCAGTCCGAGGCGATAACTCCAGGAAGCAATGCAAGAACGTAGAGAGAACACGCTAGTAAAGCTCTGTGGTTATAACCTGGAGAACACGTCGTGCGTCATTTAGATTGACAGAGAAATAGTACGGCATCGCAGCAGACGCACCGGGAAACATCGTGGGGGGATTCGCGTTGGCATTGGCGACGAGAGTCGCGTCAGGGGGAGACTCCCAGCTATATATGCATCTTAGAGTCTCGAAGGTGTGGAGAAGGTGTGCCCAGAACGCGGCATCCTGCACACGGTGAGGCGGTGATATGCAGCTCGTCCTCGATGCCAAGGCTCGTCCGCATAGGATGATTGCATCCGGATAACTCGTCGACTCCGAGTCTGGCTTGGCCATTATGGTTCCGCTCTCCAGGTCTCCTAAGCTATCACTGTAGCGGTCCACAACCAGAAGCCAAGGCAAAGCTTTGCGAGGACGAGGGGCGGATCGCCTTGGTTCAAGGGCTGGGATAACTTCGACGCGCTTGGCAGCCCGCGGGCAGTGTGCGTTCATTCCACTCGCGACTCCTGTACATGCCTCTCCGATCTAGAGAGACAGCACCATGTGGGACTATGATTCTTTCGCATATCGTCGCTGTCTTAGGCTCGGACTTGGTAGACAGCGAAGCACTGGAAAAAGAGTTAGCTACACAAGGCTATCCGAACGACCTCTCAACAGAGATTAAGGGAAACCTGCCTACATCTGGTTTGAGGATAGTCGGCGAGTTTACATGTCGCTTCAGCGCTCTTTCACATAATCCTTGGCTGACGGCGAGGCTTTCCTGCTAATCGTTGCAGATGACGAGGACGAGGAAAGAACCACAGTCGGCGCTTAGCCGCTCTATTCCCGCAGCATTAACGTTTTGCCTCGGCAAAAGCCTTGGCGCCTTCCATGCAAGCCAGAGCACGCGCTTGCCTGCGTTCGCTTTCTCCTAGGCCTCCTCACTCTTTCTCCAAAGGCATCTTCTTGAATAATTTTCAAACTGATGTACCAAGAGTAGGGTACGTTAACACTTCTAGAAATGGTAGCTATTACATTCCGGTGGTAAGCCACCAACATATCGAACGTGCTTCTGTCGACACTGACGTGTTTTTGCAGAATGAGTTGACGAGGCATGACGATCGCTATTCTCGTTGCACATACGCTACACATTGTCGATGGTAACCTGAAATCACGCATCACGACATACATTACTCTTCCAACTTGGTACAGATCGGACAAATCGGCTTGCAAGTGTCAGTGCGATGGGGTGCACAACAACACGGTCGACAACCAGTATGCATTCCTCGCGCCGCAAAAACCGCCGGCCACTGGTTCTGCGCTGCGCTGCGTACACCCTGGATCGTCTGTAAGCACCCGCTTGTGGAGTCTCAAGGCTGTTCTCTGCTGTCCACTCGTCCTCGCCATCGATGAACGCACACGCGGTTCCGCTACTTGATCTGTTCTCACCGGCGCCCACAAAAGAAGCCGCCACTGTGGCCCCGTGCATCAAGTTCCTAACTTCAGCCTGAGGCGCTGTAAACATACCCTGTCTTATCGCGTTCTCGGCTCTGTGACTCTGGCGCTCAGGGACGGTGGCGGGACTAGACTGCGCCATGAAGCATGAGACACGATTCAGACAACCACTGTCTGAATAAGCTGGCTATGTCAGAGCACCGGTGAGCACTAGTGACTCCTCAGGATTGAAGGATGAGGCGCATCGAATGCATACGATCGGTGGTGTATTCATTTGACGGGTTTCAGTCCGTTCCACTCAACGATAGCCATGAAACTGCGCTTGCGATGCTCGGTACCGGCATTCCTAAAATACTGTCTCGAACGGCTAAGTGACACTCCATATATCGGCACAGGCACTTGAACTGTTGCGAGCCATTTTCGTCGGGCTCATGTGAGCGAAGGTTTGGTCGAAACGATGGCGTTGACGCCGAATTCCATCTCTTCGTCATTTACGTCCTAGTTCACTCACACGCGTCGTAGGTTTAGCACATGCACCCTTGGGTGGTTTCAATAGCAAGGTTAGCTCGCTCCGGTCCGCGGCATGCCCTCCAATAGCGAAGGCGTCCTGGGCGGCTCGCCCAACGCCCACAGTGTGGCCACCCCCATATGTGGAGAAGCACGCCCTTTATCTCATCGCATCGGACAGCCTCGGGGGGCTCCCATCAGTGCCGGTGATGTTGTGGAAGCACGGTTTGGGCACGAATGAACCCTCCAGGACGTCGGCACGCTTCCTGGGCCTGGTGAGCTGCGAGGTCAAATACGCTGTCTGCGCACGCTGTAGCGGACTTTGCGTTCTCCCGCTGTCGACCCCTCCATTCACAGACGTTCCCCACTGTCCGGGAAAGCAGCGCGATCATTCACTGACAGCGATGACGGACATCATAGTCGGGGTTCCCACCAGCTCAGAGGTACGTTGATGATGCACTGGCCGTAATGACCCTATCTTCACACGTCTCCTATAGCTCGCTGAGGCGCGCAGGACGATCGTGTCCTGCGTCCTAGCGCTCTTCATAGAGTCGGTTCTCTATGGTGCCTTCGCGGTCGCATACGGCGTCAGTACATGGATCCTGCTGTACAGGCGGTCCCCGCAAGGATGGCTCTCGCGAGATATGATCTTGTTCATGGCCGCCACACTTATGTTTTCCCTGGCCACAACGGTGCGTATCCAGTCCCATCGAGTCGTCTCAGCTCGATCACAGTCACAGGGCATCGTCTGACGTCCCCTTCACTAGCACCTCGGGCTCGACGTTTACATAGCGATCAGAAGCTTCCTTGCAACAGGGTCCGGCTTGACGACGATGTCCAATACGTACGAAACGCTGAATGACTGGCCCACAAACCCCGTCGGAGCAGCGAAGTTCGCCTTCTACGTCACGCAAACACTTATCGGCGACGGGTTTATGGTGCGCCGCACTCCGCGTGATCATCTCTCTTGTACTCCATGTTGACACAACCTTCAGATCTATCGCGCGTACATTGTATGGGACCGTATGTGGCTTATCACACTGGTACCGAGCGTACTTCTGCTCGTAGAAGTAGGTGAGTCGTTCATGGTGTGCGGGGTAGCGCAGTCCTTGTCTGACAACGTGGTCCCTCCAGTACTGGGATATACCACTGCCAGTCTGAGCCGGCTAAACGCAACCCAGGCGCAGGCCACAGCCTGCGTCGACGCGTGGTGCATTATTTCCGTCGTGCTGAACCTCCTCTGCAGCGGTGAGCACGATCCATCCCGTCGCGTATCATACCGCAGACTCTTACCATCGCGCTCGCTATCTGCAGGGCTGATCATGAAGCGCATACTATGGCCCGCCACGAAGCACGCCCGCGTCGCAAGCAACGGCTCGAAGACGAAGAGTGTGCGGCGGCGCGTCGTCGAATCCGTCATCCAGTCCGCCGCAATCTACTCCGTCGCGTCCATCTCGTTCGGCATCACCTCCTTCCTCAGCCCCGACATCGGCTTTCCGATCTGCCACAGCCTCTTTCCCCCGGTCATCGTAAGTTTCCCCCTCGCTCCCCAATAGCCCTTCCCCTTCCCCTTCCCCTACAAAGCCGATGCTGACTCCGGGAACGCACAGGGCCTGGTGTTCCTGCTTATCGTCATCCGGATCAACCGGAACGCGAGCGCGGGCGAGACGTCGTCGGACGGGCTGCGGTACCTGCAGGACGTGGGCTCGCGCCAGAGCCACTTCGAAGTGCGTCCGATGACGATGCTCGCGCCTGCGTACGAGAGCCCGCGCCGGTCGAGCTTCGGGTCGCGATGCCAGGAGTTTGTGCCTATGGAGATCGCGGAAAAGGGCGGGAGTCTGAAGGCATGAGGGTTTACCGTCAGGCGCGTACGTGTTGCCCTCGCAGAGTGGCATCCATGGTCGCGGTCAGGCTCCCTTTCGAGCGATGTTATGGGGAGACGCTCAAATCTATGTCAGCACGGGTTCACGGTCTGTGTCATAATTCTGATGAACTTTCCTACGTCATTATATGCTGCTCAACTTAATGTACAGTATCGTTGTGCATGTACTACCATGAAGTTTGAACATGTTTCCGATGTTTTTTGATGTTTGGGCATCAAGACATCTCGTCACCGGTTCATCGGAGGTCTGACCCCAGAATCAGCCTTTGTATATGGATAGCTACATGAGGTATGCATAAGCTGTGAGCTACGATTAGGATATCTCATGCCTCACAGCGTCCGTGTCTGCTGCGAACTAGACAAAGTTCCATTGTTCAACCTGGGCCACACGCGAAATCTGCACTGCACTGGACCTCACCCCGTACAATAATTCTGTACACACAGCCATCTCCTAGGTCCATCGTGCCTCAATATTGGCGTACGAAAGTAACGAGAGTACGAGGTAGTTGGCACAGTCGAGGCTTAAAGCGCTTCCGCATCGGCCCTTCCCAGCCGGAACAACCCGAACCGGATTTAAAGGGAAAACGGGCGCTTGTCATCGCCTCGCTCTTTCCGCAACCACAACGTTCTTCGTCTGGTGACCATCTACTCGACGCTGCGATCCTGTGAACTTGGCAATTTCGAGCGGCCTATGAACACGAAGACGAATGGAAGATTTCTCAGGACATGAGCGCTTCAATGCACTGTCAGCACGGGTCCAGTAGAGCGCTGACGATCGGGACGCAGTGAGTCGCCGCTTGTATTTCCCTGCGAGCCATAGCAGTCGGGATACGGCAATCCAGATTCCCCCCCTGCATCCCATCTATGACTACGCTGGTAGGTGTCGAACCTTAACTTTTTTCGCGAAGATTTTCCCGATAGTTTCCAGGTCGTCGGGTTGCCTCGTAGTTGCCGGCTGTACGAGTGTATCCGGATGGGATAGGTTCGATGCACACTACACGGCGACTGCACTCTATCTTCGCGATAGAGAGCCCTTTCTGTGCAAAGGTGTGCTAGAATGGACAAAGTAAGTTTTGAATGCGCGCTAGTTTCCCTTCCATTACAGCAAACCATAGACCCAGATGAAGTAGGTGATGAGGCTTTTCACTCTACGTCCGTGCACACCGTTCATTACCACAGCCGTGCTAGTACGTCACAACTTCCCTCCTGTGTTTCTACGACCTCATCTCTCGCGCAGTTTAGACATGCTGTGGAGCGCATTGTGCTCTGAAACATAGACGCAGGGTAGTACCCGGAAGTCATCATCGCGGTGGCTCCGTCATGACTCACGCTCCCCCACCAAGTTGCTATAAATGCCGTGGGTATAAGGCGCTAGAATGCTTCACTGCGGTCTGTTCTGTTCCATATACTACATGTGCGCCACAACTCGACCGCCATTCGATGATGTTAGGACCCACGAATGTCAATCCTGTACTGACATCTTCGTGATGTCGGGCCCTCGGTTCGGAGGCAATAACGACGGGCCTCCAATCATGGTGGTGGCTTGTATACGGATATACCTCCGTATACCTTCTCCCGCCACGAGAGGGTATACATTGTACATCGGTGAGCCCAAAGCGCAGGTAGGCTGTACATGCACTTCTCCGAAGTTTGTTGATCTCTAGTTCACGAAGCGCCGTTGACAGCCTTCGACCGAGCTCCCCTCCTGCGCAGTGCCCATCCATTGCCTCGCTATGAAATGGCTGTCACTTCCCATCTCGCCTTGATGCTTGCTCGTGCGCCGCGTGTGATTCCGGTCAATTAGGACGCAGCCCCGGAAGGGTCCCCCACTCGCGATCATGAACCTTCCAGTTAACGGGTCCATTCTGTGAGCACACATAAACCCTCTCGCTCGCACACCGAGGGTCGAGACTCGCAGCCCTCTTGGCTCCCTGGGCAACGGTCTTTGTGCTGCGTTTGCCTTCGTGTCCGCTACCCCCATGGCCCACTCCGAGGTACGCTTCCTCATATCTGCTTGTCGATCTTCCTCTGGAAGTGGCCTCTCCCTCATCCTCATTTCAGCTCTCCATCGCTCGCTCGACCCTGGCCTCGGGTCTTGTGTCGCTCTTTCTGGAGTCGCTCTTTTTCGGGGCGTTCGCCGTCGTGTATGGGATCACAGCATGGATTCTCCTCATCCGCGACAGGCACCAAGGCCGGTCGAACTGGGACCTCATGCTTTTCATCGCGAGCACAGTCATGTTCGTCTTCGCCCTCGTGGTGCGTACATTTCATATTCATTATCCAGCAACTTATTGAAGGGGAGGTTTGGTAGCATATGGCCCTCGACGTCCACATTAACATAAAAGCGTTTCTTCTCGAGAGCCACGATTTCGAGGCCATGGCGCACCTCTTCGATCTCTACAACGGTCTCGTAGATCCGATCGGAGCTGTCAAGTTCGCCATCTACGTGACCCAAACGCTTATCGGAGATGGTTTTATGGTACGTCAGCCATCATGTTTTGAAGACTTACGAATGCCATTCGAAAACGCATATCACAGATATACCGCGCATACGTTGTGTGGAACCGCTCGTGGTATGTCATCATCATTCCTAGTCTTCTTTTGTTCGGCGAAGTTGGTGAGTAGTCTCCTCAATTGGTACGAGCGCCGCACACTGACTTGTGCCCCTAGTTCTAGGCTATGTGACATCGTGCCTGGGCAAGTTCGACGTGAGCGACACAACGATCACGGCGTGCGTCAACGCCTTCTTCATCCTATCTGTCGTCACAAACGTGACATCTACGGGTGTGTGCCTTCTCGCCACCCGGCTCGCGCGAATGTGCTAATTCGGGCCCTGACAGCTCTCATCATGAAACGGATCCTGTGGTCGCCGGGGTCGCAGAGCACTAGCAACAGCACCGCTCCCGGGCAGCCCGTGCGTGGCCTCCGATCGCAGCGCCCGCGACAGCCCCGCAAGACCGTGCAATGGCGCGTCGTCGAGTCGCTCGTGCAGTCCGCGGCCATCTACTCGCTCGCGTCGGTCTCGCTCGCCGTCACCTCCTTCCTGAGCCCGGCCATCGGCTTCCCGGCGTGCCACAGCGTGTTCCCATCTATCATCGTGCGTCCTTCCGTGCATCCTGCCACTCTTGTCGGTCCGCGGTGCTGATGGGTGGTGGCGCGCGCCGGATCAGGGCCTCGTCTTCGTGCTCATCGTGATCCGCATCAGCCTGAACGCGGGCGCCCCGGACGCGCACCGCACGACGCTGCGGCACTCCGTTGCGGAGGGCGCGTCGTGTACGAGCCTCAGTCTCCCAACGCAGGACGCGCCGTGGCCGCAGCGTGTGCAGCCTCCGCTCCCCGGCGCGGCGATGCTGGGTGGGCGGCCGATCGCGATCAAGGTGTCGGTGTCGACGACGTCGGACGGGTCGAGTGACGCATCGAGTTATCGGACATCGCTGTCAACAACGTTTGACCCATACTCGCCGGGGTTTGCGAAAGAGGCGCGTGATGTCGAGAAGGTACGTGTGCTGTTGAGTGCTTTATTTTAGTGTTGTCGGCTGATGGCCAGGCGCATTTGTAGACCGAACTCGAGTCGCCCATGCACGTCGAGGGGCAGGACCTGAGCCCGGTTTTGCACATATCAGATCGACATGAAGCGTCGGACGCTGCATGAGCAGGGCGCAGCAAAGACAAGAAGCCTCCAGGTGCTTACGGCGTAGTTGGAGCGTCTTCGGCCGATTGGCCCTTCTTGGGTTCCCTTAACTTATAAGGTATGGATGAGTATCTGAGAATGCGTGCTCTTGACAGATAACGGACTGCGACGTCTTGTATCCTGTACTGCCTGTAAGACTCATCCACGTTTTTCGTGTTACCACCGGTGTCTGTTGGTGAAGGTTGGCGACTGTGACCATTCGGACACCGGTACCGTGTGAACACGTCGTCGGAGGTGTGCGTAAATATCTGATGGCACGGGCAGCGACCGGCGCTCAAGTTAGTCTGAAGAGCCGTTCGAGAGGATGACATGTCGAGCGGTACTGGATTGTTAATCGCGGGTAAGGTATTGAACTCAACGCCGTCGGATGGTGCAAGCGACGCATCAGACTATCGGACGCTGTATTCAAAGGCGTTCGACCAGTGCTTGCCGGGGTGTCTCGAGGAGCGCGGACCTCTTTCACAGCGTGAAGTTGTCTATTGGCATCGTCGCAATGAAAGAAGTACTGTGCAAAGAGGGGTATTAGCTAGGCGCAAGTCGTGTATCGGCTTGATCGAAAAACTGCGACGCACATTACTGAGAAGCCTCCCCGCCGCCTTCGCCATCGACACGGTTCTTGCGCGCGGGCTCGCGGGGGCCACTGGTCAAGCCCAAGACACCCGGAAGGTTTCTCCACAGCCCCACCCGCCAATCCGTGTCCCGCTGAGTGACCAGGGCCCAGCAGCGCGGACAGAGGAACAGGTCCGTCTTGCCAGGGCTCCAGAGCAACCTCATGACAGAGTGGAACGGGCCCAGTTGGGCGATGATCATCGACATCTCGCTGGCCCGCTTCATGAGCTTCGAAAGCCGCGCGCTGCACGCAGGGGGGTTCAGGCAGTTGGAGGCGCAGGGCGGCGCGAGGATGTACATCGCGTTGCCGAGAGCCTCCTGTACCAGCTTGCCCTTCGCTGCGAAGCACAGCCCGAGGTCGGCCATCGAGAGGTGCTCGCGCGAGCCGTCCTCGCGCTCGAGCCCGCCCACAATGTCGGCGTCGAGGGTACAACATGTGAGGATGGCAGTGGGCAGCAGGGAGGTCTCTCCAGTTAGACGGGCGAGGTTGACGACGCCGATGGCATGACGCGGCGTGAACCCGGGCGGGCCTTGCCCGTTGTTGGTCGTCCACGTGTCCAAGTCTTCCGTGTAGTATTTCTTGAGATAGGCGACAGAGTGGTCGACGAGGCGCGGTATTTGGTACTTGTGCCCGAGCCGGATTGTGGCCGAGATCGCGTGAAAGGAGGGGGCCCCGGGCGAGAAGGGGCTACAGGGTCGTCAACCACACGTGGTCATAACGCATAATGCAATGAGGGTCGTACTCGGGTTCGCTCTTCGCCATGTATATACGCAGGACGTGTCTCAGGTCTTCGGGCGAGTCCGATACATGGACAATATCGCAGGGCGTGTTTCCGGTACCGGAGACATCTTCTGGAGGCTGCGGCAAAGAGAACATATCCCTGAAGACCGGGGAATGTTCAGCTAGGATGCCCTTGTAGACGCGGAACTCGGCATCGCGCGCGACGAGGATGATGTTTCCGTCTTTGTATCAGAATTCGCAGTCGTGCTTCCTTCCTGCAGCGCTTGAGTTTCGAGGCTGTGATGCTCCACCATCGTTGGAGGCCGCAGCTATCGAGCCCGTCCGTGCACGTTTCCGTGTGTTGCGCATAGACATGGTGCTGTTGGCCGAGGGAAAGATACGGGATCGATAAAGTGAATAAAACGAGAACTGTGAGTACTAGGCTTACCAGGAATTACGCCAGGAATTACTCACTCGCAAAATCTTGAGGCCTTGAGGTGGTACACTTCCACGTCGGAGTGAACGACGCGGGTGGGAAAACGCAGAATTGTTAACGCCCCGCGTCACATCCACGTGCGGAGGAGTCACGCGGTATTTTGCGCAGCGCGAGTCACGATGCTTCTCGGCCGCTCCTCGAAGTCCGTCAGCGCACACTACCTGGAGTCGGTATTGGCCTCCATCAACACCGCGATATAGCGATTCTAGGAGCTTTCCCTCCAATGGTAAGTATATTCCACTAGATGGACACGAGGCAGCTTCGCGAAGACATGGGGCTTCCCAGTAAACTGACATATCACTTTCTGTCGCCAAGTCTACACCACAGCACGATTCAACGCGACTGCCAGGGGGAGACGGTCCGGACGAGCTCCCAGACTCCGCGCCAAAAGTGACAAAGGATGCAGAGTTCTGGTTCGAAGACGGCACGATCATCCTCATCGCACAGAATGTCGAATTCCGCGTCTACAAAGGCCCTCTCATCCGGCACTCTCCCGTCTTCAGCGACATGTTCTCCTTCCCCCAGCCAGTCTTCGCTCCCTCTGCACCTCTCTCATCTGCGTTCTGCTATGACGAGACGGCAGATTTCCCAGTAGTGCATGTAACCGACTCTCCGTACGAGCTACGCCATGTCTTACGGGTGTTCGTCTCAGGAGACCAATTGAAGTAAGTAGCCTTGGTCTAACTTTCCACTACGCGTTTTCCAGCGTCTCTAAGCTCACAATTATAACACAGCCCCGAGTATGCCGAAGGGCCAACGATACACGCAGTCGCTGCCTGGATCCGGCTAGGCCAAAAATATCAAATCGACTCCTTGGTCAACAGCGGCTTGGAGCACCTCCGGCGGTTCTACCCCGATAACGCCGCGGGCCGTTGGCTCGTCGGCCCTATCCCATCGAATCGGCCCGCCTCCTTGACGGGCATTCACGCTGTCGGCGTAGTTAATTTGGCCCGCCTCACTGGCGAGATCCGCCTGCTCCCCACTGCCTTACTGGAGTGCGCCAGCCTTGGCGCGGAGGTAGTGCACGGGTATGAACGCGAGGACGGTTCGCGCGAGCTCCTAGGCGCGGAGGACCTGGGGCGATGCTTCCAAGCCAAAGGTCGGTTGCTCCAGGAAAGCGCGTCGGAGCTCACTAGCATTCTGTGGTCCTATGGCGCGGGCCCCGGGCCGGACTGTCGAAACAAAGAGGAATGCGAAAAAGGCTTGGAGGGTCTGTGTACGATGTGGTCGTCGTCGGTCCTGCTGAGGCTTCGCCCGGACGTGTTGTTTGTGGAGGGTGAGGCGGAGCACATCGTTTGCGACGGGGCGGGGCGTGAACTATGCCGTGAGTGTAGGTGGAGGATAGAGAGAGAGGTATGTGAGACGCGGAAAACGCTGTGGGATGCTTTACCGCGTATCTTTGGCCTCCGTATTGTCGGGTGGAAAACTTGATCGGAGCGCCGGCCCTACAAGTCTGGAGACTACGTTAGTGGAAGTCGTTGTAATTGAGGAGTGGTTTTGTCCTCTACCTTGTATGCTAGTTGTCTCAATTGCCGTTGTACGCAGTATACAAAAAGGACGAAGCATGTACGTCTCAAAACGAGCGTTGCTCGGACAGGTCGTCTAGCGAAAAGGGACTGTATATCTACGGGTCAGTTTCACATAGCTGCGCTATAGAAAGATCCGAGCGGCATACCTGGCATTCACTTTTGGCATGTATACGCGCAGAACATGGCCTAAGACTTCAGGAGAGTCGGGCACGTGGACGACGAGGCACAGAGAATCCCCCTTGCGGTCGCTCCCTGCCGAGGTTCTGGCAAGGAGAACATATCCTTGAACACTGGAGAGTATCCGGCGGGGATTCCCTTGAAGATACGAAACTCGACATCGCACGAAACACGTATGTATGAAGACGTCGGAAGAACACCAGGAATCATGCTCGAATGGGTACAGAGGTACAGCGGTCTATTGTTACATATGCTTCTAGTTCTCGTCAACATGATGCAGCTTGTGTTTAGAATCATACAGATTTGAATATAAATAGCAGTAAGGACGCCAAGCAAGCCCAAAACAAGACAAACATGCCCGCAAGAACAGTTATCACGCCAGCAACGACCACCACCACAAGGAAACCAACCGCCAACCCATCTCCCTCCCAGAGTCCGAGCGCCTCGTTGGCCTGCCGGCCCTCTTCATTCCACCCCGACTCGGCCTCAGATAGCGCGGGTGGGCTGATGACTCTAGCCCCATTCGCGGAGCGTGAGTACTGCCTCCATAGATCCGACTTGCCCTGCGCCGTCAGGTTGACTGACAAGGGCAGCAGCGCGGCGGCTGCGAGCGCGCTGTTTACCCCTAGGGTGCCGAACACGGGCCCGCCGTCGCCGAGGCTGTCCCCAGACTCGGAAGCGCTCAAGCCCGCAAGTGGCTGGTAGAGCGCTACGTTGAGGGGACCCGGTATCGTGCCCATAGGGTTCAGCAACGCTGCGGATAGGAGTCCGCGGAGGTGAGTATGGTTGTGAGGCACGAAAGGAGAGGTGACGAACGGAAGGGGTCGTCGCAGACATCGTGATTGGTCCACTTAGAGGCGTTAGGAACGACGGCGAAAACGTTGAGTGCGTTTTTGCCATAGTTGGTTTCAAGGGAGCGCTGCGCGTAGTAGTGCTCGTAGATGCGGTTTTCGATTGTATACGCTAGAGGGGGCGGGTCAGTCACACTTCATAACCAGGGACTAAACAGATCAATTGATGACAGACTCTCAGTATCGTCCGTGCTCAAATTCCGAAACGCTGGTGAAAACGCTATCGTGTCATTGTCTACGTACGTGAATGTCAGCAAGGATGATACGTGCCGAGGGGAGATGTCAGAGACATGGAACGGTACGCACAATTGGTGTTCACAGCCCATATCTGGATGAAGCGGCCCTCGAACGGCTTTCCATCGATGAGGGGCGCGTTGGAGGTTGTACTGTTTGTCTGGTCGGTGTAGTTCGCGAAGGAGGACTGGGGCGACGCAGCGGATGGCGCAAAGCTCTGCGCCACAGTGGCAAACGGGGGGCTCGCAACGGAGAGGGCGCGCATGAAGGGATGCAGGGAGGGGGAGACGTGCATCGTGCGCGGTGACGACCGGCTGACTGAGAAGACCGAGTTCATACGCACTCACGTAGGAGAGACCCTTCGATCCCGTTCATTTGGCGATGGTTTTAAACCGGATGCCCCTCGAGCCCTCGTCATCGAGATGTGGAGTGTGTCCTGCCAACGACGTTCAGGGCATGAAGCGAAGTTGCCTGCGCTCCTGGAAGCCGATGGTATGCCCGGAATGTTGTTGAGCCCCATGAATCCGGGAGTCAAATAGCGATTATAGCTGGAATCGCGTCTAGGCTGAGCGAGCGTGATTGATAGTCAAGGTCGTGTGCCAGCCTTGGCTCCAGAGAGACCACGGACTCCCGCGAACGCGCGACGGACGTGCGTTTCCAGAAAGGACATACGCACCTATTGAAGTGGATATCACAGAGAAGATGCACCGAACGAGGAGACGCGCGTGCAGGTCATCACCACGTTCTGCTCTTCTGCACTTGAGTGCTAAGGTGCGACGCCAACGCAACTTCTCCTGACTCATTACCCAACGTCGAATTTCCCAGCCTGAGCGCGCTTGTCAAGTCTGCGCTTAGAAATGGTAAACCTCGCGCTCTCTAAAGAGAGGACGTTCGCTCGTAACAGCAGCCCCGCGCTCACATAGACCAATGAGCATCTTGCTGTTACATGCGTGAGTGAATGCGACTCACCATGACCCTGTGCCATTGGAGCCGGGGTGGCGATGGAACGCCCAGAAGCCCGGGGTGGGGGTGAATGGCATACGGCTAGTTGGTGCAGGTCTTCACTCTACTCCGAGCTTAGGGCATGGCGCTGCCGTCATCGCAGTTTTGAAAGCAAAGGCCTTGAGGTTTCCGTACCTCCCGTTCTTACCTTGCATTGCATTGCCTACCATGGGGCCAAGGCGATACTACGAGCGTCGTCAAAAATGACAGCATTGAGTACGTCATGCTCTATCTGTCCGTCCACCAGTGGCGCCCGTTCCGTCACTCATCATAGGCAGACGATTGCAGCAGTACGCAAGAGAGGACAGGACTCGGAAATAAGTGATAATGGATGAGGAATCGAAGTCGGAAAACTGCCTATGACGTCGCTGCAGTGTGTTTGGGAAGCATGGTATAGCGTTTTGTGGAAGAAGCGTACAGGCGCGAGCGTACCGTGTCAACATGCCATACGAGGCCCTCATCGGGCAGATGGTCTAGTATGTTGAGATGTTTGAATCTCAGAGGGTCCTGTCCCAAGATTCTACGCGACAGGCGCATGTTCCACGGCATGATATATGTTATTACTATACGAACGAGGTACTGAGAGAAAGGGGGTTATGAGTGGAAGCAGTGTATCTGAGGATTGACTGAAGAGTTGGAACGTACATTACTGGGCCACCCCATCGGATTCGCCGGCGCCGTCTCCACCTTCATTGGAAGGGCCATCGATCAGGCCGAAGATATTGGGAAGCTGCTTCCAAAGCCCAGTCCGCCGCTCCACGTCGCGGCGATTGAGTAGCGTCCAGCAGTGTCGGCAGAGGATAGGATCCCTCTCGGCGGCAGCCCACATTATCTTCCTGATGGACACGAACGGGCCGATGAGCGCGAGAGGTTCCGCAAAAATTGTGCCGGCGCACTTCGTGAGCAGCGCCAGCTGGGCCCCGCACATGGTGGGGTTCGTGCAAGTTGGGGAAACGGGCGGCGCGAAAATGTAGATTACATTGGCGAGGGCCTCCTGGGTGAGCCTGCTCTTCGCAGCGAAGCACAGGCCGAGGTCCTCCATCGAGAGGTGCTCGCGCGTGCCGTCCTCGCGCACTAGGCCGTCGACTATGTTCGCGCCGAGCTTGCAGCACGTGAGGTAGGCGGTGCGCAGCAGCGACGTTTCGCCAGTCAAGCGGGCGAGGTTGACGAGGCCGATGGCCTGGGGCGTTGTGAATCCGGGTGGGCCTTGCCCGTCGTTCTCCGACCACGTGTCCAGGTCTTCCGTGAAGTATTGCTTGAGATACTCAATGGAGTGGCCGACGAGGCGTTCGATCTGGTATTTGTGTCCAAGCCGGATCGTCGCTGAAATCGCGTCGAACGTGGGTTCGTCCCGCGTGAACGGGCTACGAAACGATCAGTCACACGAGGTTGTGCCTCTGAACAGCGCGATGGTCAGCGTACTTGGGGTCGGTCTTCGCCATGTAGATGCGCAGGACGTGCCGCAAGTCCTCAGGCGAGTCGGAGACGTGGACGACGTGGCAGGGCAGATCGTCAGGTGCGGCCTGCGGCGGTTGCGGCAAAGAGAACATGTCCTTGAAGACGGGGGAGTGTTCGGCCAAAATGCCTTTGTAGATGCGAAACTCCACATTTCCTGCGATGAGGATTATGGTTCCGTCTTCGTACCAGAATTCTTCATCGCGTTGCCTTGGCGGATCGTTTGCGATTGGATCGTCTTCCCCAGCGTCCGTCCTCGCTCTCTTTCTAGTGACACGATCCGACATCTGTCATGGTCATCAGTATGGATCACTTTACATTGTCTGATGTATCACTTTTCCTCGTACCAGATGCCTGTCTGAACGCGAGAACACCGCGGTAGTCTAGACTAGTTTTGTGAAGTTTCTTTGTCCCTTTGTCGTGCCGTGAGCAAGATACCAGTTTTACCTGTAGAATAAACCCGCAGTGAGCGATGCAATCATATCAGTCGTCGATAACGGGAAACAATTTACTTGCGCGGGTGCGCCTGTGGGTCTCGGCCGGCGAGAACGTGAGTGTCGTAGCGAAAGAGCGAAGAGATGCGGGGCAGCATGTTTCGGCGCGACCCAATGCTGCGGTATGTCACTTTCACGTGATGCACTGTCACGCATTCCGCGAAGGGTAGGTCTGCCAAAATCTGCCAAAACGCGGTAGGCGAGTTGCACGCAACCAATGCACAGGAGCAGGAAGATTTGGTGCACGAGCGGCTCGGGCGGCACCACGACGCCTCATAAGTACTGGGAGGCACTGCGGACAGATGCTGCGGGGCGTGCACTGGGATTTGTGCAGCGGGTGATGGCATGCTGCTCACGTCGAGAGAGAAGCAAAGCTAACAGTGTAAGTTTTTTCGACAGAGGAGATATTGCCGACCAGTGGTGTCGGGCGCGAGAAGGGAAAAACGTGGATGTTCTTGCGAGTTTCCAGCAGTAATGCCTCCTGGTCAGCTGCAGTATGAAGCGACTACTGTGTGAAAAGGGGGATTAAGCAGGATTGATCGTAAAATGCCACATACATGACTGAGAAGCACCTGTGTCGCCCGCGCCGTCTTCAACACCCTTGGCCACCGTACTGAAGGGACCGTCGGTCAGGCCCAAAACGTCCGAAAGGTTTCTCCACAGCTCAGCCCGCCACTCCGCATCACATCGATTGACCAGCGCCCAACAGTGCGAGCAGAGCACCGACCCCGTCTCACCGAGGATCCGCAGCAGCTTCACAACGGAGTAGAACGGGCCCAGATGCGCGACGAGCATCGCGCGCGTGCCGACGAGCTTCGTGAGCTCCGCGAGCTGCCCCTTGCACGCGGGCGGATTCGCGCAGCTCGGCGCGACGGGCGGCGCGAGGATGTAGATCGCGTTGCCGAGGGCCTCCTAGATGAGCTTGCCCTTCGCGACGAAGCACAGGCCTAGGTCCGCCATCGAGAGGTGCTCGCGCGAGCCCACCGACGATGTCTGCGTCGAGCGTGCAGCACGTGAGGACGGCGGTGCGCAGCAGCGAGGTCTCGCCCGTGAGACGGGCGAGGTTGATCACGCCGATGGCGTGGTGCGCGGTGAACCCCGGGGGCCGAGCCCGTTGTTGGTCGTCCAGGTGGCGAGGTCGTCGGTGTAGTACTTTTTGAGATAGTCGAGGGAGTGGTCCACGAGGCGTGAGATCTGGTACTTGTGCCCGAGCCGGATCGTCGCGGAGATCGCGTTGAAGGAGGCCGGTCGTCCAGCGAAAAGGGGCTGTAAGTCTATGGGTCAGCTTCACGCAGCTGTGCTGTAGGGAGATACGAGCGACGTACCTGGTGTCAATCTTGGGCATGTATACGCGCAGAACATGCCGCAAGTCTTCTGGGGAGTCGGACACGCGGACGACGGGGCACAGCGGATCCCCCCACGTGGACGCTTCCTGCCGCGGCTGCGGCAAGGAGCACATATCCTTAAAGACTGGAGAGTATTCCGCCAGGATTCCCTTGAAGACACGAAACTCGACATCGCGTGCAACGAGGATGATGTTCCCGTCGTCGTACCAGAATTCCGCATCGCGTTGCCTTGGCGGTGCGTTCGCGATAGCGTTGCTTTCGATAGCATATTTCCTTACCATCTTCCTGGTGACGCGGTCGGACATCTATAGTGGATGTTCGCGAGACACCAAGATGCGAAAACCGCTACTGCCTGTGAAAGAAAATTTCAAAACATTGTGAGACTACGGATACGATATCGAGTAAGTACTCACTCTAGGTATGAGTTTTATGTTATCGGCGGTACTGCAGTAGTACGAAAATATGTACCTTGCGCGTTTGAAGCAACAGGATGGCAACAGCTGCAAGTCCGAGTGAAGCACCGCGGAATAAATCGCGACAGGTCACCGACACGTGACATAATGTCACAGTCTCCTTCCGCCCTTCGCCGACGGTCCTTCTTCGACGAATCGACGACGATGCACACAAGTGCAATGGCGTGAGCACGCTAAATGGTTACCTCAGCTGAAATATGGGTCTAGTCCGTTCAAATTCTTTGACTCTGAGGAGATCTTGTTCCGAGCTTCCACGTCGAACATGCACCACAGCCGCCATCGAGGTATTGTTTGTCATCATTAACACTTGTAATCACAAGGGATGCTGGGCGAAGAGGGGGACCAAATGAGTGAGAGTTGGTTACTTCAAAAGAGTGTCGACGTACTTCGCTAGTTATCGTGCTCTTCGTCCCCATCCGAGTCTTCCTCGTCTGCAGTCTCGGATGTGCCGTCGGTCAGGCCCAATACATCCGTAAGCGCTTTCCACAGCGCGCGCCGCTGATTAACATCGCGCTCATCGAGCATAGTCCAGCAGAAGGCGCAGAACAATTGGTCCCTTTTCACGTGAGGGGGCCACAGCATCCGTACGATGGAGTACAGCGGGCCTTTGAACGCGATGGGCGTCCCTCTCGCAGCGAGGAACTTCGTGTAATGCGCCAGCCGCTTCCTGCACTGGGAGGGGCTGGTGCACTGATCCGCGACGGGCGGCGCCAGCACGTTGATAGCGTTCTCGAACGCCTCCTGGACGAGCTGCGCCTTCGCGACGAAGCACAGGCCGAGGTCGGCCATCGAGAGATGCTCGCGCGTGCCATCCTCGCGCACCAGCCCGTCGACGATGTCCGCGCCCAGGCTGCAGCATGAGAGGAATGCCGTGGGGAGAATCGAAGTCTCCCCGGTGAGACGCGCCAAGTTGACGACGGCGATGGCGTGGCGGGCGACGAACTCGGGTGGGCCGGGCGCGTCGTTCGCCGTCCAGGTGTCGAAGTCGTCCGTGTAGTATTGCTTAAGGTAGTCGAGCGAGTGTTCGACGAGGCGCGACATCTGGTATTTGTGCCCGAGGCGGATCGTTGCTGAGATCGCGTCGAACGTGGGTTCGTCAGGAGAGAAGGGGCTATACAATCATCAGTCTCACACTGGCGCAATAGATGGGGTTGCGATGAGCATACCTGGGATCGCTTTTCGGCATGTACACGCGCAAAACGTGCCTCAGGTCTTCAGGGGAGTCCGAGACGTGGACGACAGGGCACGGCGGATCCCCAGGCGTGACGGCTCCCTGCGGCGGCTGCGGCAGAGAGAACATATCGCTGAACACCGGGGAGTGCTCGGCGAGGATTCCCTTGTAGACGCGGAACTCCACGTTGCCGGCGATAAGAATAATGGTTCCGTCGTCGTACCAGAACTCTTCGTCGTGTTGCGACGGAGCGTGTCTCGCTCGCGTCCGTCCGCGCTCTCTTTCTCGTGACACGCGAAGACATCCGCTATGGGTTTCATTGCATTAGTCGTGCTCATTCCAAAGCGTGTTTATAGCGCAAATCCATACTTAAACTCCGTGTTGCTAGTGGGCCTGTTTGGGGTGCCATTAGCGAGAGAACTCAAAATTGCAAGAGCGGTTATACTTTGGAATGGTCACAGTCGTTTGACGTAGCAAGTATATTTGTTTGCAAAGCGAGAGGGGCAAAGAAGCAAAGAGTCGCCTATCTCTGGTGCTGGTTTGAGGAAGAAGAGACAATTCGCGCGCACCATGACGACCGGTGCGCGTCGAAGTTAAGCGCCCACACCTCGTACCGATCAGATCTCGCAAGCGCTAACGGCATATTCCTCGGTCAAAAAGTTGCATATTTTTTCAGGAATTAGCTGATTCCACGAGACACAGATATACACGCCATCCTTGACCGACAAAAACTGCTTTGATACCGCCTGCGTAGGTCACTTCCGCGTATCAATCAGCAGGAGAGCAATTTGCGTCTACGGGCGTGCATACCTTCATACAATGGTCTGTCCTGATACGCTGGGGGCTTGCGGCGGCAGAGTGAGATTGAAAATTTCCGGCAACTTCGCCCAGGATGCTTTCCGCTCGCGTAGGACGCGAGCATGCAACACCGCCTGACAACGGGCGCACAGATCGTCGTCCTCGAAGATATCCAGAAAGGCCTGTGTAGCAGCAGATGGGTCAAAATGGGAAATGGAACGCGGGTCCTCGATATCTCCGAGCTTGTTAAGCATGCCCTCGAAGGTGTCGGCGCAGTCTTGCCGTGTCTTGCATGCATCTGAGAGCTCCGGGCGGCAGGCGCGGAGGGCGATTTTCGCAGACTCTCCGGCGAGGCGGATTTGGGCGGAGTAGCACCGTCCGACGTCGTCCAGCGTCAGCTGTTCACGTGTGCCGTCCTCGCGCTCAAAGCCACGAATCAACTGTTCCCCGTCCTCAAACTCGCAGCACACGAGGAGCGCCATGAGGAGCAGGCTGACGTCGTCGAGAAGACGAGCAAGGTTGACGACACCTATCGCATGATGAATGCCAAACCCAGGAGGGCCGTATTCGTCGAGTGCCGTCCATTTCTCGAAGTCGGTTGGGTAGTATGTCTTCAAGTACTGAAGGGCGTTGTTGAGGATGCCCGTCATTTGGTACTTGTGGCCTAGCCGGACGGCCGCGGAGATCGAGTGATACGAGTAAAGAGGGGCAGCGCCGCTGTGAAAGAATGCGCTGTGGATGATGGTCAGCTAGGCCCACTGGACGCACAGTGTCCAAAATATACCTGGGACCGCCTTTGGGCATATACGCTCGCAAGACGTGACGCAGGTCTTCAGGAGAGTCGGACAGGTGCACAATAGGACACGGGTGCTCTACGTCTCGAGATATACCGGTGGAAGAGGATGCGTCGCCCTGAGGTTGGGGCAGAGAAAACATGTCCCTGAAGACTGAGGAGTGTTCCGCGAGAATGCCCTTGAAGACGCGGAACTCGACGTCGCGCGCGACGAGAATGATGCTTCCATCCTCGTACCAGAACTCCTCGTCGCGCTTCCTCGAGGCAACTCCTGCGTTTCCGGGCTCCGGTGTCGCGCCGTCGTTGGAGGCCGCGGCGACCGAGCCCGTCCGTGCTCGTTTCCGTGTGCCGCGCGTGGACATCGTACGCGTGTTGTTGATTAGGGCCAAGCTATATATATATGCATCCGAGAACAATGTTAAAATCTACAGTCAATCATGACATATGTATGCGTACCGGCTTGCTAAACGTGATGGTGGTACGGAAGAAACGACGCGCTAATGTGTGAACAGGGAGATCGTGACGCCGTACCACGTGTCGGTGACACATCGCGGTTTTCGAGGCAAACCTACTTCGCGCAGGCACACGCCGAATTATCTGCTGGTGTCGCCGCTTATTACCACGGCAGACAATTCTAGCCGAGTTTGAGCCATGATGTATTTTACATGATATATGCTACAACTTTGCGGAAATATACATGTCCTGCAAAGAGGGAACCTCCTGCATAGTAAAATAAGCAGATCGCTGTCGTGTCTGGGTCAGCGAGAAAGCATTGCAAGCTGCATCTGCCACTCTACGTACCTTCACACACCAGCCTATTCCGCTTCTCCGGGAACTCTCTGCGGCAACGTGAGGCCGAATATATAGGGGAGCTTCTTCCAGGCCGCTCTCCGCTCGCTCGACTCGCGGGACAACACCATCTCCCGACACTCCTCGCACGGCTCGCCCTCCTCGAGCGCATCCGTAAGGCCCGGTGCACGCACGGATACGTCTGGGTTTGTAAGAGGCTCCCTGTGGTACTCGAGCTCGTCGTAGATCACCATGAAGTCCCGCGCGCAGCTGTCCCTCGTCATGCACCCGGGATCGACTTCCGGGCGGAACATATTCAGCATGATGTTCGTGGACTCCGCGATGAGGCGTATCTTCGCCTTGAAGCACAGCGCAAGGTCGTCCCGCGAGAGCCGCTCCAGCGAGCCATCCTCGCGCTCGAAGCCGTGGACGAGGTCCGCCTCGTCCCTGATCGTGCAGCAGACGAGAAGCGCCATGAGGAGCAGGCCAACTTCGTTGGTGAGCCGCGCGAGGTTGACCACGCCGATGGCGTATATGCGCGAGCGTGCGAATCCAGGGGGGCCGTAGTGTTCGAGGGCTGACCATTCGTCGAAGTCGGTAGGGTGGTACGTTTTGAGAAAAGCGAGGGCGTTGTCGAGTATATCTGACATCTGGTACTTATGGCCGAGTCGAACCGACGCCGAGAGCATGTCGTACGAGTAAGGCGGAGTTGCATGGAAGAACGCGCTGTAGACGATTGTCAGTTGGGCCGACTGAGCGTACGGTATCCCGAATGTACCTGGGGCTGCCTTTGGGCATATAAACACGCAGAACATGGCGGAGGTCTTCGGGAGAGTCAGATAGGTGAACCACGGGGCACATATCGTCTGCTGTGGAGGAGGAAAGGGTCTCCGCGGGTGGAGGCTGAGGCAAAGAGAACATGTCTCTGAATACGGGGGAGTGCTCCGCAAGAATCCCCTTGAAGACGCGAAACTCGACGTCGCGCGCGACGAGGATGATGTTCCCGTCGCTATACCAGAATTCTTCGTCACGCTCCCTTCCTGCGACTGGTTCAATTTCTCCAGCATTACCTGAGCTCGTTCGGGCTCTCTTTCGTGTGTTGCGCACTGGATCTGACATCGTCCGCGGTCGCTGGTGCTGGACTTAGGAATGAGCCAGCTGGATCAGATACTGGTGCTGAGACACATGGTGACTACTCACCCGCACGATCTATGGTGTGCTTTGATCGTTTGGAGGCCGGTGGAAACGAGTCTAAAACTGCGACGATCGAGGAAAAAAGCAGCGCCACTAGCCAATTTCGTCGCCGAGGAAACCGCGATATGTCACGAGCACGTGATTCTGTGTCACGGTTTTGCTCCCCGCGCGCTGGCGCTTCGTTCTTCCCGTCCACTGGTCCTCAGCGAATACGCGGAGAAACTGCTCCAACCCAGAAATTGCGTAGCAGGGTCACGGTGGGTACAATTATATGCATATATTATTTTCCATTAATGCGATATCAAATTCGACAGCACAATGTCTTCACGCGGCACACGCAAACGGGCGCGGACGGGCTCAATCGCTGCGACCTCCACCGATGGCAGGGCTCAAGACTCCATGAATGTAGAAACTTCCCCGAGAAAGCGCGACGAAGAATCCTGGTACAGCGACGGGAACATCATCCTCGTCGCACGCGATATCGAGTTCTGTGTCTTCAAGGGGATTCTCGCGAAGCACTCCCCCGTTTTCAGCGACATGCTCTCTTTTCCTCAGCCCCCAGTCGCCGGCTCCTCTGACCCGTCCCCGGTCCAAGACGATCTGCCCGTGGTCCACCTATCGGACTCCCCAGAAGATCTGAGGCATATTTTGCGCGCTTACATGCCTACAGGCGGACCGAGGTCAGTCCTTCGCGACGCACATCGCATAAGTATGACTGAACTTCGTGCGCAGCACATTCTTCCAAACCCGTTATAAATATTCGTATTATGCGATTTCGGCGGCGATCCGGCTTGGCCACAAGTACCAGATGACCGACCTACTCGACGACGCCCTCGGTTATCTGAAGACCTACTACCCAACCGAGTTCGACAAGTGGCGCGCATACGACAACTACGGCCCGCCCGGGTTCTCGGAGCAGCACACAATAGGCGTCGTCAATCTCGCTCGTCTCGCCGGCGAGAACGGCCTGCTGCTGATGGCCCTTCTCGTCTGCTGCACGATCCCCAACGTGGGTGATCTGGTCCGCGGCGTGGAGCGCGAGGACGGCTCGCGCGAGCAGCTCACGCTGGACGACATCGCGCTGTGTTACCATGCGAAGACCCTGTTAATGGACTGGTCCGTCAAGATCACGCTCGCGATCTGCCGGCAGGAGGTGTCGGCGGGGTGCAAGACGGGACAGAGCTGCCTCCAAGCCCTCGCGCAGGTGCTCAATGGGCTCGAAGCTGCCGGGAATTTTCTTACATACCCCGACCCCTCCGTCGATGGCATTGGCTTAAACGACGCGATCAAGGCCGTCAATCTGTGCTTGCATTGCCGGGCGATGGTGAAGGAACGCGATACTCGCGAGAGAGAAATGGTCTGGGGGCAGCTGCAGGGGATATTTGACATCTACTTGGAGAAGCCCGCTAACGAAGAAGGTTAGGCTACTGGGAGCGCTGCTCTCTCACAACCGGACTTGACGGTCGAGGTGCGCAGAACAACGGCGGTTTTGCGCGCCAATAACTTCTCTGATCTGCGAGCTAATTTTAGTTTCCAGGGAGACACGGGAGGGGATCCAAGTAGCTTCCCTGTCTATTTCTTTTCTAAAGGAACGACTGTGCTCCCACAGAACTAGCGTGCTGGTTAACGAGCCTACCTACATAGTTGTTGGAGCAATCGATAAATCGAGTCGTCAAGAGTGAAAGCGAGTGAATTCCGGTTGTCCCGTACAGTAGCGTCGTGGTACGGAGGCAAACAGATAGGGTACACAAAACGCCTCGCGCGCGATACTGAACGCCTCGGCAAGTGCCGGCAAGCTGGCGCTCGCTCAGAACCAAAATCCAACAATAGTACTCTCGTAATGACTGCGATACTAGAGGCCGCTGACCCTCAAGTTACCCTGGCGGACCTAATGGTAGAGTCTGTGCATACGACTTGAAGCCTACGTTTGGGATATGGCAAACCATAGTGAGTACCCTAATAGATCATAATCTTCTGGACGCATGACATCGTGCTACAACTTCTTACACATCTCGGATACATTTGTTAGAGCGAACTCGCCGGCCCGATTATGCGGCAGTTCCCGCCGTGTGCTCTTCGTGCGCTCTAACGGACAGGGAAGCTACTCTCTGCCCCTTCCGTGTCTTCCTGTACATAGAGGTAAGCTCACAGAGTAAAACGAGACACTATTGGGGTGCAAACCGCGCGGCTCAGCTATTCTGCGTACCTCGGCTGTACAATCCGATCATGGAGGAGTGGCATTCCCAGCAGCCTGCCCTTCGTCGGCGGCCTTCGGCAACTCGATCCCAAATATCTCGGGCAGTTTCTCCCACGCCGCTTTCCTCTCGCGCAGATTGCGCTCCTTCACCATCTCCTTGCACTGCGCGCACACCCCTGCGGCACGGAACGCATCGTCAAACCCAATCGCATCAAAGCCTGGGTCGGGATTTGTGATAACGGAGGGATCGTCGATAGCTTCGAGGGCGATGAGCACGCTCTCGAAGCCCAGCGAGCAGGCCCGCTCCGTCTTGCACGCATCCGCCACCTCCGGGTGGCAGATGCGGAGCATGATCTGGACGGACACCGCGGTGAGCCGGGCCCTCGCGATGTAGCAGAGTCCGATGTCGCCGAGCGCGAGCTGCTCGCGCGAGCCGTCCTCGCGCTCGAACCCGTGAATGATGTCGGTATCGTCGATGGTGCAGCACACGAGGAGCGCCATGATGAGCAGCTCCGCGTCGTCTACGAGGCGCGCCAGGTTGACGAGGCCGATGTGGTGCGCCATAGTGAAACTGGGCGGGCCGTATTTTTTGTACGCGTACCATTTGTCGAAGTCGATTGGGTAGTACGCCTTGAGATAGTCGAGGGCGTTGTCGAGCAAATCCGACATCTGGTATTTGTGGCCGAGCCGGACCGCTGCGGAAATCGCGTCGTACGAGTACCCAGGGGGTTCTTTGGAGAAGAATACGCTGCGGGCGATGGTCAGTTCTGCAGATGCCATGCACGCCACTGACAAATACCTGGGACCGCCTGTAGGCATGTAGGCGCGCAGGACGTGCCGCAGATCTTCCGGGGAGTCCGACAAATGGACCACCGGGCAGACTTCTTGTGCCGAGGAGGCAGAGGATGTGGGGTCGGAGGGTTGCGGCAAAGAGAACATGTCCTCGAACACGGGCGAGTGCTTCGCGAGGATTCCTTTGTATACGCGAAATTCGATGTCGCCTGCGACGAGGATGATGCTTCCGTCGGGGTACCAGAATTCTTCGTCACGCTTCCTCGCAACAAATTCTGGTTCCACAGGGTTGTGTGCTCCACCATCGTTGTTGGTCGCGGAGATTGAGCCCGTCCGCGCCCGTTTGCGTGTGTTCGCGCGCGTTGACATTGTATTCCTTGAAGATCATGCTTGAATATACAGAAAATCAAGAGTGCAGTTCGCATATTGATGGACTTACCGTTGCTGCTATGTATACTATTAGCTAAAGGCTGACGTGGTTGGGGCTTCGCGTATTCACCGTATACGTGTGGGAGTGGAGAAGAAAAGCAAAGCAGTGGCGCGCCGACTCCCTACGGCTGTGACCTGTTATCACGTGACCGTGACACATCGCGGTTTATCCGGCGGCGTGCCTCGCGACTGCTGCTTCGTACTAACTGCAGTGCTTCGCGAGCCTCAAATCCCCCTGGCGGACCTATGGTGTATATTCCATCTGTGCACCGGACCTTTATCTTGCGCTCAACGAGAGCGACCTGTGCGCGTCCTGTCGGGAGATGGTGACGGACCGCGAGGAGAGCGAGCGGGGAGCGGCCTGGAAGAAGCTCCCGGGCATATTTGGCCTCACGTTGCCGGCCCAAGCCCCCGGTGAAGCAAGACAGAATGGTGTGTGAAAATATGTACAGTGGTAGATGGGCTCTGCACGCCAATGCTTTCCCGCTGGATCCGAAGCGGCAGCAACCTACTTATTATATAAGGTTCTCTCTCTGAAGGACGTGTATATTCCCGCAAAGTCGTAGCACATATAATGGTAGAATAAGTACATCATGGAAAAAACTCGGCTGGAATTGTCCTGCTCGAAGACATGCCGTGATCGACGGCACCAAGACGGCAATAAGAGATGCTTCGGTGTGTGCCTGCGCGAAGTAGGTTTGCCTCGAAAACCGCGATGTGTCACCGACACGTGGTACGGCGTCACGATCTCGCTGTTCACATATTAGCGCTTCGTTTCTTCCGTTCCACCATCACGGTCAGCAAGCCGGTACGCATACATGTTATGATTGACTGTTTAAATCTCACTGGGATATCGTTGTCTTCGGATGCAAATAGCTCGGCCCCTCAATCAACAACACGATGTCCACGCGCGGCACACGGAAACGGGCACGGACGGGCTCAGTCGCCGCGGCCTCCAACGACGGCGCGACACCGGAGCCCGGAAACGCAGCAGCTGGCTCCAGGAAGCGCGACGAAGAGTTCTGGTACGAGGATGGGAACATCATCCTGGTCGCACGCGACATCGAGTTTCGCGTCTTCAGGGGAATTCTCGCGAAGCACTCGCCCGTGTTTAGAGACATGTTCTCCTTGCCGCAGCCCCCCACCATTTCCTCCACCACTTCCTCCTCAGAACAAGACACTTGCCCCGTGGTTCACCTATCTGACTCTCCGGAAGATCTGCGGCATGTCCTGCGCGCTTACATGCCTACGGGCGGTCCTATGTAGGTGCTTTTTCCGCGGCGCGTATCGCACTCGCATAACTAACCATCATCCGCAGCGCATTTTTCCACAAAGATCCCCCTTACTCGTACCATGCGATCTCGGCGGCGGTCCGGCTGGGCCACAAGTACCAGATGTCCGACTTGCTCGACAACGCCCTTCGCTACCTCAAGATGTACTACCCTACCGACTTTGACAAGTGGATTGTATTAGACGAGTACGGTCCTCCCGGGTTCGACGAACCGCGATCGTATGCCATTGGCGTCGTCAACCTTGCTCGTCTCACGGGCGAAACCGGCCTGCTATTGATGGCCCTCCTCGTTTGCTGCACGATCCCGGAGGCATCGGATCTGATCCGTGGGTTCGAGCGCGAGGACGGCTCACGCGAGCAGCTCTCCCTGGACGACATTGCACTGTGCGTCGATGCAAAAAGCACTCTGGCTGAACTGTCCGTCAAGATGATGCTCGGGATCTGCCGGCAGGTGGTGTCCTCTGCGTGCGAAACGATGCAGGGCTGCTCTCACGCCTTCAAGTACGTGCTTACTGAGCTTGAAAACGAAGCAAATATCCTACATTCCGACCCTTCCGTCGACATTCTTGCCTTGGAGGCGGTGCTCGAGGACGCAGATCTGTGCTTGCACTGCCAGGCGATGGTAAAGGAACGCAAGATTCGCGAGAGGAAAGCGGCCTGGGGGCAGTTGGAGGAGATCTTTGCTATCGACTTGCCGGTGGACAACGAAGAAGGGCAGGCCGCTGGGAACGCCGTTCACCCTTAGTCGGACTTCACAGTCGAAGTATGCAACATAGCCGAGACAGTTTGCGCGGCAATACTTCCTCTTTTTACTCTCCGAGCTAATCTCTGTTTCTAGGCGGACACAGGAGGGCCGCAAAGGAGCTTCCCTGCCCACTACAGCGCACGAAGATCGCATGGTGGGACCCACCGCAGTACTACTACGCTCTTTCTATCATATGCATCGGCGTTGTCAGGCGTTTCTCTCAGCGTTCTGCTTCACCGATACTGTGAGAGACAAATTGACCTCTCACGACAGTGTATCGCATCAACTCGTCAGCGACGTTGCGTTAGCATCAGCTACGGCGGACGAGATCCTCGCGCAGAGTACGCGAGGCGGCTGAGCGGCTCATATCGCACCGTCCGAGCCGTTGTTATGACTAATTTGCCAACTATCAGCGACGCGAGACTGCGTGATCGCAGCGCTGGTCTTGCGATTTGTTCCACACCCATCGCTGTGATCCTAACACTAAACTGCCTCGAATTCGTGTAAGTGACTCTTATTCTAATGCTGGCGCATGCGGTACGTCAACTTACGATTAATCACAACAGCTACGATGTCTGCCCACGTTACACGCAAGTGGTCTCCGACCTCTTCGGTCGCAACTCCTGCCTCAAGTTCCATGGATCATGCGCCACGAGGCGACGGAGACTCGGACGAGTCTGTTGCAAGAACACGCGACGATGAGTTTTGGTATAGTGACGGAAGCATAATCCTCGTCGCACGCGACGTCGAGTTCCGCGTGTACAAGGGCCTTCTCACCCACCACTCCCCCGTGTTCAGAGATATGTTCTCTCTTGCCCAGCCTCCAGCCGTATCGTCTTCCGTGCCTGTCGAATCCGCGGAGACCCTCTGTCCCGTGGTTCGCCTGTCGGACTCCCCCGAGGACATGCGTCACATCCTACGCGTCTACATGCCAAGGCACGGCCCGAGGTACATTCGTGCATCGTGCCTCGAGAGCGGAGCATAGCTCACCACTCCCTGCAGCGCATTGTTCTATAGCACATCTCGGCACTCGTACCACGCGATCTCGGCGGCAGTCCGCTTAGGTCACAAGTACCAAATGCGGGATCTCCTCGACAGCGCTATCCTCTTTCTCAAGACGCATTACCCCATGGACTACGATGACTGGACCGAATTCGGAGACTGCGGTGCGCCCAGTTTCTCGCTGGAACACGCCATTGGCGTCGTCAACCTCGCACGCCTTGTTGGCGACTCAGACCTCCTCGTCATCGCCCTCCTCGTCTGCTGCCACATCGACGACGCGGACGCGCTGATTCACGGCTTCGAACGCGAGGACGGCTCGCGCGAGCAGCTCACGCCCGAGGACATCGCGCTCTGCGAGTCCGCAAAGCGCCGACTCCTTGAGGAGTCCAAGCAGGTCTCGCTCCGCGTCTGCTTGGGTTTGCAGGTGTCGGACGCATGCATGACGCGCTCGCGCTGCCTGCGCAGACTCGAGCAGGCACGCCTGGAGCTCGGGGATACGGAGACAACCATGGCGTTTATCGAGCCGTCCGAGCGTCCGCGTCCTCTCGACGACTTGATCGAGAGAAGTGACCCGGGGCTGTGCGCGCACTGCCAGAAGACGGTTGCGGACCGTGATTTGTGCGAGAGGAAGGCGCTGTGGGAAACGCTGCCGGAGATATTTGGCATCGAATTGCCGAAGGTCGCTAACGATGAAGGGCAGGCTGTTGGGGACGCAGTTCACCCGTAGACAGAGCGGATCGAGGTACGAAAGCTCACGATAGTGCGGCAACCGTTCCGCACTTCGCTCTCTGAGTTGACCTCTGTTTCCAGGTAGACATGGTAGGGATAGACGGTAGCTGATGTGAAGACACGAGCAATGCATAAACGTTGCGGCATTGGGTGATCAAACCGCCTTGTATTCCTGTCACGGCGAACAACTGAATGTTAGCGGGGAGCGAGTAGATGGAGCGATGCGCAAACCACATGTGCGTACCCCGACAATAACTGATTATGGTGCACCCGCGTCATCTGCACCACCACGCTGCATCGCTTGCTCGTACGGGCAACTCGATGTCAAATACCTCCGGCAGCTCATTCCAACCGACCGACCTCTCGCTAGCAATGCGAGCCTTGACCATCACTCGGCATTGTTGACACAGCATGCCAGCCCCGAACTTGTCGTCGAACGGCGGCACGCTCCAAAGATCGGGTTTTGCGATCTCATCTATGTGGTAGTTGAGACTTGTGGGCATGCGCTTGAAGATCTCCACGCAGGACTCGAACGACATGCACCCCTCCGCGACGATCGGATGGAAGACGCGGAACGCGATCCCGATGGACTTCTTGACCAGCCGGTCCCTCGCCGCGAGGCACAGCTTGATGTCCTCGAGCGCGAGCTGCTCTCGGGTACCGTCCTCCCGTATGAAGCCCTCGACGATCTTTTCGTTGAGAGCGCAGCATGCGAGGAGCGCCGTCGGTAGCACAGTCGTCTCTTCCGTCAGACGGGCGAGGTTCACGACACCGATCGCTTGCCCATGGTCTTCAAACCCGGCGGGAAAGTAGTCGGGGTAGCTCCCCCATGTATCGAAGTCGCATACGTAGTGGTTCTTGAGGTACTCCATCGCGTGGTCGAGCAGCTTCGACATCTGGTACTTGTGGCCGAGCCGGACGGCCGCAGAGATCATGGCGTACGAGTATGATGGGGCAGTCACAAAGAATGGACTGAATGGGGCGCGTCAGCCATGCGAATGTATAAAATGGTGCTGGGAGAATAGACACCTCGAGTCGCCTCTAGGCATGTAGGCGCGCAGGATGTGCCGGAGGTCTTCGGGAGAGTCGGACACGTGGACCACGGGGCAGACGTCATCGTTTGGGGCAGAGGCGGCGGACGCAGGGTTGGGGGGTTGAGGCAGGGAGAACATGTCGCTGAACACCGGGGAGTGGTCGGCGAGGAGTCCCTTGTACACGCGAAACTCAACGTCATGGGCAACGAGCGTGATGTTGCCGTCGGGATACCAGAACTCAGCATCCCGCTCCCTTGCGCCAGGCCCGACCGTAAGTTCTTGAGTGTCGGCCGGTTCAGATGCGCCCGCAATCGAAGCAGTCCGTGCTCGCTTCCGCTTGCCCTGCATAGACATGGTCGCTGCAATACAGATCCACGTCGGAAGCTAGTAAGTGTCCCATTAATACTTGTATTGCAAGTATCTACGATGTTCATAACCTCATACTTACCAAATATGTGGTGTGTTTGAAAGAGGTGAACAGTGTTCGGTATGTCGTGGTATTGGAGGTGCTGGAGGATGTCGGACACGACAGCGGAAGTCTGGGAACCGCATCGACGCGCTAACAGCAGTATGACCGGGATCATGTGCCGGTGACTCACCGCGATTACCCGCAAAAACACCGAAGCGTGACATTACCCGATTACGGCACTGTGTTTCTTTCCACTTCCACGTCGCTGCGATACACTCCAGGCAAATCTGCCGCCTCAAATTTGTGAGCGAATATTGAATTGAAACATATATCAACGTAACTGATGGATTTCGGCCTTTCGATCACAGCTGCGATGTCCGCGCGCGCGACACGAAAGCGCGTCCGCACGTCTTCGTTTGTGGACGCCTCCGCCGACACTCATGATGGGTCGACTCAAACCGCTACAGACATCCAATCTGCATCCGAACCCGCTGCAAGAACGCGCGACGAGGAATTTTGGTACAGCGACGGAAGCATCATCCTGGTCGCACGCGACGTCGAGTTCCGTGTCTACAAGGGACTTCTCGCAGACCACTCCCCCGTGTTCAGAGACATGTTCTCTCTCCCTCAACCTCCTGTGGAGGACCAGTCGTCCTCCACATCTGCCGTATCTGTGGAAGACTCCTGTCCGGTGGTTCACGTGTCAGACTCCCCCGAGGACCTGCGGCACATGCTCCGTGTGTACATGCCGAGAGGCGGCCCGAAGTACATTCGCACACTGTCTGGCACTTTGACGTCACCGACTGTTCGTTTACAGTGCGTTCTTCCACAGTACTCCCAACTACTCGTATGACACGATCTCAGCGGCAATCCGTCTTGGCCACAAGTATCAAATGCCGGATCTCCTGAACAACGCTGTAGCCTTTCTCAAGAAGTACTACCCGACCGACTATCAGCAATGGAAGTCATCCGAAGACTACGGTCCTCCCGGGTTTTGGATGTACCATGCCATCGGTATCGTTAACCTTGCCCGCCTCACCGACGAGGTCGGCTTGCTCCTGATGGCGCTGCTTGTCTGCTGCAACATCGACGAGGCGGAAACCGTGGTCCGTGGATTCGAACGCGAGGACGGCTCGCGCGAGCAGCTCACGCTCGACGACGTTGTGCTGTGCTATTCCGCGAAGACCCGCCTTCAGGAGGAGTGCACGAGGATCACGCTCCGGGTGTGTCGGCCGCAGGCCTCCAGTGCGTGCAAGACAGTGGCAAACTGCGTTCGTAAATTCAAGCACGTGCTCCGGGAGCTCGAGGACGCGGATGCGGATGACCCCTTTGCGTATATGGACCCCTCTATCCGCGTGAGCGCTATCGAGGCCTTACTCGCAGATGACGAGCCGCGGCTGTGCGAGCCCTGCCGGGCGATGGTGGAGGAGCGCGATTCGCGCGAGAGAGTGGCGGTGTGGGCGAAGTTGCCGGAAATATTTGGCCTCGAATTGCCGCCAGCACCGGCCAACCACACGGATGAAGCTGGAGAGGGTATTAGTACACCTTGAGAGGGGGCGTCGAGGTACGTGCTAGACTTGCAGACACCGTTTGCGCGCCGATGATCCCTATACTTACCATCCTCCTGCTGATTCGAAGGTTCTCCCAGACGCCACAGGCCTATGGAATGGATTCCCCTCTCTCCGTATATTTCTAGCGCAACATCTGACAAAACGGCAAAGTATAATACTGTGATGATCTGCTTACGGGTATACTGAGTTTTTAGCGCGTGATCTCTGTCGGTCGCGCACGACGGTTCTGAGGCATACCTTTTGTACCCGTCCCAGTAAGTGCTCGAGTTTTCGTCAGGAAGTACCACTACGACCCTCAGCGATACCCAGTATCTCCGGCAATCTAGCCCACACCGCACGTTTTCCTTGGACTCGCGGCTCTTTGCCATCGCCTTACATGTCTGACACAGCTCATTTTCAACGTCGGAGACGTTAAGGATACTGAACGGCCCGAGGAACGGATCCGCCCCCGCCACTTCGTCTAGTCGTTTCTCGACCTTCATCATGAGGTGCCTAAATCCGGTTTTGCACTTCGCCGCCCTCGTGCACCTTTCCGCAGCGACTGGCCGCAAGGCGTGGAGCGCGACGCCGATCGATGCCTGGACAAGCCGAGGCTTGGCTGCAAAGCACAGGCCGATGTCGTGAAGCGCGAGCTGCTCGCGCGTGCCGTCCTCGCGCTTGAAGCCGTCGACGATCTCGCGGCCTAGTTGACAGCACGCGAGGAGCGCGGTTGGCAGGAGGCTCGTCTCTCCCAAGAAACGGGCGAGGTTGACGATGCCAATAGCCTCTTCCTCCACGAAACCCGGCGGAACGAATCCGTTATAACGGTACCAAGTGTCGTAGTTATTGGTGTAGTACGTCTTCAGGTAGGCGAGTGCTTGCTCGAAGAGTCTGGTCATCTGGTATTTGTGTGCCAGCCGCGCCACTGCCGCTATTTCGGCGAAGGAGGGATCCTCAGGGGATTCAAATGGGCTATAGGGTCACCGTCAGCTCTGTCAGAAGTCTGGCAAATACGAAATGTAAGGTGATACCTCGGATGATTTTTGTGGGTGTAGACACGCAGAACGTGCCTCCAATCTTTGGGAGAGTCGGATAGGTGGACTACAGGGCACCCGTCGGCAGTGGGGAGTGCCGTCGAAGGTATGGGTGGTTGTGGCAGGGAGAACATGTCTCGGAAAACGGAAGAGTTCTCGGAGAGAATTCCCTTGTAGACGCGGAATTCGACGCTACCGGCGACGAGTATGATGGTGCCGTCGTCGTACCAGAAGTCTTTGTCTCTGGTTCTCGTGGCGTTGCGATCATCTTGCTGCTCATTTGAGCTTTGTCCTGTGCCTTCCGGAATATCATGGCTGTTGTCGTTCGAGGACTCGAGCCGGGCTCGTTTTCGCGTGATAGGCCCAGACATCTCCGTTGATTATGAACCTGGTTATACCACACTGGTGAGAGGACAGTCAGAAGTGCTAGTATCACCGACAAAGACTCGACTTACCCGCGGGGGTTCGAGATAGTTGTACGCTTTAAGGATTGTCACTTGGGCGAGCTGTGCCAGCAGCGCGGAATAGAACGCGTAAGTCGTGCTACATGCACGCGCAGCAGCATTAGCAACTGCGCTGATCATGCAGAAGGTCTGCGGCCCAGTCAGTGTAGAGAAGATGCACCTGCGCTATACGCCGTCAGTGCCCGTCTTCCAAGTCGAGCAGGATGCAGCCGCCGTGGAACAAAGCAGCTGGCAGGACGGTGGGTGCACAGAAAGATGTGGTGAATGGTGGGGGCTGAGCGCTGAGCGCTGAGCGAGAGACAGGGAAGAAAATTAGACTTCCCGAAGGTGATATCCCGTGATCTACCGCAGCTACGTGCCGCGGCCATACGCAGTTCGCTTGCTCCTTGAAAGCATCTCCCTGTTTATCGAATGTGTTGCTTTCGCTATCCACAGTAGAATTCAAGAAACAGTCCGATCAGGAAGACCGCAATCCTTCTAGCTTGCTTGCAGGTCAGAAACATCTTGCCCGAAGTACGTACCGAAGCTCCGTGTGGCAAGAGTACTGATCACAGTTGTCGAGCTGAAGCTACAGGTGCCGACATTGCAATAACGCACCCTTTGCATACCACTCGCTGCGCCAATGGCAGAAAGCACAAAGCCCGAGGGGCTGTGTGTGAAGATACGAGATGCCGAGCTCTGGTTTGGGGACGGAAACGTGGTCCTAATGGGGGGCGTCATCGAGTTCCGGGTGTACAAAGACATCCTCGCCGACCACACGCCCGTCTTTGACGACATGGTTTCATTTCGACAGCCAGCATCTACTCCACCTCGTCCGATCGAGGCGTCAAGCTCTACCAGGGACGTTTGCGCTTTCATCTGCCCGCTTATGCCGACTTTCTGGGATCCCGTCTCGCTGCCTTCACGCGGAGGGAAGGACAACAGCTCGAAAAGACCACCGAAACATAACATCTGTGCCATGTCGCTACCTGGAACGGTAAGGTGAGGGGCGGGATCGGTGCGCAAGTAGTCTCTCGGCTTACATTCATTATCACGCTCACGATGCGGGAGCACCTGCGTTTCCGCCAGCCTGGACACCGACCCTGGGAGCCTCCGGCGGCAATGTGACCCCGAATATCTCGGGAAGCTTCGCCCATACCGCTCTCCTCTCGCTATTGTCGCGCTCCTTGACCATCGCCTGGCAGTGCCTGCAAAGCCCGGTGTCCGCGATGGTGCTGTAGAACACGCCACACGGCTCTGGATCGGAGATGTGGTCGACGAACTGCTCGGCACCGGTGGCCATCTTCCTGAAGGCTTCGAGGCAGCCGGGTGTCTTGCACCGGTCCGAGACGGTTGGCCGGAAGACGCGGAACGCGACCCTGATGGACTCCCTGATGAGCTTGTCCTTCCCGGCGATACACAAGCCAATGTCGTCGAGGCTGAGGTGCTCGCGGGACCCGTCGACGCGCTCAAAGCCGTGGGCAAGGTTTTTGCCGAGCATGCAGCACGCGAGGAGCGCGGTTGGGAGGATGCTGGTCTCGCCGGTCAGGCGCGCGAGGTTGACCACGCCAATTGCGTAGAATTGGTGCTTGAAGCCCAGAGGAACGTAGTCGGCGTGATCATACCAGGTCGTGTAGTCGTTTGTGTAGTGCCGCTTGAGATAGTCGAGCGCGTGGTCGAGCAACTTCGACATCTGGTACTTGTGGCCGAGTCGGATAGCTGCCGAGATTTCGTCGTATGAGTATAACGGAACACTGAGGTAGAATGGGCTGAAAATGATTCGTCAGCTGTGCATTATCCAGCTAATATAGACGAGACGTCGTGACGAGCGGTACCTGGGGTCGCCTTTGGGCATATATGCGCGGAGGACGTGCCGCAGGTCGTCAGGAGAGTCCGATAGGTGTACCACGGGGCAGGGGTCGTTTGTCCGAGTCGGGGAGGCGGCAACCGGAGGCTGTGGTAGCGAAAACATATCTTTGAATACAGGAGAGTGGTCGGCGAGAAGTCCTTTGTATATGCGGAACTCGACGTCGCCCGCTACGAGGATGATGCTTCCGTCGCAGTACCAGAATTCCTCGTCGCGCTTCCTCAAAACGGACTGTGCGGATCGCATGTGTTCTGCGTCTTGCTTCTCTCCATTTTGGAGACCGGAGCCGGACGCGGTCGACAACGTCCGGGCCCGTTTCCCGCGTGGAGCTGTGGACATCCGAGTCGTCTCTGTTACAAGATGGGCGATGAGCTAAGTATGCAACCGAAAACTAGCTAGTGTACGGGTATATATAGCGTAAATACATACCTTGAGGTTACGAGATATGTATTATTAAAAAGTCGATAGCGGTCGATGTGGAGGATGTCGGTGAAGCGTGGCGATTCCGAACGGCGAAGTAATGCGTGACAGCACATCACGTGCGAGTGACTCGCCGCGATTATCACGCCTGACACTTGCAGTAAAGCCAGAGCTCGACGTTCCGACCATCATCCACATACCCCCAAGGCAGGTCAGTTTTCAGCGCATCGTAATTATATGTCACTAGTGTTAACTACGCGACCATATTAGTACAGAAAATACCCTGGTTCTCGACTTGTTTGCTAAATTTGTGACCGCATCGCGACGCAACAGTTACAACGCCATTCATCGAGAAATGTCAAGCTCTACGGTCAGCCGGAAACGTCAAAGGACTGAACCATCGCTTTCGGATGGCTTCGACTCTCCCGCCAGAACGCGAGATACCGAGTTTTAATTCGAAAACGGGAACGTCATCCTCGTGGCCAAATCCTACGAGTTTCGCGTGTTCAAAGGAGTTCTTGCCCACCACTCCCCCGTTTTCCAAGACATGTTCTCCCTCCCTCAACCTGTATCCTCCACGTCACCTGAAAGCACACACATCTCCGATGCGTGTCCGGTCGTCCACTTGAGCGACTCCCCGGAGGATCTCAGGCACGTACTGCGGATATGCTTACCTAGGAACGATTTGAGGTGACGTATTTTCAAGCTCGGTATCTCCGAATACATATCACTCACTAGGTACTGCGCACAGGTTTTTCTCGTTCTCCGAGGGTCAAGACACCCCGTCGTTCGACATGGCCTCCGCCCTCATCCGCCTCGGACACAAGTACCAAATGCAAGCCATGGTCACACAAGGGATCCAGTACCTGAAACGCTGTTTCACCGACGACTTCCTCGTCTGGTCTGAGGGCCCGCTCTACGAGGACGACTGCCCAATCAAAAAGGATTACGCAATCGGGGTCGTCAACCTCGCGCGCCTCGTCGACGACCCGTCCCTCCTGCCCACCGCGCTCCTCGCCTGCTGCGCGCTCGACGCGGACATCGCGCACGGATACACGCGCGAGGACGGCACGCGCGAGACACTGTCCGCGGACGACCTCGTGCGCTGCTTCGCCGCGCGCATGGCCCTCGCCGCGCGCACGGCCCTCGCCGCGCGCATGCTTACGCTCGCCCTGCGCATATTCGAGCCCCGCGTGCGGGACTCGGACGCGTGCACCGGGCGGGCCGCGTGCGCGCGCGTGCTGCAGCATGTGCTGCTGGAGGTGCGGGGCAGGGCGGACCACTTCGCGCACCCGGACGTGTTCTCGTCGTGGCTCGAGCCGTTTGAGGAGGAGGAAGGGATCGGCTTTCTGGATGGGTGCTGCGCGAGCTGCCGCAAGATGCTGAGGAGGAGGGACATGAGGGAGCGGCTCGAGGTGTGGCTGGAATTGCCGGAGATCATGGGTGTGCGGGTGGACGGGTGGGACAGGAAGCTCTTTGCGGTGTGTGACAGATGATTGCCTATTATGCAGTACGTTCACTCGCATATCACGCCTACATGATTATGGAACAAGATGAACCCTCCGAATTGAGGTGGCGCAGTGTGTAATTGAATATAGCCTACAGCTTCGCAGCAGCCGCTCCCTGAGCGGACAAACTTGGCTATGGAACGCCCGCATTACCACCCGCAGCGTTAGCTGGCGCGTGCACCAACGTAACACCGAAGATCTCCGGCAGCTTCTTCCAAACCGCCCTCCTCTCGCGGTCGTCGCGCTTCTGCACCATCATCCGACACGCCATGCACAAGATGCCCTCCCCGAACTTCACATCGAGCGGCACCCCACACGGATCCGGATTCACCATATCCTCCACCCGCGCCTCCATGTTCGCAAGCTCGCGCTTGAACGTGTCCGTGCAGAACTGCCTCGACTTGCACCCATCTGCACTCACCGGCTGGAGGACGCGGACCGCGACCGTGATCATCTCGCGCACCAGGCGGTCCTTCGCCGCGAGACACAGCTTGACGTCCTCCAGCGCGAGCTGCTCGCGCGCGCCGTCCTCGCGCACGAAGCCGTCGAGGATGTCGTCGTTCAGGATGCAGCACGCGAGGAGCGCGGTCGGGAGGATGCTGGCCTCGCCCGCCAGGCGCGCGAGGTTCACGACGCCGATCGCGTGCTCCTGGATGCCGAAGCCGGCGGGCACGTAGTCCGGGTGGCTCGCCCAGGCGTCGTAGTCGTTTGTGTAGTGCCGCTTGAGGTACGCGATGGCGTGGTCGAGGAGCTTCTGCATCTGGTACTTGTGCCCGAGCCGGATCGCGGCTGATATCGCAGGGTACGAGTATGACAGGGAGGTCATGAAGAATGGGCTGCAAACGTTCGTCAGGCGCACGGATGCGAGGAAAGCGGGCGCAGATTGTACAAGCACCTTGAGTCGCCTTTAGGCATGTAGGCACGTAGAACGTGTCGTAGATCTTCGGGAGAGTCGTATAGGTGAACGACGGGGCAGGTGCCATTTTCGAAGGCGGAGGGCGAGGAGGCTTTGGTGGGAGGTTGAGGTAAGGAGAACATGTCCCTAAAAACCGAGGAATGGTCCGCGAGAAGTCCTTTGTATACGCGGAATTCGACATCGCGTGCGACGAGGATGATGTTGCCGTCGCTATACCAAAACTCGGGATCGTGCTTCCTTTCGCCCTCCACTAACGGTTTTACATCTCCTGCGCCCTGTGCCACATGTCCTTTAATATCGGGCGCGTCTGTCGCTCCCGCATTGGAAGCCGTCCGGGCCCGCTTCCGCATCGGCCGTGCGGGGAACATGGTCGCTGCACTGGAAATTGATTAAACGTTAGAATACATGCGCACGAGCCGTCAGTACTTCAGTCATCGTAATGGATGCTGGACTGACCAGCTATATAGTGTGCACGGGTTAGGCCAGCAAACAGTGTCTGTCGTACTAGAAGCTGAGCGACGTGACAGCGAAAGCTTGAAAATGGCACTGACGCGGCTTGACGCGGCCGGTGACGCTGTGACATGCATCACGTGCTAGTGACCTACCGCGATAGCCTCTCCAGAGCGTCGCGCTACCGCAGCAGCCCGCTGCGTTTGTTTCCTCCACTCGCGTCGACACTTTGCCCCCTCAAAATTGTGTAAGTAAATCGTAATTTAGAATATACCTGATAAATCGAGTTGTCGACCCGTATGCAGCACTACCATGTCTGCGCGTGTTACACCAAAGCGAGCCCGCGAGTCGGCTCTCGAAGCCTCCGACACTCAAGATCCCGCCACGCAAGGTGGACTTGAAGACATCCAGGTCGCGACCGAGTCTGTAGCAAGGACACGCGACAAAGAATTTTGGTACAGCGACGGAAACATCATCCTCGTTGCGCGCGACGTGGAGTTCCGCGTATACAAGGGCCTTCTTGCGGACCACTCCCTCGTGTTCAGAGACATGTTCTCTCTTCCTCAGCCTCATGCTACATCGTCATCAACCGCTGCACTGGCGGAGGTCCCATGTCCCGTGGTTCATCTGTCGGACTCTCCCGAAGACCTGCGCCACGTACTGCGTGTTTACATGCCCCGAGGCGGCTTAAAGTAATTCATTGACCCATTACATAGTGTCTTCGTACTGAATCACTGACGTTCGTCTATAGCGCGTTCTTCCACAAAGCCCCAGAATACACATACCACACCATCTCTGCGGCAGTCCGCCTTGGCCACAAGTACCAGATGCCAGATCTACTTGACAACGCTCTCGGCTTTCTCAAAGCGTACTACCCGACGGATTGTGACGCATGGAGGACAATCGACCGCGGACTGCCTGGATTCAAGGTCGAGCACACCATCGGCGTTGTCAACCTCGCGCGCCTCACAGATGACGCGAGCCTGCTCTTGATGGCGCTCTTCGCCTGCTGCAACATCGAGAATGCGGAAACGGTGGTTCGCGGATTCGAGCGCGAGGACGGCTCGCGCGAGCAGCTTGCGCTGGACGACGTTCTGCTGTGCTACTCCGTGAGGACCCGCATCATGGACGAGTGCGCCAGGATTACGCTCCGCGTATGCCGGCCGCGTTCCTCCGGGGCGTGCACTGGCAGGACGGCAGCCCACTGCGTTCGGAGGTTCAAGCAAGTGCTCCGGGACCTCGGGGACTCGGCCATTCCTCTTGCGTACCTTGATCCATCTATCCGCGTGGGCGCTATCGACGACTTACTCGCGAAAGGCGACCCGCGGCTGTGTGGCCACTGCCGGAAGATGGTAGAGGAGCGGGATGCGCGTGAGAGGGCGGCGGTGTGGAAGAAGCTACCGGAGATATTCGGCCTTGCGCTGCCGCAGCCAGATGGCGAAGGGGGGCAAGCTAGTGACGCTTCCTAGGATGGTGACCCTTGATAGAAGAAGTAAAGGTACGTTGATTCACCTTTTGCGCCGATGCCAGGCCCTGCGTTTGCTACCCTTCCACTGACTCGAGCTTTCGTCCAACCGTTGCAGGTGCATTCAATGATTTGTATTTCCAGGTACGTGCTAGGTTAGCTCGGAGTCAGTTTTTGTGGCGATGATATCTGTATTTGTCATATTCCTAGTAACTCGGAGTTCCGCCCAGATGCGACAGGTATATGTAACGGATTTCCCTATCCTCCCTGTACTTGTAGCGTAGCATGTAAAAACACGACAGAGTATAATATTCCGACGCTCCGTTCAAGGATCTGCCAATTTGATCTGTGAATGCGTAAGTTGTGTTCGTCGCGCGCGAGGGTACTGCCATGCAGCACTGTAGCGCACCTTTCAAACGTATCCCACCAAACGTCCGAGTTTGAATCAGGCAGCACCGGCCGCTTCATCATCCGCTCCTTCTCCAGCCAGGCCCTATTTGGAAATCCCTACTGTAACTTCCCGACCAATCCGGCGGGGGGTTTGGGGTGTGACCGCCCGGATACGAAGCGGCGCGGCCCAAAAAGCGGCGCGACCGGTGGTGACCGTGACCATCCGGTACGAAAAGCGGCGCGCCGCCCCGCAGGGCCGCCAAAAATGCCATTTGCGGGTGTGACGGGCGCCGGACCACAGGGGAAAGCGGCGGAGGCCGCTGTGACGCGGGACAGACCCCCAAATGCGGGGCGGCGGGGGTAGTTGTGACCTGTGACCCGCCGCTTTGGTCGGGAAGTTACAGTAGTATCTCCGGCAACCTGGCCCACACCGCGCGTTGTTCCTCGGATACGCGGTCCTCCACCATCGCCTGGCAAGCCTGACACAGCAGCCCTTCCGCGTCGGCCTTCAGGATGGTGAAGGGGCTCAGGAACGGGTCCGTCTCCGGCGCCATTTCGCCCACCCGCCCCTCGACGTTCCTGAGGAGCGCCTTGAAGTCCTTTCTGCACTGTGTGCCTGTCTTGCACGTCTCCGACTGTTCTGGCCAGAAGGCGCGGAGCGCGATCCTGACCGACTCCTGGATGAGCCACGTCTTCGCCTCGAAGCACAGTCCGATGTCGTCTAGTGAGAGCTGCTCGCGCGCGCCATCCTCGCGCGTGAAGCCGTCGGTTATCTTCCGGTCTAGTTGACAGCATGCGAACAGCGCGGTCGGTAGAAGGCTCTCCTCTCCAAGGAAACGGGCGAGATTGACGATACCGATGGCCTCGATTTCCGCAAAGCCGGTGGGAACGAGTTGGTCGTATTTCTGCCAGGTGTCGAAGTCGTCGCTGTGGAACGTCTTCAGATATTAGAGCGCTTGGTCGAGGAGTCTGGTCATTTGATACTTGTGCCCCAATCGCGCCGCCGCGTTTATCGCCGCAAATGAGGGGCGTTTAGGGGTAGCATAGGGGCTATGTGTCTGATGTCAGTTGTGCCAAAATTCTAAGGAGCCCAACGACCTACCTGGGGTGGATTTTAGGCGTATACACACGCAGAACGTGCCTCAGATCCTCGGGAGAGTCAGATAGATGAACTATGGAGCACCCGTCGCCACTGATGGGAGGTGCAGGAGGTTGTGGCAAAGAGAACATGTCTCGGAAAACGGCAGAGGCCTCGGAGAGAATCCCCTTGTAGACGCGGAATTCGACGTCCCCAGCGACGAGTATGACGGTGCCGTCGTCGTACCAGAATTCTTCGTCTCTGGTGCGCATGGCTTCGGTGACCTCTTGCAGCTCCTTTGAGCCTTGTGTTGCGTTCTCCCGAATATCATTGTTGTCGTCGTCATTGGAGGACTCGATGCGGGCTCGTTTCCGGGCAGTGGCGCGCGCAGACATCTCCGCCGTTGTTGTAAAACCTGCAAACAGTACAGCGAGAGGACAGTCAGAAAGTGCGGGCACCACCCAGAGTGGATATCTCGACTTACTTAGATTCGCGGTAGGGGTACACTTCGAAGATAGCTACCGCAGCGCTACCGACGGCGAGAACGCTGCTATTGTTATAGTATGCACGTGCCACGTTATCACAGACGCTGAGCTTCGGAGTGCGGCGCAGACATAGTCCCTTCTTAGTTCCTATGCACCGCGTAGCCCGTGCAGAATGTGCGCATGCCACTTGCTATAAGTATGTACAAGCGTACAGTGTACTGCCCCCCGGTACGTTGATTTTGCTCGGGGGATACATGAACTGGGGAATTAGCGCAGGACGTTAATTTGTTACTACTCTCGCCCTCGCGCTGAGAGTTCATAGAGTCGGTATCAGCATTGGTACCACACTATACACGCAGAAAACGCCTCTTCGCCTTACGCCGTTAGCCCCCTTCTCGCAGGTTGGGCGGGATGCAGCCGCCCTCGTAGAAAGCAGTTGACGGGGAGATGCCAGGAGCACAGGTAGAAGCGGTGAATGATGCGTGCCGAGGGAGAAACGGGGAAGAATATGGGACTTCCCGAAGGTAGTATCCGGTGATCTACCGCAGCAACACGTGGTGGCCACACGCAATCCACGTTCTCTTTGAAGGCCTCTCTCTCCTCCTTTCTGGACGTGTTACTCTCGCTGTACACAGTGTCTCAAAACAGCACACCTTCAAGCAGACTACATTCCATCTAACCTGTCTTGAGGTCGTCTGAATTACGTACCATAGCTTCGTGACACAGTGATCACAGTTGCCGAGCTGAAGCCGCAGGTATACTTCGATGTGCCTTCAATAATGCACCCTCTGGTTCAGATTGCGCCGATGGCTAAACGGGTAGAGCACGAGGAGCGCCTTGCAAGGACGCGAGATGCCGAGTTCTGGTTTGGGGACGGGAACATCATCCTTGTGGCGCGCGACGTCGAGTTCCGCGTGTATAAAGGCATCCTCGCCGACCACTCCCCCGTCTTCGACGACATGTTCTCGTTTCCCCAGCCAACACCGTCTACTACGCCTTCTCTCGCAACGTCAACGGGTTCGACTACGGACACTTGCCCTTTCGTCCACCTCACAGACTCGCCGGAGGACCTGAGACACCTGCTCCGGGTTTGCATGCCGAAAAAGGGTATGTTTAGGTGAGTGCACTGTGTACGCTCAAAATCTCGCGTCCGAGACCATAGCTCATGCCCGGCTTACCTTCAGCCCCTTCACCCTCAACAAGCCTTCATATCACATGGTCTCTGCCCTCATCCGTCTCGGTCACAAATACCAGATGAACGGCCTGACCGCGGACGCCGTGGGCTACCTGAAACAATGGTACGCCCCCAAATACTGGTCGGACTGGGCGGGGAAAGTGCTGTACGGCCTCGACGCGCCCTTCCAACGGGTCCACGCAATCGGCGTCGTCAACCTGGCCCGCATCGTCGACGAGCCGGCGATGCTCCCCGCCGCGCTGCTCGTATGCTGCTCGCTCGAGCAGGAGATCGTCGATGGGGGCGTGCGCGAGGACGGCACGCGGGAGACGCTTCCTGTGGAAGACATCGGCCGCTGCTTTGTAGCACGCGCACTCCTCGCGCAGCAGGGATTCACCCTCGTGCTCCGCCTCTTCACGTACCCAGTCTCGTTGGGTTGTACGACGCTGTCTCAGTGCGAAAGGGAGCTACAGGAAAGGCAGGTGGAGGCGATGCGCTACCTGTCCAACGCCTGGCACTCGGACGTGTTTGTACATGCTGCGCACATTCTCAGGTCGGAAATGGACTGCTCGAGCTGCCAGACGATGCTGATTGAGCGCTATGTCCGTTTCGGGGCGGATTTGTGGCATCGACTTCCCTATCTCTTCGGAGTGGACTTGGATCGCGATGACTAGTCTCATAACTCAGAACATATCATCGTCGTGTTTATAGATTCACGGGATGGGTAAAATTTCACTTGTACGCACCTTGACCAGCGATGAAGCATGTACAGGACGGCTTGACCGAGTCGCGGTTCACCAAGTAAAGAGCGCCGTCGTGGTCGTGTTTCTTGGTTAACGGACAAGTTATGGAGATCATGCTGGATAGACGAGTAGTCTGGATAAACGCAGAGCTGCGCCCCTCTAGTGCGACGTCCTAGTTCCTGACACGCGATTTTGTTCGTTGGGCGAGACGCACCTCGCGCTGCGGAGACTCAAGCCACAGAACCTTGGCGCTATGCTTGGACGGGAGGGGCGTTGAGTTTCCACTAACCGTGTGGTAGGTGTGATATCAGTACTTGCAACTCAGAGCCTTCCGCGGCCGCTAGAATACTAGGACCTTTCCGTTGCTCGAATGTCTAGACCTAATGACGGCGACGGAAGGCGCAGGCGGCATTGGTCTGCAGCTTCACACACTGGAAGCCGACGGAATTGTATAGGATTGCTGTACCCCCAAATCAGAACCAACCGATACCTCCGAGCTCACTTCGGCGTACCTCGTAGAGATTGCGATCAAGTGGCACCAGCCACCGCTGCACCATCCGCCACTACTCCGCCCGGACCCGGATCCTCGAGGCCGAGTATTTTGGGCAGCCTCGTCCACACCTCGCGCCTCTCCAAAACTCCACGAGTCTGCGCCGACGACCAACAAGAACGACACAAATCACCCCCCAGATGGCACTCCAACCGGACGAGCGGGCACACGAACGGATCCGCCGTCGCAATCTCGCGCACCCAATCCGCCGCCTTCCGGACGAGCTTCCCGAAGCCGCGTTCGCACTGCGCCGTGGTCTTGCACCCCTTCGAGAGGCGTGGCTGAATGGTGAGGAGCGCGACCCGGACCGACTCTTGCACGAGCCGGGTCTTGGCGGTGACGCAGAGGGCGAGGTCGTCGGAGGTGAGCTGCTCGCGTGTGCCGTCTGCACGCGCGAAGCCACAGACGAGCCGCAGGTTGAGCTGGCAGCACGCGAACACCGCGGTCGGGAGGAGGCTCGTCTCGCCGAGGAGACGGACGAGGTTAAGGACCCCGATAGAATGCACGTCCGAGAAGTTGGGCGGGACAAAGAGGCCGCGCGTTATCCAAGAAACGTAGTCGTTGGTGTAGTACGTCTTCAAGTAGTCCACGGCCTGTTCAAGGAGACTCGTCATCTGGTATTTGTGTCCCAGGCGCGCGGCCGCCGCTATTGCCGCATATGAGGGATCTTTGGGGGCCTTGAACGGGCTATACATCCGTCATTAAAGATGCTAAACCCCGAGAACCTGAAACGCTTCATACGGGGTACATACCTCGCGTGATTATTGGGCATATAGACGCGTAGAACATGCCTCAGGTCCTCGGCAGAGTCGGGTAGGTGCACTAGAGGACAGTCCTCGCCGGCGGACGGCGTGTTCTGGGACGAAACCATTGGAGGTTGCGGTAGGGAGAACATGTCGCTGAAAACTGGGGAGTTCTCGGAGAGAATGCCCTTGTAAACGCGGAATTCGACGTCGCCAGCGACTAGTATGATGGTGCCGTCGGTGTACCAGAACTCTTTGTCTCTGCGTCGCACGCGCTTAGAGCCGTGTTGCGCGCTGCTCGAGGATTCTGCTGATACACTCTCTAGAACGCCAGTGCCATCGCCATTGGAGTTGAGCCGAGCTCGTTTTCGCGTAACGCGCCCAGACATCAGCACTGATGCGAAAAAGCTTATAAGCTGGTGCAGGCAGAATATGAGACGGAAAGTGCAAGGAGGTGTCAGCAGCGCTGGTAGGATTCACTCACCTGCGTGGATTTGAGCTCTGGCGGTACGCTGCAGAAGGATTTTGGCACCTTCAGCGAGCAACATCGCCGCCAAAGACGCGTAGTGTCACATGCACGTGCAGCAACATCACAAAAGCCGTCCAGCTGCGGCGCAGAGCGCGGTCCGCAGGATGCTCGTCCCTCCTGTCATGCGTGCGAGGTTGACGACGACGATGGCATTCCGCCAGCAGCTGAGCTCGGAAGGACCGTGGTCCTCGTAGCCTGATTCGCGGACCGGAATACCCACTGCCACTCTCCCTATCTGGCATTTGCGTCCCATCCATCCATACGGACTCCCATAATCCTAGGAAGCTCCTTCCACGCATAGAGCCTCGCCTACCAATCGCGCTGCTTAAGCATCACTTGAAAAGTAGAGCAGCATTCCTCCAGGAGACGAATCTCAAACGCGTCCAGCCACGAAGTAAACACATTTGCGCGCGCACGAACCACTCCGGATCGCACTTCATGTCCATGTGCATCTCCTGCAGCACTCGGACACACGCCCTCGGATGGTCGCGCGCCTCTGAGTCGGAGATGGAAGGCCTGAAGATCCGCATGGCGAGAACGAGCATTCGCTCGGCCAGGCGTGTGCACGCCCCGAAGCAGCGCCCGAGATCATTTGTGGAGAGCATGTCCCGCGAGCCGTCCTCGCGCATGCAGCCGCTGACAATATCCTCGTCGAGCGAGCAAGGAGGAGCGCTGTGGGGAGGAGCGATGGCTCGTCCAGGAGGCGCGCGAGGTTGACGATCCCGATCGCGTGCCCTTGCCACAGACGGCGAGATCATCCGTGAAAAACCGTTTAAGGTCTTCGACCGCCTGTGAGACCATGTGCCGCATATGGTACTTGTGGCCGATGCTAATGGCTGCCGATATCGCGCTGAACGGCGGATCGTTCTGGGTGAACATGTTGAATCTGCTTCCGAGTCAGCGGAGCTCGCTGCACGATGAAACTAAACAAGCTCACCTTGAGTGGCTTCTAGGTATACAGGCCCACAGTACGTGCTTGAGGCGGAAGCCGACCGCCTGTGCCACGAGGATTACGTTCCCGTCCTCGAGTCAAAGCTCGGTGTCTCACGTAATAGACGTACTGGCTTCCACTGTTGAGTCCACACTATGTTGAGCGTCGAAAGCCGTTCTCCGACGCTTATTAGTACCTGCCGAGTTGAACATCGCCGGACAGAGTAGCTCTTCTGTAGCTGCCTGCTTGTAACCCGAAAAGCTACTCCGGGATTAATATCTCCAGTGAAGTAGATGTGTGGCCAGGCCGCCTGTTACCGAACCTTCTACATGTTTATTCCATCAGTCCAAGTCAAAATCAGGACAGGTTTCTATTAGCACCTCCAATTATACGGCAGACATGGCATCGAAGAAGCCCGTACCATCCGCCAAGCCGGACGTTGTGGTATGAGGGAGAACGCACAACAAGGAATCGATGAGTCGGCAGCCGATACCAGCGCTAGCGGTTTCGGGAAAGCCCGAGCCACGCGCCAACGGTCACAGGCACATGATACACTGGTCACGGTTTCGCCCTTTAGCCATCGGATGCAGTTGCGTTTCTCTCTTTTGTTTCCCCTTAGCCGATTGTAAACTCTTTGCTCTCTACCATCACGGTTCAAACACCTTGGGACACAGTAAAAGGTCATTCGAACAGATATTACAAGCTGCATACTTCCATCTTCAAGTATGCAGCTGATGTCTGCGTCGCGCATGTCTAACCACCTTTGTCATTTCGCAGACTTCAAAATGTCGACGCATGCAACGCGGAAGCGCGCCCGAACGTCCTTGAACGATACTTCCGACGATCAGGACGACACGGTGACACGGGTGCATATTGCCCCTCGATCACCACGCAAGCGCGACGAGGAATTTTGGTGTAGCGACGGCAACATCATACTGGTCGCCGGCGACGTCGAATTCCGCGTCTACAAGGGCATTCTCTCCGAACACTCACCCGTGTTTCGAGACATGTTCTCTCTACCCCAGCCTCCCGTAGCAGCCTCATCCACTTCGAGCTCCGCAGACGACACTTGCCCCGTGGTCCATCTATCCGACTCCTCCGAAGATGTGCGGCATGTCCTGCGTGCCTATATGCCCAGAGGCGACCCCAGGTGCGGCGCGCCGTGAAAATTGTATGGGGCGTGTTGCTAACGCGAAAGTTTGCTTGCAGCATGTTCTTCCCGACCGCTCCAACATACTCGTACGAGATGATCTCGGCGGCGATCCGCCTCGGCCACAAGTACGAAATGTCGGCACTGCTCGACCGCGCGCTCAGTTATCTCAAGAAATACTACACCAACGACTTCGCCACATGGGAAAGCTACAACGACTACGGGCCCCCCGGATTCAAATGCTGGCAACACGCGATCGGCGTCGTCAACCTCGCGCGCCTGACGGGCGAGACCAGCATTCTGCCGACTGCGCTGTTCATCTGCTGCATGATCGGCAGCGACCTCGTCTACGGCTTCACGAACGCGGACGGCACGCAGGAGCGGCTCAGCCTGGACGACCTCGCCTTGTGCGTCACCGCGAAGGACCGGCTCGTGAAGGAGTCGATGCGGATCGCGTTCCGCATCTTTCGCCCCACGCTGTCCGACACGTGCAAGAGCCCCGCGTTCTGCATGGAGGTGTTCAAGCGGCTCTTCGGGAAGCTGGACACGCATGTGGATGCGCTCGTCACCCCGGACCCGCTCACGGGTTCGTTCTGGGTCGTGTTTGGGGAGGACACACCGTGTAAGGCCTGTGAGGCAATGGTCAAAGCGCGCGATTTGCGCGAGAGGAAAGCGATCTGGGAGAAGCTGCCGGATATCTTTGGTCTAAAATTGGAAGCCCCTGCTGCCTAGTGACAGGCTGGGGCCGGTGGACGCTCGGCAGGGAGCCATGACGGGACTAGTGTTGTAGGTACGCAGGACTCTCTTCAAATCGTTGCTGCCATCATTCATACTAACATCGCCGTGACGGGTCAGGATCTCGCAAGGAGAAAATGGTCTTTTCTTTCTCGAATACTCGACGAACATCTGTATCCGTATACACTCGGCCTATGCCGATCTTTCAGTGCCCAGCTGCTAGCCCGCTTGCTTAGACGCTATTAGTGTATCATGTACATCCTGTATTAATTTGTTTGTCTATATCCGTGCGCCTTTTCGACATGTCTGTGCTACAAGTACCCGAGTGTTGGCGTAGTCGGGTTCACCGTGGGATGCTGCAAGCACGTGCATGTGACACTGCGCGTTCTCGGCGGCTCCACGACAGATTCGACCTTGGAAGTTCTCCACCACCTCAAATCCGTGCAGGTAAGTGACATTCGGTGCTGGTGGTACTTGGTCCTCATCGTGGTCTTATTGTCGTGTGGCTTGAAGACATTCCGCTCATACTAGCCACTATGTCTGCGCGCGTCACTCGGAAACGCGCCCGGCTCGATTCCGCGACCGACGACGGCTGTGATACTCAGCAGAGCATAGCAAAAGGCTCGGACGATCCTCAGGATAACTCTGCATCCGCGCGAACGAGAGACGAAGAGTTCTGGTACGACGATGGCACCATCATACTCGTCGCCGGTAACGTCGAGTTCCGCGTGTACAAGGGAATTCTCGCCGAGAACTCTTCCGTTTTTCGGGACATGTTTTCCTTGCCGCAACCTCCCATCCTCGCCGAGTCCTCTGATGCACCTTCCCCCGGCGATGGGTGCCCGATAGTCCACCTATCCGACTCCCCCGAGGATCTCAGGCACATCCTGCGTGTGTATACACCGAGAACACATCCGAGGTAAGTGGTACGCTGCGTGGTTCTGATATTCAGTATAGCTCACGCGGAAAACACAGCCCGTTTGAAGCCCCTAAGGACCCCTCATTCGCCGCAATAGCTGCAGCCGCGCGGCTGGGCCACAAATACCAAATGACCAGACTTCTGGAGCAAGCACTAACCTACCTGAAGACGTACTACACCAACGACTACGAGGCGTGGCAGAAGGAAGAAAGATGGAACCCGCCCGGGTTTCGGGACGAGGAGGCCATCGGCGTCGTCAACCTCGCCCGTTTTCTCGGGGAGACGAGCCTTCTGCCGGCCGCGCTGCTCGCATGCTGCCAGCTGGGCCGCAACCTCATCAACGGCTTCGCGCGCGAGGACGGCACGCGCGAGCAGCTCACGCTGGACGACATCGGGCTGTGTCTCGAGGCGAAGCCCCGGCTCGTCCAGGAGACGACCAGGAGCGTCCTGCACGTCTTCGAGCCAGGAGCCTCGGTAAAGTGTTTGACAGCGGGGAAGTGCAGGGGTGGCTTCAGGCGGCTTTTGAAGATGGTCGAGGACCGGCTGGCAGAAGTGGTGGGGACGAATCCGTTCTACGGTCTGTTCAACAGGCTGGGGGCCGCTGCGGACGTCGAGCTCTGCCAGTATTGTCGGGCGATGGCGAAGAGCCGTGATTCTGGCATGAAACAGGCGGTGTGGGCCAGGCTACCGGAGATACTGGGTATCCCCAGACCAGGTCCGAGTGTAGAAGCCGCTGATGGCGAGGCGGCTGGTGCTGCCTAATCGAAACCCGCTCGTTCGATGTAATACACTCCGGAGGTACGTTGTTATCCCATCGTGCGCGACGAACACAGCTCACGCGTCTGCAGGGAAACCTGGTACCCCTTTGACGTACTGGGCACGCCTGTGGGAGTATTCGAGACTGATGTAGACGTTCGAGGGATACGTATCTTTTATATAGACACGACCGGCCAAAGAATCCTTCGCCGGTTTCGCAGCGGCCCGGTCGGGGAGGTCGTGGGTTATAAAACGTCTATTCGACGCAGACGTATGCCCAGTACGCGACATATGACAGATATGAAAGAGGTAACGGTTCAGTGTCCCTGTAAAATGGGAGAGAAACTGCGAGTTAGTGGGATGATGGAGACTACAGAGCTTATCGAGGCGAGAACTGCATCTGCAACTCAACGTACGTTGTGGATTTTAATTAGGAGGCAGCAGCATTTTAATCAGCCTGTCCCGCCTCGCCGCCTAGTGCTAGCGGAAGGGTAAGTTTGAAGATCTCCGGAAGCTTCTTCCACGCCGCTCTCCTCTCAGACGATTCTCGTTCCCTGACCAGCTGTTGGCAGTACTCGCACAGCTTGACACCCGAGCTGCCCTTTCCATCCAACAAGTTGTCAATGGGGAGTGCGCGGGTACCCGGGTCCGCAAACGCCATGGTGAGCTTCGGATCTTCAAGCTCGCGGATCGCCTCCCTGAATCTGCGCGTGCAGCTCGAGTGCGTCTTGCACGCCCTCGCAACCTGCCCGGCCCGGCACACGCGGAGCGTGACCTTCATAGACTCCTCGAGGAGGACGCTCTTCGCCGCGTAGCAGAGCCCGATGTCGTCTAGCGTGAGCTGCTCGAGCAAGCCGTCCTCGCGCTCGAAGCCCCGGATGAGCGAGTCGGCCTCGGGATTGGTGCAGCAGACGAGAAGCGCTGTGAGGAGCAGGCCCACGTCGTCTGTGAGGCGCGCGAGGTTGACGACGCCGATGGCGTGCTCGATCTCGAACCCAGGCGGGCCGTAGTCGTCGAGACCCATCCATTCGTCATAGTCCCAGTCGTGGGCACCACTTTTGTCTTTGAACTGGCCACCTATGTAACAAAACTGTTGTGCAAGACCACACCACGTTATAAGACACGTGTTCGTCTTTGGAGCTCGCCACGTTGTATTAATCTAGGCTGAGACTGACGCACGACGCGTCAGCGCCTCCGTCTTTGCACCTCGCTACCTTGTAAATCCCACTGAATCACGAAGCGACCACCTCCATAATACAAGCCTGCCACCTCGAACACTCTGTTTTTGCACGTCGGGCCTTTGTAAATGTCTAGTTAACACAAACCGCGCACCTCTGTATTACAACACGCCCACCTCCTGCTTCCGTCTTTGGACCTTGCGACCTTATGAAAGCCCGCCTGCCTCCAGTATTACAAACTGCCCACCTCTTCTCGCGTGCTTTCTTCCGACGTGGCCGACTTGTAAATAGGCATGATTTACAACTCGCCCACCTCGTGCGCCATTCTTTCGAGCTCGCCGCCTTATAAATATCCAACCCAGCCAACCAGGTATTACAACCTCCCGCCTCGCGCGCGCCCCTCCCTCGACGTCGGGGCTCTGTATTTGACCTGTTTTACAGCGCGCCCACCTTCGTTATACAACCCGCCCACCTCCTGCGCCCTTCTTTGTGACGTCGCGGCCTTGTGAATGCCGCGGAAACGCGCGCCGCCCGCCTAGGTATTACAAACCTCCCGCCTCGCGCGCGCCCCTCCCTCGACGTCGGGGCTCTGTATTTGACCTGTTTTACAGCGCGCCCACCTTCGTTATACAACCCGCCCACCTCCTGCGCCCTTCTTTGTGACGTCGCGGCCTTGTGAATGCCGCAGAAACGCGCGCCGCCCGCCTAGGTATTACAAACCTCCCACCTCCCGCGCGCCCGTATCCGGAGCACACAGCCTTACTCGTGCTATCGCCCACGCACCTCTCCTGATGCGATCTCCACTGTCTATTCAGATTTCTCGCGCGCCATGCACGCGTTCTTGGGCACCATGGCCATGTATGTACTTGCATTTATAAAGAGCCTTTTAGTTTCACCAAACTATTGCCTATCGCGCGAACCGCAAACCCCTCCTGGGCCGCGGTGTTGTATCGTTGTGTTATTGAGTATGCCGCATCAACATCCAACCACAAGGCTAAACAACACGGCCACCAGGAGCCGAAGGTACCCACGAGATTGTACCTGCTAAGTCCGGTAGCGCCTGACTATCCCCTCATCAATCAAGAGTACCGCTGCGAGAGTGCATTATATAATGTGCTATGGAGTAAACAACATAAGTGATGCAGATACATGCAAAGACGAAGGTAGCTAAACGTCCTCCTCGTCGCTCTCGGACATCACATCATCAGACGGGCCAACCGGCAAATTGTCGCTAGTGTTCACCGGGCTAGCATCACCAATCAAGTCCCTGTATTGAGAAACCCAGTCGGCGTCGATGGAGTACTCGCGGAGGCGTGGCAACCAGAGGCGCGCGAACTTCACGACGAGCGAGCGCCGCACAGAAGCCTGGCGATGAGCATAAGCGCACACACCGTCGATGATGTCGAAGGGCGTAGGGACGCGGAGCGGGAACTTTGCGCGCCGGTCGACGATGTGTAACCACCAATCGGCCTCGTACTGGAAGAACGCGAGGACACGCCGCATCTCCTCGACTAGAAGCTCTACCTCTTCCTCCCACCTCTCCGCCCTCGCCTTTGTCCTGGCCCACTCAGCACGCATACTGTCGTTGTATTGGCGCACCTCTGAGTCCTCCGAGTTCTCGTCGATCTCGTGGTGTTGTACTAGCCAGATCCACGACATCTCGCGCAATCCCTCGCCGGGCTTCTTGGGACCGGACCCCGGGCCCGTGAGATGGGAGTCAAGGAGTTTGCGGAAGGTGCGTCGCCAAGCACCGTTCGGGTCGAGGCTCAGGAGAGTGTGGTATGCTGCGCGGTAGCGCTCCGCCGCGCGTGCCTGCTTGCTGAGGAAGGTCTTGTACAAGGTGCGAGACCTCGCGTTCGCGCGATTACCGGTGCCGGAGATATGGAGGCGCTTGAACTCCGAAATGCCCGTCAGCATACGTCGGACGCGTCGTATGTCGGAGAGGCTATCGTCGATTTGTGCGAGGCGGAGACGTCGCTCGAGATCGATAAGTCGCTGGGTGAAGTCGCCAATACGCAGGGGGGCGGGGAGAGCGGAGGGTAGACATAGAGCAAGATCTTCCGCATTGACGTCGGCGTTGTCGTTGTCGTTCTCCGGGGTTCCGTCTGAGGCTGTGTCGTCCGGAGGCAGGGGGAGAGTGGCGTTGGTCTGAATACGGAACTGAACAACCGCGGGCATATACACATGTTGTGTCTCCACCCAGAGGTAGATGCGCCGACGGAGGGAATTGCGTTGTTGCAGCAAGTCGACGAGGTCCTTGTCCGAGTGCTGGGAGGACACTTTTGAACGAATCGCTCGTCTGCAGGATGTGAGTACGTATGCCTAGCTCGTGGACGATGAGAGACGCACTGTAGTTCCTCCAAATCCAACCCAACCTGTACGAATACTCCCGGTGTCATGTCCAGCTGCGGGAGATCTTGCAATGTCGTCATGTTCGCCTCTTCTCGAGCGAATTCCAGGTGAACCTGAGTGCAACGAATATCTGTGGCATGTAAGCAAGGATGTCGCATTGAGCGCAAGCATATCACTTACTTGCTTGAGGCTCCTCGAAGGGATCAGCCACGGAACTCGGGTCAGCACACCACACGTCCACTAGGCGGGTCCACTCCTGGACGACGTTGGGCTCGAAGGTGGAGGAGAAATCTTCGAACAGAGCGCGATGCTTCTGTGCCATTTTGCGTGCTGTGGTCAAGCTCCTGAGAAGGTGATCCGCTGTTTTGGAGAGGGCATACTTCGTAAACGGCCACAAAATACGGCGATGGAATGGAACTCACCGAGGCCGATAACCTTCTGCCAATTCCACGCGGCCATATGATCGTCCAGGACCTCGTGGCGTGTTGCGAGAGCCATCTCCCGTGTGCTCATGGATGCGGGGTTGAGGTGGGACCAAGATGATTCGACGCCTTCGCCGTACGTCCTGCCGACCTTGTCGTTGAAGTTGAAGGAGTAGCGTGAGTGGTTGGGGCCGTGAACGGCAATGTGGTTCTTGGGGATCATCCAGCGCACGTTGACGTCCTCAAGGTTGGGGCGCATCTCCACCGGGAAATTTCGGGCCACGCGGTGTTCGAAGTTTCGGCAGTATTGGCAGGCGACATCATACGATATCACTAATAGGAACAGGATCACGCCGAGCAGGGTGGAAATCAAGAAGTAGTCCATGTATGGGAACCTGGACGAGTCCGTCAGTTCTCCTTCCCAACAGCTTGGACGAGTTTACGTACTTCTCTCCGAGGTGGAGGTCCCCGGCGCCGTTCGGTCGGAAGAACGCATGGCGAGCGCACAGAACCGCGCCGATGCCGGACACGACGTATCCTTCCTTTCGGAGGTTTGCCTTTAATATTGCATTGTGCTTTGCAGAGCAAGTGTTGTGCTAGGAGTCGCTATCAGCAAAACTGCGTGAAGTCGAGCGATCAATGGAGTATCGGTCACCTCGGTCTCGAAGCCGCAGTCATTCCGTAAATATTCCTGGAACTTCTTGTCATCCACGTAATACGACCATCCAGGAGCCAAGGAGATGTCATCCAGACCGCGATCTTTGCACCGACATCGGAAATTGGCATCCATCATCAGGTACAACGTGTATAGCCATCTGTGGACACATCAGTATAGCTGAGCGGTGAAGAATTTTGTCCACAAGAAGTACACACAGCTTATCGGGCGGCGCAAGGTCCCAGTCTTGTGGTAGGTTCTTCTCGGGATGGGGACAAGCTGGACATACCACCGCTAATGAGCCGGGTGGGGTAGCAGATGCTCCAGCGGGGTCGTGGCCGCGACCACCCCGCTTGAGTTGCCGAAGATGCCTCCACAGGCGGACGGTATGACAGAACTGCTTGTAGCGGTGCTGCATCAGAAATTAGCAGGGAAGCGTTGATGGGAGAGGTACTATCGCTCACAGGATGCTTAGTCGTGCCCGAGTTGTCGGTAACTCGCAAGAGGCTCTGGTAGAAGTCGTACGAATTTGTCTTTGCCTGCAAAGTTAGCTCGTGAAAGAGCTTGAGAACTTGATTGGTGAACGCGGTCGAAGGGCGTGTGTGCGTAGCTGGAAACCAGTCGGCGCGCAGAAATTGTCGCCACGGCGCAGGGGCGTCGGAAGTAGCCGTCGAACACTCGCACATCCTGACGTTGACGTGGTGATAGCCGTTAGAATGGAACACCGTGATCCGCCGTGCCGTGGAAGGATTGGCACAGTGCTTTCCATCGTGCCCCATTTGGACCACGAGTCCGAGGTCCGCCAAGCCCACCCGTTCGAAGTAGTGTCCATTCCATCGCTTCCGAGTCAAAGAGAGCAAGAACGCATGAGTATCTAATCGCTAATGAGTGGAAGAGAAAGAGTCATACCTCCGGACGGTGTAATGCATGCCGGAAGCTTGCACCGGAGTGCAGGCTCAATAAGCATGAGATGCATTGAGGAGAGACGACCATACAATCGAGACATCGGTAGAGACGTCCCTCCCGTATACTCGGAGTGCAGCATCCGGCACACGCACTGAATTCGTACCCACGTCGGCCCTCGAGTCGTAGGATCTCATCCAGGTATCCTTCGCGTAGCGGGAGCCAGTCTTGGACGCGGCCCTAGTCATTCGAGTTCAGAGCACCAAAACATAAATCAGATTTATTCAAAATGAGGCTTACCGCCGCTCTGGCACGCTTTCTTGCTCTTGTGGGTTTCTCCGTACTTGCGTGTGGCTCCCCCAAATCTTCCTGAGGCTGCATATCTGAGCCTAATCCAATGTTCGCCGTCGAGGCCTGTAAATCGAGCATTTGCACGTCCTCGCCGGGCGGGCCCGCATCGGATTGCGAGTTCGAAGGACCAGCCTCCTGCGATGAAGGATACGGGCCATCTTCAGAAATTGGGGTTATCTTCTGCTTGCCTCCAAGACGACCATTGCGAAGTGAATGCAAGGTGATCTTTCGTTTACGCCTGGTAACATCCGCGGCGGCTCGAACCTGGTCGTGCTGAGTTACCGGCCTAAAGGCAGGGGTCGAGGTTCGGCGACGTCTCTCAGACATATAGAGAGTGGTATACAGCTAGAATAAAACGTAGATAGGACGGGTATAGTGGGTGGACGCCTACCGCTGATGTTGGCAGATCGCAGGCAAGTACATGAGGCGCCCTAGGCGCCGCTCAAACGTGCTGAGCTTCTTGAAGGAATACGAGTCACGGGCACCCTTGGGCAATATATTTTAATGATACATATACATTCAATCATTATTGCAGGAGTTCAGGTTTTCTGTGCTACTGTGCAGCGGTAGTGGAGGCACTCGATCAAATATTGAGACATATCGAAAGTGGTTTTGAGGTCCTCCACAAAATCGGTGCGCGGCATCAATGAAAGTCAGCACTCACTCGATCTCATGCGCGTTGCAGACGAGTATGGCTTCCTTTCAAAATGTACTACCTGAGGGCCACATGAGGGCACGAGCCAGCTGTAGATGATATATTAACATACGCGGCGCATCGTCTTGTTTTTGCTAGACCGCTGTGGTCGAAATAAACGCGAGACCTGCCAGTGCCGATCTGGAGTACTGTGTGCGTAGGAAGCTGGGAGGTCCGCCATGCCGCCGCACCGACCGGGATATGAGCTAAAAATTAGTACATAGGCTGTTTAGTGCGACCATAGACTGCTCGGATTTATGCTCAACTTGGGGATATACGGATGGGACGAGATGTGCATGGACAATACCTCGACCTTCTCGTGAACATGTCGGTTCGGAAGCAGGCACACTGGAACGTGTATAAATATTTTACCTCAGCCCCGGCGCGCAACCACACTCCAAAAAGCAGAATACGGGCTTCACAACTGTGTATTGGCAAGATATAACGAAAGCACATGTTCCTAAAATCGAGATACATCGGCGTCCATGCCCTCAGCTCTACGCGGTTATGACTCGGACGTGACGGCGAGCCTTCGCTGCCTGGTACGCCTGGACAGCTTCACTATACAGCTTGTACCCCTGGTACATCGCCCCGCGACACCCGAGGACGGAGGGGGACGCATGCACCCTAGACGAGATTAGCTCTAGTTAACAAGAGTTAATAATTATATTGACTCACCAGTCAGTGAAAACGCCGACACGCTTGCCGGCCGTGACGACGATGTACTGTCTCTTCCCGCGGATGACGTGGGGCGGGTCGGGGGCCACTATAATTTCTTCTCCTTGAGGTTAGACGTCAAAACGATTGCTTCTGGTCGGCTAAAAGAGTACTTACCACCGAAGAAGCTGTAGTGATAGCCCCGGTTATTGTTCCCGGGGCCGTTCTGTGCCTGCGTGCCCGTGCCATTGGCGGCGATGGAGGTGGAGAGAGGGGCCACGGGAGCAGCGGGCGTCGCCGCTTCAGTCGCAGTGTTCTCGTCCTCGTCCTGGGACTCGTGCGCGAAGGGGTCATCCACGGCGCTCCAGTACTTTACTTCATCGTCGCTCGATGAAGATGCTTCGGTCTCGCGAAGAGCGGCACCGCTGGGTATCTCGACGAAGCTGTCTGGAGATAACACGCGCGCGAGCGGTGCGCGTGGAGTAGGGACGGGTGAGAGGACACGGGTGGAGGGCGCGATACGAGTAGGCGAGGCCTCGACGGGGGCAGGATGCACGACGGGGGCGGGGCGCACGACAGGGGCGGGGCGCACGACGGGGGCGGGGCACACAACACAAGTGAGGGAAGGCTCAACGGGGGCGGGGCGCACGGCACCAGTAGTGGAGGCCTGGACAGGGGCAAGAGCTGCCGGGTGGACGGAGGAGCCGGCGCGAGCGCAGGAATTGATGCGGGTAGGGGCGATGACGGAGGCCGCCTGCGCGTTGCTACTGTTCACCGGACCGACAGAAGGGGGCTTACTGCCGTAAGAGACTTGAGGACTAGGAAGGGCCGCTCCCTGGACAGCGGTACTACCCACTTCCCCAACAGATGCAACACCGGGTTCGTGTTTGACTGACGTGGCCGAGTGCGGGTGTACGGACGTGGGTCTAGAAACGGAGAGCGAAATATCGGATGGGGCGACGGGGGGACTAAGCGGAATAATACGCGAGTCGCCGATGGCAGGGCTCCCGGTGATGGGGGTGTGCGAAATGATATGGCCACCCGTAGCTGCCGCCTGCTTGACGGTGGCCACAGAACTGAACGAGACGCGAGGCCTCACCTGCACACCGACATCCCTAGTGTCTTCGGCCATAACCGCCTTGTCGGCGAAGTCCCTTCCATCCGGAGACGGAGGCAGGCGGTAGGGGATACCTACCCCCGGGGGCGGCCAATCGACAGGGGAAGGCGCAGGGAACTCCTTGTCGTCAGTCTCCACCGAACCACCGTCCGAAAAATTGGTCGCGGGCGAGGGAGGTCCCTGTTGGCAAGACTCCAACTTGACAGGCGAGGAGGGCGTCGTAGCGGCAACAGCCTGCGAAGCGGGGCGCTGAGATATATCATCCTCCTCGATGGGAAGGTTGAGAGCCTTGGCGGCCCTATGAGTAAAAACAAATTAGTACAACAACAACGAGCACTCACCTCCGGGCGAAGGTGGCTCGGCGTGCCCGCTGGGAAGTAGTACTTGCTGTTCTCCGTCGGACGAGTATGCCAGGGTGGAGTGGGCGGCCGCTCTCCCCGCAGCTGGGACGAACGGCCGTCGGAGAGAGAGAGCCTGGTCATCGCCGTAACCAGCGGCGAGCGGGCGGTCGCGGTCGGAGAGATAGGCCGTGTCATGGGGACAGATGGAGTACGCGGATCAACCCTCATCTTGGTGTAGGACGAAGGTCGGGCGCTTTCAGGACTGGGGGAGGGGGGTATATATCCCCTCGCGTGCTTAGAGTTGGATCCCCGACTCGCGTAAGTCGTCTGCGCTACCCTCCGTCACCAGACCACGCATTCCCACTGCCTTGATTCGCTTCCACACGCCCGACATGCCCCGACCGGAATGGACCACGCCCGAGGAGAAGGCCTGGCTCGAGCGGCGCATCCCCGACTTCATCGAGGCGCAGGAAAAGAACGACCCTAAGTCGTTCTTCCTCGCCTGCCACTGCGAGTGGTTCCATCGCTTTGAGCTGGAGCCGCCAACGGCTCAGGAAGTCGCTAAGCAGGGAGGAAACGTGGACAAGGCCACCTCTGTCAAGAAGAGGCGGCAAAAGAAGGTAAGCATAACGTTGACGGTACCCCAAATGACACAATGTTTACCTTTGTCCCAGCGCGTCTCGGAATGGTTTTATAACCATACGCGCTCCGCGACGTCGCACAGAGTGCTCAACCTCGCCAAGCGGAAGACGGGGTTTCTTCATCCTTACCAAGCCTACATGTCCCTCTTCCGGGAGCGTGTCATGCCGGTTGTGAAGGAGAAGTACGCCGACTACCTGCGAGGCCTCGACGAGGACACGACCCCAATGTCCGAGCTAGCGTTCAACGCAAAGGCTGCGAAGGAGTTGTTAGCGTCGGAGCCGTCCCACGTTCACGAAGCGATCGAGAGATACCGCAAGAGAAAGCGCGAACGTGTTGGTAAGAACCTCCTTAACTCTGTCCTCAAGGAGAGTACACCGGAGGGCGAAGGCGAAGAGGACGAAGATGGGGAAGAAAAGGAGGAGGTGGTCGGGGATGGAGAGCTGCTCGCCGACCTGCTGAAGTGAGTGAACACACGCCCGTTCCTACATGCGATGTAGTGCTGATCAGCTGCCTGAGCAGGAATATTGACAGCCTCCCCGCGACGCTGCAGGACATGGGCGACAGGATGCATGGATTGACTGGCTGGGTTGGCTGTGCGATCTTCGCGGGGCCGCACCCTCGTACTGGAACGATGACTACGATCGCGTCAGTGCATTCCCTTTCTGAGCCTAAGTCTTATGCTCACTAGTAAGCAGTGTTGAAGTCGGGAGTACGCTCAACGAGAGCCTCAAGTTCTCTGAAGTGTCGCCCAAGGACTGGGAGACTATGCAGAACTCCGTTGGCGCGTTCGCCGAAATGTGCTTCCGTAGGTTATTCTAATTATGGCGGAGTATTTATCGCTGATGCGGTGGATAGCGTCGCATGTAGAAAAGGCTCTTGCTGCCATCATGCACAAGTTGAAGGCGTCAGGGGATGGGACGAGCGAGATCGAGGAGGATGGCTGCGAGAAGAAAAGGCGCAGGGTGCGGAAGCGGAAGGAGCGCAAGCGTAATGCGAAGAAGTCTGAGGAGGGTAACGCAAATGCCGCGGGTGTTCCTACCACTACCGGTAACACCAGTACTAGCAGTACTAGCGAGCAGAGCAGGACTGCGAATGGTGTGTCTGCACAGAGTCCGTCTGAGAAGCCCGAGCATGCCACCACTCCGCATGCCGGCGCTAATTCTGAGCGGTCAGCTTCCGAGACGCGCCCACACTCAGACACTCCCACTCCCACCCCGGCTCCAGGCTCTGCCTCTCCCCCTCCGGCTTCAGGCTCTGCCTCCCCCTCTGCCATCGATGGTCAATCTGACACAGAGGCTTCTGACTGGGATGACTTGGTCCTGGAAAACCTGAGACGTCGCAATGAGCTGCTCGCTTCGTTGAACTTGCAGACGAACTTCCTGATGGAACACGACCCATCCCGCAAGAAAAAGAAGGCAGATAGGTAAGTGCGCCCTGGTATGACTTGGAACTATAACTCACGCTCTCTTACAGTAAAGCGAAGGCAAACTCGGCCCGCGAGAAGCGGCAGCGGGCAAACAACGAGGGCCCGACTATGAGGACTCGGAGCCAGGGCCTCGACAACGATCCGCCTTCCTCTGAGGGCGCCGATGGCTCTGGGGAAGGTGGAGCCAGTTCGGACTCGGCTGGGTGCGTGGACTCGTCCAATCAAGAGTCACATTGAGTACTGACATATCTCCCCACAGTGCCGGTGATGTTACCAACGCCGTCAATTCCAACGACGAGGTCACGGTGAACCCCAAGGATAAGGAGCCCGCCGACCAACGTACTGAGGTATGTAACACTAATTCTCTTCTATGTAGATATGTGACTCTTACATGCGACGTCAACAGGAGGGTTCTACACCTGCGAACGGCACCGCTCAGGTTACGTCCGCCGTGCAGACAAGCGAAGCCGGCGAAGCGAACGATAAGGTAATGAGACAATGTTGGTGCTCGTTCGTTACGCTGACTAGTACACAGGACGACACCCAGCCATACAGTGGTGATCGCGCGTCATCCACCACGAAAGATGTTCCGCCCCCTGAGCCCACTCCATCCCCCACGCCGCCACCAAAAGACCCCGGTGCGGCTGCAACGTCCCACGACGCTCAACCGGCCATCAGTACCCCATCGAGTCACACCGCAGAACTCGACATCGATCCGACTGCAGCTGCGCCGGCGTGGATACAGGAGGCCTCGACGTTCTTCCGCTCTGTGTCAACTGACGAACGCTGGCTCTTGACGGTGAGCGAGTGGCTCAGCTTCGAACACGCCATGGGGTATACGGAGTCCCCGGTAAGCTTCTCGTTATCCCGACGTTGCATGACAGCTAATACGCTCGGGCAGGCCTCACGACTCTCCGCTCAGAATAGACCTGTCGAGATCAGACAGTGGTTCCAGAAGCATAGGCGGTACGACGCGATCCCTAAGATCCCGAAGGTCGCCCAGTATGGCGCCTTATGCCAGCGGTGGTGGTCCACGCTGCAGCCTTCCGGGCAACCCAAGAACAAGAACGGCAAGCTCTCTCGCAAGCGACTCAGCGAGGACGCGTGGTCCCCGCTGAAACATGCGGGATCGAACGGTTTGTTCTTGGTACTGATGGTCTTGGCTTGGTGGATCATAGCGGCGGGCGACAACGCCAAGGACCTGGAAGAGGCCCTCGAGATGGCGGACGACATCGTCTGGGTCTTCTCTCAGATCAATACCGGGACAGAGGAGACCGTATCTACCGAGAACGAGCACGAGGGAGAGCCGCCGAAGAAGCGACGCAAAGTAGCTGGTGGAAAGGGGCGCGCGCAGAAGGCGAAGAAGGTATAATGGTCCGGTCGTCATATAGCATTAGTATACATGTTTTGATGGCCTGGATGTATTCTCCCTGAGCAACCGTCTCAAATATCGATGCGATTGATGGGCATGTTGCGCTAAGCTATGATGTCCAAGGCATGAGGTGAATTGCTGAAGTAAAGACATGGTAATATATGTCATGATACAGATCTGCAGTACAATAGTCGTAAATCCGAGCTATATACGAAGTCGCGACGTCGAGGGACGGGCGCGCGCGAGGCGGGAGGTTTGTAATACCTAGGCGGGCGGCGCGCGTTTCCGCGGCATTCACAAGGCCGCGACGTCGCAAAGAAGGGCGCAGGAGGTGGGCGGGTTGTATAACAAAGGTGGGCGCACTGTGAAACACGTCAAATACAGAGCCCCGACGTCGAGGGAGGGGCGCGCGCGAGGCGGGAGGTTGTAATACCTGGTTGGCTGGGTTGGATATTTATAAGGCGGCGAGCTCGAAAGAATGGCGCACGAGGTGGGCGAGTTGTAAATCATGCCTATTTACAAGTCGGCCACGTCGGAAGAAAGCACGCGAGAAGAGGTGGGCAGTTTGTAATACTAGAGGCAGGCGGGCTTTCATAAGGTCGCAAGGTCCAAAGACGGAAGCAGGAGGTGGGCGTGTTGTAATACAGAGGTGCGCGGTTTGTGTTAACTAGACATTTACAAAGGCCCGACGTGCAAAAACAGAGTGTTCGAGGTGGCAGGCTTGTATTATGGAGGTGGTCGCTTCGTGATTCAGTGGGTCCCCACATTGAAAGACAAAGTCACACCGTGACGCTCAAGGGCAAACAACGACACACAAAGCTGTGTGGCTATTCGGAGCGGGTGATACACGGAACTTGTGTCATTCGACGTGCCCTGCTTTTACACAAGTCATTTGCCAGGTAGGTGGGACTTTGTAAGACAGAGCAGCTGCCCACTACTGATAGTCCGTGGGGTAGTACGCCCTGAGATATCTGAGGGCGTTGTCGAGCAGATCCAGCATCTGATACTTGTGACCAAGACGGACTGCGGCCGAGATTGTATGGTATGAGTAGTCAGGGTCCTTGTGAAAAAACGCGCTGTAGCAAATTGTCAGCGACTCAAATACGACGCAGTACGAAGCGTGATTGAAGTACTTTGGGCCACCTCTCGGCATGTAAACACGCAACATATGGCGCAGGTCTTCGGAGGAATCCGACAGATGAACCACGGGACGCGGACCCTCCGCAGGTACAGTTGTTGAAGACGGCGCGGGAGATTGAGGAAGAGAGAACATGTCTCTGAACACGGGGGAGTGGTCCGCGAGAAGGCCCTTGTATACGCGGAACTCCACGTCGCGTGCGACGAGGATGATGTCTCCGTCGCTAGACCAGAACTCTTCGTCGCGGGTTCTTGCAACGGAAGCGGATACGGATTGTGCGTCTCCCAGAGTGCCTTCGGTCGCGCCGTCCTGAGTATCTGAGGCGATTATTGAAGACGTCCGGGCCCGCTTTCGTGTTACCCGCGCAGACATCCTGACTAGTGTAGCTGTTCATGCATGCATGGGATGTTCATGAGTCCGGGTAGTATCAAGGTAAACACTCACTCACATGAATTTGAGGCGATGATCAAAGAGGATAGTGTGAGTAGTATCACAGCGACGCGTGAGTGGAAGAAAAAGCTGTGGCTGCGATTCCGATTCCACTTTAGGAATCGGGCTCTATACTAGCGACTTCGCGTACGCTTACTAAGCAGTCCGTCTCACCGCTCTCTCCTCTCATTCGTCGCCGCAATTCTCCTCTTCTCATTGGTCCATGCAATTCAGACGCCCGTCATCTTCGATCTGCCTATGCTTCTGCTCAGACTCTGTTCCTCCTGAGATCTCTTTGCCTATGGCGAGAGCCCATGGTGAGTAGGAGTCGACATACACATGCGAGACACCAGATATCAGGTATTTTTGTCCGCATGGCGAGGTTTAAATGTTTATCCCTTAGGATAGTCTTAAGCTTCTAAAGGCTACTACCAGCACGACGTGCATCCTGGGTCCATAAAGCTATCAACACGACACGGTGTCGTTCTCAAAAATCAATTTGACATAGTTAGCCTCTTGCGCATCCACCGCAACGCGCACACATCCTGTGGAATCGGACCGGCGGGTACCGCCCACACCACAAGTTGCCCAGGAGATCGCGGTAGGTCACTAGCACGTGCCATACTTCACAGTGGCGTCGCGTCCATGCCATTGCCGTTTTCAGCTCTGAGTCTGAAGGCAAACTTGTCCTCAGCGCTCAGCTTCGAGTCTTAGATCTTAATGTTCAACTCGAGCTCTCAATCCGCGCGTCTTCTTCGTCGCGCTCTCTCATGATCATTGAAACGCATTCCGAACATTGAAAGCGCCTGTTTGGGCTACTCCAGGCCCCTAGACATAGCGATATTGTACAGCGATGGTAAGGCCCATGGCCGCACCTGCTCGTCGAACCGTCGTTACTCCGCACCGCCCTCATGTGCTGCTCGCGGGACAATGAGAGCATAATACTCACCCAGATGTATTCCACTTGTTTTGTCAGCCCGTACTTAAAATGGGACTGTCGGCGAGCTGTGCAAACTGTCGGGAGATGCTCAGGAAGGGCGAATCGTGACGGACTTTGATCGTCATCGGAGGAAACAACTGCTTTTTTTGTTGAGGAGTCGTAGTCTGACGCACCACGCCGCTGCGAAGCTCATTTCTTTGGCAAAGGTGAATTGGACAGATCTGCATCTAGGTTTCAAAATTTGTCACCGTTATATAGCCATACTATGCGAGCGGATGTACCAAGGAAACGCGGAAGGTCCATTAGCTGATGCTATGCATACATCTCAACAAAGCGTTCCGGCCCATCCGGCCACACGGACCCCCATGTATTTTGGCAGCTTCCACCACACCTCAAGCCGCTCCTCCCTATCCCGCGTCTTCAGCATATCGCGGCAGCTCGCGCAACACTTCACTGGCTCTAGATCCTCACACAACTCCAGCCACGACCCGAAGATATCGGGGCCCGCGAAATACTCCACGTTCTCGCCCACGTCCAACAGCATCTCCTGCAGCACCCGCTTGCATTTCTGCGGCGTGGTACACGCGGCCGAGTCTTCCACGCTGGGCTTGAAAATCTGCATGGCCAGGACGACCATGCGCTCCACTATGCGTGCACGCGCGACGCAGCAGCGCCCGATGTCGTCGAGTGTGAGTGTCTCCTGCGTGCCGTCCTCGCGCGTGTACCCCAGTACGATACGTTCGTTGAGCGAGCAGCACATGAGGAGGGCGGTGGGGAGAAGCGAGGGCTCGTCGACGAGGCGTGCGATATTGACGACGCCAATCGCCTGCTCCCTCTTGATAGGGCAGTTATGCTTGTAGAGTTTCCCGGCGGCCCAGGTGTCGAGGTCGTCGGTAAACCAGCGCTTCAGGTACTGCACGCCTTGTGTGACCATGGGCTGGATCTGGTACTTGTGGCCGAGGCGGATGATGGCAGAGACCATGTCGAAGGGGAGATTGTCTGCAGCGAACGAGATGAACCTGCATGCGAGATGTTCTGAGTGAGCGTTGGCCTTGAATCCTCTGAATGGATAAGAAACCACCTCGAGTCGCTCCTGGGCAAGCATAGACGCAGTACATGCCTCAGGTCCTCGGGCGAGTCGCTCAAGTGGACGACTGGACACGAATCGACGGCCTCGGTCACTACACGCGAGCTTGTTGATTGCGCGGGAAGGACAGATTGAGGAAGGGAGAACATGTCCCTGAAAATGGGAGAGTGGTGGGCTAGAACTCCTTTGAATACGCGAAACTCGCAGCTGTGTGCAACGAGGATGACGTTTCCGTCCTCGAACCAAAACTCAGCGTCTCGTGTTCTTGCGGTAGAGGGGCTGGGGTCTGCGCTGATTTGGGCATCGGATTCCGCCCTTCTTCGCTTCTGGCCAGTTGCAGAATCAGGCATCGCTATGGAGTGCTTGGCGAGCAGCGCGTCACAACTCGACTAGTTTGAAGGACCAACTGGTAATTCCGAAGCGAGGTCAGTAGCAGCGTTTGGTGGCACGAATCGCTTCATACCCACAATTTGTTGAGCTTGTATGAATTCTTGTTATAGACTAGCCACTTCTTCTATCAAGGAACGAGGATACGACGGCGGCTTAGATAGAGTCGCAACGGCGCAAGCGCCGAACAAACAGCAGTCTGATCGGGTCGGGTCACTGGCACGTGTTGCACTGTCACAAGTTGTGCGCGTCTGGATCGAGTTTGCGGCTTAGACTGATACTATGCCCAGATCCGAGTCTTGCTACACTCGTCGCCGATATTCCGATTTCGCGTTTGGGCTCTGTATTCCTGGATCATCATACATCTGGTAAGTCTGGAATCAATGTATTAACACAGTACTTGTCTCCCCCTTTCTGCAGCTAACTCCAATCATCTACTAAAGCAGAGACGATGTCCGCGCGGGTTACACGAAAGCGAGCACGAACGTCTTCATCCGCCTCAGCATCCAACACTCAAGACGATGCGACAAAAGGCTCCGGCGACGAGTCCATTTCCAGGAAGCGTGACGAAGAGTTTTGGTACAGCGACGGAAGCGTCATCCTCGTCGCACAGGACGTTGAGTTCCGCGTATACAAGGGGCTTCTCGCCGAGCACTCTCCTGTGTTCAGGGACATGTTCTCTTTGCCGCAGCCTCCTCCGGCCTCGGAGCCCGTAGTAACACTCTCAGAGGATGCTTGTCCCATCGTCCACATGTCCGACTCCCCTGAAGACCTGCGACATGTCCTGCACGCCTACATGCCGAAAGGCGGCTCAAGGTGAGCGCTACTCGTCATGACAGCCACCGGCTATATGGCATGATTGAAAATCTGACAAACCATTCTCAGCCCGTTCTTTGCCAGTGTTACTCAACCGTACTCGTACGACATGATCTCCGCGGCGATTCGGCTGGGTCACAAGTACCAGATGTCGAACCTACTCGACCACGCGCTCGAATACCTGAAGCAACACTTCACAAACGACTTCGAGACATGGCGGGGCCACCCGTACTATGTACCTCGCGGGTTTACCAGAGAACATGCGATTGGCGTCGTCAACCTTGCTCGCCTAACAGGGGAGACCAGCCTGCTCCCCACAGCGTTCCTGGCCTGCTCCTTCCTCGCCGAAGACATCGTCCACGGCTTCGAACGGACAGACGGTACCCGGGAGCACCTCAGCATGGCCGACATCGGCTTGTGCATCGCCGGAAGGGTACGGCTCGTGAAGGAGTCTGTAAAGGTCGCATTCCGCGTCTTTCAGCCGATCGCCTCGGACAAATGCAAGAACAAGGCGGCGTGCTTGGAGAACTTCAGGCGGATCTGCACGAAACTCGACGAGCACGTAGATTCCATCACCGCTCCGGATCCATCTGGCACATACTATACCAAAATCCAGGTGAAAGACCTATGCGTGCACTGCTACGCGATGGTGAAGGAACGGGACACGCGCGAGAGAAAAGCCGTCTGGGAACAGCTCCCCGCAATCTTTGGCGTCGAGTTGCCGAATGCCTCAGCCAACGCTGATGTTCCCGCACCGTAGTAGTGAAGGTAAGTGGGAACCTCTTTGCGAGCGCATGTTGCATTTTATAGTTATTGTTTAGGTCGGAATATCGCAGAAACTTCTTGTAGCGTCCTCAGGACGTTTTTCTTGATACCACTCCCTCTCTCCTCCACCTTGACGGAGCGAGTCAATACTTACATTCCGGTGCGTCATGTACAACCATTCTCAGCCTCTCCTTTCCGAACATAGCACTCTAATCCCACGAATCTTGGTAGGATCTCGAGAGTCTGCCTCGCCGACGACTACGGTCCATAGCTACCAGCCTTATAAGCAATACTCTCGTGTACTTCTCAGCTTCATGCCACAAAAAGAGTGCTCTAAGCCTTGCACGCCTCCTGTACTGCAGGATATCCACGGCTGATCTGCACTGGCTCAGGCGCGAGTGGTAGGGCGTGATGAGATGGGCAATCGGTGTCACCCTCGCGCGGGTCCGCAGCGGTGCAGGGCACCGACGTCGGCGCGCCGGCGCTCCACGTCGCTTTCACAATTGCGGTGCGGAGCCTCGGCGCGCCCGACAGCATCTTCCAGCGCGAAACTATGGCGTTGCATGCATGGTCGCATCTGAGGCTTGACGACTTTTCAGCTCTGCGTCTAGCGGCCGCTTAGTAGGTGCACTGGCAGCGACTTTGCCGTCGATCGCAGCCTGCGATCACAGTGGCGTCTTGTACCTCACGGGATGCGGGGCGAGAGTCTCGTCACAGTTCCCCCGGAACATATCGCTCATGAGAGAGGCGTACCAGGTACTTTGCATACCGCACGCGCCAGAAGCGTTCAGAGCCCACAATGACCACGAAACATACGAACGCGGGCTCCGTCCGGCAGCCTCGTGTAGCTGCGGTAGATCACGGGATGCGACCTCCGCGAAGTCATGTTTGCCTCGCGCCTGCAGACATCGGCCTCCTTACCTTCCACCATCATCCATTGCCCCCGACACTTCAAAACAACGACGGCGTAAACAGTCCATCTCTCCCTACAAACCCTAGGTGAGCTCATTGCACGCACAAACATGTTCCCGACGTTGCAGTATCTCATTCAAGTCATATTGTATAGCCCAAACCACCAATCACAGCGAATCTGAGTCGGTACGAGATGTCGGGCTCTGTGGAGGGAAAAAACGTAGCAGAGTGTGCAAGGACGCGCGACGAAGAATTCTGGTATAGCGACGGAAACATCATCCTCCTCGCACATGACGTCGAGTTCCGCGTATACAAGGGGCTTCTCGCCGAGCACTCTCCCGTGTTCAGAGACATGTTCTCTCTCCCTCAGCCACCCTGCCCCAATACAGTCCTCTCAGAGGATGCCTGTCCCGTCGTCCAACTGTCCGACTCCCCCGAAGACCTTCGCCATATCCTACGTGTATATATGCCCAAACTCGGGAGCCCGAGGTACTATCTTGTCGATCTCGCCTCACATAAAGTGGGATAACTGACCATCATCAACAGTCCAGCATTTCATACTAGCGTTCCCACATACTCGTACGATGCAATCGCAGCCGCGGTCCGGCTTGGGCACAAATACCAGATGTCGGGTTTACTCGATGATGCGCTCAAGTATCTGAAGACGTATTACCCAACCGACTACGATGAATGGTCAGCATTGACCGAATACGGCCCTCCCGGCTCAGGATTCGAAAAGATGCATGCCATTGGCGTCGTCAATCTCGCCCGTCTCACGAACGAGGCTGACCTTCTCCTGATGGCGCTGTTGGTCTGCACCATCATGACCGACGCAAAAAGGCTGGTTCACGGATTCCAGCGCGAAGACGGCTCGCGCGAACAACTCACGCTGGACGACATCGCACTCTGCTATTCTGCGAGGAGCCGCCTTATTGAGGAGTCCACCAGAGTAACGCTCCGTGTCTGCCGTCCGGAGGTCTTAAAAGCATGCGAGACGCCACAGAACTGTGTTCGAATATTCCAGCAGGCGCTCCGATCACTCGAAGATCAAAATCTCACCAGCGTCGCATTCCTGGATCCATCTATCCGTGTGCGCGCCGTCAATACCTTACTCCGTAAAAAGGCTTCGAGCCTGTGCGAGCCCTGCCGGACTATGGCTGAACAGCGCGATGCACGGGAGAGGAAAGCGGTCTGGGACAAGCTGCCGAACATCTTCGACCTCTCGTTACCCCCGAAAACTCCGATCTCTCAAGGTACGTGCAACTACCACTCCAACTTGAACAAGGCTGACTCTCCGATGTTGATCTAGCTCCCTCGAACTCGAACGTGGCAGCGTCCGAATGAACAGCCCTTGATAGGACGCGTGATGACATTGCTGCTAGTATGTCGTGGGCGGTTCAACAGCATTGTCTACCAAGCGAGCGATTTGTACAAGCACTGTTTGACAATGATACGTCACCGCAATCACCAGGAATGGCGTGCGATTTGAAACAAGCTTTTCGACATACTGGGTATAGCCAAGCCAGATGCTGGAGGAGCGGGGGTAGTGGACGGTGTAGCGGCCATCGCGGCCTAGTTGAACGACGCCTGATCAGTCAAGGTTGTTCATGTGGTGGGTCCAATTGCATCTCAACGTCACGACGAAGATCTCTTACTCTTCGTACAGTCGCGAGCCTGTTATGTCTTCTGTGCATTATATCTTTCTGACGCCACCAAGACCGTCGATGTTGTATGTTCACACAAATTTATGGCGGCGCCGCTCAAAGTCTGGGGGTTGCGGCGAGTAATCTGACAGTAATCCAACAAGCAAGGCGCACCAGAGACCTGCTAGGTACGCCCAGTACCGCGCATGCTGAAACCGCTTCGTCAGTTGCTCACCTTCGAGTGAGCACTGGCGATCTTCGGGCTGGCCCCCTGCTATCAGCGATCCGGTGAGTCACGTTCATATAATAGTAATTTCCCGCCTCTCCTGCCCGAGCACCCAACTCAAGCCATCACAGGTTTCGTCAGGTTCTGGGGAGTGGAAATATCCGACCCGCCGATAGCTACCTTCCACAGCTGCAGACGCTATGATCAGCCCCGCCGCGTACTTCTCCACCTCGTTCCACAGTACGGGTACGGCCCAGATCTCACGCCGGTCCTCGGTACTGTCGGGATACGCACAGCCGATCTGCGTTGTCTCGCGCGCGGGCGACGCCGCACGAGGAGATGAGACAGTAGCCTCCTCGCGAGTGTCCACAGTGGCGTACAAACCAGGCATTTGCGCGTCGGGGTCCCACGTCGCCTTCACCATCGCAGCGCGAAGCCTCAGCGTCCCCGACAGCACCTTTCCAAGCGGAACCAGCGATGTCGCGGGGACAGCGTCACACCCTATAACCTCGCAGCTCTGCACGGCCCCGCCCACCTCCGCGCTCAGCCGGTCGTCTAGCAAGCTCGCCACGACGTGCCCGTCGACTGCCGCCCACGACCACGACGGCGCCCTATACCGTGTGGGCCGCGGCGCGCGCCCCTCGTAGTTCTTCGCCCAGAGCAAGTCTTGGAGGAGCGTGGGCCGCCAGAGGCCCGCGAGGTACTCCGCCCGCCAAGCACGCTGAAAGAGCTCCGCGATCGCGGCGAACGCGTCGAGCTTGTCGCCAGGCTTCGTGACGGTGCGCCGCGTGTAGTCCCCGACGGCCTCGCTCCATGCCCAGCGCAGTGCCCTGTGGTCTGCTGCCGTGAGGGGGAGGGGCTCCTCGCTTGCGTCGGCGGCGAAGAGGATGTCGGGAAGGCGCTGTCCTATCATGGGCCCGCATATGGCGTCGCCGACGTTCACAATGGACGTCTGGCACTGGAACTGCAGTGTGTGTGACGCGTATACGAAGGCGCGCGCGGGAAGAAGGCGCTCCTCGAGGCACCACGCGCGCTGGTTCACCGGCTCTGCGGAGGCGTCATACTGTTGCCAGACTGGGGATAACACCATCGTGCCGACCTCATCGCTGTCGGGATACGGGAAGGGTAGGGTGATGTCGTGGGGGGACGATGGTGATCGGTCGTGCAGGAAGCCGTCGCTCACCTTGCGTGCGCTGGCGGCGATGATCGTGAAGTAGGAGTGCCTGAAGATCGTCCGGATCCTTGCGATCTCGCGGGCCTTGTCGTAGTCGGAGTCCTGCAAGATGCATAGTGCATCGACCCAGAGGTATCGGACGCCGTAGGTGTGCGTGGCTTTGATACCATCTTTGATCGTTTGAGGCAAGAGTTCAGGGTCAATGCGGAGAGTGTAGGCGTCCACGTTTGTTGTAGTGGTGCGATTCGGTTGGCTTTCTCCCCATACGTAGCTGAGAGCAACGTAACGTCCCGTCTCGCCATGCGAGATGTAGAGTCTCGGATTGCTCGGATCGAGGCAATCGATAACGCGTGTTGGCAGGGTTGCATTTTCGTAAGCAGGACAGCGTAGGTGGTTATTGATGCAGTCTGAGAAAGACCGCTGGGCCAGAGAATATGTTGTCGGACATTTGAGCTTGAGAACTCTGTCCTTAGCGACGATGAATAGTGCTGCGGGATCGTCTGTAGATGGAGGTGCAGTCAAGGATTTGTAGCAGCTCTTGCGTTAGAGTTCTGCAGCAAACCTACCGCGCGCCGTGTACACAAAGTATACAGAGTGGGGCAAACCGTTGATTTTAAGTTGCAAGGTCTGGGCTCCATGCGGGGTCGTCCCATTACTGCCCGAGTCGATCCGGAATCGCACGGTGACACGTACGCCCTGGTGTGGCATGTCGGCCGTCCTCGTGGAGAACACAAGAGCGCACCATTGGCAGCCAGCGTTCGATGAGGCTTGAAGCCGATCCCAAGTAACAGCGTAGGAAAGACCTGAACCCGAATCCTGTTGTGAGCCCCAAGCTCTCATGAAAGAGTTCGATGCGAAAAGCCCGTCCGAGCAGAAAGTGCATAGGTGCCAGCTGGACATACAGAGCAGAGGCTCGGATGAAAGTTTGAGCAAAGAGGGAGGCCCGCAAGAGGATATCACGACGTAGCAGTGCGAGAGGGAGGGAATGAAGAGTCCGAAGGGCCGTGCGCCGCCCGTGCGCTGATCACAAGAGCCACGTGTCCTCCACGCGCGCTGGGCGATGGGTGTTTTTGGGTAACTCGCGGCGCGGTACTCCGACGTACTAGTCCACTGAGTATGTTGCATTTCCGAGTCCTCATGTAGAGCCTAACGCACCTTCGACCACGCTCTGCAAAGCTACCCTTAAGCCACTGGCACCCATCAGCCGGGTTTACCACCGAAGCTTCATCCGCTCCCATGATCTCACACGAGAGGCATCACTCGAAGGCGGGAACGGGGCGGGAACGCAGGACGGTAGCGTCTGAACCTATGGGAGGTAGCAAGTGGCTCGGGCTCGATACTGTCACTTGAACGCCTATGGGCTTGGCACGAGTGCAGGAGTTTAGAGAGGGACGGATATATCATAAGGCTTACCGCTGGGTCACTTATCGCGACTCTCCGACGTTTGGGCGCCGCGGTGGCGCGAAGTTAGGCACAGGCATAATGGACCTGCTGAGATTGCACCGAACGAGTGGGTTGGAGCACTGGGGAAGAACGTGCTATGGACGATATTAGTGATTAGATATACCCCTCTGAGAGGCGAGGCAAGCGACACACCTTGAGCCGCCTTTGGGCATACAGGCACGTAGGATGTGGCGAAGGTCTTCCGGTGGGTCTCGATTCCAAGGTAGGCCCTTGAAAGTTTCACAGCGCCGATTGCATGCACCATCTGAAGGACGTACAGTCGCCCTACAGCCTACTCGTTGCGGGTATCCAGTGGGTATCACCGTTTCGGGTACTCCACTGCATCGTTGACAAGGTCGTTTTGTGGCCTATACGCACGATTGCAGGGGTCGTGTGGTGTGAAGAACTGCTCCCTTGCATGCGTGAGTTGAAGCAGATGCATAATATATCCATAGACGTGCGGCGAAGATTAGTAATATATAATAAATCGCGAGAAGACCAAGGTCTGGAAGAGGTAGCCACGGGCGGACGTTCAGTACCATACGTACCGAAGGCGAAGACTAGACATACCAGGTGTAAACAAAGTATACAGTAAACTGTCGTGGAGGGGTAAGCAGATCGCCATTTGAGTCGGCTGATCCCGACGTACCTTGCAAGCTCGGCATACATAGCCAGCTTCGCCTACGCATCACCACCGTCATCCCCGTCCGCATTTTCTGAAGGCCAAGCCGCAATCGGATCGATTCCCAATATCTCCGGCAACCGCGCCCACACCGCACGCCTCTCATGCAGGTCGCGCGCCTCCAACATCGTCTTGCAGTGCCGGCAAACGTGGACGTCCGGCCCAGTGAACATGTCGTGACTCGACAGGAACGGGTCCACCATGGTGATGTCGGACACGCGGTCTTTGAGCATCCTGAGCATCGTGGCGAGCGCAGACTTGCACCCGGCAGCGGCCGTGCACTTTTTCGCGACGATCGGCTCGAAGACGCAGAGGGCGATGCGGACGGACTCCGCGATGAGCCGGCCCTTGGCGACGAAGCACCGGCCGATATCGTCGAGCGCTAGCTGCTCGCGTGTCCCGTCTTCACGCTTGAAGCCCGTGATAATCGCTGCGCGAAGCATGCAGCAGCAGAGGAGGGCTACAGGGAGCAGGCTGGCCTCGCCTGTTAGGCGGGCGAGATTCACCACACCGATCGAGTGTGCGTTGTCATGAAAGCCAAGGGGTGCCGTACGCGTCTGCGCCTCCCAAACGTCGAACTGCGTCGTGTAGTACTTCCCCAAGTGTCCGATCGCATGTTCGAACAGATTCGACATTTGGTACTTTTGGCCGAGCCGAACCGCGGCTGAGATCATGTGAAAGGATGGTTCTCCGGAGTCAAACGGGCTGCAAATGGTCGTCAGCTTGGCATTGGGGGAAGTTACGAGGAATTACAACCGTACTTCGAGTTATCCCTAGGCATGTAGAAGCGAAGGATATGTCTGAAGTCTTCGGGAGAGTCGGACACGTGTACCACTGGGCAAGAGTCCTCCGCGGAGCCTGCACCAGATGACGTGGGGGCAGGAGGTTGTGGGAAGGCGAGCATGTCTCTGAACACGGCGGAGTGGTCGGCTAGAAGGCCTTTGTATACGCGAAATTCGACGTTGCGGGCGACGATGATGATGTTCCCGTCGCTGTACCAGAAATCTTCGTCTCGAGTTCTCGAGCTTGCGGAAGACGGCGCTGACAGCTCCCCCGAGGCTTGTGCACTGTTGTCTCGAGCGACAGCATCGCCATCGTCTGAGCTGAGTCGCGCTCGCTTGCGGGTGACGGGTCCCGACATATGTAAGCACTGTATGACGCGTGAAGAGTACGGTCCGCGGGGCTGAAGGACAATGATCAGTCCGCTATCACAGTTTGTATACTTGTTAGTCTATACCAAGTGTTGCACTGATGTAAGATAAATCAACGTATACCCACCGATGATGCCACTGCCAACGATGCTCTTTGTGAGTGGATTGTCTTAGCCTATGGCGGAGAAAAGCTAGGCTGCACGAGCTTCGAGGGAGAAAGAGACGACGCTGGCGTGGCTCGCAAATCGATGTGACTTCTCAGCACGTGTCTGTGACGTTGCGCGGCGCCATCGCGTTTGGGGATGACAATGACAGCAATTCGCCACTAAATCTCGAACGTTTCGCACATAGAACAAACGCGAAGGAAAGCAAGGAAGACAGGCGACGCGCGGCCAGGATGCGCACCCGCATCATAATATATCCATGTGCACTTATCATACCACCCAAATATAGCGACGGTCGCTCAGCTCATCGCGATGTCGACGCCGCCTTCCTGCCTCGCATTCTCCGTACACAACAGCGCATATTACGGAGCATCACAGTGATGAGGTAGAGAGAGTTGGTTTGGGATGCTGCTTATCCTGCGAAGGGACACACCTTACAGAAAGAGTGAGCCATCTTTGTCGCATTAAATCGCATTTGCCGTACCTGGGGAGCCCACTCGTGCGATCTAGCGCCTCTCAATCAGGTCGCGCCGACTGCTTCACCGCCCTCCGCTCCTCCAGGATCTGGTTCGGCGATGCCGAGTATCTCCGGAAGCCTATCCCAAAGTGCGCGTCTTTCGCGATCATTGCGGGCATCGACCATCGCCCGACAGGGTTTGCACAAGTCGACCTCCTGGCAGACATCCTCCTCGAACGCTATCATGAACTGGAACGGATCCATCCCCACTATCGTGCTGACGTCCGCCTCGACCCGCTCCATGAGCCGCAAGAAGCCGCGCTTGCACCCCGCCGCCGTCTTACACTCATCCGAGACCTTCGGCCGCAAGACGCAGAGGGCGAGCCGGGTCGACTCGTGGATGAGCCGTGCGCGCGCGGTGAAGCAGAGGCTGATGTCGCCCAGAGCGAGTTGCTCGCGCGTGCCGTCCTCGCGCTCGAAGCCGTCGAAAAGTTGCTGTTCGAGCTGGCAGCAGGCGAGCAGCGCGGTGGGCAGGAGGCTCGTCTCGCCTGTCAGGCGGGCAAGGTTGACCACACCTATGGAGTGGACATCGTCGAAGCCGGGCGGACAGTAGCCGGAGTAATTGTCCCATGGGTCTAAATCGTTTGTGTAGTGATTCTTCAGGTAATCGAGTGCCTGTTGAAGGAGCATAGGCATCTGGTACTTGTGTCCCAGTCGCACCGCTGCAGAGATGGTATGGTATGAGGGGTCCTCCGGCGCCGTGAATAGGCTGCGAGGTCAGGTCTATCAGTTCTCCGATACCTTTGGTACCTCATAAGAATCAATATTGATACCTTCTGTTGTTCTTCGGCATAAACACCCGCAACATATGCCTAACGTCTTCGGGAGAGTCTGAAAGGTGTACCGTAGCCTGGCAGCTGGCGCCGGCGAGGAGGATGGTGGAAATGGAAGAGACAGGAGGCTGTGGCAGCGAGAACATGTCTCTGAATACGGGGGAGTTCTCCGCGAGAAGGCCTTGGTATACGCGAAACTCGATGTCGCCAGCGAACAGGGTGATACTCCCGTCGCCGTACCAGAACTCTTCGTCTCGAGTTCTCGAGCTTGCGCAAGCCGGTGCGGATAGCTGCGTCGAGGATTGGGCAGTGCTGTTTAGAGCGACAGAGTCGTCATCGTTTGAGCTGCGCCGCGCTCGCTTGCGGGTAACGGGTCCAGACATGAGACCGCTGTATGACGTCTGAGAGGGTGCGGGGCTGAACAACAGTGATGTGAAGCGTCAGCGAGATTTCGACTCTAGTGCTGGTGCTCTACTCACTCGAACTTCTTTCGCAGAGGCACGTCTTAGACTATCCGGTGCACCCGTTCTGCCAGTCCGCTCTTGCAATCTGAATGTCGTGCTCAGACTTTCACTGCGTCGCACTTGTGAATCAATGCTGAGTCTTGCACTGATGTAGAATGAATAGGATTATACGCACGAGTGATGCCGATACCAACGATGCTATTTGTGCGAGGCCTATCTCGGTGGCGGAGAAAAGCTAGAAGGAAGCCAGTCGAATGCAGACGCTGGTGTGGCTCGCAAATCGACGTGACTTCCCAGCACGTGTCTGTGACATTACGCGACGTCTCCTGCCAACCTGAGGGACGCCCATCCTTGCGACCTGTAGGAAACCGCGACATGCACGTAAATATTGTCTAGGTAAGTACTGTATCGACCTCTCGACGAAGTTTAACTCTTAACGTCTCATAGTTCTGAACTCAGCTCACGCGTTACTTGATCTTGCCTGAAAGCTTGTCTTCGCCGGATCCGTCAGGCTCGAACTCGAACTGCAGCAACGTATACCTTATACCTATAAAGAGCACTCGGAAAACAGCGAAATCTGGCCACTGTGCAACCTCACGATGCCTGAACACGCCAGCTCCGGCCGCAAACGTCAAAGAACAGATCTCGCCACCGCCCAAGACCAGGATGGAGCCAACCTCGAACTGCCGAGAAAGCGAGACGAAGAGTTCTGGTTCGAAGACGGAAGCATCATCCTGATCGCGCGCGACGTCGAGTTTCGCGTCTTCAAAGGCATACTCGCCAAGCATTCTCCCCTCTTCGGAGACATGTTCTCTCTTCCCCCTGGGCCACCACCGGAGTCGTCGCAAGGCACGGCAGCAGCAGCCGAGTCCTGCCCCGTCGTCCATCTTTCCGACTCTCCAGAGGACTTCAGGCACGTTCTCCGAGTGTGCATGCCCGAAACAAATCTGAGGCAGGTCGCGCACTTGCCTGCGTACGCACGCATCAGAAGCTCATCGCGAGAACATCTCCAGTTACAGCACCTTCGCAGCAGATGGTGAACTCTCCTTCGCAATGATCTCCGGGGCCCTCGCAGTAGCACGGATGGCGCACAAGTACCTGATGCCCAGCATGCTCACGCTCGTCGTGAAATACCTGAAGCGGGCCTTCCCGGTTGAGTTCCGCAAATGGGCCGCCAGTCCATTCCGCTCCGCCCTTACCCCCAACGAGGCCGTGCTTGCCATCGGTGCCGTCAACCTCGCGCGCCTCATCGACGAGCCCTCCCTGCTCCCAACTGCCCTCTTCGTCTGCTACTGTGTCCAATCCACGCACTTACTCAAGGGACTCGCACGCGAGGACGGCTCAATCGAGCACCTAGAGCTAGAAGACGTTGGACGCTGCCTCGACGCGCGCGGGCGTCTCGCGGAGAAGATCCTCATCCTCGCGACCCGGATCTTCGCGCTCTCGGTCTCGAAGAAGTGCGCCGCCCCGGAGATGTGCCGGGAGGCGCTGGGGATGATGCTGGAGGGCGTGGGCCAGTACGCTGCGGCGTTCGCGGAATCGGACGTGTTCTCGTCGTGGCTGGGCGCGTACGAGAACTCGTTTGTGAGACTGTGCTGCCAGCGCTGCCAGGTTATGCTGCGGGAGCGCGATGAGAAGGAGCGGCAGGCGGTGTGGGACGAGCTTCCTGAGATTATGGGCGTCCGGGTCGACAACTGGGTCAAGGAGAACCCTTAAGGTGCGCCTATGTTAGGGAAAGATCCAAGGTCGTGGTAACGCCACTAATGTGCAGACAGTTAGAATCATATTTCCCATGAAGTGGGCTATGAAGTTCGTCGCGCACGCAGGTGTCCTGGCGTGCGCCGTGGGAAGGACATACTGACCAGGCGCAGAAGGTCGAGTTGTAAACGCTTCTTCAAGTTCGCTTCTCCCTCGGGCCCATGTCCTATCCATATCAAGACATCGTCGAGTCTCACACACCCTGCTCATTGCTCTCTTACGATTCATGTACGATCCCTGACGACTGGTTGGGACAGACTGATACTTGTACGAGTGGCTTTGCATCCAGATCAGCGCGAGCCTTCGCCCGGAGACGGCGGCTGTCACGGCACTGCGCTAATCCCTTGACTGAGTACGTTCGCAAATTCGTACGCTCGTTACTCGCAGTCGCGTTCGAAAGCAGGGAAAAGATATATTGCACTTTACTACGGGCGTACGCTACGAGCGAGTGTGTATCACCGAGCGCGGTGCATAACAGCTCCTCTACCTAGTCCTACTCCGCGCGGCCGACCTCGTCCACGAAGCACCCCTATGAAATGTATGAGCGACACCGCGATGTTCTGCCACGCACCTGGGCAGGATCTGGACGACCAAGCGCGATCGAGCACCGCGGTCGAAGTCGAGATATGGCAAAGAAGGCCCGCACTGTCGAACGAGCCCCGTCAGCCCCCGCGCTGAACATATGCGAGGAGGAAACACGTACGTCGTGGTGGCTCAGTCTTGCAGTGCGGCGCGCGCAGCACCGAGCCGGGCTACGAGGTGCCGCGCGCGCCGCGAAGACCGTGGCGGGGCCGCTGACGAGTGTCGGCGGCCTGCCTGGGTCGGACGACCGCGGGTTGTCGCGTCGATTGGACGCGCTGTAGTATGGGGATCGTGTGGCGGGGCACGGCGGCTGTGGGCTAGAGTCAGCGCCGATCAGAGAGCGCCGTGGAGCGGAGCGCGTACCATAAACGCGTCGGCCTGGCGGTCTGCGCAGCGCTGAGACGCGTCGCGCGGGCCTTGAAGGGCGGCGCGGCGAGGAACAGACATCGTTGCATGGAGCGAGCGCCGCTCCTGCAAGTCATCGGCGCTACCTAACAGACGCGAGGAAGTCAGTGTCGTCGCCCACGCGCATGTCAGATAGGGCCGAGCGGACGTACGTGTTCGTCGCGCCTCTGTGCGGTTGGGGGGACCCAACAACGCGTGATGATGAGGTGCGGATACAAGGGTCCCGGCGAGCGCAGTTGGCTTCCCCGCCGCGAGCGAGTCCGCGGCGGGTACTAGACCCGGGGGCCACGATGAGGCCTGCGCTATCCCCGGGAAATACCCTGCGACCCATATAATAGGGTCGCAGCCTCTTGATACCGTGCGGTCTTGCGTAATAAATAAAAATAAAAATAATCTTCAGTCTTCGGTCTTGAGGGAGATGTCGGCGTGGTCGGTAGGAGAGATGAGGGGCGGGTTCGATGACTTGCACGCAAGCGTGCCACATTTGCCTACCCTCGCCCTCGGGAATGATGAAATTGTGATGGGGGAGCGGTCAACGGTACTTTGGACGGGAAGGGAAGGTGGCCGAAGCCGGGGGTGGCCGAAGCCGGGGTTGCCAGCCTTCACTCGCAAGGGGAGTTCCGGCTGGCGGGGGTGGTCGTCTCGCCCGCGCGCCGCGCCGAAGCGCGAACGCGCGCGCAGAGCCTACCAATGGCGCCGCGATACGATCGCGGACGCCACCAGCGGGGAGGGCCCCCAATGGTGCAGCGGCGTCCCGCTCACCAAAGGATTCTGCCGTTCCCCGGATAATTTTGTACGCTTCTGAGCGCGCCACTCCCTAGGCTGGGCGCGCCCTCCGGAAGCCCCTCGAGGGGGTCTCGCGCCGAGGGTCGAGTCGCGAGCTAACCGCAATGGCTGTCACGCTCGAAAACCTCATCCGGAGTCCGCCGGACGTCGACGTCGCACGAGGGCGAACGTCGCAGATAGTCCGTTTGGCGGTGTTGCACGGCCGACGGGCGCGTGCCGCCATGGTGCCGCCCGCGAGAGGGGGGGTTGGGCGGGGGTGGGTTGGTCCGCGGTGCGTGTGCATCCTAGCCAGTGGTGCGTTAGCTCGAGCAGCGCGGAATCGGTGTAGGGAGACTTACGATGCATGGTCCATCGATGCGCCACCGTAGGCATAGTGGTGTGGCGAGGACTTATGCGATGCCTCCGATGTTCTTATCTGACCTGCGGTAGAAGTCGTGAGCAGCGTACAAGATGAGTAAAAAGGGATCGCGACGTACAAATTCATACGGTGAGCATATAACGTTTCGGAGTCGACGCCTGGGATGAGATGCAAGTATTAGGCGATGCTGTCGTCGGCGGTTGGAGCCCACGACGAGCTCACCTTAGAGGCAGCCGTTGGCGCTGCCACGCCTGCCGTTGAGGCGAGCGCGGCCGCTCGAGTGAGGACTCGAGGTTGGGAGGAGAGCGGTCTGAGGGAAAGAGGAGGCGGCGAGGAGGGGGGTTTATATACCTCGCGACGGCTCGCCACCGGCATCCGCCGGAGTGCGCAGTACTTCTGTCTGACTGGGTGCCTCCTCCCAAACGGGACACTCCCTTTGTGTCGTCATGCGGGCCCCCTCTTTTGTTGTGCCCGGCTGACTTCGACTTGGGCGCATCGATGGCCGCCCAAGAACCCACGATGAAACGGGCTTCGTGAGCCGAGACAGCGGAGGGGGAGGTGGGACCCCTCCCGATAGCTCCCGAAGGCGTGCCAATCCGCGATTGTGCAGAAGATAATCAGAGAAGCAGTGGGGCGGTGGAGGGAGGTGGAATTCCGCAGGGGGGCGGGACCGGGGCTGTCCTTGTTGGATTTACACGCGCCAGAGGCCGCGTCAGCCTTCGAAGAGGTACTGTCCCGCTCGGCGAACACCATCTGCACTTCGCAGAAAATGCCCATAGCCGCGACCGCGCGAATCGCGAGGCCATAGGTTCGAGTCTGCACAGCACAAGCCCGTTGGGATAGGTGAGGTAGAGCGAATGCCGGGGTCAGGCTGGCCAGTGGCGTGCGTGTTTGGCACTATTTGGCAGTGTGGGAGTGCCCCTCAAGATTAGGCCTGATATGGAGATTTGATGGCACCTCCCAGTTGCGCCTCCCTTTGTTCTTGGTCGCATGCCTCATCAGGGGTCCTACCCTCCCAGCGGTCTGATAGAATGATACGCTCGGCAGTTTTGTGCTCCTTCGAGTGAGTTCCATTCCACGCCTGACCGCGCCCTCGAAACGCGAGGCACTCATGTGTCACCCCGGCGGGCGTCGAAGCCACCCGTTCCGCGGTCCTACCCCCGTGGCCGCATGGCGTGTTCGCTTGGCACAAGGATCTACCTCGCCATAAAGGAGAACGGCGCCTAGAAACATCCAGAACGGGGCGGGAATCCTGTTACAGTTAAGGGGTCAACGAGGCAATTATACTCCGTACGATAACGAACCCACCCGTCGCCTCCCACAGTTCCGTCACGCCTGCCCCTCCTGACCCTGCGCAATACGGCTTTTCGGAGCGGGTTCGGGCTGCGCGCGCAACACGGCCTCCTTCCTCTGCTTCAGCGCGCCCGCGTACGCCATGCACACCTACTTCAGGTTGCGCACGCCTCTACGAGGCGATGGTGCAGAATGAGGCTCCACCTCCTGGAACGACAGCAGGGAATGTGCTGTGTCGTCGGGAACCTCCAAGGGGGGTCAGGAGGCGCACCAACGGCCGCGGCGCCGATAGCGTGGTCCGCGTCGAACCCAAATCGAATTTAGAGCCGGCCTGCTGGACGTCGCCCCGGTGGATATCGCGCCACGAACGCACACACGACCTCGAGCCCCTCGTGCACCTGGCCTGTGCAGGCGACCCTGTCAGCAACTGATTATCGGATGGACGCAAGGTTCTGGACTCACAGTGAGAATATGCGGATCATCGCCGTATGCGCGCACTTGACCATCCGCGCACTCACGCCCTCGGGGTGCTCGAGTCCCCGCCGCCACGCCAGCTCCAGGGGCAGCGTCTCCTCCCATACCTCGCGCGTGAACTGCAGCGCCTGCCTGCGCTCGGGCTCGCCACGGTCCCGCGTGCACCTCTCGAGCGCCTCCACGTACGACGGCACGGCGTCCTTCTGCAAGACGAGCTGTGCGAAGAGCATACAATAGAGGTTAATTGCATCGTCGAATGTGGCGTGCGATAAGTGCACGGAGACGTATGCGTTGACGAGACGCGAAGCTGGGCGCGCATTCTCAAATGCGGGGGCATCGAGCCGTCCTGGGATGATGCCGTGCACTGGGCTGCGCGCGGACGACGAGGTGTGATTCAGACTATAGGCAAAGGGCGATTGAACGCGGGTCTGTACGCCGCATACGCGTGGAAGACATGGGTCATGATGCAGTCGTCTACCATGCTGACCGGCTTACCAGGTGCAGGAAATGGTCACACAAGCCGTGGACCACCTGAAAAGCTGGTTCTCCGACGCCTTCTACGTACGGTCCGCTGGCAGGCTTTACGAGTCTGGAGCCCCGCTCAGGTGCATGCACGCGATCGGCTTCGTCAACAGGCTCGCGCCGCGGCGCCTCGTCAACGAGCCCTCTCTCCTCTCCCTGTCGACCGCCTTGTGCTGCACGCTACACAAGCATATCTTCGAGGGGTTCGCGCACGAGGACGGGACGCAGGATACACTCGCGCTGGGTGACATTGGCCTCTGCTTCGCTGCCCGGACGCGCATGGCGGAGCAGTCGCTTATCCTCGCGATGCACATCTTCAACCCGGACGTCGCGTACGATTGCGAGGACCGGCCGCGGTGCGAGAGGGCGCTGCGCGCAATCCTGTTGAGCGTGGAGGACCAGCCGGAGTCGTTCGCGTCCCCGGATGTGTTTCCTTGGTGGCTGGATCCGATCGGGGAGCGGGGCCTCCTGTCTAAGTGCTGCAGGGATTGCTGCAAAGTGCTAGAGAGACACGATAGACAAGAGCGCTTCGAAGTGTGGAAGGATTTGCCAGGGATAATGCGGGTTCACGTCCCGCTACCCACTGTACGGTCACGACCTTAGGCGACGCGACCCCTTGCGTACCCCCGGGAAGAACAAAACGTGTCTCATCTTCGATGGTAGTCCCACACACCCACGCTTTCCAGACACAATACCGAGCACACCGTATTTATGTATAACGCACCAAACTCACTCACAAAATGCGAATTTTGAAGCCAGCGAATGGCGTCTTCTAGGTGGATACGGCATCTTCATATCTGTCAAGAGATCGACATGGTGTGGCACAAGTAATGGTATGTTATAAGGAGCGAGCCATGCCTAGGTGTGCGCGCAACGTAGATGATGGTCGAGAGCAAGGAGCACAGGCTCCCGAGCGCTTGCGTGCATTGCCCATTTATTTGACGAACTGTATTTGACGCCGAGGAACTTGAACCTCGTCACCGCTTGCACGGTGGTTGCACTCGCCCCCGACTTACCACTCTTGCCTGCTCTTGCTCAAGCTTCTCTCTATACATAAGCGCGGATCCCCATTGACAAAATTCGCAACTTGCTGGGTCATTTTGGTGTATCGCAGATAAGTATGGCACTTTCGGTCCCGAGTAGCTACTAGCCAGATATACTGACTTGTTAGTGGGCACCGTCAGAACCACGCGTGCAAGTACTACGAACGCTGTGTCTCTATGTCAGAGCCCACAAAGCGCAACAAACGTCGAAAAGCAGATTCAGATGCTACCCAAGACAAGGATGGGCCCATAGCGATCAAGCGGGACGACGAATTCTGGTTCGAGGACGGCAATATCGTTCTCATTGCACGCGACATCGAGTTTCGCGTCTACAAAGGGATACTCGCCAAACATTCCCCCCTCTTTCAAGATATGTTCTCTCTCCCCCCTCCCGCCACGCCGGAATCGTCTCGGGACACGGCTGCGGCCGTCGAGACTTGCCCCGTGGTCCACCTCTCCGATTCCCCAGAAGACTTTAGGCACGTTCTCCGCGTGTGCATGGCCGAAACAAACCTGAGGCAAGTCGTACACTATCCCATAGGCGCATGCACCAAAATCTAATTACGCATACGCCTCCAGTTACAGCGCCTTCGGAGTGCATGACGGACTCTCCTGCAGACTGATCTCGGGGGCCCTCGCGGTGGCCCGGATTGCGCACAAGTACCAGATGCACGACATGCTCGCGCTCGCTGTCAAGTATTTGAAGCAGGGCTTCCCAGACACCTTCTACCAGCAAGCCGCACAGCCGTTGAGATGCATATCCAACCCCTACAGGGGCTCGATAGCCATCGGCGTCATCAATCTCGCCCGGCTGATCGACGAGCCGTCCCTGCTCCCCACCGCGCTCTTCGTCTGCTGCGCGCTCACGTCCGCCGACCTGCTGAAGGGACTCGTGCACGAGGACGGCTCGGTTGAGCACCTGACGATGGAGGACCTTGGGCGCTGCTTCGACGCGCGCGGATCCCTCGCGGACAAGACCCTCGTTCTCGCCACCAACATTTTCGCGCCCTCGGTCTCTGAGGGGTGCGCTGCTCCGGACAAGTGCCGGGGGGCGCTGGAAAGGATGCTTTTGGAAGTGGGCGAGGAGCCATCTTCGTTCACGGATCCAGACCTGCACACCTCCTGGATAGAAGCGTACGAAACTTCGTACGTGCTGCTGTGTTGCGAACGCTGCCAGAAGATGCTGCGGGAGCGTGACATGAGGGAACGGCGGTGGGTGTGGAGCCAGCTCCCTGAGATTATGGGGGTCCGGGTCGACAACTGGCCCGAAGACCATTTCTACTAGAAGTCATCTTTCCCCGGAAGTGATCTATGAAGCTCGTCGCGTACGAAGGCGTCCTGGTGTGACCTGTGAGACGGGTATGCCTACTCGATCGTCAACCCGGTCTGTGCTAGGCTTTACTAGTATCAACCGCCTCACCACTCGCCCTCCGACCCGCGGTGGAGTTCTGTTTCGGAACCTCTAAAGTCTCCTGAAGCCGATCTTAGGCTACGTGGCTCATAAATGGGACGCGGAAGGATTCAAGGACGAGCCGGCGTTTCGTAGCCAAGGACAGCGCGATATGGCCCGACCTGCCACTCAGCCGTCCACGGGCGCGCCGAAGCACACAAGATCTCGGAATCCGCATGGCAGCGCGGAAGATGCGCGGTATAGAGAACTTATCACCCTGTGGACGCGCTGCTGCATCGTCAGCATGACGCTGTTGGAGTACTAGTCCACTCCTTGACACGGACTCGTAGAGATTTCGTGTGAAGCTGAACAAACTCAGAATATAAATCTTAGACCCTTAGGACACGCGAGGTCAAAGACTCGCAAATGGGGCTCGTGCTTTGCCTGATGTAGAACTCCTGAACTGTGCTGCTCGGTACATTGCTCGCTCCGTCTCGGCGCGCGCCTGCTGACTTCCTACGCATCCTCCCGCTCCTCCTCCCTGCCCCCCCTCCCCCCCTCTGCCTACTCACATCTCCCTTTCCCCGGCGATTTTGGTTACAATGAGTGGCTACAAACGTCCACGCCGAGACTCCGACGCCCATGGAAACACTGAGTTCGAGCCGGCCGCGGGCGGATCAGCGTGGCAACCTCGCCGGGACGCAGAGTTCTGGTTTGAGGACGGGAGCGTCATTCTCAGCGCGCGCAACGTTGAATTTCGCATCTTCAAAGGGATCCTCGCGGACTATTCTCCCGTTTTCCGGGACATGTTCTCCCTCCCTCAACCGTCTATGCTCGAAGGGGCGGCTACGGAGACCAATACGTGTCCCGTCGTCCACCTGAGCGACTCCCCAGAAGACCTCAGACACGTCCTGCGCATATGCATCCCAAAAAGCGACTCAACGTAAGTCAGACTCTCCATAGTCGGCGCGATCTCCATCCACGGGGCTAACGCGAAAGCGTCCTCCTGCAGCTTCGACCCGTTCACGCCGAACGCCCCCTTCCCCTCGTTCCACATGGTGTCCGCCGTCATCCGGCTCGGGCACAAGTACCAGATGCAGAAAATGGTCACCCGAGCCGTGGACTACCTGAAACGCTGGTTCTCCGACGACTTCGACGCATGGTCCGCCGGCAGGCTTTACGAGCCCGGCGCCTCGCTCAGGTGCATGCACGCGATTGGCGTCGTCAACCTCGCACGTCTCGTCGATGAGCCCTCTCTCCTACCGACTGCCCTGCTCGTGTGTTGCACGCTCGACGAGCGGATCGTCGAGGGGTTCGCGCGCGAAGACGGGGCACAAGAGACACTGACGCTGGGCGATATCGGCCGCTGCTTCCGCGCGCGAGCGCGCCTGGCGGAGCACTCGCTTATCCTCGCAATGCGCATTTTCAACCCGGACGTCGCGTACGAATGCGAGGACCGGCCGCTGTGCGAGAGGGCGCTGCGCGCGATGCTGCTGAGCGTGGAGGACCGGTCGGAGTCGTTCGCGTCCCCGGACGTGTTTCCCTCGTGGCTGGATCCGATGGGGGAGAAGGGTCTCCTGTCTGAGTGCTGCAGGGATTGCTATGAAATGCTGGAGAGACGCGATAGGCAGGAGCGCTTGGAGGTGTGGAGGGAGCTGCCTGGGATCATGAGGGTTGACGTCGATGGGTGGGCAGCAAATATGCGTTAGGGACCATGATGGTGTGTAGATGAGCCCCCGAATAAAGAAACAAGAGGGCCACCCGCCGAGGATGTGCGAAGTGTAATTGATAACGACAACACTAAGCACTAAAAGGGGTAGTCATCGAAGGACGGTCAGTTTTAGAGATATCGCTACCGAAGCAAAGACATACCAGACGTATTGGATATGTGTTGTATATTGCCGTAATGGAAGCTTGAGCAGCCCTCTCTCAACTCAATACCTTCCATACTCCGTCCGCGCGTACCGCGTCACTCATGCGTCGTCGCCCGTTCCTGCCCCGTCAGAGGCCGTCGACTCAATACCCAGTATCTCCGACAGCCGGCTCCACGTCGAAGACCGCTCCCACAGGTCGCGCTCCTTCACCATCGCCCTGCAGTGCTTGCACAGCAGCTCCTCCCCGAACATGCTATGATACGGCACAAACGGGTCCGCAGTGGCAATATAACGCGCCCGGTCCTTGAGCTCCACATGGATCTTGCGGAACCCGCGCACGCACTCGGACACGCTCGCGCACATCTTCGCAACAGTCGGGAGGAACACCGCGAGCGCGATGCGCACGGACTCCTCGATGAGGCGGCCCTTGGCGGCGAAGCACAGCCCGACGTCCGCGAGCGCGAGCTGCTCGCGCGTGCCGTCTTCGCGCGCGAACCCATGGACGATCGCTTTACCCAGCATGCAGCAGCTGAGGAGCGCGGTGGGGAGCAGGGTGTGCTCGCCGGTCAGGCGCGCGAGGTTCACGACGCCGATGGCATGAACGTCCGAGAAGCCGGGAGGCAGTCGCCCATCGTCCGTGTGCGCCTCCCACACGTCTAGGTGCTCCGTGAAGTAATCCTTCAGGTAGTCGATCGCGTGCTGGTACAGCTTCGACATCTGGTATTTCTGCCCGAGACGGACGGCCGCCGAGATCATGTGGAAGGATATCTCGTTGGTGGAAAACGGGCTGTGCCAGTGAACCGTGGTCAGCTCCGTGATGGACCAAAGAGACTACGCCGATACCTTGGGTCGTCTCTGGGCATGTAGAAACGCAGGATATGTCGAACGTCTTCGGGGGAGTCAAACAGCTGTACCACTGGGCAAGCACTCCCCGTGGTGTCTGCCGCTGCCGAGGATTCCGGGGGAGGTACGGGAAAAGAGAACATGTCTCTGAAAACCGGAGAATGATCTGCGAGAAGTCCTTTGTATACGCGGAACTCGACGTCGCGGGCCACCAAGATGATGTTTCCGTCGTCGTACCAGAACTCCTCATCCCGTTTTCGGCCGAATTCTGCGACATCCTTGTCGTCGTTCGAGTTGAGCCGCGCTCGCTTGCGGGTAACACGCGCGCGTGGCTAGCCTGAAACAAATTATCCATGCTAACTCCAATCCAGATACACACCGTCTATGCTGACCAACAGAGTTGCAGTGTAGCGGCACGCAGTGGAAAGAGATGAAAGTCGCTAAGAAGCCGGGAAAGCATTTCGACACGCAGCCGTGACACTAAAGCATGTGATCGTGACTCTACGCGACGGTGCACCGAGCGCGACGCGCGTCATCCCTTCGTTACACTCTTCCTCTCCGCATCCAGTGCAGTGTACATATCTCACTTCTACAGTTTCCAAGTATCTGGCATACAACCTTCAAATCCCGATAACGTAACGCGTTTAACCCTTTCAAATCCAGCTTAAAGTATGTTCATTGTTCATGTTGTAACGAGATCTTGGCTAGCGTGTACATGCTGAAATTAAGCTGCCGACACCGATAGTACGCCCACCTATAACCCAATGTCCCAACCCACGAGCAGAAACAAACGTCAGAGGACAAACTCAGACGCTCCCGAATCAGAAAACGATGTTCCCAATCCGATTAAGCAGGACGACGAGTTCTGGTTCGAGGATGGCAACATCGTTCTCATCGCGCGCGACGTCGAGTTTCGCGTCTACAAAGGGATACTCGCTAAACACTCTCCCGTGTTTGCGGACATGTTCTCTCTCCCTCCCGTACCCGCCCAGGTTCATCCGGTGTCAGCGCGAGACATAACACCGACCGCCGACACCTGCCCCGTGGTCCATCTATGCGAATCCCCCGAAGATCTCAGGCACGTTCTGCGGATGTGCATGTCCGACACGAGCTTGAGGTGCGTCGTATCGTACCTCGCGCGCGCTCAGGCTCGAAGCTCATCTTAGGTATTTCTCTACTAGCTCAAGTCCCCTCTCCGCAGGCACGCCGTCATTCCACATGATCTCCGCCGTGATCCGGATCGCGCACAAGTACGAGATGGCAGAAATGCTCGCGCAGGCCGTAAAATTCCTCAAGCAGCGCTTCCCGACCAGCTTCAGGGCGTATGAAAAGCTCTCCGTCACCGCTCGTGTCCAGATGAACCCCATCGGCGTCGTCAATCTCGCCCGTCTGATCGACGAGCCGTCGCTGCTCCCGACCGCGTTCCTCGACTGCTGCCTACTCGCTTCTTCCGAGCTCCTGCGCGGATACAAACACGAGGACGGCTCTGTCGAGACGCTCACCCAAGAGGACCTCCTTCGCTGTCTCAACGCGCGTGAAGAGCTCGCCAAGTACACCCTCATCATCGTCACGAGCGTCTTCCTCCCCTCCGTGTCGGACGCGTGCGCCGATCCGACGGACTGCGCGGAGGTACTGATGGATATGCTGAGCGACGTACGAGACCACGGGGACCGCCTCGCACGACCGGAGTTGGCCATCTCCTTCCTGACGCCGTACAAGAACTATATTCCGCGGTGTTGCAGCAGCTGCCAGGAGATGTTGCGGGTACGCGATAGAGACGAACGCTACGAGGTGTGGAACGAGCTGCCAGAGATGATGAATGTCGCTTCCAATATCAAGTGCTGGGAATGATGATGGTCATGCCTACCGCATGGGCGCGGTCAATAGGGTGCGTGAGCCACTGCATACACTGTACACCATCGCTGAACAGGTACTACATGTCATGATCAGATAGCGCAGACGAGCATGTTTAAAGCAAGCCTCGACACCATCTCACGCCAGCCAACTATATGCATACCCTTCCCATGTTGTACTCCTCTGCGTGTATCGATATCTCCTATGTATGTGCGTGTTCTTTCAACAGGCTCCAGAATACTGGAAGATCTACTCCACAACCGCGCTCAATTCGGCCCCTGGGACAGCTACAATCGCTACGCCCTACCCGACATCAGACGTTGACGCCGTTAGCGTAGTGAGTCTCGCCCGCATGACAGGCAAGGCAGACCTCATCCCCGCGCACTTTCCGCGCTTCCATCTCGGAATAGAGATGGCCGGCTGCTTCGCGCGTGCGGACGACTTGCGGGGACCGTTCACGCTGTGCGAGATTTTTCCGTGTTTCGCTGCGAAGGGCCTGCTCGTACATGAATACATATGTATCTCTCTCACGAGCCTTGCGGACTAGGATAGGCATCAGTACGAACATAGTGAGTGAGTGACTACGCGCTATACGAGACACACCGTGACGTTCACGAGCTTGCTTATCTCTTGCGGAAACTTGATTCCAACTGTTAACGTCGTCGCTACGGCCATCGACCTCTTCGAAATGTAGACGTACCTCAGGGCTCGTCTTGAACCCAGTTGGCGACCTGAACCCCCATGATCTCAGGGAGCTCGTCCCACACCGCCCGCCGCTCCTTCTCATCGCGCTCCCGCAACATCACCCGGCAGCGCTCGCAGCACAGATCGGCAAACATCCCGTACGCCTCCAGCCAGGACGTAAGCACGTTCGGCCCCGCGAACATCTCAGCGTACCGGCCCACGCCCTCCAGCATCATCTCCAGCGCCTCCCGGCACGTGTCTGGAGCGGCGCACTTCTTCGAGACCCTGAGCGCGAAAATGCGAGCGGCCAGGATGAGGGTTTTCTCCGTGAGGCGCCCACGCGCGTCGAGGAGGCCCGCGATGTCTTCTAGTGCTAGGTGCTCGGCTGAGCCGTCTTCGCGTGTGTACCCTTTGAGCAAGTCAGCGGCCTTGAGAGAGCAGCAGACGAAGAGCGTGGTTGGGAGCAGCGATGGCTCGTCGATGAGGCGCGCTAGGTTGACGGCGCCGATGGCAAGTACGGCCTCGTCGGAGGAAGGGATGCAGGAGAAGGGACTGGCGTCCCACTGGCGGAAGTCGGCTGGGAAGGACCGCCTTAGATACTTCACGACGAGCGCGAGCATGTCGTGCATCTGGTATTTATGCGCCATCCGAGCCACTGCGAAGGCCCTCGATACCGCGTCGAAAGAGGGTTTATCCGCTGCGAAGGAGATGTAACTAGAGGCATTTGCACGATAAGCTTCTAGTGTGTGTACACGCGGACCGGGTGCGACCTACCTCAGGTGTGTTTCGGGCATGCACACTCGGAGAACGTGCCTGAAGTCCTCTGGAGAGTCGGAAAGATGGACGACGGGGCAGATATCGGCGGCCGCTGTCGTGCCTTCCGATGATGGCCCAGGAGGAAGAGAAAACATGTCTCCAAAGACGGGAGAATGCTTGGCGAGTATGCCTTTGTAAACGCGAAACTCGATGTCGCGTGCAACGAGAACGATGTTGCCGTCCTCGAACCAGAATTCGTCGTCCCGCTTGATCAGATTGGGACCATTCTTTTCTGGCCCGGTAGCGTCTGAGTCTGTCCTTTGGCGTTTGTTGCTACTACTCGCGGGTTCAGACATTGGGTAGTAGTACAGCGCAATGTTGCTACCTGTGGTTTAACCTCAGCATGTAGTGAAGCTAACCAAGATGTCGTTACAAAAACAAGAGCATATTGAACTTACCTGGATGACTGATCACTTGAACGCGTCGTGTAAGTATGTTTTCGAAAAAAATGCGATTATGTACCATAGACTTGAGAAACTGGATAGTCTGTCAAAGGTAGACTTTTTACACTCTGCTGGAGGGGGGAGGAGGAGGAGAGGCAGTTAACGCGCAAAACGCGTAATATTGTCAGCTTCGGTGGCGTCGCGTCAAGTCACACTCACATGCTTTGCTGTCACGTCAATTTGCCCGCGCGAAAATCGCTTCTCCGGCTTCCACTCACTCTTGCCGGTCGTGCAGCACAGGTTCCACCAACATCAGCATATAGACAGCTATAGACAGCGTGTAAGTATCTTAATCGGAGGTCACAGCATTACGTTCCCACATATATTCACAATGTTATGCTAGGCCCCGGCGGCATGTCCATGCGTATTACCCGCAAACGAGCGCGGCACGACAACGACGACGACGCCCAAGATGGTGCAGAAGGGTCGCAAGCACTGCAAGCCGACGGAGAATGCCCCAGAAAACGAGACGACGATTTCTGGTACGACGACGGGAGCATTATCCTAGTGGCCCGCGACGTCGAGTTCCGCATATACAAGGGACTTCTCGCCGACCACTCCCCAGTATTCAAGGACATGTTCTCCTTTCCTCAACCTCCTAATACAACACATGACGGCACAAATCCCGCCAGCGACCCTTGCCCCATCGTTCACCTCCCCGACTCTCCGGAAGATCTCAGGCACATCCTACGGGTCTGCATGCCTAAAAGCGGCTCCAGGTGATTTGGAGCCTCCCATTCATACAGCACCTCAGCAGATAGCTCACATGTGTATACTATCCTCAGCCCGTTCAAACCAGCGAGCAACCTTTCCTATCACGCGGTCTCCGCAATCATCCGCCTCGGCCACAAATACCAGATGACCGACCTCGTCAAAGACGCGGTGGACTACCTGAAGCGATGGTACACGTCCGTTTTCGACGAATGGGCCGCGGGTCGTCTATACGCTCCAGACGCGCCCTTCGAGCACGTCCACGCGATCGGCGTCGTCAACCTCGCCCGTCTCGTCGACGAGCCCCTCCTCCTCCCCTCCGCGCTCCTCATGTGCTGCTCGCTCGACGAGGACATCATCAAGGGCTTCGCGCGCGAGGACGGCACGCGAGAGACGCTGTGCCCAGACGACCTCGGTCTGTGCTTCGCGGCGCGCAAAGTGTTCGCCGGGAACATGCTCGTCATCCTGGCCAGCGTCTTCGAAGCGTACGTCTCGGGCGGCTGCACGGATCCGCAGAGGTGCCGTAACGCTCTGCAGAAGATGCTACTCGACGGGCTACGAATCCCCGGGGCGATCCCGAAGATCGTACATCCGGACGTTTTGCGCTCATTCGTGCATTTCCTCGGGCCCTGCGCAGTCTGTGCGAGCTGTCAGGAAATGGTGAGGGAGCGTGATGTGGATGTACGGAAGAGGGCATGGCAATCTTTGCCCAAGATCTTCAAGCTGGAGTTCGGCGATGGAGAGTGGCCTGGGAAGTCGATCTAGCCAGGCTCATGGAAATCTGTACTCAGATCGTAGGTAAGAGTTGTGCCCTTATGCGGCTGGAAACATGATGCTTGTTCTGACACACCTCAAGGATGCCAAGCAAGGTGGTGGAGGAGAAGTGAGGACGTCTCGTTGGATAGATGTGGTAGCCTGAGCTTTACGATCAACTAGATTTCGCGAACCCTCAGAGGGACACGGCCGCGCTGCCCTGGCGTACCCCTGATAGTAGTAAAAACTGACGGGTGCTTGCTCTGCTTGTGAAGAGATTCTGTTGGCGACTAGGCTCAGTGTGCGTATATGAAGCCGATTATCGATACCACATGCGCTGTGGCCGTTGCGGAGCTCTTCGGACCAACTTGAGATGTTCGGAGTGCCATAATCTCAGCGGTGATTGGGAGCAGTCTACAGATACCTCACAGAAATTCGAAGTAGAGTAGACGACGAGGGGCCGGAGAGACACAGATCTATAAAGTACAGACATCTGCGTTGAGCTCGACCGAATCCTTCTGTTTTCCTACTACCTGTGTATATTTTCTGTATACACTGTGTATACACTGTACCTGGACTCGGCGTTTGGCAATGCAAATTGGGGATCCACTCATGCATCACTATTCTGCCTAAGCTATCGACGTGGGCCCGCATTCCAATCCCAGGCAATTTCCCTCCACACCTCGAGGCGCTGTGCCCTAAAAGCGTTCACTGCAGCATTTTATGTCACTCCCCGCAGCACAGAAGCAGAGAATCATCCCCTTAGGTAGCTTCAGTCACGAGAGAAATACTGTACCCGCCAGACGTTAGGCGAAGCGATGGACCCCTAGGCTAGGGGTTAGACGAGCGTCTACACCCGAAAAGGAAGGTCGTATACTATATAAAGCAGGTGACCTGCCATATATGGTAATTGACCGAGGCCTCGGGGACAGGGGACATCGCCTAACGTCTGGCGGGTACAGTAGTACGTCTGCGGCCGCGACTCCCGCGAATGTCTCCAGGAGACGTGGCGTCATCGCAAGGTGTCACGATCACATGCCAGTGTGTCACATCAATTCGCCTGGTCTCAGAGTCACTGAGGCACTAGCGTGTCGCTGCGAGCCGCGCACTCCGCGTCGCTCGCGTCCTTGGACTCGACCACCGCCACCTCTGCCTCTAGAGAACGTCGCCGAGGGAAGTGTTTGAGTGAGTACTATAGCAGAGCAACGGCACTAGAACCACACCGGTCTCACTGACGTCTTACATATATCCGCTTCTTCACACAGCTCTGATACAGCGATCTAATTTCCGGACCCGTCACCCGCAAGCGAGCCCGACTCAGCTCAAACGATGACGACTCTGTTGCTCAAGCTAGCACTGCACAAGACTAGGGAGAGCTGTCAGCCACGACGGCCCCAAACTCGAGAACACGGGACGAAGAGTTCTGGTACAGCGACGGGAGCATCATCATCGTTGCACGCGACGTCGAATTTCGCATATTCAAGGGTTCTCTGGCCGACCACTCCGCCGTGTTCAGAGATATGTTTACCCTTCCTCAACCTCCTGCCGCTGCGTCGTCCAGCGCAGGCTCTGTTGTCAACAATTGTCCAGTGGTACACGTGTCCGACTCTCCCGAAGACTTTAGACACATCCTTCGCTTCTCTATGCCTCGAAACAACTCAAAGTACTGCTGCAGTGGCTCCCCGTAACTCCACCCAACGCCAAGCTAACGACCGTTTCTAGTCCATTTCACTCCGGAGAACCATCATTTCATATGATCTCAGCCGTGGTTCGGCTCGGCCAGAAGTACCAAATGTCGAATCTGTTCGAACATGCGATCGGACACTTGAGGAAGTACTACACGACACAGCTCGACGTTTGGGTGGCGCAGACATCTACCGCTCCCTTTGGCTTCAATTACGTCTCACAATCGATTGGCGTGGTGAATCTCGCCCGCCTGACGGGCGAGGTCAGCCTGCTCCCCGTAGCCCTCCTTTGCTGTCTGTGTTTTGTCGCCAAGGGCCAGCTCATCGAGGAGGCTTTTCGGATCGCCCTCAACGCTTTCGAGCCGATAGTCGCGAAGAAGTGCGCGACTGCGGCCGAGTGCAGGTCCGCGCTCGGTAGGATGTACAAGAAGTTCAAGGACAGCGTATCTCCCATCGCCGCTGTAGACCCGTTTTCGCCGTACCACAAGATGTTCAAGACCCACGACGTGTGCACGTCCTGCAAGAGCATGATACAGGAGCGCGACCTGCACGAGAGGCGCGCGACGTGGGCCCGGCTACCGGAGGTAATGGGCATTGGCCCGCTCGCGGACTGGGCCAGAGCCTGAGAAGGTGCGGGCGGTGGGGACAGTGGTCATGCGTAGGTGAAGATGCGTATGCGGCAGACTAGGCTTGCGAGGTAGGTGGAAGTTGATCGCGTTCGAAGAGACTCGACGGCGTCTTGAACCTCCGTAACAATAATATACTGTACAGTGTATACTTTGTGCACAACCGGTATGTCTCCTCCGCATTTACGGCGTATACAGTACTAAATGTCCTCTTGCGCTTACATCTTCCGCTCCTTAGTGTTCTCGTGATATACTACATCTCACATATCTTCGGCGCACGACCCAAAATGCCCTGGCACCTTGAAGGAGCGCCCGGCGAAGTTGAGATGGGTAGCTTTACTACTTCAACTGAGTCTCGCACGTGGCGCTCGACGTTAACTCTAAACCGCGTTGCTTCGGGTCCGAGGCAGCGTGTCTGTCTAAATATCATGAAACCTGCACCCAATGAGTAAACAGCCCTTCTAGCTTGCCCAACATCTCCCAACACACCGACTACTATGACAAGCCAAGCAGTGAGGTATACGCCGCAACCTGCCCACGGCGGCCTCTCAAGGACGCGCGACGCCGAGTTCTGGTTCGACGACGGGAACATCGTACTCCTGGCGCGCGGCGTTGAATTCCGCATCTACAAAGGCATCCTTGCCGAGTTTTCCCCCGTCTTCCACGACATGTTCTCATTCCCCCAACCCACACCGACCGTGACCACGTCCAAGTCAGCTTTCGCCGCTGCCACGGACCCGTGTCCCATCGTCGACCTCCCTGACTCTCCAGAGGATCTGCGGCACATTCTGCGAGTCTGTATGCCTAAAAGCGGTTCCAGGTGATTTAGTTCTTTTCTATCTCTATAGCTTTGGGGCAGAGAACTAATGTGTCTTCCCGCAGCCTGTTCAAGCTGAAAAGCCCCTCATACCACATGATCTCTGCGATCATTCGTCTTGGACACAAGTACCAGATGGACGACCTTGTCAACGACGCGGTAGACTACCTGAAGCGATGGTACACGTTCATCCTCGAAGAATGGGCTGAGGGCCGTCTCTATGCCCCAGACGCGCCCTTTGAGCCTGAGAAGGCCCACGCAATCGGCGTCGTCAACCTTGCCCGTCTAGTCGACGAACCACTGCTTCTCCCATCCGCGCTCCTGATGTGCTGCTCGCTCAACTGCGCGGACATCGTCAAAGGCTTTACGCGGGAGGACGGTACGCGCGAGATGCTGTCTTTGGACGACATCGGGCGATGCTTCGCGGCGCGCACAAAGTTCTCAGAGTACGTACTACTTTTCCTCGTCGCCCGCACCTCTGAGCCGCTTGTCGCAACCGACTGCGCGGCCCCAGCGGAGTGCCAGGAAGCCCTGTGAAAGATGCTCTACGAAGGATTACGGAAACCCGGGGTGCTCCAGAAAATCGCACTTACGAATGGGCTGTGCTCGTTCGTGCATATGCTCGGACCGTTGCACCTCTGCGCGAGCTGCCAGGAAATGGTCCGGACGCGTGATGCGGGTGTGCGGAGGGCGACATGGCGCTATCTACCTCGGGCCTTCGATCTGGACTTGGGCGGTGGAGAGTGGCTGGGAAGGGGCTGGTTTAGAAGGCACTACCGCTGAGGATCAATCTGTGCTATCTCTGACTCAGATCGTAGGTGAGAGTTGTACCGCTATGTGAATGGAGACACGAGACTTGATCTGACATTCCTCAACGAAGCTGGCAAGCAAGCGGTACACGAAGCGCGTTTTAGAAGTAGCGAGGACGGGTTCAACTTTCATCTGAGTTTGCTCTTAGCCTGGGTTTTCCAATCCCGATCCTGCCGATGATCCCTCCTCTTGAGGTCGCGCAGTGGTATTCTCAGACCCTTTCCAGCCGTACATGGACATGTACCCGGACCACGCCCTCTGCGCGTATTGCGAGACGATAGTGGAGAACAGGACATCGATTACTTTGCAAAGACATCAGTACTCCAGCATGCGGTGCGAGCAGGTGAACAAAATTCACCTTTATTAATCCATAGTCTTGACACGCTGCTACTGCAACCGGGACCGGTCAGCTCGAAAGCGCTCGTACCCACATGGTTGTGGCGTACAGGACTCCGAGCACCTCCATTAATGGCTCACGTCGTATATACAATCAATATGCTTTGTTATACTACATATCTCTCGGAGACTTAATTTGATCACTGGCAGCTCATGCTACTTGTATTTACCGTCCGGTAGGCACTGGGCCAGTGAACAGGTATCCGCGCGTCGGGGCTTGCAGCACCGCAACGTCCGTCAGGCCATCGTCGTCTACGCTGTAGACCGACAATCTTGTTGCTGAGGACGTTATCTGTTTCAACACCGCGCGGAGGCGCATGCGGCGCACCTACTGCACGGCGGCGATGAAGGCAGCGTCGCAAGCGGAGGCTGTTCTGCCGGAGAGTGGACTGGCTGGTCGGATTCTGGTGTGTGGAGAAGATACAGGACTCACGCCCAGCTGCTATGTACGCGTTCGAGCACAGCGTCGCAGGTGCGGTAACGGTCGACTGTGGCATGTCGGGCAAGTTGTTCGCACCGTAGATGGCCGCCCTCGATAATGTGGTCCATTTCCTGCGACGAGACGGTCGTCGCCGTCTGCGCGCTCCCGGGGCGGCAGAGGACAGAGACAAAGGCGAACGAGCTGTTGGATATGATCGCCATGCGGTCAAGATATGGCGAGATGCCAGGCATGTACTCTGTCGTCGAATCGAACATAGACAAGTGATTCGACGACAGAGTACGTGATGCTGGGGGTCTCGCGTACTCGGGGACGGTGAGCGAGGAGCCGTTGTTGCAGAGCGCAGTTGCCCCCAGGGCACCCCATGCGCTCAGGCTTTCATGCACTCAGAGCCAGCTGAGGAGCGGGTCCCTCATGCCTAGCCAAGACCGCCAGAGAGTGACAATACAGCTCGTGCGGGCCGCGGAATTCCAGGACAGCCCATCCTGCCCCTAGCGGTGTTGTTGTGCTGCCTCTGCGCGGCCGAGGATGCGGATGGCTCACTATCTCGCCATCGCGTCGATTTATTCGTGCGGCTTCTTTACTCTCCGTGCCGTGTGCGGTCACGTCAGGAAGGTCAGATCGCCCAGTCAATCCCGAGGGACTAGAACGGTAAGCAACGCCCACAACTTGATTCTGCTGGAGAGAGCTCACCTCATGGTACAGTATAAGGGCGGAGGCGTGCGAACACTTCGTAACACGAATAAGTCTGTTCACGTCCATTGCAGCCACTCCCTGACGCACCCTCGGCTGTGGCCCTTGGTGTGCTGGCCAAACGGGATGTTGATATGGCGCAGGACGGAGACGGCGCGGGCACTGGATGCGAGATGTGTTGGCCGAAGATGGCCTTGCGAGTGTGTGATGCGGCACCGGAGCTCAGAGTCTGGACCAGAGCATGAGGTCGTGCCCGTCGCATGGCGTCGCATGGGTACTATCGACGAGTGGCGTCGACGTCGTTGCGGGTTGCGGGTCGATCCTGTGTGCAAATGCTGGAGAGCACCTGCGCGATGCAGGGGGATTTATGCGTTGTTTTTGCGCGCGGGTGGCCTGTAATCACGAAGTTGTGAGCGTAGTTCATGTCGACACAGGGCGCCAGTGCACGGACCGCAAGATATGTATGCTGTGGACCTTGGCGTCAAGCTATGGAACATTAGAACGCACACCATGTCGCCCGGGGCAACCGCTAGGTCGTAGTCAGTGCGAGGCTCATGTGAGTGTGCACGCACCTGTAGCGTCTTGGTGCCCGTTCAATAGCGGACGTCACATAAGTAGATACATCCCGTGTTGAATGTAGATCAATGTGCAGTGTTTGACTCGAGACCCGGAGAAGAGGTTAACATTGAGAAGGGAACGCAGTGACATGGTATGATGATGCCTCGTAGTCTAAGTCTATGATGGTCGTCGCGAAAGCTCAACCCTAACCAGGATGAAATGCGCTAGGCCATAATATTCTAGTCGAAGAGGGTGTCAGAAGACGATATCAGGAATCTCGCGTGTTTAGGGCGTTTAACGGGCGTTTAACGAGCGCTTTCGAGCTGACCGGTCCCGGTTGCAGTACGCTGCCATCCCCGCATATTTGCCATACTTATGTCTCATTCAGACCTCTAGAATGTCAGGGAGCCTCTCCCACGATGAGAGCCGCTCTACAGTGTCCCGTCTTAGTATCGTCGATCACGGGGAAGCGTTAATGCATTGGATCTACCGTTTTCATCTATCTCCAGCAGCTATTCACGCTGGAGCAGCTATCAGCTTTGGTGATCTCAGCTGCATGACGGGTGAGTCGCGCTTTCCTGTGGCAGGCAAACGATGAGGCTTTGCGAGCCGGGCGGGATGTTCGAGGCGTCATGAAAGCATGGAGCAATATGCACGTTACCCACGATGCTGCGTTGTGAACGGTCTCCTGGACTTGACTGACTTGCAATCGAGGCATCGAAGTTTGACTGGGCGAGCACTACAAGCACCACGGCCCAAACGATCCAACGCAATTATATGTAGACCTCAACAACTACGTACTCGCGGCCCATCCCTCGACACGGACCCCCATGATGCCAGGTAGCTCCTTCCAAACCTCAAATCTCTCGTCACGGTCGCGCCTTTTCAACATCTCCTGGCAGTCCGTGCAGCACTCGAACCAGAGCCCTCCTGGCCGCTCGAACAGCTCCATCCACGACACAAACACGTCCGAGTACGCGAAATGCTCCGGCTCGTTCTCCACCCCCAACAGCATCGCCTGCAGCACCTCGAGGCACTTTTGCGGATACTCGCACTCTTCCAACACCGACGGCGCGAAGATGCGTATGGTGAGGACGAGCATGTGTTGCGCCAGGCGAGAGTGCGCTTTGAAGCACCGCGCGAGGTCGTCCGGTGCAAGTGTCTCGCGTGATCCGTCCTCGCGCGCGAACCCGGTCACGGCTTGTCCGGCGAGCCCGCAGCACATCAGCAGCGCGGTCGGCAGGAGCGACGGTGCGTCGACGAGGCGCGCGAGGTTGACGACGCCGATCGCGTGCTCGCACTCGAGCGGCGCGTCGGGCTCGTAGAGCGCGCCGGCGGACCACGCTGTGAAGTCGGAGGTGAACCACCGTTTGAGGTAGTTCACCCCTTCGGTGACTATGTTCTCCATCTGGTACTTGTGCCCGAGGCGGATGACGGCGGAGATCATGTGGAAGGAGGGGCGCGCCTGCTGCGTGAAGGGGCCGAAACTACAAGGGGACACCTTTACTTTATTATGGATGGACATCGCGTCCAGTAAAGGGAGTTGGCGCGTACCTTGAGTCGCTTTTTGGCATACACACCCGCAAGACGTGTCGGAGGTCCTCTGGCGAGTCGCTCAGGTGAACAATCGGACATGCAGCGGTCGCTGTGGGCGTTCCTTGTGAGGACGGCTGGGGAAGAGAGAACATGTCCCGGAATACGGGAGAGTAGTCGGCGAGGATTCCTTTGAAGATGCGGAACTCAACATCGCCCGCGATAAGAATGATGCTCCCGTCCTCGAACCAGAATTCGGCGTCCCTGTGAATTTTCGTTGAATCCCCCGCGGTCGACTCAGACTCAGTGTTTTCACGAGAGTTGGAGTCCTTTCGTCGGCGCTTGAAGCCACTCATCGTATACAAATCAGCTGAGAACGATGGTTCAGTGTTTGGATCGACAGGCTTGCGAATCCACTCTTGTAGTGTTATTAGTCGCGCACCTGGTGGTCTAAGCAGGTACTCCTGTTACATTAAGATCAAGAAATGAGATTCTTTCGATAGCTTACCCTTCGATATATATCTTGTAGGTGTCAGTACTTGCGTTTAGCTCCTTGATGTGCGGGACAATGGACTGAAGAAGTTCCCGAGGGGCGCTAAATTGTGGTCGTGTGGTGACCGATGCGCACATGATTGTGACACCACGCGCTTGGGTGGCCGCGCGGCGTCACGGCATCACGGCATCCTGCTTCAAAGCTTCACCGCGCTCCTTCCTTCCGCTTTGACAATCTATCGGCATTCTTTCAAGAAAAGATCTAACTAGTGAGTATATGCAGAGCTTAGAGTGCACGTTTAACGTCAATTCACACAATTTTCAGACACGTAGCTTTCAGCGCAGGATCATACAGCATCACTGGCATGTCTGAGCGGAATACCCGGAAACGAGCTCGAACCAGCTCGGCCGACGAGGAGTCTGACATAAAAGATGTCTCTCAAGCAATTCAAGGTGTGCAAGCCGAGGCCCGACTCGAAGAAAGAGAAAAAGACGAAGAATTTTGGTACGATGACGGGAACATCGTCGTCGTTGCCCGCGACGTCGGATTCCGCATCTACAAGGGACTGCTCGCGGACTGCTCGCCAGTTCTCAAAGACATGTTTTCCACCCCTCAAACCCACGCTGCATCGTCCTCTGCTGCGGATCTCACCCACGACGTTTATCCTGTAGTGCACGTATCCGACTCTCCCGAAGACTTCAGGTACCTATTGCGCTTCTACATGCCCCGCACTGATTCCAGGTACGGCTGACATCGCTACTACCACGCTTGTCCGACATTGCTAACGGCGTGGTATTGAGCAGCCCATTTGTCTCCGACGATCCTTCGTTTGACATGATCTCAGCAGCGGTTCGCCTCGGACAAAAGTACCAGATGACGCGCCTGCTCGAGCATGCGGTCAGATACCTGAAGACATACTATACGAACGACTTCGATGCATGGGTGGCGGGATCGAGATACGGACCCCCCGGCTTCGCCGAAGTTCACTCTCTGGGTGTGGTAAACCTCGCGCGCCTGGCCGGCGAGCGCAGTCTCCTACCAACGGCCCTTCTCCGTTGCTGCATGCTCCGCGGCGCGACCGTCCGCGGATTCGAGCGCGAAGATGGCTCGCGTGAGCAACTGACGCTGGACGACATCGAATTGTGCTTCGTCGCGAAGAGCCGGCTCATCCGGGAGTCGGTCCGCATCGCGCTCTGCGTCTTCGAGCCCACCACCTCGCGGAAGTGCAAGAAGCCATCGCAGTGCGTATTCGTCTTTAATGCGCTCGTCAGGGCCCTCCAGAAGCACGTGGAGGACATCGCTACCCCGGATCCGTTTGCGCCGTTCTACACGATCCTTTCGGAGACGCGGAAAGAGCTGTGTTCGCAATGCGCGGATATGACCAAGGAGCGCGATCTGCACGAGAGGCGCGCGTCCTGGGACAGGCTCTCGGAGATGTTGGGAATCGACGAGCCGCCTCTCAACGCAGAGCCGCCTAATGGCGAGGCGGCTGGCACTGGATAGCTATATCGATGGATATAATTTGGGTGAGTTCATCTTTCTCGTGGCAGAAAAACGGCTCTAAGCTCACTCCGTGGTACATAGGGCTTCGCGAGTGGGATTGTAGGCGAGAGGCACCCTTGAACCCGGTAGCCCGAGGGCGTTGAGCGGTACTTCGCGGGCATGGACGCGGTCGCGCCGAATGGAGCGTCATTGGTCATTGCGTCGACCGTGACCACGATAGCGTCTGCCTGCGCGAGAACAGGTACGTGATAGTCGTACTCGGAAAGAAGAAAGACAGGGGCGGGTTGGCACCACCGCGAGTCTGTTCGCGACTCTCCGCTGGTTCCATGAATAGTGTTGAAGAGACCGCTCAAATGCATGGTCGCATGGTCGTAACACCTCCTGACGCGACTCTAAGCTCCGTCTGTCATGTTTAGCCCAAGCAGGAAGAGCACGTATCGCTTTTGGAAGGCAACGAATTTCCTATATGGACAACACTTGTGATATGGAATCCTCCCTACCGGATGGCATTGGGCCGCGGCGCTACTCTCAATCCTTGAAGTACCCGTGGGCCACGATAGGGTTACGATAAAGCAGCAATGGAAGTATGACAATCGGACGCAACACCGTCGTGCAATGGTCCGCTATGCGCATGCACATATATAACCGAGCTTCGCCTGCGCGCTGTTGCACAACGCATCATGTTGGGCTCCTCATGGCCTCTCTCTCCGAGTCCTACTGCAGCCCCTGCACCGGGCGATCTATGCTTCTGGACCTCAACAAGTGCTATCGTCGGCTTACTGTTGCTGCTTCACAGGATTACTCCAGCCTTTGCATGGGCGCTCAAGCCACGCACTCTGCCACCTGGCCCTAGAGGCCTGCCGATGCTAGGAAATGTTCTACACCTTCCTTTAACATTCACTGAAAAGAAGTTTCACGAATGGGGGAAGACCTTCGGTACGCACCTTTGATCTCTCGAGCTCGACAGGTCCTTGACAGTGTTTGCGCCTTCGTATATGCAGGAGACATCGTCTATATCGAGATATTCCGCACCCCAGCCATCGTGCTGAACTCGTTCGAGGCCGCACGGGACCTCCTGGACAAACGCAGCGCCATATACTCTGACCGCCCGCGATTAGTCCTGTTGATGGAGATGTACGTCTTTCGCTCAGCAATCGCATGCAAATCATTCGCTGAATCATACACCACCGCAGGCTTCGAGCACGCACCCTGGTTGGACTCCCGTACGGGGACGAGTTCCGCAAGCGCCGAAAGTGGATGTTCGACGCCGCGGGCAACAAACCGACGCTCCGTGGGTACCACGACATCCAGTACAGGGAAGTGCGCAAACTTCTGCACAACCTGTCCCAGCGGCCGGATCAGTTCAGCGAACATCTGCATCTGTGAGTACACGAGTCGGAGTGGTGGTCGCTAGCACTTCTAGCATGCTGACGCCGGCGCTCAGCTATCTTGCCGGGATGATGCTGGAGATCACATTCGGCCACCCTGTGAAGACTTTGGACGACCAACTGGTTCGACTGGCCGAGAGAGCGATCTACGGGATTAATACAGCGGGCAGAGCGGGGGCCGTGATTGTCGATTTTATTCCGATATGTGAGCACTTTCTACCCCATGAGGCGAATCAGGCAATGTATTGACTCGTTTTCAGTGAGACACATACCGTGCTGGTTGCCCGGCAGCTTCACGCGGAACGCCAAGGTCGTCCGTAGGCATGTGGAGGAGTATCGCGATATAAGCTACAATGCCATAACCTCAGCGATGGTGCGTATAATTACCTGTCGGACAAGCAGTGACATTTATGTCAGGATGGGATACAGGCAGCAGGAGTAGGAGAACCGTGCATATACCGCTCGGTCCTGGAGCAATATGGAGGAGGCCCGACCCCAGCTGAGGCCGATGACATCAAAGGTCTAGCCGTCGATGTGTATGGCGGTGAGTGTGCAGAAACGACCACATATTGTTCTGCTGACCCAGCTATGATGTCGTGTACAGCGGGGGTTGAAACAGTAAGCATTTCCGTAAAGCAACGCGGCCATCGCACTCACAGAAACATTTATCGTTGCGACAGAGTCGCGCAACTCTGAGCACGTTCATGCTTGCTATGACGCGCAATAGAGAGGTTCAAAAGAAGGCTCAGGAAGAGCTCGATCGAGTAGTGGGACGCGAAAGGCTCCCCAATTTCAGCGACCGCGATTCGCTGCCCTACGTGAACGCACTCCTTGAGGAGGTCTACCGGTAAGCCGCCAGGTTTTATATATCACGCCTAGGAAGTGACACACCTTCCTCTGCAGCTGGAATCCCACCGCTCCACTGCGTAAGTAGATACTCGCTAAGCGTGATGGCTTCAGTCATGTTCAACCGTCGCACAGTCGTCCCGCATCGCGTCACCATGGACGATCGTTATCGCGAGTACGACATCCCCGCGGGTTGCATGGTGATCCCGAACGTATGGTCAGTCATACATACCTTCCGAGAGTATTCGGCGACCATTGACTCACACTACTACACGTCCTATCCGCTTCAGGGCAATGTCGCGCGACGCCAAATACTATCCAGAACCTGAAGAGTTCCGCCCTGAGCGCTATCTCGGAGTGGACACAGAGGCGGGTGACTATCTGCTCCCGAACAACTTTGCGTTTGGATTTGGACGCAGGTATGTGCCACCTACGGCGTCGAGCGCTTCCTTTGCGGCGCTATGCTGAACACCATGTACGTTCGTCCTATATCCCCCTTCCTTTTTCACCCTGCATGTATCAGGGCTTGTCCGGGACAAGCTCTCGCAGACGCCAGCGTCTGGCTCGCGATCGCGAGCACAATGGCGCTGTTCGATATCCTGAAGCCACTCGACGAGTCCGGGAAGGAGTACATGCCTCCAGCAAAGTTCATATCGGCTTTCGCAAGGTCAGCTTCTACGCGGCGTTAGGCTTGAATAATCAGGAACCATTCACTCACCTAAGTGTGTTCAATATAGCGAGCCGGCGCCGTTCGGGTGCAGAGTCGTCCCTCGGTCCAACAGTGCGGTCGCGATCTTGGATCACCTGGATGTTGGGTTCAACAACGCAGCTTGAAAGCCGTATCGCGCTTTGAATCAGGTGTACGTATTTTCTGAGGAGATGTCTGTTGTATTTGGCTCGTGATAACTGTCGAGCTCGCGCTCCGGTCCCGTATACCCGGCGTCTACGTACCATCTAGTACGATCCCGCGCGATGCATACGATAGTGGCGTCTCCCTGTTCTCTTATACCTCGCCTGCCCCGTATGCACGCCTTACGCGTTTGCTTCCCACCCCCACCTTTCGTCACTCGTTAATACACCGCGCAAACGCGCCGTTCGCCTTCCGCTCTCGTCTCGCGCACTCGCTCGACTCGTTCGACTCCCTCGCGCTCGCTAAGCGCCCGTCGCTCGCGCACCGAATCTCACAATGTCTTCGTTGATATTTCGCGTAATTGATGGTACGTAGCAACAGATGATAGTCGATTGGGTAGATGGATTCCGGTTGCTCTTTTTGTATTGCGAGGCGTACCTGGCTTGTGTGAGGTTGACGATGGCGACCGTATGCTCGCACTGGCGCGGGTCGTCGGGCTCTTGTACAGTAGGAATGCGCGTTCTCGAGTGTAGTGAATTCAAAGTCCATATTCCCACGCCGCCGCGATGGCCATTACGTACCCCACAACTGTTGACCGCGCTCTCTCTCTCACTCCCTGCTCTGCCCTCGACAATCCTCGATATCATCTTCGCTGCAGGCTCTAGTATCTGCATCGGCTCACATACCTCTGTCTAAAGACAGCGCTACCTAGTCAATGTCTGAATGCGGCGCCTCACGGAAAAGAGCTCGGGTGGAGTCTCTGGAGGAGCCGGTGCGGGACGAAGAGTTCTGGTTTGAAGATGGGACTGTCACTCTGGTCGCTGGCGACATACAATTTCTGGTCTACAAAGGCATACTCGCGAACAGCTCGCCGGTATTCAATGATATGTTCTCCCTGCCGCAGCCTCTTGATCACGACGATTCGCATGGGCCAACTCCTTCGGCTATACCTGTTGTGCATCTGTCTGATTCCCCTGCGGACCTGCGTTGTCTCCTCCGGTTGCAGATGCCAGGAACGGACGCGAGGTTCTCTTTTCCAAGTCGTTTTCACGAAATCTACGAAGCTGATAACATCCATCTACAGACCTTTCGCCGCAGTAGACCCTTCGTTTCAGACCATATCCGCATGCATACGTCTCGGGCACAAGTATCAGATGGAACATCTGGTCCTGCAGTCCCTGGAATACCTCTCGGCCTACTACCCGGAGGATCTCAAAACGTTCATACTCTCGGACACGCACATCCCTCCGAACTTCTCTCCCGAGCACGCTGTAGGAGTGGTGAATCTTGCTCGTCTGCTGGATGAACCTTCGCTCCTTCCAACTGCCTTGCTTGCCTGTTGCCAACTGTCAGGCCCCACTCTCGTCGCGGGATTCGAGCGGGAGGACGGGTCTCGCGAAACCCTCACGCCAGAGGACCTCGGACTCTGCATCCAGGCGAAGGAGTCCCTCATACGCGCCTCTGTAGGCCTTGCGCTGCGTGTATGCGCGCCTGCCGCCTCCCACAAGTGCGACTCGGGGGAGACGTGTGGGCGGGCGATACAGGCGTTCTACAACTCTATCGAGACGCGGAAGGACCACCTGACGTCCGTCAACCCGTTTGTCGACTGGCTGAAACCCTGGGCCGACGGTGTTAAGCGTCGGACGGAGGCCCCCTGTAGCCGGTGCATCATCGCATTTGCGGCAAGAAATGAGATGGAACGACATGTGCTTTGGGCGCGACTGCCTTCGATTCTAGGTGTAGAAGTTGCCGGATGGGCTGAGGTTTGGCAGGTGCTCGCGGCGCAGGTAGCGGGCCCATAAGCATCTACAACCGTGATTCACTTCATTGGTGCGGGATATCTGTATTCGTGTATGCGCAAGCCTTTTTCTACGACTCGCGCCGTTGATAGGTATGTGTGCGATTACATCTACTCTGACAACTGCATGCCCTGACTCCTGACGCTATACGCAAGTCTACGCTGTATCCATAGACCTGCGCAATCAACGCTTGGGGCGGGCCGCCCGCGGCATGCCGTAAACCTGTCAATGCGCAGGCGTCACCGGCCTGACGCGCTCCGCCAACATCCCAATTCGACACTAGCACAGCTGTGCATGTCTTTATCATGCGCGTAGCCATTGGCGAGACGTCGCGCTCGTATACGTGTTTCGGCATATAATAAGGCGCGACGCGAGCCTAGTACGCCCTTCCCCCTTCTCTGTCGCTCTCTTGTTCCTCGTCTCTGCTCACGACTTCCTGTCCTTTCTGCACGCTCCCGCAGTGACAGCGGTTTACCTATTCCAAGACAAGATGGGCGCCGACGATCTGAACAAGGTACGTGCTGCGCTGGTTTGATTTCGAAAACCGGCATCTTTAAGCGCAGGGGTGCCGAGCTAACCTTGGCTTCTTCTTGACTTCACAGACGATCCTCACGTCGTTCCTCATCTCGTTCTTCCTGGACTGTCTCTTCTATGGGATATTCTTCGTCGCGTATGCTATCACGATGTGGCTCTTGCTCTTTGCTGCTCGCCGGCGCAAGGGCCAAAGCAGGAGCCGGGACATCGCGCATGCCGGACTGCTCACGGTGATGCTCGGGCTAGCTTTCGTGGTACGTACCTGCTCAACTATCGAGGCACGAAAATTTCTGACCGTTCAACGCGCTGCACCGCACGCACAGTACCTCGTGTTGGACGTCGTGGTGAACATTCATGCGTTCGAGGGCGATGGTGGCAACCTTGCTGCCGCAGAGGCGGTCTTCGTCGTCAGTAACCCGGAGTCGCTCTGGGGTCCAAAGCTTGGGGTGCTCGTCACACAGATGATTTTGGCGGATGCATACTTGGTACGTGCATGCAGGCAGCTCCTCGATTCGTCGAAGTACGTTCTCACGACGTCTCCCCAGATATACCGGGTGTATGTGGTTTACAGCTCGTCCTTGGTCGTAACTGCTGCACCAGCGTTCTTTCTCGTATGTGAAGCAGGTAAACCCATCCAGTCCCGCCACGAATGAGTGTGCCCGTCTCACCTTCTGCGTAGCGTTCGGCTTCACTACTGTGCACTACCAGATCCATCCGGGAATAGCAGCGATTCCCGAGATCATGTCCATCCTCTTCTTCGCCTCCTCCCTCGTAACGAATGTGTTGTCAACCGGTACGTACCCCCGCCCCTTATTCCGCAGCATCCGCATACCGACCGTAGTGGTTGCACGACAGGCCTGATTGCCGGGCGAATCATCCGCTCGAACCGGCGTGTGCGCGAATTCCGCATGTCTGGGGTCGGGCGGACCGCGAGCCGGGGCTCTGGGGTGGTCGACATTATCGTGCAGTCCGCCGCGGTGTACTCGTGCGCGCTCATCGTCATCCTGATCGCGATGTTCACCGCGACTGTCCAGCCGCTCGTGGTGCTGGGTGTGCTCCCGTCGCTCGCGGTGAGTGCGCGGCGTTCTGTGTGCATCAGCTGCCCTTGCTGACGGTGTTGAATTTGTCTGCTGTAGGGTGCTGTGTTCTCGGCAGTCATCATTCGCACGCGCCTTTCGGACGCGACTTCTCCAGAGGTTCACCAGGTCGACTTCCGAGGACAAGCGCGGCTCATGGTCCCACAGAGGGTCGGCACAGGCTTGTCGATCGTAGTCTCAAGGGAGATCATCTCGAGCGACGATGCCAAATAAACCCTCGCAAAATCTCGCGACCCGCTTGTTCTATCGCTTGGGCCCATTTCTGCCTACTACGGCGCTCCCGAGGTAGCATAGCACCATCTCGCAGATGTATTACTGTACGCATGTTGTCTAATTCGCGGGCATAATGCTCTTTGCGCCTGCTTCCTTGAGAGTTTGCCACGTGTGTGTGATCAACGTTATTCAAATTTCAGGAAAGGCACGACGCATTACCCTTAGGCCTGTACTTCTGTGTGTTGGTTTGTCACATACTCTTCAGCAATGAGAGTCCTCCAAATAGTTGGAAAGCCAACTTGAAGGACATTCGCGGGATGACCGCGTGAGCGGCATTTGAACTGGCCACGTGGAGGTGGCAGGCGGTGCTGCCGTTGGCTGAAGAGGCGCCGGCAGACAAAGCGCGCTTGTCCTCTCCCCTCATCTTCAGCGTCTCAGCTTCAACAAAACTCTCGTAACCGCGCGCGTTCAAGCCTTCGTTCTTGCCATCATGGAGGGCCAGAAGCCTGCTGCTAAGTACGCGCTGTCCTCATCCTACGCTTCGCACACTCTTAGCCAGGACCCGGACGCCAGGAAACGCAAGATCACAGACAAGAACCTGCCAAATGCACTGCTGCAGTCCCCAGAGTTCGCCGAGGATTCCGCGATGTACCGCGACCTCCTGCAGATGGAGCGCAAGCTCGACTGGACGATGACGCGCAAGCGCGTGGAGGTGCACGACGCGCTGCAGCGTATCATCCCTGTGAGTTTCGTCAAAGTCGACGCTGTGATTCGCAACGAATGAATGGTGCAACAGGCTACGCGCACGCTGCGGATATTCCTCAGTCACACCGTCTCAGGTCAGGCCTGGCAGCGCGAAGGTCTGGAGGGTGACGCAGCAAAACCGAACCTGGAGACAGGAGAGAACATTCCCGCGTGGCAGCTCAAGATAGATGGTCGAGTGCTGGAGGTACGTGGCGCCATTCTGGGCGTATGTCCATTCCACCCATGTTTCGGCGTCCGCGAAGATCCCAAACCAGAGAGCCAAAGACCGCGTGCCACCGCGGAAGTTCTCTACTCTCATCAAACATATGATTGTGGAACTCGACAGGGACACCACGCTCTACCCCGATGGTAATATCGTGGAGGTATGTTTCAAAGACTCGTTTGATCGTGAACGCCCAACCTCATCCCCTACAAGTGGATACGATCTCCCAACCAACCAGCGCAAGATGGGTTTACCATTCGTCGGAAAGGTGATACCCCCACGAAGGTTCGGATAGTGATGCATCTGGAACAGCAGCCAGAGCAATACAAGGTTCATCCTGAACTTGGTGCGTGCCCCACTCCAACTTCCCTCACTCGAGAGTTCCAGTTTATGGTTATGTCGAATCAGGCAACGTTCTGGGAGTGAAGGAGGACTCTCGAACGGGCGTGATCCAGGCATTGTGGAATTACATCAAGACGCAAAATCTCCAGGACAAGGTCGACCGCCGCGTCGTTCGCGCGGACGCGCGTCTCCGTCCGGTAAGACTTTACCTTGCAATAGAACCCGCTATATGCTGACGGCGCTCTGGCAGATCTTCAACGCGGACACTGCATACTTCCAGCATCTGCCGGAGCTTGTGAACCGGTTCCTGTTGCCCCCCGATCCCATCGTGCTCCACTACACACTCAATCCCAACCTACCGCCACCTGAGAAACCCAGCGCGTGGGACGTCGAGGTAAAGGTCGACGACTCGAACTTGAAGGCGCGCATGCAGCACGTTGTTGTGAGCATGGCGCAGGACTCCGCTCGCGACCTTACCAAACTCGACGAGGAGGTAAGCGCGAGCACCTTCGACCTGCAACTGACGACTGACGTCTATTCATCGCGTAGATCGCACTGCACATCCAGTCACTCAACAACGCCCACATGAAGCGCACGTTCCTGCGCGGGTTCGCGGACGACCCCCGCGGGTTTGTCCAGACGTGGCTCGCGTCACAGTCGCGCGACCTCGAGAGCGTGCTGGCGAGCGGCGCGAGCGAAGGCGCGACGGTGCGCCAGGAGGACCTGAAGCGCACGGAGTTCTTCCGGCTGCCCTGGGTCGAGGAGGCGGTCGCGATCCAGGAGGGCATGCGGCTGGCGTCGAAGTCGGGTATTTGATGTGGACCGTTTTTGTCGCCGTGGTTTGTACTGTACTGTTCCGTTGTTGTATCGCTAATTGCTATGTTTTGTTGACTCGAGATTGATTATTAGTGCTTGTACTGATCCCTCAAAGATAGCTTAACTGCGTTCGCAACCTTTGCGATATGGAGCGCTAGCGGCACACGCAACACTGTTGGCTGCATGTCTGTCAAGATTACGGATCACAAGCAAGGGAACACCGTCAACTGATAAACATGAGCACTCACATGCACAGACTTGCTGTTGAGTTGATGGGTTGTAATGTCAGGTATACTACCAGGCTTTTGACTCGTATCGCAGATAGGCTATTCAGACTTGTGTGAGAGAATTTTTTAGAGATGATGGCTCGCGAAGTATCTACTTGATATACACATTCCCGAACGTTCTTGGCTTCTTGATGCCTGGAGGAAGGAAAAGAGTAAGTACTTGAATATGGATCCACTGGTCAGAAGGCAACAATCCAGGTAAGTCGATATGTCAGATATGTCAAAGTCATGGGCAGTACGTATGTGTTGACACTGTGTCGACCAGGAACCACAGGCGTGTAATATGGAGCAACATGATCCCTGACTCTGCCCGCAGCGATCTGTCAATGCGATGGGTTGAGAGTACTTGAGGCAAGTGAACGTGAAGGTAAAAACGACGCGACTGCAACTCTCTGCAACTTTGCCACACCGGGCGCCGGGCGCCTGTGGCGCGTCTACTCCTTCGACCCTACCACCACCGTCGCCATTTCATAATCCTACGACCATCCCTAAAGGCGCTTCGCCACCAGTATAGAGAGCGTGCGCGCGCCTTAGTGTTGCATGCGGATCTCGCACTGGATGACATTGTCGACATTCACCGAAGCCGAGCGCGCTCACTCCTGTCAACACTGACGCACAGTCGCTCTCCTTTATACGCCAGTCTGCGTTTTCCAAGCTTCACGAGCAGGTAAGTAATCCCTGATCAGTCAGCTTCGTTGCGATGCACATGTAACATAGGCTGATTTCTGGATATTGGAAATCTGAGGAGATTATGACGAAACAATCTGCCCGGAAGGCAGTATACTCTATTGTACCGGGAGTCCCCAGCATGCAGCTGACTCTTCCGGTCAGTGATGCAGCGAGCCTCGTACACACGCCCCATACGCTAGTTGAAAGAACCACCGCGTGGACAGCGGCTTGGCACCGACTGCGTCGGCGGTGCATGGGGGGTCAGATGAGTTCTCAGAATCCCCGGATGGTATGCGACGCTCCGCATCGCCTTCATTGCATGAAGATGCGGGGACTTTGGCCGCGTCCGGGGTGAGTAGCATGTGGTCTCAGACGGCATTGCTACCTAACGGGCGTTTGGATGTGTTGCGTTCGCGGCCCAACACGGCTTGGGGAATGGTGACCGGCCGCGGAAGTTTTCGTCAGGGACCAGGAACGACGCTGCTGCAGCACCGAGGTATTTGTGGAAGTCGCTCAATGCAGGACGCTGGGTGCAGGTCCTGCTAAGCGTTAGGTGAGTGAGATTGATCCTACCACGGTAACTTACTGCTCCCTTCAAGTTCTCACTGCGGATGCGAGAGGCGTCAAGATAAGTTGAATAGAATGCAGACAACGTTGATCCGTGGTCTCATATTGGCGCCCTCGCTGTCACTGCTCGCGACCGTACGATCCTGCGCCCGGCATTGACGAGTTCGACAGATGCGGCCCGTACAACACCCCACATTGGCAAGTCATGTGTCCGTTATGCCACGCCAAGCTTCATCTTTCAGTAGGTATCCGTCGCCGTCTTCTGCACGCCTCTTCGGCATCACTGCAGCTGACTAGTTAACTGCCTGACAACGTTTCGCTAGCCGTCCATCGTCGGAGATGTATGTAAACCAGCAGGTAGTACGTTATGGGCTTGATATCCGCGCAGCGGTGGCGTCATGGACGCAGCAGGTTGCGCACCTACTCAACAACCACTACAGGCACGTCTGTGGACATCTATTCAAGCTGTCGGCATGCAGAGACGGTTCTAAGTTTAGAAAGTCACTCTCCAAGTAAGCAAGCCTTTTGCTCCTTTCGCCATCGTATACGAACAGCACGCCAGATCTGACGGAAGTGTGATCGGCCAGATATACTACACCGTCGGAAGAGCACCGCGTCGAGCTGAATAAGACTTCGGGACTCGTAAGAAGGTACCCCTCCTCTGGCGCTATAACACCGCTGCGGAACGGCCTCCCAGCTTCTTCAGGCCTCCGGGCTCACGATGACTTGATAGGCGTACAATATCTGATGGTTAGCAAAAACAGACGCATGATTGGTGAGTTACCCCATTATAACAACAATGTGGGCTCTTCCCGACGCGGAATGGGCTCAAACCACGCCCAGTAAGCCAATAGTCGGGAGTGGAGCTCTCCGGTTCGGAGGCCGCGCATCGACACAAAGCGGCGTCACACGTCGAGTGTCAACTTGAGCGGTGATGTGGATGCTTCTACATGGGAGAACCTCTCAGATGTTCGACCGTAAACGCGGAAGCTCATACAGAATTAGGCGTCGGCACTTGAGGCCTTGAGGGGCGAGATTCACCTGGTGCTCCAGAGTACCGACTTCGCGGGAACGGCTTCCCTTCGCACTTTACCACTTCCCGAAGTTCAAAACCTCGACAATCGAGACAGACTATCGACTATTTTCTCCCGTCCACGAAGGCCGGAAGCAGCCGTGAACAACCTCGCCAGGCCGACGAGCATTTTGTCAGGAAGGTTGCAGAAGATATCATCGTCCCGTACAGTCGTCGCCACTTGATGCGGCGTGGGACGTCCGGTGCCTGGGTCCGCACGATAAGCCCCGCGGCCTGTCATCAAGAAGAAGCACCATGTGCTGCAACACCGCAGGACACCGCTTGCGGTGGGGTCACCGGAGCGCCAGAGTTCGTAAGTTCGATACATATACGCGAGTGGAGAATTCACACACCTGCAGGGTCACTCCCCCCAGTCGCAGCCACAATGTCCGACGCTGTCAACGCACTGCCGGATATCGACGAGAAGCACTCCGTCTCCGACGACTCCATCGACAAGCAGGCGGTCGATGGCCCCGAGCTCACCGACGATGCCATCATGGCGAAGGAGGTTGAGGAGTTCGAGGAGCGTCTCCAGAACGACGATGCAACTGAGGAAGAGTACCGGGTGCAGGAGGCATACGAGGTCGCAATTAAGGTCAGTGCTCCCAGTCGTTTTCGCATGTCCGCGCAATGAACATGTATGCTATAGGTCCTGTCCACTCGGGATGACCCTGACCTGCCGTCGCTCACCTTCCGCACGTTCTTCCTCGGTCTCGGCTTCTCAGCCTTCGGAGCGTGAGTATCACCTTCAGTCATGCCGAAATAATCCCTGGCTTACACCGCGACACAGGGTATTGGCGCAGATCTATTACTTTAAGCCGCAGACGCTGCTTGTCTCGACGCTGTTCCTGCTGGTCTTGTCATACTGGTTCGGCAACGGCATGGCGATGCTTCTCCCTTCCAAGGGCATCTTCCGCTGGATCAACCCTGGTCCCTTCAACAGTGCGTTCTCTTTATCTTACTTCGTGACGACGTCTCTAACGGTCCTGCAGTCAAGGAGCATGTCGCGATCATCATCATGTCGTCCACGGCCGCAGTATCGGCGACCGCAATTCAGGTCATCTCCGTTCAGGACTGTGAGTGTTGTCCGCTGCGTCCCGATAAACTTCACTGACGGGCGTGACCATCGCAGTGTACTACAACAACAAACTGGTAAGCTTGACTCTTAGGCAGGCGCTTCTATGCACTCGTTAACGCTACTGTAGAATGCAGGTCTCGCGATCTTCACTCTCATTGGATCGCAACTGCTGGGGTATGGTTATGCTGGCTTGTTGCAAGACATGCTAGTCAAGCCTACAAAGTGTTTCTGGCCCTCTACAAGTACGTCTATAGCGTGTAGCCCTTCATGCTCGCATCTAACATGATCACGCAGTCTCCACTGCCAATCTCTTCCAGGCACTTCACTTCGATAACCAGATGACGTCCAAGCGTGTGCGCCTCTTCTGGACCGTCTTCTGTGTCATGTTTGTTTGGGAAATCATTCCGCAGTGTAGGTCCATTGTTTACATGACTCACCCGCCATCCGCCAACATTCGTGACACTGAAACTGTCACACAGGGATCTTTCCCCTCCTCACTGGCGTCTCCATCTTCTGCCTGGCAAACAACACGAGCACGGTGTTCCGCAACGTCTTTGGTGGCGGCAGCAACAACGAGGGCATGGGCTTGCTCTCCTGGAGCTTCGACTGGAATCTCATCGGCAGCGACTGCTTGTTCAACCCGCTCTGGCTTCAGATCAACCAGGACATTGGTATCTTTTTCACCTACATCCTCATGGCTGGTGTGTACTACGGCAACCTGTGGAGAGCAAAAGACTTCCCCTTCATGAGCCAGGCTATTTTCGTGAGTTATCTGGTCAAGAACACCCGTCTAATTACTTATTGATGTGCGAATATAGGCTGAAGATGGTACTCAATATAACCAAACCGCTCTCCTTACAAACGGCAGGTTTGACCCGGAGAAGTATCAGGAGCTTGGGGTATGTGTGATTCTTTATGGGCCGCACAATCAAGTCTGATGGACGACATATTCGCAGCCCGCGTTCTTCTCCGCCACCAATGCTCTCTACCTCATGACTTCGAACTTGTCCCTCGGAGCGACCGTCACCCACGTCTTCTTCTGGCATTGGCAGGACATCAAGCCGTTCCTGAAGACGTTCAACCCGTGGAACAAGACGCCGCTCGTCGTGCACGACCCGCACTACGAGAAGATGAAGGTCTACAAGCAGATCCCGCGCTGGTGGTACTTCGCGCTGCTCGCGTGCGCGTACGCGATCGCGCAAGCGACGAACTACGGCGGGCACTCCGGGTTGCCGTGGTGGGCGCTCACAGTGATCCTGCTCATCTCGCTCGTGCTCTCGCTGCTGTTCGCGACGCTCGCAGCGACGATCGGCTTCCGCGAGTTCAGCTCGTCCGCGAACGGCTTTTACCAGATGATCACCGCGTACATGGTCCCCGGCCAGCCGATTGCCAACATGTACGGCGCGCTGTACGGCCAGCACCCGCAGGGACAGTGTATCGCTATGCTGGGCGACCTGAAGCTCGGCCAGTACGTGAAGCTCCCGCCGCGCGTCACGTTTTCTATGCAGATTCTGGGTACCGTCGTCGGCGCCATCCTGAACTGTGAGTGAATTCTATGCGTACAGCGGTCGGGCACTCGCTCATAGAGTCCTCTCTTCAGACGTCATGATGGTCACTATCATTGACTCCAACCGCGAAGGTGTGTACCCCACCATTCGGCATGAGGAGTACAGTCTGACCGCGATCCCATAGCCCTGCTCTCTATCTCTGGCACCCGCCTCTGGTCCGGGCAGAACGCGCAGAGTTACAACTGTGAGCACCCCACCTATGGCACCACTTTCGTTTGTATTGCTGCTGACGCTCGCCCGGCACAGCCAACGCTATCTCATGGGGTGGTCTTGGCCCCGAGATGTTCGGCACAAACGGAGTGTACCACATGGTACCTATCTGCCTCGCCATCGGCGTATTCCTCCCGCTCCCCTTCATCGCCGCCGTACGTCACTTTCGGCCTAAACTCATCACCTGCGGACACGGATGCTGACGGCGATGCCACGCCTCCCAGTGGTACATGTGGCCCAAGGCCGGGTTCGAGAACTTCAGCACACCGATCATCCTGCAGTACTCCTGTGTGCTCTCCGTCGGCGTGAACACGCAGGTGAACCCGGGCATGGTGATCGGCCTCTTCTCGCAGTGGTGGGTGCGCACGCGCTACCCGCGCTGGTTCACTAAGTACAAGTACGTCATCTTTGCTCTTCCTGTTTACAGGCGCGCGCTGATGCGCCGGGCGAATGTAGTTACATCTTGGCCGCGGCGCTGGATGGTGGCACCCAGGTCATCTCGTTCATCCTGAACTTCGCCGTGTTCGGCGCGTCCGGAACGCCGCACGCCTTCCCGGAGTGGTGGGGCAACGACCTCAGTCTGTCCGCGGACCGATGTGCGCTTCCAGATAACTAGTGCTGATCTGTGGGGTCTTGTATTTTTGTACGTTTAGGTAGCGTGTTTCAGGGTGCGAATAGGAGAAGGTCGCTGTTCACCACTCTTTGAAAACTCCCTGCCATGGTTCCAATTATCCACAGACACGGTTCTCAGAATACTCCATGTATGAGGTAGTGCGGCCTTATCGTTGTCGACTTGGTTCAAGAATTCGAGCATATGAAAGTTAAGGTTCACTTGCGGGCGCGCCGCGCGATGGGCGCGTTTTTCAAGACGCGCTCTTGTTCCTTTCTTCCTCCACTGCCATTCGCATATTTGCACATGACTTTGCCGGTACACATTCGCTCAGGATTCATCCTTACCCTGTCTTTATATGACACCCCAGAACACAGCAGGTACTAAGGACTGGTAGTGGCTGCTGCCTACGAGAACGTTCAAGTTCAAGATGCTAACCCGCTGAGCAGTGACAGATTGTGTATACCCGCATCAAGTCTCTGTTCACGAGGGCTCACACGTTGGAGCGGCACCAAGGTGACATGCGCCAATGCTGTAGCCCCGACCTGAACAACGTTATCGTGGTACATCTCAGCGCATCGTATCACAGTAAACCAGTGAGTCTCCTATCATGTCTGGAGCCTCTCAGCGCTTGTGCCTTGGTAGCTACTAGTCCCTAACAGAACGTTAACCTACACAGGTGGACGGTAGACTCAACAAACAAGCCACCAATGCAAGCAACCCTGCGTCGCTGCAAGAGTGCATCATATCGCGCTGGCCAGCGCTGCCGGTCTGTGCGGAACAGCCGTTTGCATTCGCCATATTGACAGGAGCCGTACTAGCTCACAAAAAAGCAAGGATACCATGCCGCCACAACAATTCAAGCAGGGTTCGAGTACTCCCGCTGCGTGGAGGTGTCAGCTGAAACGCGGCATGACCTTGCTGGACTGCCTCTCAGGCCCTTGTGGGGGTGTTCCCCAGCAAAGAAGGCAAGTCAGAGGCGCATGCAATACCCGGGCCCCGCGGGTATCTCTCCGGGCGGCCCCCTCAGCGCTCGCCCAGAAAAATGTGTGGCTGCGACGTCCGTAATGGCAGGTCCATACCAACACTAAAACCGTTCACGTGTTGGCGTGAGCAGTTACATGTTCGGGTTTGTGCAGAACCTACCTGCAAGGGCGCCATTGCAAGGTACTCCTCGGAGCAAAGGTGTACTAGTAACTCACCGGTATGTAATTCAGCATCCTACTATGTGACCCTTTTTGGTTCATGCCCGGCGGGCTGAACATCAGTCACATGCTCAATCGCGGTCTTCTATAACTGCTCTGAGATGAAGAGAGGACTCCTCATCCTGTTTTCCGGCAACATGGAGACCTTTCCCCCCGTTGGGCTGGTGTCCGTGCTTATACTCGCCTTCTACTTGTTCCTCTCCAAGATCTTCACAAAGCGTACCAACTTCCCACCTGGCCCGAGGGGACTCTTCCTGCTCGGAAGTGCGCACAAGCTCCCGCTCCAATATCAAGAAAAGACCTTCTTGAAATGGGGCAAGCAATATGGTGCGCGCGCGTCTCACGCGGGATACGGCGTAGAATCCAGGTTGACCAGTGCACCTGCAGGAGACGTCATCTACCTCCGCCTGTTTCGGACGCCGATAATCATACTCAACTCGTTCCAAGCCGCGACAGACCTGCTCACGAAGCGCAGCGCGACATACTCAGACCGGCCCCGCATGGTCCTCCTTAGCGAGCTGTGCGTCCCTTTATCATTAGGTCCCTGTGTGGCATGACAGACTAACGCTTTCTCATCTCGGACCTCAACGTACCGACGTCTCGGGACGCTGTCGCACAGAATGGACCAGGCGTCGGCCTTGCCCCCTATGCCGTACGGTGACCGCTTCCGCAAGCACCGTCGGTGGATGCACGACGCAGTCGGTTCGCGGGAGCGACTGGCTACTCTGCGCTCTGTTCAGCTTCGCGGGGCACGCGCACTGCTTCGGAACCTCCTGCGCACGCCCGAGCATTTTGTCGAGCATCTACACTTGTGCGTGCGCCCCAACCTCTCCGTGGGTATCTATGGCTGGGGCTGACGTTCGCGAGATTAGATATGTTGCGGGCACAATGCTCGAGGTCACGTACGGCAGGCGGATCACGTCTATGAGCGACGAACTGGTTGAGGTCGCGGACCGCGCGATCGACGGTATCAACGCCGCTGGGTCGCCCGGGTCGAGGATCGTGGACTTCTTCCCCATTCGTGCGTGCGTTGCGAGAACCGCGTCGTGCACGCAGAACTAACGCATGGTCACCGCACAGTGAAAGAGATTCCGGTGTGGATGCCGGGCGCGGGGTTCAAGCGGCGAGCATTGGGTGTGCGGAGGTACGTACGGGCCTGGAAGGAGACAGGTTACCGGGTTGTAAAGGTCGCTCTGGTCAGTCCACTGTACAGCATTGAGTCTTGGTTTGGGGTACTTACGGTGTACATACAGGCCCGCGGAGATGCAATTCCGTGCGTGACTGCCGCATTACTTAGGGAGATAGGGGACGCGTCGACGCCCGAGGACGAGGAGGACATCAAGGGGTTGGGGTGCAGCGTCTATGGAGGCAAGTCTTCTCACCATAAGCGCAATTGTGAGTTAACTTACGTTGATTATGTCGTGTAGCTGGCACTGAAACAGTAAGTCGCCGTGCGCATTTGTCGAAATGGATGCTAAATATCCTTGGGTTGTAGACCCTCGGTATGATCACGACATTCATGTTGGCAGCTATGCAGAACCCCGAGGCGGTCTGCAAGGCCCAGGAAGAGATAGACCGCAGAGTGGGGAAGGAGAGGCTCCCGGACTTTGGCGATCGCGCCTCGTTGCCGTACCTAGATGCGTTTCTCGAGGAGCTTTACAGGTGCGTTCAATCCGTAACTAGGACTCCACAGAAAAATGGCCTTACTTCGAGAATATCGTTGCCAATAGGTGGGCATGCCCACTGCCTTTATGTGCGCAATTTCCCTTCTCAGCTCGGAGTTCCCGCGTTGGACTGACATGCATGATCACAAGCGCTCCCGCATCGCGCGATGGCCAAGGACGAATACCGCGGATATACGATCCCCGAGGGAAGCATGGTCATGCCCAATATCTGGTACGCCGCGTGGCAGCGTCTAAGGCAGGCCATCTAACCCTTCCGCTGAATACGCAGGGCGATGTCGCGCGACGAGGACGCCTACCCCGAACCGGAGGAGTTCCACCCTGAACGCCACCTCAACAAGGTTCGAGATGGCAGCAACCCACTACCCAGTGGGTATGTCTTCGGGTTCGGCCGCAGGTACGTGTTAACCCTGGCTTCTTCAAGACGATCATGTTGATGGGCGTCGTGTCAGAGTCTGTCCGGGACAGGCGTTTGCGGACGCGACGCTATGGATCGCCATGGCAGGCATCATGGCATCGTTTGACGTTCGACCGCCTTTGAACGCTGAGGGTGTTGAGGTTTGTCCCCCGGCGGCCTTCCGGCCGGGATTCACGAGGTGAGTGCGAGAGCATTTTTTCGCAAGAGAGACGGGTTGACTTAACTTCGCGTGCAGACAGCCGGAGAAGTATACATGCAGGATCATACCGCGCTCGGGAAAGATGGCGAAGCTGGTGATGGAAGTCGATGAGTGACAACGACGGGAGATACTTCTGTGAGCTTACGTGACACCATAGAACACCTCCTCGGAGTGGATGTACTTGAACCCAGCTTGAATCGTTGCGGCGGCATAATGTCGTCGCGTTCTGTGCGAATATAACCCCTGTCAGTGTGGTGAATGCAGACAATTGTTCCGCACAGACCGGCAACGCTGGAACGCCCGATGTGATGCATGCCTGCAACGAAGCAGGGTTGTTCAACTTTTTCCCAGTGCATTAGTGACTTATTCATGGTCTACTGCGCACCTGCGTGGGGTCAGTCAGAGGCCCGTAGGTTACGGCACGGTTCTACGAGCGCTGCTTCCTCGACATGTTGTGATTCCCCATGTTACTGCGACAACCTGAGAAGTACCGTGAGGACACTGTTTAAGCTTGAAATGCATCGTTGGCGTACGTCGTCTTCGTGCCGCTCCAACGTGTGGGTCTTCGTAAATAGAGAAACTCAATGCGGGTCCACGCAATCTGTCACTCAGCAGGTTGTCATTTTGAACGTCTTCGAAGACAGCGACTCCTGTCAACCATTCTAAGCCGTGTCAGCTGCAACGCCGCATGACCTCCCTGGACTGTATCCGAAGCTCGGTCTAAATTATTCCCTAGGATAAAAGACTTCAAGGTTTCGAACTTGAGGCGCATGCAATACCGGTACCCCGGGGCCCCGCGGGTACCGCCACGCACCCCCCTAGCAAGATGTGTGGCTACGACTCCAGCAGTTCTGTCAGAATATACTCCTCGGAGAAGTGGTGTAGCTCACCGGGATGTCATGAATCGGCGTCCTGTGTGATCTGTTCGGCTCGCGTCCGATGAGCATCGGTTGTATGCTCGGTGGCATCCTGCTATAACTGCACCATGTAAGAAGGGAGGGTGGAGTTCCTCATCCTGCGCCCCAACACCATGGAGAACTATTCCGCTATAGGGACAGCGATCCTGCTCGCGCTCACCTGCCTGTTCCTCTCCAAGATCTTCGCGAGGCGCACGAAGTTTCCGCCCGGGCCTGGAGGTCTCTTCCTTGTCGGAAGCGTGCACAAGCTCCCGCCCGTATACCAGGAGAAGACCTTCTTCGAGTGGGGGAAGCGATACGGTGCGCGTACATCGTGTGCATGCCCGGGGGGAGTCTTGTCTGACGAGCACGCGCGTGCACCTGCAGGAGACGTCATCTACCTCCGCCTGTTCAGGACACCGACAATCGTACTCAACTCCTTCCAAGCCGCAACCGACCTGCTCACGAAGCGCAGCGCGACGTACTCCGACCGCCCTCGGATGGTCCTCCTCGGCGAGCTGTGCGCACCCTTCTACCTGCCCCCCTCACCCTACCACACTTGCTTAGCGACTTGCAGGATGGACCAGGCGTCATCGATACCTCCCATGCCCTACGGGGAGCGCTTCCGCAAGCACCGCCGGTGGATGCACGACGCGGTGGGCTCGCGCGAGCGGCTCACAGCGCTGCGCACGGTCCAGCTGCGCGGGACGCGTACGCTGCTCCGGACTCTCTTGCGTACGCCTGAGCGGTTTGCAGAGCATCTCCATCTGTGCGTGCCGATAGCAACAGTTGCGCGCTGACGCTGACGAGAGGGGACGTAGATACGTCGCGGCGACGATGCTCGAGATCACGTACGGACGACGGATCACGTCCTCGAAAGACGAGCTTGTCCAGGTCGCGGACCGCGCACTCGAGGGCATCAACGTCGCTGGGTCGCCTGGGTCGATGATTGTGGACTTCTTCCCCGCCCGTGCGTATTCCGCGAGCGATGAGGCAAGCTACACAGGTGATTGACGACTGGCGTTTGTGTAGTGAAGGAGATTCCGGTGTGGATGCCGGGCGCGGGGTTCAAGCGGCGCGCGCTGGCGGTGGGCAGGGACGTGCGGGCGTGGAAGGAGACGGGGTACGGGATCGTCAAGTCTGCCTTGGTGAGCTTATTGCACAAGGTTGAGCGAGCTGGGTTTCAGGACTTACGCGCGGGGGTGTGCATGCAGGCCCGCGGGGACGCGGTTCCGTGCGTGACTGCGACGTTGCTTGCGGAGATAGGGGACGCGCGGACACCTGAAGACGAAGAGGACATCAAGGGCCTGGGGTGTAGCGTTTATGGAGGTAGGTGTTCATGTCGAAAGCACACAGCTGAACTCACGTCGTTTGGGCTTCGTAGCGGGGATCGAAACGGTAAGTCCTGTTCCACGAGCCAATGCGGGTGCTGAGTACCCTGGGGCTCTTATAGACTCTCGGCATGATATTGACGTTCATGCTGGCGATGGTGCGGAATCCAGAGGCGGTCCGCAAGGCGCAAGAGGAGATAGACCGTATGGTCGGGCGGGAGCGGCTGCCGGACTTTAGCGACCGCGCCTCGCTGCCGTACCTAGACGCGTTCCTCGAGGAGCTGTACAGGTGTGTCAAGTCAGTAGCAAGGCGTCTGGAAGAACGGATGGGCTTACTCGTCCATAGGTGGAACCCTCCGCTTCCTTTAGGTGCGGGGCGTTTCTGTAGAGTGAATTTCCGCATCTAATGGGCAACGCTTACAGCGATTCCGCATCGTGTGATGGCCGACGACGAATACCGAGGATATACGATCCCCGAGGGAAGCATGGTCTTGCCCAATATATGGTATGAGGCGTGGCAGACTCCATGGCGGGTCATCTAACCTTTTCGCTGAAACTGCAGGGCGATGTCACGCGACGAAGACGGCTACCCCGAACCTGAAGAGTTCCGCCCCGAACGCCACATTGGCGTTGCTCGTGATGGCAGCAACCCATTACCCAGTGGGTACGTCTTCGGGTTCGGTCGTAGGTGGGTATTATGCCTGGTCTCTCCAAGCGGGTCATGTGGATGTTAACCATACGTTGGAGCAGGATCTGTCCGGGGCAGGCGTTCGCGGACGCGACGCTGTGGATTGCCATGGCGGGCATCATAGCGTCATTCGACGTGCGACCGCCTCTGGACGCTGAGGGCGCTGAAGTGTGTCCTCCTGCAGCTTTCCGGCCGGGCTTCACGAGGTGAGTGCACCAGTGATTTTCAGCGAGAGAATGCGATGTAACTTCACATGCAGACAACCAGAGAAGTTTACGTGTCGGATAATACCGCGCTCAGGCAAGATGGCGAAGCTAGTATCGGAAGTTGATGAGTGACAACGATGGGGGATACTTCTATGAATAATTTATCTGTCATACTGTGTGGTTTCGTGGCATTGAATGTGATCTCGAGGAGCACGAACCTTTGTATTGAGCTGTGCCCCTACACAGCCTGTGGTCTAGTCCTGTAGCACAAATAATTGAAGACTGCATGGTGGGCGGACAAGAGAGGTGTGGGCGCCTGGCGGCACAATAAATCACGGGCAGCTCGGCGAGGGACGATCGTCGAACGATCTCTCGAATTCTCGCGCTGGCCAATCAGCGCGCGCGCAGTGTGACGCATTTGGACAGCAAAGGCTTCCCGATCGGATCTGGGGTGATCGTGCCTCGGTAACGTCTGGAGAAGGCGAGTGTAAACCGGGTTGGTCCTCAGCCACGACTACCGTTGCCACTCTCTGCCCTCCAGCGCACCCCTTTCTCGTCGTCTGCGTGCCCCCTGCACCCCCCACACCCTATCGTGCTCCTGGAAGAGCCCCGACAAAGGACGGAATGATGGCCAGCAAGCAGGTGAGCGGCTCTGTCACTGTACGCACAGAGCCAGGAACGCATGCTGAACGCGGACGCTCGTGCGCGGCGCCAGCTGGGCAAGCTGCGACAGGTACGTGCCCGACCTCCTCTGCGCGCTCGACCGAAGGCGAACCCGTCTGCAGCTCGTGGGAGAGGTCATCGCGACACGGGACAAGACCATCCAGTCGGACGAGTTCCGCGAGCTCGAGCATGATATCGAGCTCCGGAGGCAGGGCCTTTCGAAGTGAGTAGTGCCTGTTCTTCTCTTCTCTTCGTATTGCTCTTCTGTGTCCTCGGCGCTGGCGCTGCGAGTGCGTGTCGCGCGACGTCATACGCAGGCAGCTCCTGTCGGGAGTGCGATGCTGCATTGACGGTGCGCAGCCTGCCAGGTTGCCTTGGAGCACGGGCGTCTTGGAGGACTGCCATGTCATCGAATAATGTTGTTGGTAGGGCTAAGCATTGCAAGGCTGAGTATGATGATGATGCTCGTTCTTTGACGTCCCGAAGTCAAAATGCGAGCTTCGTTTGATATAACTCGGACCGAGACGGCCGACCTGACGCCCTTTACGCTGACATGCTTCGGACCGCTCCTTGCGATGTCTGGTTGTGATACGAGATGGTCAGACGGAATAATCATATGGGGAAACCTGTGTTTCGGATGATATCAGTACTGCGGTATAATGACCTGCTCGCAGTCGCGCGGATCCATTCGTGCCAGCTCGCCACAACATATCTAATGCGTTATCGCGGGACTGTCTTCTGGCATTAAGTGCTTCAGGTAACTCTGATTTGAGACTTGGAATATGCACCGACACAGCACGGCGTACACCCATATTTCTGCATAGCGAACTGCGAAGCATCACTCTACTACGTCATCGCTGTTTCACACGCTAACCTGCTTCTTCTCTCAGACTTGACCTCGCGTCCGAGGACTACCGCCACTACCTCCAGAAGAAGAAGTTCTCCGAGGCGATCGAGAATGCGGACAAGCTTCTTGCCATGGACGCGCTCGGCGTCGTCATGATCAAGCACGGCGAGGAGTTCGGCGAGGACTCCGCATACGGGCAGTCGCTCGTGAGCTTCGGCCGCGCACACTGCAATATCGCGTCGCTCCAGGAGAGCTACGCGATCACGTTCGAGGAGTCGTACCTCGCGAACGTGCGGCAGAGCGAGGACGAGATCAAGGAGTACCAGGCGCAGCGTAAGAAGCTCGAGAGTCGACGGTAGGTGTCTGATATGTTTGAAAGGTGGGGGTTTGCTCATGTGCATGTAGACTGAGCTACGACGCGACGGTGGCGAAGCTGGAAAAACAGAGACACGCTAAGAAGGTGCCAGAGAAAGACCGCGAGGAGGCGGAGGAAGAGTTTGAGAATGCCAAGGCTCGCTAGTGAGTGCTGCCTATATCTGCTCAATTCGCACCAGGCTTATCGCCTAACAGCGAGGAGACACTTGAAGACGTGCGGGCGCGTATGTGGGCGATACAGGAGAACGAGGTCGTGCAGCTGCGTGAACTCACGAGCTTCCTCGACCTGGAACTCTCGTATGTGCGGTCGTATATGGAGGAGCTGCAGAAGGTTCGAGATGAATGGATCGACGAGTACGTGTAGCTCGGGGTGCGGAGATCTGATCGCAAACTAATGCTCGTCTTATAGGGAGACACTACGGAAGCTCGGTGCACCCAAAGCCCGCCCGCCACCGCGCCCCGCCCCCGCCTCTCGCGCCGCGTCTCGTGCGGGCTCAATACGGTCCACGAAGTCCTTGAAGAAGACCGGCAATCGGGATTCTGCCGACTCTAGCGATGACGATGCCGCATCGAGCAAGAAGGCGCACTCACGTCGCAAGTCGGAACCCAACGGCAAGCCGCCCTCGCGCCCCGTATCGCGTGCGTCACGGAAGCGCTCGGACAGCGTGGTGACAGCCGCCAGCGAGAAAGGGAAAGACAAAGATAAGGAGAAGGAAAAAGAGAAGGAAGAGAAGGAGAAGCCTGCGAAGAGCTCGAACCGGCTCAGCGTCGCGGGCTGGGCGTCCAGCGCTATGAGCTCCGTGACAGGTCGCGGCAAGAAGGACAAAGATAAGGACAAGTTCGCGGCGCTGCGCGACGAGGACGACACCGAGCTGAGCGACACGGACGAGTTCGGGCTCCCGAAAGGGGCCGCGAAGGCTGCCAAGCGGCGATCGTCTGTGCCCGGTCTTCCGGCAAGCGCGTCGCCCAAGCTGCCGAGCCGCATGCTCAAGTCGCCCTCGTCCAAGGAGAAGGACAACAAGGAGAACGCGGAGCGCGCACAGGGCCGCAAGCGCGTCGTCGCGATACACGATTTCGCCGCCGCGTCGACGGACGAGCTCAGCTTCAAGGTCGGTGAGCAGATCGAGGTGCTCAGCGAGGTCATCGACGGCTGGTGGATGGGCGAGCTCGGCGGCAAGCGCGGGCTCTTCCCGACGACGTACACCGAGGTCATCAACTCCTCGTCCTCGTCCCTGCCCCAGAAACCGCCCGTGCCGCAGCGCCCGCCCTCGTCGCTCTCGCGCAGCCTCGGCCTCGCGCTCGCCGCCGCGGGCGCCGGCAGCCGCAACGGCTCCTCGTTCTCCTCGCTCGAGGACGAGGCGCCCGCACGCCCGCTGTACGCGGAGAGCATCCAGAGCAGCCACCTGAGCGACACGGACGACGAGTCGGGCAGCCTCATGCGCGTGCAGCGCATCGACGACGGCTTCTCCGCGCGCTACACGTCCGCCACCCCAGCTGCGCCGCCCGTCCCCATCCCCATGCGCGCGTCGACGTCGCTGCCCGGGTCCACCTCGGGCACCGCGTCGCCCGCGAAGAAGGCGCCGCCGCCGCCGCCGCCAAGGCGCTCGACGCTCACGGCGAGCCCCGCGGTGACGCCCCCAGCGCTACCGAGCCGGCCGGCGACGCTGCGCTCGAAGTCGTCGCACTCGGGCTCGTCGCTGTCGATCCTCGCGACGGCGGCGGTCGGGGACGAGGAGCTGACGTACTCGCCGTTTGACAGCCCGAGGGACGAGACGATGAAGGTCGGGTGTAGTGAGTTCAAGCAGAACCCGTTCAAGCCGAAGGGGTTCTGCAGCAACTGCTTCCAGACGCACTCGCACCCGTAGGCCTAGGCTCGTGCGCGGGGTATGGGATGGATAGGCGTGTGGGGGAGGAAGGGGTGGATGGGGAGAGCAGGCACGCTCATATATGGACAGATCTAGTTTGGGGTGGTCATTTTGTACTGATACATCTACACGTCGACGCTCGGTTTGCTTTGCTTTGATTTTACTGGTATCCATTGCTAATACGTAACTCTGCCGCTACCCGTGGCAGTCGGCCGCGCTGCTCATGATATCCACGTCCAAGCGCCTCACACATGCACGTTTGCGGCTTGCGCAGAGCACACAACGACATACATGCACAACTGCATACTTACGCGCACATTTTCTAGGTCAGCGTTGTTCTATCGAATAACCCCGGTACACCAATGTTCGCGCGGCAAGAATAGGGCCTCCCTCCAAGGCGATCAAGAAAGCGGTCATAGTATACGTCCAAGAGACCGCGGTGACAGCAGGTGCGCTCTACTACGCTCGTCCGTCCTGCCGTTTACTGAACCTCCTAAAGATCTTCCGGACAGACCGAAGGAAAGCCGGCGGGCCCGGCGTAGACGCTGAACCGTGCCCATAACGCAAGCAGACATGAGCATGCTGACAGTCGCGAAATAATGCCAGTGGGACGAACCTCTTTGACATGCTGCAGCGCTCACGAGAACCTCCAGTTGAGCGGACACGGCGGCCATCTGCGCGGCCATGATGGACATTTGCGCGCGCATCGCATCGTTTTCGCTTCTGAGGGCTTCGATAGCTTTCTTTTGATGGTGCGACTCGTCGATGTGAGGGGCCGCGTCTTCATGGAGGAGAGATGCGTTGGAGCCAGTCGGCGCCGCGATGCCCGTGGATGACTCGGATAGAGGAACAGTTGTTGGATCTCGAGACTCGGAGTTCTACAAAGACCGCAGATGCATCGATGAGCCCTCAGCGCTGCACCGGAGTAAAGCGTGAAACCAGCGTTAACTCACTGGGTGACAGGAGGGCTCGCCCGACGGAATCTCGGGAGGAGTCTGTTCAGCGGCCGTACCCGGCGGCGTACTGCCATTATCAACATCTTCACCCAGTACGACTTGCCACCAGGAAAGGCCGTGTCGGGTTGGGCCGGTCGCAGGAACGGATGCAGGGTCCCAAGCGGCCTATGGCGAAGGTAGGTGAGAACTACCCTTGATCATCTTAGCCAGCACTTACTATTGGCGGGGAGACATCGGGTGGTTGGTCAGGCGGACCTGCTTCATCCTCGTAGTGGATGCCAAGCACGGACGACTCGAAGCCACGATGTCCGATGTCCTCCTGATTGATATTATTTTGCTGTCGCGTATCTTGCAATTGAGGTATGGGAGAGCAGTCCAACGAATTAGCAGAGGAGCTTGCGCAATTGATCGGCTCTGTCAGAGTTGACAGTACACTGGAAACGAGTGCAGGGTACCATGACGAGCACTATACAATGATAGTGAGAGCTAGTTCGGAATGCACGACTCAACATTTACTTACTGGCGACGCAGAGACGTCAAGATGCGTCTCGGAGGGGGAGTTCTCAACGCCGGCTCCTGCGGCACTATACCTTTCCCGATCATTTAAGACTACCCGCCGCCAGGACTCAGAGCGATCGCGGCTGGGGGTACCCAAAGCGGAACTCAGTGTTAGGGCTGTCGATGTCTAAAATGTCGGAGAGGGGACAAAAGTTGAATTCGAGTATCTAACTGCATGATGAGCACTCACCGGCGACGGAGGGATCTCATCATGCATGAGAAACTCCGAGTCGTTTGTGTGCTGCGAAGCAGTGTGCGGGAGGCTGGAGTGCGTGGACGAAGGGGTACTAGGCCCACTTTCGTGGTGTTCTGAATCTGTACTATGAAACTGAGGAATACTGGAAGTTAGCGTCGAGTCTTCGAAGAGTTCAACAAGTATAACTGAAGTCGCAGTCAAGCGCACCTCGTAGGTCGTTCTTGCCATGTCCACCGCACCGCTCAGCGTGATGTTGTTCGACTGTTTGACTTCGGGCACGTATGTATGATCGATACGGGGCACTTGACCGAGTATCTGGTCGATACGGGGCAGACGTGTGTTGACAGCAGTCCCGAGGGGTGTATCGTACTCCAGCGCCGGCAGGTCGAGAAACCCAGTCTCTATGTCTTCAACATAACGCTCCCATTCTTCGATTCCATGGAGGCCCGGCTCGGTCCCAGCTTCGGATTCACTGTCGCGTAGGACTTCCGTAGTTAGAGGCGTTCGGGGTTCATACGGCTCCGAGATTTCCACTCTAAGGGCCAAAGAGTTCGTACTTGTGTCTTCTGCCTGCTTAGATATACCGAGCCGCAGGTATCGGGAAACGGTGGCGTCTGTTCCCGCACAGACGGTATCGACAATGTACGACGCTTCTACTGTACCTGCCCGACCAATCCGGCGGGGGGTTTGGGGTGTGACCGCGGGTCCCGAAGCGGCGCGACCGCAAAAAGCGGCGCGCCCGGCCGCGACTGTGACTGTCCGTACCACAAAGCGGCGCGGTTGCCCCACAGGGCCGCCGGCGGAGCGATTTTGGGGTGTGACCGGCCGCAAATATACGGCCTGGAGCGGCGGAACCCGCTGTGACCCGGGACAACTGCCAAAATGCGGGGCGGCGGGGGTCCTTGTGACCTGTGACCCGCCGGATCGGTCGGGCAGGTACAGTACTAGGACCCCCGGCGAAGTGTGAGTCCTGGAAACTTGAGTAGTCCGAGAGGGCCGTCTATGCGCCGATAGGGTCAGACTGTTGGACCATGACAACCTATGAGCCTCCGTTTTTTGGATGTCGCCCTGTACCAGTGCGAATATCCCTTGTTAAAGTCATCAATACGCGTGACTCAGAACCCACCTGGCAGAAGAGGTAGTAGCTGCTGAAAGAGAGAAGTTGCAGCTCTTGCGGCCAGTACTGCCAGAGCGCGACCCCCAACTTGATGAGCTCACGCGGAGTCTCCGATTTTGGGTTAGGGAGTGTCAACAAGGCGAACTCGAGTTCGACGAAGGAGGGAGAGAGCGTCACAAATAGGGCGCCGTGAGAAATTCTGACCGATTATTAACTCACAGTTACAAACTGGAGGCCTGGCGGAGGCTTTCTAACAAGGATTTGAAACAGTTACTAACAGGTGGGTTATAAACTGGTTATAAATCATTTCTAACAGTATAGAACAGGTTTATAACAGTACAAAATCTCGCCGGGCCTAACGGTCCTGGCGAACACTCTCCACAACCATCGTTGCGAACCTGCGAGTCGAATCCAGAGGGCCGAACGCGTCTGAGTCGTGTTGTGAGTGTACTTATCGCAGGCTGGAGCTCCCGCAGGCAGATCTGCACACGTCCGGTCGATATCGCAGCCGGCCTCGGGCGCGCCGGGCGCTCTGTTTGAGGGGCCTCCATGGCAGGAATATGAGGTTGTGGCCGCTGCGTTGGTCGGTATGCGCTCTCCGGGTTTACTAACTGGTTAAAGTGACCAGTTCTAGTGTCTAGGAGCGTTTCCCGAGCAGTCCTTCGCATGCTCCGCCCTCACGATTATTCACGATTATTCACCGCCTATTCTGGGCCCATGCCTACATCACAGTTACTAACCGGTTTATAACAGGTGTGAACAATTGTTAGTTATAAAATACCCCATTACTCACGGCGCCCTAGTCACAAAGCGCACTTCTGAGATGGCGAATCCAGCGAGCAATAAGTCGTCCCTGCACCGAGAATGGATCATAATCGAAATCGGAGTGTAGTGCAACCAACGTGCTGCTGAAGGGCTAGGGGAAATCCCGATGTTGCGTAGATGCGCCCAAAACTGGTGTGGCAAGCGCGGTACCTCGGACAGGGTGCTGTAGGACTCGGCCACTGGCAAAGAATGATCGGGGCGAGGGAGCAGTAGTTTGATGGGTTGTGGCAGGACGTATTTGAGAAGCTCCAATATCAAGTGACTGGGTAGGCAGAGCGTGTGTGGGAGTACGTGGTCCGGTGTGTCGTCCTGACCAGACGTGGAGAGATCCAGAGTATTCAGGAAAGTAGCCAGTCGTTTTTCCTCAGATTCTTTCCACGAGAAAAGCGGGAGGACGATCAGAGACCCCTGGAAGTCTTTCGCTTGGCATCTCAGAAAAGCAAGAGCACGGACTGGTTTCGTTTGCGTGGGGCGAGGAGGATATACCCGTAACTCGCAAGGTGCATCGTTGTAAAGCGATGTGAGAGACTGCAGGAGTGTCGAATCTGGTAGATCCGTCAATTGGACACAAAGAAGTTGAACGCGAATACCTTCTGGGGTGAAGATACAGTGAAGTGGTGGCGTTTGGAACATCTTCTCCCCAAGACACGAAATGAAAGATGAAGGAGACAGCGATACAATGTCTCTGCACCCCTCGAAATCTGCACTAGATTGGGCGAGGAGACTGGGCCCTGTCGTCAAGCGTCCTTCATACGGGTTCTGGGCTGTGCAGTTGGCGTATCCCCATGCGAAGATGCTCTGGTCCGCGATGGTCCTGATGATCTCCTCCTGGAGACGCAGAAACGCGTTTGTTCCCTCGCCGTAGATAGGGGTGATATGGACTCCGAAGATTCCCATGAGACAGTACGCCTGATCCTCGACACGAGTAGTCTTGCGCTTCGCGGCCCATGACATCCTACACGCGACGCTGACAGACCGTATATCCACCTGGCCTGTGAGGATAGAAACATCGATTCCCGTGATCTGGTCGAGAGTTTCGGCGAGACCGATCTTGGTACCGAAAACTTCCCATCGACGCGTCATGAACACGACGTCATCCGGTGCAATCAGCTCTTGCAGCGTCCATCCTCGCCTGTGCCATTGGCTTGCCCCGAATGGGCCGAATCGCAAATCCTTCGCGGAGCCCGGAGCGTGGTGGACGTCCTCGAGGTAGACATAACACAGATCGGCCAACGAGTACCCACTCCCACATCGACTTGATCGCCTCGGAAAGCTCTGCACTGCTGGACTTGTCGATGCAGCACGAGTCCACCCAGAGGAGTTTGTAGCCTGCCTCGCGGGCGACCTTGCATATGCCCTTGATCTTGTCTGAGAGCTTCGAGTCGCGGTGCCAGAGAAGGGGAGATACCGAGAGCGCTCCGCCACAGGACTGGCAGGGGCAGGGAGCGCACGAGGCGACTCCATCTCGCCGAAGCGGGGAAAGCCTGCTTTGACGTTGGAGCTCTATGACAACGTCATACGTTTGCTCGCCGCCGTTGGCCTCGGATCTCCAGGTATGGGATAGGATTGCGTAACGCGCAGTAGCAGGGTCGTTCTTCAGGACGAACTCGCCTGTGTGCGTGTCCAAGAAACGTGGCATCTGTCTTGCAGTACGGTCAATTCGAAGAGTGATACAACAGGGATCGAAAACTTACTCTCTAATCCTTCATGCGCGTGGAGAGATTGACGAATAGAGGAAGTCAGAGGGTCCAAGGGGAGCAGCAAGGATAGGAGGGAGAGGGAAGGAGGGCATGGAATTAAAAGAGGGCCCCAACTGGGGCGTATATCAGACCACCACGTTGCATACCTCGGTAGTGATGTATGTGGAAATCAGAAGTCTTCACGCCAGGCCCGGGGCTGTTCAGCGGTCCTCGTACCTCGAATACGACAGATTAAGCCCGCTGTCATCGGGATCAATGTAAGACCGACCCATATAAAGTTTAAACGCAATCAGGCATGCACTGTAATTGCTCAGCTCTCAGCGCTGAACAGCGTTGTTGTTGCTTGCACCACACACCGCGCTATGGCAAAACGTCCACTCCTTGGCCTGCTATGACTTTCGCTATTCAGCGAGTTGGGAAAAAAGGTAGATGCATTTCCCAGTCGCCAGAGCGGGAACGCAAAGTCGAGAAACACAGTCTGAGAGGCTCACTGGTGAGTGCTCTCTGCAAAGTTGACTCCAGCGGGGCAAGATCGAGGGCGTGGGAGTGAGTGAGTGAGAAGCGCTTGTGCGCTTGTTCATCGTCACCTTCATGAATCCTTTGGAAAATAATTGAGTATACCGAGTCACTATATTCCATTTTCACAACTTTACTTTATGTTCTGACACTAACAGTGTACTGGGCTCAGGGCGGCGATGAAGGGGATTGTTTTCGCCGCCCATTTAGCGCCTGTAATGCGACTCGGACGTTCTCACGGAGCATGTTGAAGCTAAACGACGCTCTGCGGCTCTCTCTCATATTGCATAACGTCTTATGGCCATCACCAAATTCTCACCCTATCGCGCTATTAGCAGCCGAAGATTTCGCAGCACTCACAATGCATCTTCGGCGACTGGGCCTAACAAGCGTCCTAGGACAGACCAGTCCGGGGACGAGGCGGACAGCGCCGCGGACGACGAAGACTCGACCTCTAAGACTGACGCATCGGACGCATCGGACGCATCGGACGCATCGGTAGGCCCTGCGAGAACACGGGACGAGGAGTTTTGGCTCGAGGACGGAAACATCATACTCGTGGCCGGCGACGTCGAGTTCCGCGTTGTCAAGAGCATTCTCGCCGAACACTCTCCTGTCTTCAGCTACATGTTCTCGCTACCGCAACTCCCGTCCACTCCAGACTCGCCCTCGAACCCATGCCCCGTCGTCTACCTTTCCGACTCGCCGGAGGACCTGAGGCACATTCTGCGAGTTTCAATGCCCAAAAGCAGCACCAGGTGATGAGGATGTTTGCCTAAGTCCGCTTAAGCCGAGCCTGTGACTCACACATATGTATACTCCCAGCCCGTTCGCCTACAAGCCGTCATACCACATGCTCTCCGCAACCCTCCGTCTGGGCCACAAATATCAGATGCACGATCTCGTCAAACACGGCGTACAGTACCTGCGCAAATGGTTCACTTCCGATTTCGCCACGTGGGAAGACCGCCCGCTGGACCACGACAAGCCCTTCGAGCATGTTTACGCCATTGGGGTAATCAACCTCGCCCGTCTTCTCGATGAACCGTTGCTCCTGCCCACCGCGCTTCTCACGTGCTGCACGCTCGGGGCTAGTGTCGTCAAAGGGTTCGATCGCGAGGACGGCACACACGAGAGCTTGTCCCTAGACGACCTCGGCCGCTGCATTCAGGCACGCGCGCGCCTCGTCGAGCACGCGGTGATCCTCGCCGCCACGGTCTTCTCCCCGCCCGTCTCGAATGGCTGCTCGAGCCCACAGCAGTGCCGGGAGGCGCTGCATTCGGCGCTCGCGAACCTGAAGCAGCTTCGGGCGACCAAGGAACTCTTGGAGGCGGACATATTCTCTGGCGAAGTGCCGGGGCTCGGCTGGGGTAATATGGGACAATGCGCGAACTGCCTAGAGATGGCCAGGCGGCGCGACTCAGAGGAGCGGCAAGTTTTGTGGAAGCTTCTGCCTCTAATCATGGGTGTGGACGATGTCCTCGACTCGGATTCGTGGTCTAAAGCCTCTTCCGAATGAGGGGCTTAGTGGCGGATAGCGAATGGACACCCAGAGCTATATGTACCGTATCGAAATGGGTACTCCTGATACAGATATGCATACGCTTGTATTCATAGTACTGCGAATAAGCGAATGCTTCAGCTCCAATAGTGAACGAGGGCCCGGAGCCCTGGAGGCAGGTGATAGCTTGGCTCCGTTCACTACGCAAACCTGCGATCACATCGTACTCCGGCTCAGTTCTGCTCTACTACCTCATGCCATCGTCATGTGCACGAGCTCGCACAGGCACCACCCACGCATCGTGCGCCCATTCGCGCCCGACATGGACACTATTTCGGCGCGAACACACACAGCGAAGTGACGCCGAGTCGTGCGCCCACGAGAGGCGGCGTCTTTGGGGTAGTCATACTTCGCTTCCTCCGATATTGTTCACGACCATCCTATAGGCCCGGTTGAGCATGTAGTTTGATCACCACAGATATGACTTACATGTCCCATCCCAGCCGCTACAGCTAATCGTCTGCGTTTAACTCGCCAGTGGGTGGTTCTGCGTCGACGGGCGGCTCGTCCAAGCCCAACATCTTCGGGAGCTTGATCCAAGCCGCCCGCCTCTTCCGCAAATCGCGCTTCTCCACCAGCTCCTCGCACTCCGTGCACAAGTCCGTCTCCCCAAACACATTCGTGCACGTCGCGAACGGATCGACCGTCATGAACGCCTTCACGCGGTCCTGGAGCTGCCACACCAGCTCGTCGGAGACCCGCTCGCAGTCCTTCACTCCTTCGCGGTGCTGGGCTTGAACACGCGGAGCGCGATGCGGACGGACTCCTGGATTCGCGACGAAGCACAGCCCGATGTCGTCGAGCGTGAGCTTATTATAATCCAAGTTTATTATCCGCTGGAGGGCGACGCCCTATGTCAGATAGTACATACGATGGGGAGGTGCGCAGTAGAAGGGACTCGAGGCGGGGCGGGTGCATGCAAAGGAGACGAAGGTGCGTGAAGCCAGACGAACGCGAGGGGCACTAGTAAGAGTGGGCGACGCAAGGGTGCGGGCGGAGGGTCGAAGGAGGGGGCCGTGTGATGGGCAAGGGAGGGGGGGCGACGCTACCTAGGTGGTGGGAGGGAAGGGGAATGGGGGGAGGGAGTATCGTGGGATGTGTAAGGTAGTATGTAGTTAAAGGGGATAGTAAAGTATTGTTGGGAGGGACGCTGGGGGTGCATAGATTCGTATAGGGAGGGGTGTGTATGGGGGCGGGGTCGCGCGGACGCGTGGGTCTGTTGCGAAGAGACTATGGGTGATGTGGGGGGACCGTGTACGTAGTAGTGCTATCGTAGGGCTATGAATGTCGTAGAAAGGCCGTGTCTATCCTAGAGTGTCCGTGACGGCACATGTGCACGCCTGAGAGCCGGGTGGGGGTTGATGCTGGGAGGGCGCCAAGGGCAGGCACCAAGGGCATCGCAAGGCAGCGCAGGCGCGGGGGGTCTAGCGAACGCGCGGGGGCGCGAGTGCGGGCGCGGGGCCGGCGTTGAGGATGTGCGCAAAGCGGCCGGAGGCGTGGATGAATGCCATAAGCGCGTCGTGGCAGCGCGTGGTTCCCAGCAGGTTCTTCAGCGTGAAAGACGCGGGGGGTAAGGAGCGTACGAGGGGGGCGCGCTGGCGGCGAAGGGCGGGGCACTGGATGAGGAAATGTATCACAGTTTCAGGCGCGGTGTGGCAGGCAGGGCAGAGGGCGGTATCCGATTTTCCGATGTTGTAAAGGTGGCGATTGAGGGGTGCGTGGCCAGTGCGGAGTTGGGTGAGGATACTGACGCTCTTGCGAGGCAAGGCTGCCGTCATTTCTAGGTACTTTCGGGAGGGGAGAGGGGGTCCGAGTTGGGCGGGGCGGGCGTAGCGCGGCGACGACATCCCGAGCGTGAGCTGCTCGCGCGAGCCGTCCTCGCGCGCGAAGCCTTTGCTGACCTCCGCGCGGAGCAGGCAGCAGCAGAAGAGCGCCGTCGCGAGCCCGCAGGGCGCGCGAGGTTCACGACCCCTATGCAGTGGACGGCGTCGAAGCGGGGAGGCCGGTGTTTGGGCTTGCCGTCCAGGCGGTGATGTCGTTCGTGTAGTATCGATTTAGGTAGTCGACGGCTTCGACATCTGGGACTTTTGTGCGAGGCGGACTGCTGCCGAGAGCATGTCGAGAGAAGGATGCTCCTTGGGAGATGGGCTGCTTAAATCGGTCAGAAATACTATGGGTAATGCTAGAACTGAGCAACGGCCTCGGAATCGTACCTTGGATCATCCTGGGGCATATAGAGGCGCAATATATATCTGAGGTCTTCGGGAGAGTCGGATATGTGCACTACAGGGGAAGCGTGGACGATGGGGTCCGGAGAAGGAGACTGTGCGACGGGGGGCTGTGGAAATGAGAACATGTCTCTGTGCACCGGAAAGTGGTCCAGAAGTCATCGTCTTTCTTCCTGGCCTCTCAGGCCTCGGTTGACGCTGATCCAATCGCTCGAGAGACGTCTTGGACGTCTATTTCCCGACCCGTCGGTTGATTTGAGTCGAGCTCACTCCTGGGTAACACCGTGTGCAGACATAGTCGGGCTGTACACGCGTACTAGATGTTGCGTCGAAAGCTACCAAGTCAGTAGTATAGCTACGAATGACTGTGTTGAGCATCATGATACGTGCACACAGCTAATCATATATGCTCTTTTTTACTCACTGGGCCGTATTTCTGTGAGGTCGCTTGCGCACGGTGGCGAAGTGGAAGATTCAAGAAAAGGCCGGGAGAGCGAATATTGGCCGCGCGGCTGCTTCAGCGCGTCTTGTCACACTCACGTGCACATGAGTCACCACTGATTGACAAGAATCTGGAAGAAGTCATGACATACATATGTACTAGGTCGCCATATACCCATTTCAAAGCTTTGATAATTTCCTTTACTGATCATGACGCGGTGCGCGGGTTCACGGCGACAAAAGAGTTTATAGCCGTTTGTCTGCTATGTAGCGCCTGTCAGGCACTCCCCTATAAAATCGGACTCCGACGTTCCCACGACTGAGTGAGTTGTCAATGTAGTAAAACACGTTCTGTCCGTCTCACTCCTACAACCCATAACTACCTATGGCCAGGACCAAACAAGTCGCACGCAGTGCCGAGAAACCGCCGAGCCCCCGCAGTGCATCCTCACCGACTGGGCCCAACAAGCGTCCTAGGACAGACGAATGGGACGAGGCGGACTGCGACGCAGACGACGAAGACTTGGCCGAGTCCAAACCGCACGCGCCAGTAGCACCCGCGAAAACGCGCGACGGGGAGTTCTGGTTCGACGACGGAAGCATCATCCTCGTAGCCGGCGATGTCGAGTTTCGCGTTTTCAAGAGCATCCTCGCGCAATACTCGCCGGTCTTCAGCGACATGTTCTCGCTGCCGCAGCCGTTCACTCCAAGCTCACCCGCGGAGCCGTGCCCCGTCGTGCACCTTTCCGACTCGCCGGAGGATCTGAGGTACATTCTGCGTGTTTCGATGCCCAAGAGCAGCACCAGGTGATCACCAGGATGTTTCCGGTGCCCAATCAAGCAGAGTCGATGACTGATATATACTTATCCTCCCAGCCCGTTCACGAACAAACCGTCATACCACATGCTCTCCGCGACACTCCGTCTGGGCCACAAGTATCAGATGCACAACCTGGTTAAACACGGCGTGGAATACCTACAGAAATGGTTCACTTCCGATCTCGACACATGGGAAGAAGAACCGCTGTACGACGACGCGCCCTTCGAGCGTGTCTACGCCATCGGCGTGGTCAACCTCGCCCGTCTGCTCGGCGAGCCGTCTCTTCTCCCCACCGCGCTCCTCGCGTGCTGCACGCTCGGGGCGGACATCGTCAAAGGGTTCGCGCGCGAGGACGGCACACATGAAAGCTTATCGGTGGACGACCTCGGGCGCTGCTTTGCGGCACGCATGCGCCTGGCCCGACACGGGGTGATCATCGCGGCTACTGCCTTCTCCCCGCCCGTCTCGGATGGCTGCAGAAAACCACAGACATGCAGGGAGGAACTGCAAAACATGCTCGCGAGGCTGAAGGAGCCACAGACAGCCGAGAACATGTTGGATGCGGACATATTCTCCTCCGCGGTGCGGGTGCTCACCTGGGGTGTTGGAGGACCATGTTCGAGCTGCATAGAGATGATCAGAACTCGGGACTCGGAGCAGCGGCAAGCCTTGTGGAAACTTCTCCCTAAGGTCATGGGTGTGGACGACGTCCTTGACTTGGAGCTGTGGGCTAAACCCTCTCTCGAATGAGGGGCTGGTGGAAGGGAGTGGGGGCGGTATTTAGGCCACAAGTACGTTGTCCTCAATGTTACAGATGGCTGTATTAGCGTAAACAGTAGGCCGCAAGTAGCTGTTGACATTCAGGTGTTCAGACGCAGGCGCGACCTCCATAGTCTCTGGGAGCAGCATCTACACCGCCTCTTGTTTTTCCTTGTAAGTTATGTCTGCGCTATTCAAGTTTTTTTTAAAACGTCTCGCAGTATGCTGGCGGCGGCTTCATGTCGAGCAGCCGCACAAACGGCAAGAATGCGTCTGGGTCTGCGACGTGACCGTCCCGTTCCGCCTTCAAAACACAACTTGGCGTGCGCAGGCATGCGCCCCCGGCATGCGCGTGTTTGTGACCGCTGTCGGCGCAGGGCGATGCACGACGGCATACTCGCGAAGCACCGCTCGGTCCAAGATATCACGTCTCTTCAATGCCTGTCGCCTCCAATCCCGGAAGGTGGTGAAATAGCGCAATAGGGAAGAGAGCTTCAGGGTATGACATGAGCCCCCCGCGATTATGGAGGTCATGGTGTTGACAAATGGGCCGCGAGCAGTCATTGAGGTGTACGGGTGTGGTTGTGTTGGCTAGTCATTAATTATGGGCAATAGCGCACGGTCGATTGGCTTATGGTACAGATCAACCGAACTGGGCGAGTGATTTTTCAGTGACTTCATAAGTACTAGTACCCTCCCATGCGTTGAGAAATGAACTCGCCGCGGCCCGTGCGACTCTGCGCTGTTTCCCTAAGCGATGTCTATCTATCATCGCAACATCAGGCCACGAGGGGGCAAGTGTTTGCACAAAACAAGTCGCATGTTAGAAAACCTGTTGCGGTACAAAGCTTCAACATACAGCAAGAGTACATTGTTCAGTCCGAGTCCAATCCAGCCCAAAAATCATTACCAGGGTCAAGCACCTTCGGGATCAGCGGCGTCCCAGGCCACTCTGGATATTCCAAGGGGAGCTCGAAGAATTTAGGTAGATGGTACCAAGAGTCCGCCCGCGAGTCCACATCGCGCTTCATGACCATCTCCTTGCAACTCGTACAGACCAACCATGGCCCGAATGCGTGCACGAACGAGCGATACACGTCCGGATGCGCGATCTGACTGAGGGCCGCCCGTGCGTTGTGGAGCATCGTCTGCAGTCCCCCCTGACACGTCGAATGTGTCGTGCAGCCATTCGAGGTGGACGGATGGAAGATGTGGAAGAGGATGAGGATCATCTGCTTCGTGAGATGCGTGCGCGCTGCGAAGCACCGGCCGATGTCATCCAGCGGGAGCGTCTCGCGCGTGCCATCCTCCCGGACAAATCCTGTCGTGATGTCCCTGCCGAGCGAGCAGCACATGAGGAGTGCGGTGGGGAGCAAGAGCGGCTCGTCGACAAGGCGGGCGAGGTTGACAACGCCGATCGCGTGGACCTTCTGGAACGGCGCGCCCGGGGCGTAGAGCCGGCCCGTAGCCCACTCGTCGAAGATGGACGTGTAGTATCGCTTCAGGTACGCCACTGCGTCGCTGACGAGATCGTTCATTTGGTACTTGTGGCCGAGACGGATGACCGCAGAGACCATGTGGAATGAAGGGTTGCTCAGCTTGAACGAGCTAAGGGTGGCTGTGTGAGCAATATGGCTGGATGTTATAGCCAGGAGCACTGTCACCTGTCTGTACCGCTGTTGGGCATGCAGACTCGCAGGATGTGCCGCAAATCCTCCGGGGAATCGGGGAGATGGACAATGGGGCAAGGGTCCGTGGCAGTGTCAAAGGGAGGTGGCATCGATGTGGGTTGGGGGAACGAGAACATGTCGTCGAAGACTGGGGAGTTCTTGGTGAGAATGCCTTTATAAATACGGAACCCGACGTCGTGCGCCACGAGTACGACGTTCCCGTCATCGAACCAGAAGTCGGCATCGCGCGTCGCTGCAGCACCGACAAGTCCGGGTTGCGATACTCCTTGTCCCGCCATCGGGTGTGGTGTTCTGCGAGCTTTTGGGCGGACTAGTAGATGTAATCCTAGCGCGCTAGTGCTCTGCAGGATCTTGGATGCTAGCAGTACACGAAGACACGCCGAGTCGGAGTACTCGTCCTCGATCAAGTTTGGATCAAGCTGCGCGCTGCGAAAGTGTTTGCCACGTGGGAGCCGGTACGTCTAGCGCCCTTGGGTTGGCTGAACTTGGCGCTCACACTCACTCCTACTCACTCTCCTGCCACAGTGCAAACGATGTCCTTGAAGCCCTTCGCTGGGTTCTTATATCTTGAACGGCCATGACGACTTCTTCGCAGAATGGCATGTGAGACCTGTCAAAGCAGACTGCAATAACTCTGGAGACTCCACCACAAATGCGATGGGAACCCAATCAAGAAGAGTATCGCAATCGACGTGTTGAGATATGTCTTCAGATCGTACGTTTACTCATCGCAATGTATGATTCCGGGTTTTTTTTTCGGATCTAGGTTATCGTTCTACTTGATTCCGGTTTCAAGCGGCGTCAATGAATCCCGCATCCAGTTGATCCAGCATGCTAACTGCGCTGTCGCATCGCGGGACGATCCTGCATACAAATGGCTCCGGCTCACTGACGTCGAGAGGACAAAGGTTAGTTTGCAATTGGTCAAGCGTATTGACGTAAAACTGACCTCGAGAAAGCCGACGTGAACTTTGCAGGAGGCGTGTACTCCTTCCCTCTTTTGTCGACGGGCGTCAAGATGTCAAACAGCGCGATAATGCTCGCGATCGCGAGCCATATACTGGCGTCTGCAAGAGCTTGTCCTGGACAAGACCTATATCGCGCAGCATTTGCGCGCGAAGGCAGACGAGGTCGATGAGTATGATAACGAACATCTCATACCAAATTATAGCAGTTTATGGCGTCGCGGACACTCACCTGCGTCCGAATCCGAACACAAAGCTACTGGGGAGCACGTAGTTTCCCTCCTTTGCATCTAAGCCGAGATGGCGCTCCGGGCGGAACTCTTCCGGCTCTGGAAAGTATCTTGTGTCGCGTGACATCGCCCTGCGGCGAATAGCGCACGCAGTACTGTGAGTCGACGGACGGATGTTCTCAAAATGGGAGCATGACTGACCATATGTTCGGGATTATCATGCAGCCTGCGGGGATATCGTACTCTTGATAGTGGTCATCCTTCATGACACGATGAGGGACGGCTGCGCGACAATTTGTTAGGATTCAGACAAACGTTCCGCAAAGAATGACTGACCCATAGGCAAGGGAGGATTCCAGCTGCACAAGAAGTTTCGTCATTCGTGACGTGGTCTGTAATACTAGATGTGGCAACCCACCGGTAAACCTCTTCTAGGAGTGCATTTATGTATGGCAGCGACTCGCGATCATTGAAGTCGGGAAGACGTTCGTTCCCCACGACTCGGTCGACCTCCTCTTGGGCCTTCTTGAGAACGTCTGTGTTGCGCGTCATGGCAAGCATAAACGTGAACAGCACCCCGCGGCTCTGATACGGTGGGGTATCCATATGTAAGTATGATAGCGATATTATGTTCCAGCAATACTCACCGTTTCCACTCCCGCTGTAACATATGACAGTGCCCGCGTTAGCACGCTGGCATATGATTTCCTTTGTGCGTACTCACCCCCGTACACATCGACGGCGAGGCCCTTGATCTCGTCGGCCTCAGCTGGCGTCGGCTTGCCGCCGTATTCGGCCAAAACCGAGCGAAATATGCACGGAGCTCCATCTCCGGCCGCCTGTGTTCCAATTTGAACAAGTTCACTCGTACTTTGTTCAGGAAACTATACGCACGATGGCCGAAGTCACGGCATTGTAGCCCGCATCCAGGTATTCTTCAACATGTCTGCGCACGACAGCGGCATTCCGCTTGAAGCTGAAGCCGGGGAGCCAACTCGGTATGTGTTTCACTGCAAGCGAAGTATGTCACCGGGTTCTCGGTGGTGGTAGGGATAGTATGTGCTCACGTATCGGGATGAAGTCGACGGGAACGGACCCGGGTCTGCCTGCGTGGTTTGCCCCACTCATCGCCCGCTCGGCCAGATACACGAGCTCGTCGTCGACAGTCTCCACAGACCGGCCGAATGTGATCTCCAACAGTACTCCTGCTAGGTAGCTGTTGCGATCGCGTCCTTCTTAGCCACTGGTAATGAGTGACCAGTTCGAGCCGAGCACTCACAGATGTACATGCTCCTTGAAGTCCTCCGGCCGCCGAGCGAATTTCAGCAAAAGCCTGCGCACTTCCCTGCGCTGGATGTCGTGGTACCCGCGGAGCGTTGGCTTATAACCCGCGGCGTCGAACATCCACTTTCGGCGCTTGCGGAACCTTTCCCCGTACGGAATTCCAGGCAGGGTGCGCACGCCAAGTCTATATGGAAGGCATAAGTAGTGTTTCTCTGTCCCTGAGATGCAATGTCCAATCGGGGACTTACAGCTCCATCAACAGGACTAGTCGCGGTCGGTCGGAGTATATCGCACTCCGTTTGTCCAGAAGGTCCCTAGCGGTCTCGAAGGTGTTCAACACGATGGCTGATGTGCGAAAGATCTTGAAGTATACGACATCCCCTTTCATAAAATGTCAACACTTTCAATCTGTCGAGCTCGAGAGGTTAGGGTGCGTACCAAATGTCTTTCCCCATTCGTGTAACGCTCTTTCAGCGAATGTTGTAGGAAGCTGCAGAGCGTTTCCAAGTACTGGAAGGCCTCTGGGACCTGGCGGTAGCTTACGCGACTTGCGCGCCCATGCGGACGCAGGTGCAAACGCGTGCAAGAGCAAGAGCAAACAGCCGACGGCGCCTGTCAGAGCGCAAAATCCCAGAGCGTCTAGCGCAGATGTTGTAGCGAAAGCCATAGACCAAGAGGAGGCCGTCGCAATGCGCTATTCCATGGAGCGCAGTGGAATCTCAGGCATATATAGGCATTTGAAACAATACCTTGGTGTGTGCTGCTAGCCCTCGGCGATACATCCATCAAGCTGTCAGGCCGAGGCCCCGAGCTCCGCCGCTCTGTAGGCAATGGTGTACTGGCATCTGTTCAAACCACTGACGGGGACGCCGCAAACGAACCTTACCTGCATAAGATCAGACGCCGCTCAGCGTATATAGTTTACCATCACCTTGCAAGAGGATGCGGCGCCCGGAGAACATGAGCAAGCGCGGAGGCCTCGGCTGTAGTAGTCTAGGCTGATACCGTAAATGGTTGCGTTGAAGGCATCGTCAGTTTTACCTGATTTAAGAATGCAATGAATATGTCACCTTCACGAGTTCCAATCACCGCGGGCTGTCGTATTCGCAGGCTCTCCTACCGGTGTATCCTCACTCCGGCTCCCCACTGTGACCCCGAGCATGATCAGCAGACGCCTCCACTCTGCGCAGAGTTCTTCTCTATTGCGTTTTCCCATGGCAGCCCTGATATAGCAAAAAAAAATGGCGTAAGGGAGGCTCATGTGCGGTTGAAACAGATCCGACCCCTGAGCTCCGATGGGGAACCAGAAAACGCTGTGACAGCTGGCGCTCGTAGGAACGGTGCGTGCCCGCCATGCTGTGGACAACGTGAACATCTTTCTATAGCTCCGCGGCACTATGAGCCGGTAGAACGAGATGAGAGTCACGGCGTTTAACCCCGCATGTTGTGCAGGGCGCGGGCGGATTACCTTCTATACGCCCTCGTAAGTTCCTGAAAACAACAGCTTTAACGATGTGCTTACTTCTTGAGCCGCGTTGATATGTACAGCAACTTGAAAGAACGGCTGCCACATATAGCTGAATATGATACTTGATTCACTTATACAGTGTCAGCAACTTGAACACGAGAGACCCGAAACATCGCTCTCCCGTGGAGACAGGTTGAGACTGGTTGAGATTGCCACAATAGAGCGCAAGGGCAATCTACCATATGGTGGTAAGCAGCGAGTCGGAGTAGGCGAGTTTGAAGTGAACACTGGCAGTGGAATCAAAACACCGGCAGCCCTCGGCACGCGCCGGAGAGTGCAGATGAGCGCTTGATATTCAAAGCTCCGAGGCCGCCCGAGGTCGACAACTCCAACACTCCTCAACATCAAGCTGTTCTGTACCATTACACCGCACGGGCCCAGCTTATCATGGTAATACGCTCAAGCCATGATATGAATTTACGCATCCAGATCGGCCAGCATCGTAACTGCACTATTTGACCGCGGGACGATTCTGCAAGCGAACGACTCCGGCTCACTACGCGTATCGTCACGATGTCGGAAGACTCCAGGTCAGTCTGAGTTATTCATTGAATGTTCATAAAGTGTGTGGAACTTACCTCGAGAAAGCCGACGTGAACTTTGCGGGAGGCGTGTACTCCATCCCTGCCTTGTCGACAGGTTTCAAGATGTCGAACAAGGCGACGATATTCGCGATCGCGAGCCAGATGCTGGCGTCCGCGAGAGCTTGTCCTGGACATGCCCTTTTTCGCGCAGCATTCATGCGCAAATAAATGATGGTGCAAATGAGTTCCTTGAGCGTATCTGCCGCGCATTTAGCGTCGCAGATACTCACCTGCGTCCGAACCCGAACACAAAGCTGCTCGGGGGCACATAATCGTCGCCCGCTTTTACCTCGGTCCCGAGATGGCGCTCCGGGCGGAACTCTTCCGGCTCTGGATAGTATCTTGTGTCGCGGGACATCGCCCTGCGGCGAGCGGGAAGCGGGAAGCGGAGAACTGTGAGTCGATACTAGATGCGCTCGCAGTGCATGTATGACTGACCAGACGTTAGGTATCATCATACATCCCGCGGGGATAGTGTGTTCGCGATAGCGATCGTCCGCAGTGACGCGATGAGGGACAGCTGCGCGACGCTTCGCTGTGAATCAAACCGCCACTCTCTCCGAGAACCGACTCACCCATAGGCAGAGGAGGATTCCAACTGCACAGGAAAGCCCGTCAATCACAGAATCATCTTTATGTTTAGCAACTCACCGGTAAACCTCTTCCACAAGTGCGTTGACGTAGGGAAGCGACTCGCGGTCGCCGAAATCGGGAAGCCTCTCGCATCCCACTACTCGATCGAGCTCCTCCTGAGCCTTCTTGAGGACAGCTTTATTGCGCGCCATAGCAAGCATGAATGTGCGCAACGTCCCACGACTCTGTCGCAATAAGCAATGTTTCTGTGAGTGCAATGGTAGCTTCACTTCACAAATATGCTTACCGTTTCAACCCCCGCTGTACGCGGCATCATAGTGGTGTCAGCCTCAAGTAGGTATGCGGTCGTCTGCACACACTCACCACCATACACATCGACGCCTAGACCTTTGATTTCGTCGGCCTCATCTGGTGTCGGTTTCCCTCCATACTGTTCCAGAATTGAACGGAATATGCATGGCTCTCCGGTCCCAGCCGCCTGTATCTCATCCTGACGTGAATGCGACCCCGTACTCGATAAGCGAGTCTACGCACCATCGCTGAAACAACAGCATTGTAGCCCGCGTCCAGATACTCTTCAACATACCTACGGACAAGCACGGCGTTCCGCTTGAAGCTGATGCCAGGCATCCAGCTCGGTATGTGTCTCACTGAAAACGAGTCAATATGTTGTCTAATTCGCCTCGTGGCTAGGGACCTGGACAAGACGTGCTCACGTATCGGGACAAAGTCGACAGGAACAGACCCAGCTCTGCCTGCATGATTCATCCCTTTGATCGCCTGCTCCGCCAGATGGACGAGCTCGTCGTCGAGGGTCTTCACAGGGCGGCCGAACGTGATCTCCAGCAACATCCCGGCAAGGTAGCTGACTGCCGGCGTCAGCATGCTAGTGGTACCAGTGGGTGATCCTCCATCATCCCAATCGTGTACTCACAGATGAAGATGCTCGCTGGACTCGTCTGGACGCCGGAAGAGGTTGTGTAACAGCCTGCGCACCTCCCTGTACTGTATGCTGTGGTACCCGCGGAGAGTCGCCTTGTTGCCTGCGGCGTCGAACATCCACTTTCGGCGCTTGCGGAACTGGTCCCCGTACGGGATTCCGACAACGGTGCGTGCGCGGAGCCTGCGGTTGGGTGAGTGCGCTTTGACGAATGAAGTGCATGCAATAACTGAGCGATACGCACATCTCCATCAACAGGACCAATCGCGGACGGTCTGAGTACGTGGCGCTACGTTTATCCAAGAGGTCCCGGGCGGCCTCGATGGAGTTCAGCACGATGGCTGGGGTGCGGAAGATCTCGAAATAGACGACGTCCCCTGCATATCTCACAACACGTCAACGCTATTTTCTCGCTCTCCAGAGGTGAAAGGTGCGTACCGAATGTCTTTCCCCACTCGTGAAACGCTCTGTCGGCGAACGTTAGAGGAAGCTGCAGCGCATTGCCTAGCACAGGTAGACCTCTAGGGCCGGGCGGTCGATTGCGTGACTTGCGTGTCCATGCCGACGCAGCGCTGAAGTTGTACAGCAGCAGAAGTGAACAGCCGATGGCTCCCGTGAGAGCCCAAAGGCTCAAGCTGAAGGCCGGAGTCAGAGACCACGAGGAGGCCATTGCGTCGTGTCATAAGAGACTGCGAACGTCGAATATATAGGGAGCTGTCGAGCGGATCCGTGCTGAGTCGTACTTCCATACGCCCATCAACGGTTCCTCGCGAGTCTGTTCGATAGCGTCACCCGGAGAACGGGCGACCGAAGGATCTCGTTGTGCATGAGCCCACGGTCTGGCGTTACCGTAATCGTGGGGGTCATTTCACTCGTGCATGCTGCCATCGACGAATTGATGAATTACGTCCTTAGGCTGGTCAGCATCCGCGCCGACGCAACGAAGCCTACCTATCTTTAATCAGGCGCCGCCTGATGCACATAGATGGTCGTTACATTTCTGGCCATGGGTTTGCGCACACGGCTCAAAGGTTTACAAGGAAACAAGAAGCGTGCACTGGCACAAGAAGACTTGAAGGTTTGGAGGACGCTAGCGAGCGCCGGCGCGGAAGTACTTCCGTACTCCAACTTCCAAGGACCTGCTCGTCGCAAATTTTGTCGCCTAGGTTCGTCAAGTCTCGCTAGCGATACACGTACTGCCACCCGCTTGGATCATCGCCATTCCCGGCTCTCACAGACCTTCAACGCCTGTCACTGGCTTGGGCGTCCCTGCCTTGCCGGCGGTCTTCATGACCGATTCATGACATGTCCAGGCTGGCCAGCATCGCGACGGCCTTGTCCGACCGCGGGGTAATCCTGCATACAAATGGTGCAGGTTGACTGATAGATATGCACCAGTAAGCTCGCGGACGATCATCTTTCGAGTGACCATATCACTCACCTGGTGAAACCAGGGAGGAACTTCACAGGAGGTGTAACCTCGTTGCCGGCCTCGTCAGTAGCCTTGCGTATGTCGAAGAGTGCCACGATGTTCGCGATAGCGAGCCACATGCTGGCGTCGGCCAAGTTCTGCCCCGCGCAGATCCTGTGTGATGGCGACATGGGTGACGTCAATGGGCATGACCCAGACTGGAGACGATACCTCGGATCGGACGTACCTGCGCCCGAAACCGAACACGAAGCTGCTAGGCAGTAGCGCCTTGTCGCCTGGAAGCTTGAGTTCAGAGCGTAAATGGCGCTCCGGACGGAATTCTTCGGGTTCCGGGTAGTGACTCGTGTCGCGCGTCATGGCCCTGCAAGAATGGAGTGCGTCAGGTATGTGCCGGAGATACAACTACCGAGAGACGCTGACCAAACGTTGGGAATGATCATACAGCCCGCCGGGATATCATACCCGCGGTAGTGGTCATCTACCGTGACGCAGTGGGGGAGTGCTGTGAGACGATACACATCCCGAAGGTCAAATTCATGGCTGTTGACGTGTTTTGGCATGAACGCACCCATGGGTAATACAGGGTTCCAGCTGCGACACACGCGGATGTTGAAAGGTAAGGGAAAGCTGCGTGATGTATTTAATGACTTACCGGTAGACCTCCTCTAGAAGCGCGTTTGTATACGGCAGCGAGTCACGATCAGCGAAATCGGGGAGCCGGTCGCGTCCTACAACTGCGTCGATCTCTTCCTGTGCCCTGCGGAGCGCATACTCGTTCCGCGTTATTGCGAGCAGGAAAACGTTGAGCGTGCTGCGGCTCTGTTGTATCAAGGTGCGTATAAGCGTGGATTCTCGCAGGGCGGCGTGAACAACAACTGACTGTCTCGACACCCGCTGCTCAGCGTTATCAAAGTCAGCGGAAGACGCCAGCGCTACGTGCGTATGCTCTCACCTGCATAAACATCGAACGCAAGTCCTTTGATCTGTGCGGCATCCGCTGGCGTGGGCTTCGCCCCGTGCTCGGCCAATACGGACGTGAAGATGCACGGCTCAGAGGTTCCAGCCGCCTTTCAGGAAGGTAATCCGACCATGAGCGTTGTGCCGTATAAGAAGAACACTGTGCTTACTATTGCGGACATCACCATATCATAGCCGGTATCTACCCATGCTCTGATATGACCCCGAACGAGCATAGCGTGGCGCTTGAATCCCGCTCCAGGCATCCAGCTCGGTATGTGTTGCACTATAGACACGCGATCAGATTTCAAGGTCGGATCCTCAGGTGAATCCTGGTGAGTCACTCACAAAACGGTAAAAAGTCCACTGGCACAGCTCCGGGCCTTCCAGCCTCGTTGGTCCCGTCCATCGCACGTTCCGCAAGACGAACGAGCTCGTCGTCCAGAGACTGCACGCGGCGCCCGTACGTGATCTCTAGCATGATCGCCGCAAGAAACCTGTTGATGACCGAGCGCCTCATCAGTATATATGAAAGAGAAAACCAGCGCCTGGAAGAGATCTAGTCATGCACGCACAAATGGATGTGGTCGTCAAATTTCTCCGGTTGCCAGGAGAGGTTGAGTAACAGCCGGTCAATCTCCCTGCGTTGAATGTGCTGATACCCTCGGAGTGTGGCCCTTCCGCCCACTGCGTCGTTCAACCACCTCCGATGCTTGCGGAACCGTTCTGACTCGAATGGAATGCCTGGTAATGTGGGTGCTTGGAGCCTAGCATGTCGACTTTCGGTAAGCGATTGCAATAAGATAGAGTTGGGCACTGCGCTTACATCTCACTCAGCATCACCAACCGCGGCCTCGCGGAGTAGATCGAGCCGCGTTTGTCCAGCAGGTCGCGAACGGCGTCGATGGAGTTCAACACAATCGCGGGCGACTGAAATACCTTGAAGAATACAATATCACCTGCGGAGTAGAAGCTCGCTCATGAACGGGGAGGTACGATGCAGTTGGTGGTGCGTACCATATTTCTTTCCCCACTGCAACAGTGCTCGTTCGGGGAATGTGACCGGAAGCTGATGAGCGTTTCCCAGAAATGGCAGACCCCGCGGACCAGGAGGAAACTTGCGCCTTGCCTGCCGCAGAGTCCTTCCAGTTATGATGGAGGTAATGCATACCAAGATGATAGCAACGTTGATTATGTCCCAGCGAGTCTCGTTGCTTACTGAAGCGATATTTTTTGAGAGAGGTGAGGCCATCGCAACAGCTTTCCGTCACGGGCATGGCTGGCGAGTGGGCGGCCTTATAACAAATTCAGAAACTAGCCTCCCCGCCCGCGGCCGCCGGGCTTCTACAGCACGCGTCGGCCCCAAGCCTGTAAATGCACTTACTAGAAGTCCATCAGCCAGCTGATTGGATACAGCACCGTATGGAAGCCTATTCGACATGCGAATCTCCCGCAGTCCCGCAATACGCCGACGCCACCGGGCTCGAAGCCGGCGTACGGATAGGTGAATCAAATGGGACGCCAGAGCTGCTTTCATAACTGGGAGCAACCCTATCGACAGTTCAGACAGCCCATAGTCGATGGTAGGGCGGCGGGCATGACGATGACAATATCTCCCCTCTTGCGCCGACGGTCGCGCTGCTGTAGCGGGGGCTCACCATGAGTGCCAAATTCCTAGAATGTTGATGCACAACTTACTTTTTGCAAGGTACAGGGACCCTTCCGATAGCTAGCCATCACCGATTACAGTTCAGTCTCCTTGGGCGATCAAGGTAGCCGCCGTATCCGATCGCGGCACAATCTTGCAGACGAACGGGACGGGTTGACTATACATCTGCGTCAGTAACCACGATATGGCATGCGCCGTGTCTGATACACCAACATCGTAAACCCCGAGGTGAACTCCGCAGGAGGAGTTATTGCGTGGCCTTCTTCGTCGACTGCCTTTTCGATATTGAAGAGCGCAGCGACGTACGCAATGGCAAGCCATATGCTCGCATCCGCAAAGGCCTGACCTGGACATATCCTGCTCGAAAAGCACGAGCGAGACAAACGTTACGAAATGTACACGAGCATGGACTAGGCGGGATGAGGGCTTACCTACGGCCGAAACCAAAGACGAAACTGCTTGGGAGAAGCAATTCGCCCTCTTGCGCACTGGAAGCTAGGAAACGCTCCGGGCGGAACTCTTCAGGTTCTGGAAAGTATCGGATGTCACGAGTCATGGCCCTACATTTGTGCCGCTTTATGAGCGTGATCCGAGCAGTCAATCAGGACATGTTCAATACCTACCAAATGTTTGGAATGACCATGCTCCCGGCCGGGATGTCGTAGTCGTGGTACTTGTCATCGGTAACGACGCGATGTGGTATGGCTTTGAAATACAAGGAGATCTCGCTCTCCTATGTGAACGATCACGCACCCATGGGTAAAGACGGGCGCCAGCTGCCCTCGTAACCAACGTTCAGGTGCGGGGCGCACTTGACATAGTAACGCGACTTACCGATACACCTCTTCAAGTACTGCATCAAGGTAGGGCAGCGAGTTGCGGTCAGAGAAGTCCGGTAGTCTCCCGCTGCCCACGACTCTGTCCATCTCTTCCTGCGCCTTGAGAAGTACGCGCGGATTGCGCGTCATGTGAAAGAGAAACTGAAGAAGTGTTCCACGGCTCTGCAATCTCAAATCAGCTTTGTCGATGCGACCGCGCGGCGTGGTGTACGACAGACCGTTTCTACTCCGGCTGCGAGATCGCATCAGTACAGGCTCAACCGTCGTGCAATACGACTCGAACGAACCTCCGTAAACACTGAAACTTAGGCCCTTTATGTCCTCCGCTTCAGCGTACGTGGGGGCTCCGCCATATTCTGCTAGCACAGTAGCGAATATAGAAGGGGTGCCTGAGCCAGATGCCTAGTAAGCGTCAGCAAAGAAAGGAAACCGCAGCATAGAGGTGACGCACCAATGCGGACACCACACTTTCATAAGGTTTATTTTTCCACTCTTCTATATATCTGCGAACAACTGTCGCATGACGCTTGAAGCCTGCTCCGGGAAACCAGGTTGGTATGTACTTCACTGTCACGGAGAATATAAAAGTCCGGTGACGTTTTTAGAGCGCTGTAAAAGGAGTAGAGAAGACTTGAGTGTGACTCACGTATGGGGAAGAAATCGACAAGCATGGATCCAGGGCTTCCTGCGCTGTTCGCCCCTTCTATCCCGCGCTCGGCGACCCGTACCAATTCGTCGTCCAAGGACATGACCCTCTTGCCGTAGGTGATCTCGAGCATAATCGACGCCAGATATCTACACACCAGTCTGGTTAGCAGTAAACAAGATGTTGAAGCGGTGGTCGACTTACAAGTGCATGTGGTCAAAGAATCTCGCTGGATCAGCAAGAAGATGGCACGACAAGGTGCGAGCCTCCCTGCGTTGTATGTCCCGGTAGCTTCTCAGCTTATCCTTGTTACCCACACCGTCGAACATCCACTTGCGATGCCTACGTAGACGTTCTCCATATCCGATGGAGGGAAGCGACGCTTCCTGTCCGATCCTACGGCCAGGTGTGATACGTGAGCGTCGCGATCTGAATGTGAGGAAGACCGCGTACGCACATCTCTGAAAACAGGACCATACGTGGCCTGTCAGAGTACTTCGCGCTCCGCCTGTCCAAAAGGTCTCGTGCGGCCTCAATGGTGTTGAGCACGATCGCCGGCGTGCGAAATATCTTGAAGTACACGATGTCGCCTACAAACGCAATATGAGTGCCGTCGAGGCTAATTTAGCAGATGGATGCACAAGCGTGGCACAAATCGCGAACCGTACTGCTTTCCCCACTCGGATAACTTCTGCTCCTGAAATCGTTCGGGGAGCTGGTGGGCGCTCCCCAGAAGAGGTATACCTGTTGGGCCGGGCGGGAAGTGGCGGCGCTCGCGATATGCAATTTTCATTAACCCAGCAAAGAGGAGTGCGGCGACGATGAACAGCCCTCCAGACATGTTGAACAATGTGGTGAGGACGTCGAAGACAGTTAGGAGATTCAAGTGCATGAAGACTACAGCGAAGGAGCCAAGTATGGCCTCATGAGTGCGAACCCACACGCACCTACGGGCTTATGAGGCGAGCATTGGTGGCCTCTATCTGCGTTTCGCGCCATATCTCCGCATCCTGAATTCTATAAAGCTAGAACGTCCGTGAACGTCGGCGATGACGCGGTCACCGGGGCCCTAAGACACGGATGCAATTGCCGTGTAAGAGTACTCGAGACCCACGCGTGGTCACTGCTTGCAAGTACTCCTTTGCGATGGAATAATCTGGTCTTATGCAGAGAGGACGTGAGTATGATTCGGCAGCACAATATGATCAAGCGGTGACGCACCACCCTGATAAACCGCACTGAGAGACATTGAAAGCTATTGCAGTCGCATCAGCACTGTCAGCGTACCAATGGTTTTCCAACAGAATGTGGAGCCCGTTACCGGAGCAGTCGGAGAGACCATGATCATGGGACTGACTCGAGATTCGGATTGTACACATAATATTGGGCCCGAGTAAGGCACGTACAGCGCTTGATGCGCATCAGGTTCCTTCCGACGAGAACGAGACTTGACGCTATGGGTGATGTTTGACGTTGAGGGTACCAAATATGCCAACGGCAATCCGTCACAATGAGCTGTCCAAGGCGATGCGTTGCAGTGCTGTATGATACGATACCGGTTGACAAGTTGCATCTCCCGTACAACAACGCGTCTCGACAGCGCCCAATCTCTCAAACGTCCAGTTGCGCGATCATAGCCGCGGCCTTCTCCGAGCGAGGAACGACTTGGCAGGTGAACGGCGCAGGTTGACTGCATACGAAAAGCCCCGTTCGTGTTCGTTCAAGGCGCGCGAAGCTACATGTGCGTGAGCACCAACCTAGTAAAGCCCGGCAGGAAGACGATAGGAGGCGTAACCTCGTTACCTGCCTCGTCAACGGCCTTCTTGATGTCAAAGAGAGCAACGATGTTGGCCATGGCAAGCCACAGACTAGGGTCCGCGAGCGCCTGGCCAGGACAGACTCTGTTCGGGAACAAAACGCCGGTCAGAACCCTATCAGGGGAATATTTACGACATGTGCAGCTGACCTTCTACCAAATCCGAACACAAAGCTGCTAGGCATCAGGCGTTCATGTTTTTTCTCATCAGGAACCATGAAGCGTTCGGGGTTGAATTCTTCGGGGTCGGGGTAGAAGCGAGTGTCGCGAGTCATTGCCCTGTGTACATGGCGGTCAAAACAAATGGGCGAGAACCTTGCGGTTGATGCGTACCATGTGTTCGCGATAACAGTGGAGCCTGCGGGAATGTCGTATCCACGATATTGATCGTCGGCGGTGACGCGATGCGGGACGGCTATGAGAGTGAAGTCAGACAAACATAACACACTAGAATACGCGTAGTCTCTTCACCCATTGGTAAAATTGGACTCCAACTATGCATCGTCATATCAGAACACGTTCAGCCATCCCATTGTATCAAAACGCACCGGTATGTCTCCTCGAGCAGCGCATTCAGATATGGCAGAGATTCACGGTCACCGAACTCCGGCAGACGCGCGTTCCCAATCACCCTGTCGATTTCGTCCTGCGCTTTTCGGAGCATATGTGGGTTGCGCACAAGGTGTAGGAACCATGTTGAGAGTGTCCCGCGGCTCTAGATAGTCACGCTATCAGCTGGCGTTTTTGAGTATATATGTAGTGAATACAAACCGTCTCGACGCCCGCTACATATACAGTATGTTAGGTGAGTACGTGGAAAGGTAATAAGATGTAATAATCGCTGACCTCCGTATACGTTGAGTGGCGGTAAACCCTTGACGTCGTCCAGAACATCGGGGGGAGGAGAACCGCCGAATTCAGCCAAAATCGAAGCGTATATGCATGGTGCGGCGGTGTCTGCGGCCTGGACGACTTCTGTTAGCTTGACGTACTTCGAGAGAGAGCATGATACGAGCCATTTCAGCTGCGAGAAGATCATAACCTAAGTTCTTCCATACGCGGACGTATTCGCGTACTCTCAGCGCATCTCTCTTGAACTGAGCACCGGGGAACCAGCTCGGAATGTGCTGAACTATTCGCAGGGGAGAGGCACGAGTATCAGGACCTTTCCCTTCTGCGAGTATGGTATGGGAAAACGCACGCATAGGGAACCCAAGGTCGACAAGTTGGGCGCCGGGACCTCCGAGGCCATTCGCCCCTTCGACGGACCGTTCGCCCGCCTGGACAAGTTCGTCCTGAAGGGAGGTGACCCGCCTGCCGTAGGTTATCTGAGTCATGATACCGGCGAAATACCTATGAGTTCAATGCGTGAGCTGGAAGAGATCTCTTATATTGGAGATTTACGTACAAGTGGACATGGTCCAAGAACTCATGCGGGTCGTGGAGGAGGTTTCGTAGGAGGTTGTTGACCCCCTCACGCTGGAGGTCCTCGTAGCTCCTGAGCTTGTCCTTGTTCCCGACACCGTCGTACATCCACTTACGGTGCCTTCGGAAGCGATCGCCATAAGGCATTGAGACCAGGGCGGCCTCCTGGCCGATCCTGTTGACGCACGAAAGTCAGTTAATCCGTGTGTAACAGCGGCGACGATTCCTGTGGTTCGGTAGGCTCACATGTCAGAGTGCAAGACCATGCTCGGCCTGTCCGAATACTTCGCGCTGCGCTTGTCGAGGAGATCTCTAGCGGCCTCGATGGTGTTGAGCACGATTGTGCGTTTCCGCAGGAGCTTGACATGTATGACGTCCGATCCTGAGCGTCTTCTGTCAGTATGAGGAAAACCAACAATTTAAAGGAGAAGAGACTGACCGTACTCCTGCCCCCATTCGAAGAACTTTTTATATACGTACGTCGGTGGCAGTTTGTGGAGGCTGCCCAGAAGCGGAAGTCCACTCGGTCCAGGTGGGAGCTTCGCCCGTCGTCCCGTGACATATCTCACGGAGATGAAGAATAGAAGAGAGGCCGCGACCAGCTGCCAAGACAAGCTGAACGACATGATGGACGCAGGAGTGTGGTCAAAAGCAGTGCCCGAAGTGTCAGTAGAGTGTGTGCCGCGGCTGTGGAGTGCTGCAATGGTCGCCGATCTGAAGCGTGTATATATACAGCAGAAGCGGGTTAATGCGCAAGTACACGGCTCCGCAAGTCGAAGTCGAGGTGACTGCGAATCGCGGAGCCGAGTTGGCAGTGGTGCCGGCACACCAACTCACCGTTGCCCTTGTCTTTTCGGGACCGTGCTGCGTGACTCCCGCCATAGCAGGCGGCATAGGCAACTGGAAGTCATACCGTGGGTACAGCGAGCACCACCCTAAGCGACCGTGTCAATCAAGGTACTAGAAGTCTCCTGTTACGAGTATGGACGCACCTTTGCCCATTTTTATGGTAGCAGAGCAGCGCAGAGCACCAGCGGCATCGTCACGCAGGACGTCCAAAAATATCGATGTACGAGTTACAGGGTGCCGGGGACATGGGCATGCGCTCCAATACTCAGACGAACTCCGAAGAGCCGCTCAGGTATAGAAGTGACGCTGATCGTTGCAACAGCTGTTTGGTGTTTCGTTAGTATGATCCAGCGCGAGTCACCATCGCGGACACGTAAGAGTTTGCATTCAGTCCATTCCGTGCGGGGGTACTCAAGACTCTGTAATGTACACTGGCGCCTGTAAGGAAGACGACCCGCCGAAGTTCACGTCACAAGGACTCACTTTTTAAGCGCACGTGTATGGAAGCATCGGGCGGTCTCATGCGGCGACGGCAGATTGGCATGTATCGCAACCTATGAGGATCCAGAGACTTCGGAATAGGATTGGTGAATTCGGTCGCCAGAGTCTAGAGAATGTGAATGGCCTCCTTCTCTTCGACGCTACCGCGCTCCCACGGGAAAAGACGCTGCACGCGCGGAACGTGCTTCACTCGGAACTGCACGCTCCCATCCGGAGCGGGCCTCCATGCGCCCTGTGGGAGTAGAACAATCCTTAGATCGTGCACAGGACAACATCGACGCGGTGACGTACCTCATACCGATGCCCGTCCACGGTGACACGCCGCAGGGTCGGAGCGCTGCGTACCAGCGTCTCCGCAAGGTCCTGGGAGATGTCGCAGCGGCACCAGTGGTTCCGTATGTTGAACGTCACTGTGTGTAGGCGTGTCGAGGGTCTCGCGAATGATGGAAAATCGATCTGTGTCCCCATGAGTGCTGTACTTCGTTCGCGGATCGTATGGCAAACAGGAACTGACCAGCGTGTCTGTCGATATACTCAGCGCGACTTCTTCTAGGGCAGTGCAAGTACGGCACAACTTGCTTAGTGCGTCTTTGGGCACATAACATCCCGGCATATCCAGTATCCGGAGACGGGTGGCATGCTTGGCGGAGAGGTGCTCAACGAGCGGATGGAAGCTGACTGCGACACCGTCCGTCTCGTTTTCGCAGATCAGACGTAGCGTTTCCAGCGGGGCGTTGGCGATCACGCGACGAACCCATCGACAGAGGCGATTGGTCTCATCCGTTGTTGAGACGCTGGAGTACCGGACTGTAAGATGGCGCAGATGTGCGAGGCGGGGGTTTATCGAGGGTCGCATTTGCTAGGCGAATCCGAGAATCAGCCCTGTTTGATTCGAAGATGGGCAGAAAAACCTACCAGGTAGTAACGGAAGTCGAGAGTCTGTAGGCAAGGCAGGTCCTCCCAGAATTTGAACATGTCGTCATCTGTGAGCGAGTAGGAGAGACCGAGAGCGAACGAGGGTGTATTATGGAGATAAGGCAGGAAGGAGCGCAAGACCCCCGGAGTGACCGATCCGCAGCTTTGCTACACGAAGTTTGTTGACTTAGCGAGAATAGATAATTTGACAGAAGAGGGACTGACCGTTAGTCGGAAATTGCGGAGTGTGCTTTGTAGCTCCTCCAGCCACTGCGGGAGGGACTGCAGGAGGGCCCGTGTCGGGGACTGGATCGTCAAACTTTCGAGGTTGCGTAACTGGACGAGCGCGGGAACATGCTTCTCGTCCGCGCAGCTCACGTTCACTGTGAAGTTGCGCAGGCAACTCAGATGTGGCAACAGAGGCAGGACCTCCGTGAACAAGGCGTCATGGTGTTTTTTCGGTGCGAATACCAAAGTATTCAGATTGGGCCAGCTCTCTACAGCGGTCTTCATATACTTTGATAGCCTGCTTATTTGCGCCGGACGCGTCGATATGTACCCTGTGGCAAGCGGTTTAAGACCGAAGAGCGTCAGACGATCGTCTAGACGACTTACCACTGACTTCAAAGCGCCGGACAAGTGGTGCATTGTGAGGTAGGAGGGCCGAGACAAAGAGCCCTTCCTATACGAGAATTAGTAACCTAGCAGAAATACAAGCATGCCGAAAATTACCCGAAGGTCGTCCCGTTTTCTGAGGTCGAGGACGGGGCTGAACTCTGGGGAGTATGTCACTTTTCGGTACAGATATGTCGCAGACGCCTCTCTGAACGTATGATTCACGAGAGAGACCGCACAAAGCGAGCTATAGTCGTCCCGAAACCACCCGAGGACCAGAATCAAGACATCGTAGGAAAGAAAAGCATTCGTCGCCATTTGCCGGATGGGTTGACGACGTTGATACGATATCTATATGTACAGAATTACGCACTAAATGCGGGGCAGATGCGAACACTATAAATTTTCTGATCAGCATTCCCAGTTACCAGTACAGAAGACGAGGCTTACCCGCAATCTGCGCGACGAAGCAGGAAGAGAGCAGAGTTGTCGTTGCCTTGGCGGCCGCATGCTACTGGGCGCCAAACGATCATGTCAACACGGACAAACATAGTTGAACGATGCGCCACCTTGGACCAGCCTAAGTGAGAAAAACTTCGACTGGGAATTTTCAATTCACTCAGCGCGACTGACCTAGCAGGCCAGTGCTCTCTATAACAGTCTTTAAGATGGAATTTATGCTGAACTGTGCACAACTAAACGAGGTACGTTGTAATGCGTTACTCCAAGGCTTTGGATTGTCACTCGCTCGGAGTCTCGGCGCCCCTCACTGGTACATTTCGTAGTTGCATCAATGCACACGGCCAGTGCTCCCGCCACTAGAACTGTTCAAAAGCACCTCGCTTGACAAGGATGCTTCATAGCACGCCCTCTGCATTGCCGCTAGAAACCATCTTACACGCGCCAATTGAGCCGAAGACGGGCAAGTAAGTATTAAGCTTCGGCGAGCCAGCAGCCTGGCTCATTATTCACCCTCTAAAAGTCAGAAACGAAGTCCGAGTTAATGCGCGCATTGATGAGCAGTGTCCATTGTACTCCGCGGGACAATGGGAGAGCTCTTAGCCACACGATCACTTGGCTGACGCGTCTCGCGTTGCGACTACAACCATGCGCGGCCAAATCCAACAACCACTGTGCCAGTCTCCAACCGTATAAATCGCCGCACGACCCTCTTGAATCCCCACCACCATCCACCGTTTTACGCATCTCTGCTGCAACCTCTCTTTGGCAGTTTCTTCCGTGTCGCTCCGTGTTGAGCTTGGGCGACATGGTCGGTGGAGCCGGGAAAGTCGACGGGCACAGCGCCCTACAGGGCGATCATTCCGGGGCACTATCAAGTCGTTCAACCCTTCAGGATCGGCTTGTCGCAGAGGATCTTTCCATTTTGCTACCCGATATTTCCACCCTTTCGTTGGAGCCTCAACGTCAAGACCGAAATGCCCATGCTCTGCCGAATACGCTTGGCAACTTCTCTGAGGGCCTCGATCAGGTAGGAGGGTCCTATCCTTGCCAAGCTATCCTTCATTGAAGCTCATAAATTACCGCCCCTTTGAGGTTGATTTCTCTGGACGATCTACAACGGAACTCAGCAGCGCGCAAGACGAGTACTTCAAGAAGAACGACGTCCCTCTGCCACCGGAGTTGTGGCTAAGAATTGTAGGGCTTCTCCCTGATGCGGACCAACGCACTCTGGCAGACGTTGCAACGGTCTGTTCATTGTTCAAGAGCGCTGCCGAAGCGGAGCTCTACAGATACCCGGAGCTAAGCAACACTCGAGCTTTGAAAACATTTGCGTCCACCATTCGAGTATCTCCGGACCACGCAGGGCTGGTCCGGGGACTTCGCCTCGGGTGCCCCGAAGCACAAACCTCGGGGTACATATCCGCGGTCAATGGCATTCTTCCCGAACTCCGGCGGCTCAACACGCTCGATCTTTCCGGTCTGGGGGACGTGTGTGTGCCTGAGCCGGTCGCGGTCGACATATTGAAGGACCCCGACGGGCTGAAATTCTCCTCACTGCGCCGCATTCGCGGACTCGGTCTATATCTCAGCCCCCGGCTGATGATGATCCTAAAAGGACTACCAGCTCTAGTCGAAGTCCCGGCACACGCCTACGCCTCCCTCCCTGATCCTGATATCGAGGATGAGGACGACTTCGAACTTCTGGATATCCCGAGGAAGCTGCCGCGATTGTGCGCTCTGTCATGCCCGTATTCAATGCTTGACGGCGTGACTACCCCGGGCAACATCACGTCGTTATGCCTTTCCAAGGTATGCCGCAAGGAAATGGGCGAAGTAGCTAGTCTCTTCGGGCCACAGCTCGTCAGATTGCGCGTGGAACGCAAGCTCAGGCCTGCGGGCTACGCTGGGATGGCGTACCCCACCAACTGGAACTGTTGGTTGCAGTTCCCGCGGCTGCGCTTTCTCGACATCCAAGACTTCGGCAAGCGGGTGAGCACACTCCAGCCCTGCTTATGACCGCTCCAATGTGCTGATACGGCTATATTGACAGTGCCGTGACTTGAAGACCGAGACTATCAAGGTGGGAAACCTGCCCCCATCGCTCGAGACCCTCCTGTGGGACCCAACGTGGATCGCGGACTGTGCTTTGCATGACTCGCGCACGGAGGAGTGGAGGCGTGTTCAGATCAGGTCGTTCGCGGAGACCGTTTTGCGAGGCTCCTCCGGGCTTCGCACGGTAGTGTACCGCTGGAGGCGAGACGTGTCTTATCAGTGCGCTCTGGTAGGTGGCAGGGAGGGGCGTTTTTGCGAGTTCCTTGCGGATCCGCTGGTGCAGGACCCATACGCGTGGGCGGACTATCGTAGCTGATTCAATGGACATATAGATGCGTCTGCTATACATTATACACTACTTATACCGCCATGTACTCGCGCTTTGATATGTTTTGTTGTTACGCTGACTCCATAGTATGTTTTATGTTGTTTAGGCATCGTACACATGTATCTCTCGTGTTAAATATCCATCATCATGATCTCAGTTTGCTCTCTTCTTCCTACCGCACGCCGAGAATAATTTCTGCCGTCAGACATACGGCAAGTCTTAGCCACTACGCACGCGAGCCAACGCGCTCACGTGGTCATCGCGAACAAAGGCAGCCGGAACGCTACACGCGTTCATACGTGAGACCGCAGTAGAGCCTAGGACAATGGCTTCGCGTGTTACATCTGTGGCTAAGATCCCTAACCGAGGTCTAGAAAAGCCGAACAAAGAGCTTTCAACACTCTATAACAGCCAAAATATTCCGAGGGGATTACCGTACCGCACCTTCGTCCTCTTTCTGCTCCATCGTGGTATCGACCTGCACAAAAAACCTACATCCACAATGTTCAGCGCATTCTCTTTCGCCCCCGCCCGCCCCTTCGACCTGGTAGTCGCGCTCAAGGAATGGAGCTCGACTAACGCGGATCATCTTGTCCCCGAGTTCGAAGGAAGGCCCAAGCGGAAGGACGATCCCACCGCCGAAGCGTGGCTAAACCTCGTCGACAAAGGGTGCTCCGCGCGCGCGGTCCCAAAGACGCATTGGCCGGCCGTGGCTAAGCATTTCATGGGCAAGAAGGCGCGCGGACGCGTACTCGAGCTGGAGAAAGTCATGCGCGCGCTGCACGGGCAGCAGTGGGACTGGCGCTGGAAGGACTTTAGGGTCGCGGTCCTGAACATGGGATGTGAGTACTTTCACGTTTGCATGAGGAAGCCGGAGAACTCACCATGGTATGATGTATCGGCAGGGAACATCGATGAGACAAAGACCCGCCCGGTCCTTGTCGAACGGAAGTCATCCGGCCTCTGGTGGATCGTTGGCGGCAAGGACGAAACTCCCGCACAACCCGTCGCTCCGGGTAAGAGCAACAGCAAGGTACCCCAGGCTGTGCCCAAGAAGCCGTTCACCGACGCGAAGCCTTCGAAGACCAACGCCAACAAGGCCTCAGGCTCGGAGTCGAAAGTGCTCACGAAGGCCTCACCCCCCAAGGCCACGGTCGTCCCGAAGGACCCCAGGCCAACCCCGACACGGAGCGGTTCCGTCTTCTCCCTCCCCGCGCTCCCATTCCTCCGACCTACGCCTCAGCCCCAGCAAACGGTCCTGCAGACGATCACGGCACAGGTGCCGCTCTGGCTACTCGCAGCCACAGAGGCGCTCTCGACGCTCTCGAACGACCACCCTGACGTCCTGACGGCAGTGGCGACCGCCCTGGTTGCGGTGGGGACGGTGAGCACGGGTGGGAGTGCCGCGGTGGCGGCCATCGGAGAGGCCGCGGTGGTCGTGGGGAGGGCCCTCAAGACCGCGCACGACCGCGCGCACTCGCACCGTTGAATGTGCTGATGATGATGAGTTACTCGGTATATTTAGGAAGCCCTTGCGCTGGTCGCTGTACTTATTTATGTTGTATCGCGCCGATGAACGTGGATGTATTGCGAATCTGTCCTCATGGAGTTTCGTCGAGACTAAGTTAATATATGGTATCATTGCAGTCGGCAGTTGGTCTAGACGTGCGGAGCGTCAAGTCAGCAACAGCTCAATCATGATGGAATATCCTCGGGCACTCACCTACTCTACAAGTACACAGTCAATCCTGGCCCAGAGCAGTACGTCACTGACGGCAACAGGACAACGATAGATAACAATAGTAAATCAGGGTCCACTGTTGTACAACGAGGGATTAGCGTCGCCCGGCGACCCTTCCCAGCCGTTCGGCATTTCATGACTTCTTGGCGTCGCCCTGGACGACCTGCACCTTGCCATCTGTCTGCGCCTGGAGCAGCGTCCCGAGGCCGACTGCGAGGGAGCCGAGAGCGTGCGCGGTGCTGCTGGCGAGGAAGGCGCCGCCGGCCCCGGCGGTCAACGCGGGGAGCGCGGGGAGGGAGCCGACGGTGATGAGGACCGCGGAAACGGCGGTCATGACCTTCGGGTGCTCGTTCGTGAGGAACTCGAGAGACTGGCAGGCGCTGACGAGCCAGGCGGGAACTTGGGTGACGGTTGTAACCGCTGGGAGGCAGGAAAATGTTAGGCCTGAACGACTTGGGTGAGGAAGAGAGCTGGCTTACATCCACCTGGCGTACCCGCAGGGGTTGCGACCGTAGATATGGCAGGCGTGGACGCGGGAGTGCTCATCACAGAAGAGAAGAACGAGCCAAAGCCCGACGATCCGGATGTGCTGAGCGACGAGATCGTCTCTACAGAGTCTGTCGTGGTTGAGCGGCGCATGGTAGGGATGGCAGGGAGAGTCTTCATCGTGGAGCCGAAGTCGAACGTCGCGCGCGACTTCGGAGGTGGCCGCGGCGGCGTGGCCTGCACGGGCGCAGCCTCCTTCGAATCGCCGTCGCTGCCCATTCTAATGATCCTCCAGAAGCCCGATGGCTTGCTCTCCACTTCGATCGTCTGCGTCTTCTGCGGGTCAATGTCCCCTGGACCCAGCGCACGTGAATCAGCGGGTGCCTCGGGCGCGCGAACCGGAGAAGAGGTACTCACAGCCCATGTTGCGCATGGCGATTTTGAAGTTCTTCCATGTCCAGCGGTACTTCCCTCCGTGCATGTTCTTCATCACGAGCTTGAGTTCATCGAAGCGCGTTTTCGCCTTGTCGGCCAGGTAGTGCTGTGCGACCTTGTGCCAGTACTCGCGGGGGATCTTGCGTTCGATGCAGCCGGCCTTGATCTGGCCTAGCCAGTCGTCCACGGGGGGATCCTTCTTCGGGTTCCCAAGGAAGCGAGGTGGGTTCGTCCACTCGGCGTAGACGGGCTCGAGGTCGTAGGTCTTGAGCTTGAAGGCGTTAAGCATGGCGAGAGTGCAGGGTGTAAGGGGGGAGTCAATTCAGGGTGAGAGTTCACGGTATCGGTGCAACCGGACACTCGCTGAGGCACAGCTGTATATAGTCCTGGGCCGGGGATCGCGAAACGCCTCGCAGCGAGCACGCAGCCTCGGGCTAGCGGCGTAGCGCAGCCTCACAAGGTCAAAACCGCGCTTCATAGCGGTCTAGGCAGGTGGGGATGGTTCAGGCCCAGCATGTGAAACGGGCGCAGACTCGCGATCGCGCACCAGATTGAGGTGCGAGGATGCGGCGATTGAAGTGAAGGGAGCACAGGATTCGCGAAGACCGACACGGCGACGGGGCGTCGTCCGCATGCAAAGCCGCTGGAGCGGAGGTGCCGATGGCCCTTGCATAGAAGACTCCTCGAGGTGATTTCGCTCACCTCGTGCACGCCCTCATTTCGCCGGGGTAGGCATTGCCTGTGCCGTACACGAGGATCAATGTGCCTCATGTTCGCGATTGTCATCAGGCCGCCGCCCGCTACGAGGAACCACGACCCAACATGAGAGGTATGGGCCCGCACCCGCTCCTTGCGTATGCTGGAGGACACGTTGGGGTCGATTGACACCCTATGGTAGTCCGGATCACCTGCCCAGAAGAAACAAGGCCAACGGTCCTTCCATTCCGGCAACATATCCGAACGCCATTAAACTTCTCTACAAAAGCATTATGGGGTCAGCCGAACGCGAAATGTATGCAAGGCGCACTCACATTTCTTGAAACTATATAGACGTACATACTACAGACACATCTGCTGTCTAGGGATAGATAATTTTATCGAACCCCACGATGCTTACCTGGTGTTTCCGACGCCCAAGAGTATGTTTGGCATCGTCATGCATCATGTATAGAGAGTCAACGTGAGGCTCTCTCAGAAATTACCGGTCGTTCTCTTCGATTAAATGCTTCAAGGCTGAAACTAGTGCTAGTCGAGAGGGGACGCGCGTAGTTGTGGAAGAATGATGAAAGACGCCCGAGAAAGCGCTCTAGCGCGCTGCGGTGATTCTAACTCCGCACGTGGGCCAGCTCTCCGGAGCTAACCCTTCATCAGTTCACTTGTTAGTCGAACTGGCGGGTTGAGCTGAACCAAGTCACCACGCAGCCATCGAACCTGCAGAGATCATCGCAGCTCGCCGAGCTCCGCCACTTGCACATAACTTGACTCTCTTGCTCTGCTACTATGGACGTGAACTTCCGGAAGATTGACATTGATCAATACGACGAGGATGTATTGCTTGACAGCGAGCTCTACGAGGCCGACCCGCGCGACCCTGCGCAAGCGTTGAACGATGTGAAGCAGAAGGCGGCATCTGTACGGGGTTCACTATCCAAGTGCGTCCGAGCTTGCACCCCTCGAAGACTTTTTGCTGATGCTGAACGCGTTTCTCAGGGGTGATATTGCAGGAGCCCTGTCTCTGGTTCTCGAGGATGCTCCTTACGGCCCGGCCGCAGAAGAGGCGAAGGTACGTCCCGGATCGACTCCGCCCTGACTGAAGATCGAAGAATTGAGAGGCGTATGCACGGTCTAATAGAACCTCAACCTACAAACCTTGGTCTCGATACTGAACAGTACCAAGGCGACGGAGATTCCGGGTGTCGTGAAGGCACTGTCTACGGATGCGCAGGACACCCTGATGAAGTACCTGTACAAGGGTATGGCCCTGCCAGGTTGGGGGGACGTGAGCGGGAGTGTGCTTCTGGGCTGGCACGAGAAGGTGAGCCCCTCAAATGCTGCGTCGTTGCTCTCCATCCCTGATGGTTGTCCGGATGCAGCTGACAGAGGTTGCGGGTACTGGCTGCATCGTGCGTGCTATGACGGACAGGAGACTTGTATGAATGCACTACAAAACGGAATGTACACTATTCTGCGCGCACGGCACGCCGATACCATCTTCTCCAGAGAGCCATGAACACGAGGTTACGAGGCGGCACTGCGCTTACATGGCATACATTCGAAGAAGCTCGTACTGCCTCAGCCCCCTTGGCTTCACCTCCCAACCCAACGACACCGTGCAAAGGAGGATACCTTTTCTTGCCCTCGACTTTATGTATAGTCGTTATGGGCAGCTCATGTAGCCTGCTTTCTGATTATGCGTGTACCCGACTCTTGAGTACAACGAGCGCCTCCTAACCGCAGATAGCGTTTCCACTGCCTCGCATCGGTATAGGGTTACGACTGCAGCCATGCAATACAGGTCATCATGCTACACACTGATTATAACATAAGATTCATTTTCACCGTTGTGTGGTCCATTCGGGATCTTTGAGTCGAGGTCTCGATGACTCGGCGGGCGCATCCCGCCACATTGGCCAAATCGAGCCAAATCGCAACTTGAACCTCGACCACCACCATCGCAGACACCGTCTGCGGCAACCTCATCTATTTTCCACTACTCCTTTTTATGCCCAATAGGCCCATCGAAGCTCATTCCACTAAAGATCACCGACACAAACAATCTCGCTCGCATACCACTCCTCGCCAACATGGACACCTGCACGGCAACTCGCATGCAGCCAGCACACCAAGCGCTCTGCTCAGCCTCCCATCGGAATCGCTCACTCACGTCACTGCCTTCCTCGACCCGCCCGACCTCCTCACTCTCGCGAGGATATGCAAGCAGCTCCATGCCCACATAGCCGACGACAACACCTGGCGCAGAGCATACGTCTACCAGTACCTCGGGATAACACCGGAGAGCGATCTGCAGGATGACGCCCACGACCGGACCCTGATGCTCCGGAGGGAGGAGACAACCTGGAAGAGGGAGTTCATTCTGCGCTACAATCTGCGGCGGTACGTCATTGCAATTTGAACTCTGGGGACGATGATACCGTTTGAGCTGCGTGCGAGCATATATGTTGTCTGGTTGTGCCTCGCTGGTACCATGCGGTCCTGCAATGAACATGTGGCAGCTCAGCCCTTCGCCCTCCTGCTTGCCTCGGTTTGGATCACTATCAGGTTGATTCGAGTTCCACGCAATTTGTTATGTTGAAAAAACTTTCCACGCCCTGCAAACACGGGTTTTACGGTGGATGCGTGTGCGCTTCCATTTCTTTGACCAGTCTTCGAAGTCTACCTCGTGACCCGTTTTGTCGGTGCAATGCGTCCCGCGAACCATCTGGGTTGACGTTCGGTACTCATCCTTTGCACAGGCGATGGGAATACTCCCGTAATACCACCATCACCCATATTCCGCATCATTCTGCTGTCTCGGCAATGCACCTGATGCCCAACACCACGCTGTTAGCGGCGTCGCTTCAGTACGGCGTCATTTCGCGATCCTACCCCTTGTCCGGCAAAGTCCTTCGCGGGTTCCTTGACGCTTCGGGGACCGCGAACGGACTGGGGATCGGTAATCCCAATGCCGAATTCTCGCCCCACGTCTCGTCGGTCGCTTTGGCATCCGAGGGTGGAACTGCGAAAATCCTTTGGGGCTACAGGAACGGCGAAGTCGCGGTTACCACCGCCGTTCGGGTCATGGACAACAATCGGGCGTCTGCTGCGAAGCTAGTCAGATGTCGCCTGGCCGACTGTCATGAGGGCGCCGTAGAGTGCGTCGCTTGGGACCACAGTATAGACGGGTCTTCTGTCTTCGCCACGGGCGGCATCGACGGCCGAGTGAAGCTTTGGGGTATCAAGACCACTCTCACGTGTCTGTGGACCTCGGAGAAGGGGGCTTCGCTCCTGCCCGACCCTTGCATCAAGCTCGCGGTAGATCTTCAACAGGGTGTCGTCACTGCAGCTCTTCGGAGCGGCGCCCTCCTCGTATGGATCGGCTTTCCGTCCCTTCCCCTAGAGCCGACGGATGTTGCCGTCCTAGAACCTCGCGAAATACGAATCCCTGCACCTTCTACCCCCTCCGGCTCTGGCACATCCCCGTATGAGCGTACCTCTCTGGATGTCTCGGACTTGCGTATCTCCGCTCAACGGGATCGTCTATCTCTCCTGGTTGCTTATCACCCCAGCTCTCAGTTCTATCGTCTCAACTGGACAGCCGCATCGGGCGTGTTCGAGCGGATTACCTTCGGAGATGCAGCTGCGGGGCCGATTCGGTCCATCCTCCCGGTGTGGGCCTCTCGCGAAGGGGATAGCAGCTTCGTGATCGCGGGGGATGAACTTGGGGCTATCAGCATCTATCCGTGGGATGCGCGACCTCCGCAGCCTCCCCGTTCCGGCACAGCTGTCGTGCTTCCGGCGCACGCCTTTTCCGCTCACGAGGACGGCGCGGTGACGGCACTCGCGTGGAACTCCGCCGTCCTGGTGTCGGGCTCGTCCCGAGGAACGGTCAAAGTGTGGGACGCGCTTACGTGTGCGTCGCTGCGCACATTTGCCTCCCCCGCCGCTAGACCATCCACCGGCGCAGAATGGGATGGCGTCAGCCAGATACTGCTAGATCGCGATGCTTTGATGGTATCGGTCGGCAGCAGGGTCATGGCGTGGAAGGCCGGTCCGGTGGGCAGGCCTGGCATGCACGGAAAGGGCAAGACTGTGCGGACTGCTAAACAGAGCGGCGTAGCCAAGTGGCATCGTGAGTGCTTTAGCGCGATGTGTATGGTAGAAGCGAGCCAAGAAACTAACGAAGATATTCTCTCCACTATCCAGAACAACTGGAGATGCATCGCGACATCGCCGAGTCCCGCCGCGAACTAGACGAGGAACAGCGGCACACCCGGCGGACGTTCGGGCGCGAGAGAGACCAGCTGTCGACGCTTGCGCATCTCGGACTCAGCGAAGTCGAAGCCGTGGAATACGTCCTGATGCTCAGCCGGGACGAGGAAGCAGGTCGTGGGCGACGCGCTGTGGAGCCATCCCCCTATGGCGAAGACGAAGGCGTGTTTATGGGCGATTTCGACGACCTACCAACTCCGATGGCCACCCCGAGCGCCGTGTTCGGACTGGGGCCCTCCAACGCCGCCTCGCGCAGGTCGTCTTCCTCAGGACACTCCTCTCCCACCTCTGGCGCTGGTACAAGCGTCTTCCAGGGCGGTCGCACAGTCCCGCGCGCCATGCCGTCTACGTCCAATCACAAGGTCCAGGTATCACCCCGTTTCCATCCCGAACCGATGGAGGCAGGGGTGGACCATAGCTCGCCGGCGCGGAGCGCCAGCTCGAGTGCTGAAAGGATCGTCCCTCCCGTGGCTGATAGCGACCACTTCCCTGCAGTCAGTCGTACCCCATCCTCAGCGTCTGGCAGCGGTGGCGCCGCCACAAGCATCTGGGCGACGCCTGCGTCGAGCATGAGGGATTCTGCTGTGGGAAGCCCGCAGTCGATACGTAGCGCGTGGAGCAACCCCCTACGTTCTTTCCATTCCTCTGAGGCACCCTCCCCGTCGCACGTCTCTGCATCGCCATCGCTGAGTCCGACGTGCTCGTTGACAGGTGTCCTCGCCGGCCCCAGTCTGTCTGGGCGAAGCGACGGGGCTGTGCCGCGCGGGGACGAAGATGACGAAGACCTGCGCTTCGCTATAGAATTGAGCCTCGCCGAGGCTCGGAGCCGTGGGGAGAACGTTTGAAGACTTTCGAGTTATGGTAACCTATGGTGTCCTGTACGTGACAGACATTGCGTTCTTGTGTTTCTTGGCTAGAGTTTCTTGACTAGAGGTTCGCGTATGCCTATCTGAGTGGCCCCTTGTCCGCTTATGCCTATAGAATCGATATGCTTCCCGCTTACATGTCCGGCTTCGAACTGTCTCATGTCGGCGATCGGACGTCGCTGGGTCGAAGGTGCGTTTGTTCCATCTTACATGTCTCCTCCGGTTTGATGTGGTTGAATCCGACTTTCTACAGTACGGCAGCAGGTCGGGCGTAGCAGCACTTCTTTGTGATATCAATGAACACCGAAGAAATACGACCTCCGGATTGGTGCGCCTCTCGTGCTATTGCTAGACCGCGGAACCCTTCCTGGTGAGTAGTTCCGACTCGCGCGTTGGATGACATGGCCTGCGTCTTCCGGCTAGAAACATGGCCGCCGCATTGCGTAACGAGCCACTGCCGCCCAATGTCGTCGGCGGCGCTCGCACTCCGCCAACGGCTGCGCACAATGGCCAAGGGGAATGCACAAGGCCTCGTGTACGGCATCTTCGAGCTGGCTAGCGCGCCGACCTGCGAGTGCGTTTGAGGGGCCGTCTGGGATTCAAAAATTACGTCCATCATGCCTGAACATCTACGAGCCCTGGATGGCAAGAGTCTTGGATCACGCCGGTGATACTTTTGCCTAGCAGCCTGCAGGAGCATTGTATCCGTTCCGGCGTGAAGCTAGAGGCGAGGCGGCAGAGGGCGGCGCCGGTCCCGTGCGTCATTTGTTCTACACGTTCACTCCCGCGACCCCTGCAGCTCGGTAACGTGCGTCTAGCGGGGCGACGCGACTTACGAGCGCATTACCACATATCCTAGAGCAGCAGTATCTTAGCTCCGGCATCGCTGGGCCACCAAGCGACCAAACATGAACTGGTGACGTCGTGGGTCGACATATGAGGTACGTATCTATGGTGTGTTGTGATGCACGCAGGGTCCATTTGACATGCCATAGCACCTTTTGGATAGCGCTCATCTATGCACTGGCGGTGTTCTGCGCCGTTCGCATAGCCTACAAGTGCAGACTTGTCTTTTTCCAGGATAGCATGGCAACTAATATCCCGTTCGGAGCTCGCTAGCCCATATCGCTGCAACCGGGCGTGCGTCTCCCGGTCCATTACGGGACCACATAGGCACAGGAACTCCGACTAGCGACTGCCTTGTCATCACACACTGTCATTATTCTATTGGCGTCGTTGATGGCTTCCTCGTAGACGTGATCTTCAGCCTCCTCAACTTCGTCCGCGATGTTCTCGGACGCTGGCAATCACAGTATACTGCCGCCGTGTTGGCGGTAGGCGGCGAGCTGCAATCGCTCCCTTCTCGAACGTTGGTGCTCTGATGTCCGGGCGTCCCAACTTTCGCGGTCAGCGCGCAGACGGACCCGTACACTGGCAAGATCTCATCTGATGACAAATACAGGCGGGGAGAGCTACGTGACGTTCGTAAGTGCCGTTTCACGCACATGCAGGGACGTCAGAGGCGCGCAGCTCCCCGACCACAATTCCGTAGTCCCCGGCGAAAGGGCCTCGCGTAGGGGGTGGGTACGAGCTAAGTATTGATCACACCATACCCAAGAAGACCGCAGCTTCTGACCAGGACCTAACAGGAAGACCGGAACCGCTCGTGGAGATGTCGGCTTGTCTATCCATGGGAACCCGTCGGCCGTCCGGGCACGTTGATGGGTGGACCCACAATGTCATCGATAAGCCTCCCGGGCTCCTCGAAACACCGTCGACAATAACAGGGAAGCACGGCACGCAGCATGAACGTTCACATTGCTGCCGCCCTTCTTGACCTTGAAGTAGTCCGATCTTCTCACTCTTGAAGCAATGAGAATCCCGCGAGTTCCTGAGCGGTGGAGAAGGCCCGCAAGACACTCGAAGACGTCTCATTTTGCCTGATATATGAAAAGATCGCGGCGCATTTTGCTTTTCTAACATATCTACACCACAGTCTTATGCCGTTCGAGCGCAAGTCTTTGGTCAACTGACTGAAACGCAGGTGCAGATCGATGGTGATCGCAGATGATCTTAGCGAGACCTAGCCGACCCGTGTTCTCGCATTCATCGCCGAGACGTTCGCGTTACGGTATGTCCGAGCCCGCCAATCTGCATATGGCTCATGCGAACCGTCCCATCAGGCAGAATAACGAACGTCTACTTTGGGCGGGCCCAGCGTGCCGCGGAAGGAATTACCTGGCGCTTGCGTCCATCACAACGCGGCATCAATTCGAGTTCCCGGGTACCAAATACCGCGGACGTCGCCTCACCCTGAACATCCGAGGCGTCTCCTGTGAGAGGGCGGAATTTGTGTATTTTTCCCGCTGCACGGTGCTGATCGCGTCGTCACGTAGTCCATGCCGATAACGAAGATGGGCCACGCGAAACGTAAGGCGCCGAAACGCGGACCAAAACACGGACCTCGGTGTGTCCCTTTCGTTCCCATCGTGGTCCACGGTAAGCGAAGTAACTATACCGCGTGTGGGTTGTATGGGCCGAACGCCCGTCCCCAGCCGTCCTCCTGGTCAGGGTGTACGACAAACACCTCCAAGAGCGCCTGGTAAGGTACAAATACCCTTACTGCGCGACATTCTGCGTCAGGCCGCCAACTGCCTTGCACCCCTACTCCCTTCCTCCTTCTCTCCCCTCCATCTCGAACACCATGAGCGTCGAGCAGCTCCGCCCTTTCCCGACGCACTTTCGTCTGAAGGACCTAACTGCGATCACTTCCCCCGTGTTCGAGTTCAAGACGAACCCGCACCAGGAAGCAGCGGCGCAAGCCACTAACGTGTGGTTCGAGAGGTGAGTGCTCACTCAGTTTCGTCGCTAGTCATCTCATCATTAATGCGCACGTTCCTGCAGGCGTAATGTCTACCATGGGCTCAAGAAGCAGAAGTTCTTGTCCCATCGGTTTGACTCCTACGCGGGGATGAGCTTCCCGGATGCTGACGCTGCCCACCTCGAGACGTGCATCGCGTTCTTTTTCTGGGCGTTCTCGGTGCGTGATCGCCTCTTTTCAACGTTGCCCTGGCGTGTTGCTGATCCGTGCGCAGTTTGACGATTTATCCGACGAGGGTGCACTGCAGTCCAAGCCCGACGCAGTCCAGGTCGGTGTGGACATCTCCATGGAGGTCCTCAAGAACCCCGCCGCGCCCGCTCCGAATTTCCCCTACGCCGCCATGTTGCACGAGTACGTCTGGCCCTCATTGATGCTCCATATATTGAAGTGCGCAGCCTTGGCTCACTCATATCTTCTCCAGCATTTGGCGACGTTTCAGATCTACCGCCAGCCCTGGCGCCTGTAACAGGTACGTAGACGCCGCTCCGGCCGGGATTGCTGACTGATTACGAAACGCTGGCTGCAGGTTCTACCGGGCCGTCGAGAGCTGGATGAACTCGCAAGTCGAGCAGGCTCGGAATCGCTCCACAGATGAGATTCCTTCCGTCGAGGACTTTATCATCCTTCGCCGGAGAACCATTGGCGGTCCCATTGTGGAAGGTAAGTTGTCTCTATAGACGCCATTAGCTCATAATGACACACCTCCTGTCTAGCAATGGTCGAATACTCATTGGATCTCCAAATCCCCGAGTACGTCTGGAGCCACCCCGTGCTACAGGAAATGTCGAAGGCAGTGATCGACATCATGACCTGGCCCAACGTACGTAGCAGCGCCTTCTCGACTCTGCCGCGCCTAAACCATTTTCCTTATCCTTTTAGGACCTGTGCTCGTTTAACGTAAGAAGATCTAATCCTCACGTATCTCAGCGAGCAGCCACGCTAATCGTGTTTCCTCGCGTATACAGAAAGAGCAGGCCGATGGGGATTTCCAGAACCTCGTGTTCTGTATCATGATCGAGCGCGATGTCGATCTCCAGAGAGCGGTCGACATCCTAACCGACATGCTGGCGCAGCGCGTTGCGGACTACGTGAGGTACAGAGACCAGCTTCCTAGCTTCGGACCCGAGGTAGATGCCGAGCTCGCTCGTTACAACAAGGCCATGGAGCAGTACACGCAAGGCACCGTCGTCTGGTGAGCCATCCATTGTCCTCATGTCGCGCCGCTAGACACGTACTAACGTCCTTGGCAGGTACTACTACAGCCCTCGTGAGTTGCAAATACGTCGCGCTGGCGTCGCGTGTGTGTTGTCTGACAGCGTTTGAATTGCAGGTTACTTCCGAGGACAGGACGTCTCTGGGAAGACAGAGATTGTTGTGCCCGTCTACGAGCGCACCGCGCCCGTCGAAGAGGCCGCGCCCGCGCCGCATGTCTCCACCACCGACTCCGAGAAGGGCGCGGCGTACGCGTCGTTCCGCTTCCCGTTCTCCGCGTTCCCCCATCTATCGTTATTGCTCCTCTCGCTGTTCGCCTGCTTGCTGTACGTCAACCTTCCGTCGCTCGGCCTTCGTCTCGCTCTCCCGTGAACCGCTACGCTATTCCTCTTCTGCGCAACCCTCAATTTACGTCTACCCTTCGTGCGGCGGGCTGCGTTACGCACGCGCCCGTTGTTCTGCGATAATTCTTACTCGCCCGCTCTAGTTACCTCCGTGTATATTGCTCCTCAGTGGCCGCGTGTGCTTAGGCGCCGCGTGCCCTCGCCCGTTGTTGTACGATTACGATCGCTAGCTTTGGCCTCGTCATTTCCCTGCTATCCACGACTTTCTCGCAATGACAATGCATGATCCTCTACCATTCCATTGTTGCTGCTGATCGAGAGGCTATCGGGCGACAATTATTTCGGCCCAGCAACGCGGAAGTTGCTCCGCGCCCTTCGACTACTCTTAACCCTCGCTTGCCTCTTTCTCCGTCTATGCTGCTGCATGTGCTCCCCCGATATCAAAGACGTCGCGGGGGATGTAGCGGGTGCGGATGACGCGCTCACCAACTCCACCGCCGCTGCGGTCGAACGTCGACAAAAGAAGCTGAAGTGCTAACCATTTCGTCCGGAACACATGGTCAATAGTCAACACATACATACAAGTGTTCGCGATCATACAGTACACACACAATTATGAACAGTATCAGTACAAGCACGCGCGTTAACGCGAGCGAGGGCGGTAGACGGAGTAATCAAGAGTAGTGCACCTCGCGCGAGGGCTTACGTAGCCGGCTGCAAGGGCGGGACGCTGACGACGGGCGGGGTAATCTTGTTCGCCGTCTCAGTGAAGACCTCGTCAATGACAGTGGCCCTGCGCCCGTCGAACGCGCCGCCGCGGACGCCAGTAGGGTTCGGCGGGGGCGAGACGTCCTTGGTCACGCTGTGCACGAGCGTGAGCGAGCCGAGCCGGAAGAAGAACGCGACGCAGTACGTACACGACATTGAGCGAAGACGCGACCGTGCTGGACTGGCGCTCTGCGAAGATGAAGAACCGGCCAAAGACCTCCGCGTCGAACGACATGCCGACGGACCCGGTCTACACGCAAGCAATAGTGTCAGCACCAGCCTGAATAAGCGTGACAAAGAGGAATGTGGGCAAAACGCACCCCGATGGCGTTCAAGTCCTTGCTCTTCGAGGGGACGGAGACGACGTTGTTGACGGTGACGATCCCGGCGATGCCCTCGCTGGTGTCCGCAGCGGTCTGGCCCTGGAGGAGCGCCTTGTAGTCCGCGCGCGACATCTCGGCACCGTTTACACGAATCGTCGCGTGCTGCGACACGAACGCGTCGAAGGCACTGTCGAACGCCTCTGCGGTCTTCGCGCCGTAAATTGCGCTGACGCGCTGCTGCACGTAGTGCGGGAGGTCGGGGAGGACGATCGCGGAAGACATGGCTGCGCGGTGAGTGAGAATAGGCTGGATAGAGCTGCGGTGTGTGAGAGGAGACAGGTACGCGGAGCGAAAGTTGGATCTGGGGAGCCTGACAGCAAGGGTCGCTGCTCTTTTATACGCAGGGAGCGCGAGCATGCCGGTCTAGTCGGTCTGTGCGGGTCCTGTGGGTACTGCGCTGGTACGAGGAAGACCCAGAAGGTGTCCGTCCGAGCTCGCTAGGAGCATAAGAATGCAGATGACCTCCTGGCGCCGGGCGGCGCCCTCTCTGTCGCCGGACGAGACCGCCACCTCCCCGAACACGTATGAGAACACCGCCAGGGCTGCGCTCGGGCGTACGCGCCGGCGTAATTGCCCTAATGAAGGGGGGCCCCATGCCGTAAGATGGCGGCGCGAGAGAGGTCGCCCCGGGTCGGCTCGCTCAACCTGAAACGACGGGCGGAGAGGGCGACATTGCCGGCGCGCGGGACGGAGCTGCTGTGCGCTGCATTTATCGCCGAGGCGGGCGGCGCCGTGACGGTCGGGACTGCGCAGGAACGTCGCGTATGCGTTCAAGGCCTAGGGCGGAGTCGGGACGTAATGTCGCTGGCAGCCAGGGCTGCACTGACGAGGCGTGCTCCCGCTGCCAGACAACCGTACGTGAACGCGTGCGCTGAGGGAGCCCTTGCGACGTATACGGCAAAGTGTGGTGGGGGCTTACGAGGAAGGTGCCGCCGACATGTCAACGCCAGCATCGCTTGAGCCACAGGGGCGGCCATTGCTGGTATGTAGGGTTAGTGAAAGGTTCCACTCCGGTGGCTTCGCGGAACCGGAACTCAAGGTGCAGCGCTTCCAGGTGGCGTGATTGAGCGTCCGGCCGTATTGGGGGAGCACGAAGGGGTAGTACTCTGGGAAGTACTCCTTGTCGTTAAAGGAGTGGGACACTTCGATGCCCAGAGAGCGAGAGCAGGCAACCTGTCGAAGTGGACGTAAACTCAACAAGTATGATGGATGGGGTGGTTGAACGTTGCGCAAGTACCTGGCTGGTGCTCACCACAGCAGGCGCAGAGGTTGGTATGATGATCATGAAGGTGCATGTCGGTATCGGTGCCGGAGCAGCGCCTCCTGCCACGATCTCCTACACCGTCCGATGTTGCCCCGGGTGCGAAATGCAGCCCTCACAGACAAGTCCGTTCGTTCCGCATCTTGATGAGATGCGGAGTGCACTCACCTACTCCTCCTTCACACTAAGTTCGCGCTCGACCTATGGAGACGATACGGAGCACCTCGACGAGCTGATTCAGGGCACTGAGCCATTTTTGTAGCAACAAGAGCCCGATAGAGTGCCGCTCCTGGCTGGCACTGCCGCACTGCTCCAATGAAATGAGCGCCCGGAGTCAGTGATGAAACAAGCACGGCAACTGCTAAACTCACCGGTGACTAGACCAGCAGACATCGCGCCCATCCCACAAGAATGTTCACAAAAGCGCTCCGTGCGCCGCAGTAGGATCGCCTGAACCATTACCGCCAGCGGAAGCGGTACCAAGACGCCTTCAGAGTGCTGCGACTGCCACCGCAGCGCTATAGCATCCCTCCTTTACGCCTCCTTCGTCACGCAAGTCGGATATCGAGCAAGCTCCGGTGTCATTTAGCAGAACAGAGAACGAGTGCGTATATAGACGATGTACAGGCAGCAAGAAAGCAAGGAAACACAAATGCAAGCAGTGTCGTGGTCGAGATCAACGTGCGCAACACCCCAAAGCGCCCACCCCTCGTTCCGGAGCGCTCATCGGAGCGCTCATCTCGGAGCGGATCTACGCTACCCGCAATCGGGATGCTTCGTCTGGTACATGTTCTGCACCCGCCGCTTCTCCGTCGCGACCTGCTCAGACGCACCCAAGTATGGTGAGGTGAGTACCATGGGGGACAGTGTGGAGAGGCACAGGCACACGTACCGTCGGACAGCGACAGGTCGTCGTGTGCGGGTGGGCGTGCGCGGCGCTCGTCTTACATGTCGGGGAGCCACAGTCCTCCTTTTCGCCTGTGAAGTACCGGCCGTGGAAGTGCTATATTGGTCAAATACGTGGTGAGTGTTCTATACGTCTCGGCATGGCTTCCACTGACCTTGCAACCCCTATAGTAGTCACCGATGCTGAAAGCGGACGGGGGGATTCAAGGATCAGCACAGCACGCGTGTGGCACACAATGGAACAACGTACATCTCGTGCTCGCACATGGCTGTTCTCGATGAAGCCGCTCCTGTTCTCGGTCGATCAGGGGGGTCGGGAGACGACGCGGGGTCGCTGCTTGCTGGTAAGCGGCGGGTGGCTACGTGGGCGGCGTCAAACAAGCTCAAGCTTCAAGCTTCCTCAAGCTCAGGCGTCGGGTGCAGGTGCGCTGCCTCTCTTCAAGTAGTCTTTATCCACCAACAAAGGCCAATGTGCAGTGAGCCGGCGCAAAGCGCAAACGCGCGAGAAGAAAGGGGATGGGTAAGGTGCGTGCAGGCCGTCGCGGCGACCGCACGACGTCGCCGTTGGCAGGGTCGGGGCTCGCTGCCCACCGGGGAATTGATACGTCCAGGTCCGCTTCCGGTTCGCACGGCGCCAGGCAGGACTCGAAGCGTCCTACGGCGGCGCGCGTGCACATGGAAGACGCGTACCCGAGCTGTGGCCCCCTACGCTCGACGGTATCCTCATGCCCGCTGCGTCCCTTGCGACCTATACATCGGCGATGACGTTGAGCGCGCGTGCGCTTGCGGCCGGGTGCTATTATAATGGACAGTCTTCTAGTATATCTACGCGAACCACGAAGAAGCACAGACCCAAGGCGCGTGCGCGAAGCGATAGCGATATCGTGACCCAGCAGGTCGCGGGAGAAGGGGGACAGTGATGCAATGCCGAGTTGCTGCTAACTGCGCCGGGGACAATGCGCAGGGAGAGGGTGCACGGGATACGACTCGGGAACGCGGGGGCGTCGTGCTCGGTCCGAGCAAATTCGAAGGCCTTCTGGCGCGCCGCGCGCGAGTCGTCTGCAGGGTTGGGACTGGGGGCGCGTGTGCGGCGGACGGCGGATGTAGCACTTCGCTCTTTCGGAACGTGGATCAGGCGCGCTGGGGGACACTAGTACTTTGAACTCAGTCTCCCGACTCCCGAGCAGTCTCGGTCACCGGTGTACTTTGAACAAGGGGAATTGGCTACAGAGGATTGGCGTCGCCGCCCTCACTCCCGAGGAGCGTGTCTGTCCGAGGGCGCGAACACCTCTCCCAGCTCGACCTCCGAGTGCCCCCCGGCCATCCTGAACAAGAGGAACTGGATACAAAAGATTGGCGGCGCCGCGATGATCCCGAGGAGGCTGCTGCTCCGAGGGCGCGAACACCCTCTCCTCCTCAGGCCTCACAACCGGAGTGCGCGCAGAGCGGATGCGCACCCCCTCTCACGCCGGAGGCCATACCCCCAAGCAGAGCGGCATCCCCCACCCAACGGAGCGAGCAAGCGGCGGCGCGGGCCTCGCCTCTCAGAAAGGTTAATCCGGCGCACCGCGGCCACAATCCATCGAGGGTCCCGAGCGCGCCCGCGCGCCGATGCGACCGCAGCGGCCCCGAGCGACGTTGGACGTCGCATGTTTAGCCTCGACGGGGCGCACGACGACGTTGCTCTCCCCCGTCCCCCGAGCTCCCCGGGCCGACTCCCTGGTCCCGCGGTACCCGAAATGCTCAGCAGAATGCCGCATAGCGAACTGGGAGAACACAAGCCCTCCGTCATAGGGCCTGGGCCCCGCACGCAAACCTAAAGCGCGCGGCGGTGGCGGCGCGGTCGGCGCGGACTCGCAGGGACAAACACGCCCGGAGGTGCGCCAGATGCAGCAGGCTTCGCAGGGGGAGTCGCGCTGTCGGAGAAGCGTTAGCGTTGGACGGGTCTGACATACGGACATCTGGCGGCTGGCGGCTGGCGTGTGGCAGGACGCGCGACATGACATGCGTGGATCAGGCGGATTAGAAGGGCAATACACTGTACAGAGGGGGCGGGGCGCGTGCGGGGCGCGCGGAGGACGCGTGCGTGCTACTGTACACAATGTCAGACGGGGCAATACATGTACACGACGGCGATAGCGGATTTGGGCACGGAGGACGGAAACGGGGATTAGCGGAAAACGGAGCACGGAGCGAGACATGTCGTGGGGGGATCGTACTATCGTATGGACGTGGGTGCGCGTTACTGGTACTGTGCAGATCGGGGGCGACGAGAGCGGGAGGGGGAGTACAGGTGTGTCCGGGGTGTGGCAGGGGGACGTAAACAACGAGCGGACCCTTGAACGATATCACGACGGACGAGACGGGACGGGAGGGAGATGACGCGCGCGCGCGCGGGGAGGCGCGGGTCAGGGGGTCGCTGCGCACCGCGCTGCGAGCGCGAGACCGAATGCAGGGAGGTCTCTGCCTCCAGGGAGCTTTGCAGGACCTGCGCGCTGGCCCAAAGTCAGCCCACTGCTATCGTTTTCGAGCGAGCGGTGGCGTGGTACGTACCTGCGCTACATGTTCTTCTCCGCGAGGACGACGGTGGTGACGATGACGACGACCGCGCCCCAGAAGCTCATGGTCGCAATTAGACAGCGTCGCGACCACTTCTCTTCTGCCGCGCGGTATGCGGTCTTGTGCCGTTGCATGTCCTCCGCAGATGCTACTGACGCGCGCTCCAGATCAGGCTCGTAGCGTGTTGGCTTAAAAACAAACACCGCGCCGACCATCCAAAGGAAAGGGAACACTATTTGGAAAACGCGCGTCTTAGTACACGCGCGTCCTGATAATCGCGAGGTACTCACAGAACCCCCACATAAACATCCTCCTTGCAAGCGTCCCAGGCTCCCTCCACTCCTTCGCCATCCCCAGCTCAAAGCTCTCCACCGACGTCTCCCTGCTTCCCCTAGGCCTCTTCGGCGGCGGCGCAGGGCGCGCGCCCTGCGGGCCGCCGCCCCAGAAGTTCGCGATCAGGTCCGCCTGGTGGCCGAGCGCCCACAGCTCGGACGGCTGCGTCGCGGCGGGCGGCGGGGGCGTGGGCAGCGGCGGGCCGAGCGTGATGCTCGACGCGGTGCTGAGCGGGCGCGCGCGGCGGAGCGCGCCACCCGGGGCGGGTGCGGGTGCGGGTGTGGCGGATGTGCCACGGGGTTTGGAGACGTAGCTGCGGAGCTTTTCGAGGGGTGCGGAGAGGAAGCTTGGAAACATCGTGCGTGTGCTGTTGCGTGCGAGACTAGAGAGCGAGAGGATACAGATCGTCGACTTGCGACGAGGAGACTAGCGATACAGCAGGACGTCTAGAGGAGCGGTGCGAAGAGAGCGAGAGAGAGCGTTATGCAGGTCGCCCACCCCGCTCGGGCCTTCATTATATGGCCCCGGCGTGCGCGTCCCAATACACAATACGCGGCGTCCCCAGCGCCGACCTTTCGCGATCGCCTCCATTCTTGCCTGGCCCTCCTGTCCCGCGTTGCCTTCTGCGCGTGCAAGACAAAAACGGGCAGACGTAACGTGTAGGCCGCCCGCTGCGCGGGTCAATGTCGCGCGGCCGCCTCTTCACAGATGTCTGGGGGTAGGACAATAAGGCTGGCAGGGAGGTGGGCCCGCGGATGCAGATAGCTTTGGATGGGGGCGCGGGTAGTTGTGTGCAAGTATACCGCGAGGCGGCGACGAGGTTCGAAAGACAATAGCGTGTGAACGGCCGGCGCTACTGTGCAGACGGGCGAGACGCGCCCACGTGATCGTGGCCACGCGTTGTGGACGCGACGCGCGAGGTTTGCTGCGCTCCTGGAAGTCATTGAACTCAAGAAAGAATGCATGATAACACGCTGGAGAAGGATTTGAAACACGCTCAAAATGTGGTAGAATAATGTTTTCGACAACGTCAAATGACAACAAACAGAAAACAATGACTGGGTATCACTACGGGAACGGGTATAGTGCGAGTTATGAGGGTAAAATCGAGTGTCGGAGTGCAGGGATACAAACCAACGGAAGGATATTGAGGTCAGAATTTTTCCGATTTAACGATGTGCGGGATGGATTGCAGCTCGGACTGCGAAGGTTTGATCTCATCCGCTTCCACCGTCAGCCGCCGGCGCTTAGGCAGGATGTCGACGTCCGCGTCGAAAATCCTCCCCTTGCGCTTCGACTTCAGGCACAGCGGGCTCTCCTGGTACAGCGAGCTGTTGCTCATCCCGCCAAAGATCGAATCGTTCTCAAAATCCAAAGTTTATCAGCGCACACGCTCGATCTCAACGGAAATGAGCTCACGCACCGGGCTGGCCGCAGCGCTCTTCTTGCTCGCGTTCGAGAGCAACAGGCTGTCATCCATGACGCGCGACGAGTCTATCACAGCCACCGCCACCGACGCCGCCACACCGTCAGTGCCTCGTACCTCGCGCACGTCCAACGCACGCAACGAAAGGGACATCGACGTACTGGCACTGCGCAGCTCGCCGCGCTCGCGGAGGAACGCCGCGATTTCCGCGCGGAGGAGGCGCTGCGCCGCCTTCTCCTTCGCGATGCGCGCTTTCGCGGCGTCGATGTGCGCGGTGATCCCGGCGCATTGTTGGATGAGGACTTGGCATGCGGCTTCGTGCCGGAGTGTGCACTCGAAGGCCTCGGGGAGGTCGTCTAGGATGGAGGCGATCAGGGGTGCTAGGGTGTGGGACATGGCGATCGGGGGGCGGGTGTGTGAGGAAGGGGAAGGGTGTGGCGGTAGGTAAGGTAGGGTGATGGGAGAAGTTGGGCCCGCGGAGGTATGTGTCGGCTGTAGAGGCTGACGGGCTGACTTGCTCTACTGTGTGTGTTTCGTTCGTGAAGCCAACCTATAGGAAGATTGTCGTACCTACAATTCTTGTCAGCCGCGGAGAGGCTGGCTGCACACATCCAACAATATCGCGATACGGCACTCACATCTTTCACCCACCTCTCTTCTCCTCGGGCTCCCACCAGCGGCGCCCTCCCGCCGCACAGTGTCAATCCCTCCTTCATACTTCCATCGCGTCATTCTACCATGCTAGCCTACCAGATGTCCCCCGACATATCCAGCCACTTCGCCACGGCGGACATCTTCAGCACCGCACAGCTCCTGCAACAACAGCTCTCCGAGCTCGAAGAACGCTCCCGCATGAGCGCGGAGAGCGAGGCCCGCCGCATCCTCCACCGCGCCGGCCTGCAGCGCATGCTCGCCGAGTACACCGCCGTCGAGTCCGCCGAGGCGCGCGCCACCGCCGACCTCGCCGCCACGCTCGCGCGCCTCCGCAGCGCCAACCGCACCTCCATCACCCAGTCCCAGTCCCAATCGCAGTGCCATCTCCCGCCGCTCCGGGCGCCCTTCCCCTTCGCGCGCAAGCTGCAGCTCGGCCTCCAAACGAGTACCCCACCAGCAAGCCCCTCCTCTCAGGACGCACGCCGCGGATCCCCGGCGACAGCGCCCCCGGGCGCGGGTCCTGGGGCCGGTGTTCAAGCGCAAGCGCAAGCACGCTGGAGCGGGTCCTCGCCGTTCGCCCGGCTCGCCCGGGACGCGCTCTTCGAGTGCTCGTCTCCGCGGGGGCCGCTGTGCGCGGCCCGCACAGACGCAGACGCGGATCCCCGGCAGCCGACGGGGGGCCTGCCGCCCACGCCCGCCTCGCCCGCGACGCCCATGACCGATGCGGAGGCCGCCCTCGCGCGCACGCTGCACGCATTCTTCGCGTCGGACCTCCCGGCGCAGGAGCCGGACGTCTCGCTCTCCTCGCAGTACTCCGCGGGGCCTGCGGACGTCTCATTTGGGCTTGGGCAGCCGGGGAGCGATGGGGAGACGGGTACGCCGACGAGGGGGGCGCGGCTGTCGCTGCTCGATCCGAGCCTGCGCGCGGTCGCGCTGGGCGATCATGTGGTCACCGCTGCGCGCGGGACCGACGTGGACATGCCTGCAAGCCCGGCCCTGGAGAACGAAGTGTCCGAAGCGGACGCACGCGACTCTGTGCGAGCGAGCGTGGTGGCTGGGCTCTCCGCGGCGCTGGCGGGGCGCCTGGCGAAGGCGACGTTCGTGCGCGTGTGCGCCCGCGGGACGCCGGCGACTGGGCGTGCGGATCGTCTTGGGGAACACGAGATTGGGCCGGCTGCCGAGGAGATGCGGGTGGATGAAGATACGGAGGAGGCGGAGGGGGAGGGCGCTGGGAGGGGGCGCTGGTCACGACCGTCTCTCTTGCACCGATTGTCTGACGCCGGGGCTAAGGTCCACAAGATGAAGGCCAGGCTGAGCAGGGGTGGGGTCACCGACACCAGAGTGACCCGGAGCCCGAGGCGTGCGCGGCCGGCCGGGGTCTACGGGAAGTGTGGCCTCATTGGTGGGCAGGTGAAGCTCGTCTTGGTTGTGGGGAGACGGCGGATGTCCATGATGGCGGACAGGGTGCACGGCACCCGCAGGTCAAGCCTCCGTGACGATGACCTCGTCGCGGCCGCTCGTGACGCCGTGCGGGAGGGCTCGTTCTCCATCGAGAGCGTTGTGGCGGTGGCGGAGAGCGTATGACGGGTGCAGGGACTCCGAAGGGCGCAGGGGGTCGTGGCTGGGGGTCTCGGGCTTCTGGAAACGGACCGATGAGTTACTCGAGAGGGAGGAGGAGGGAACGAGGAGCGCACCCGACCGAGACTGCGAACAGAGCGCAGTGCGGGTGCGCGCGAGTATTGGGTCCGTGATACGGGATTCAGGTGGCCGGGCACCATAGTTTGTGTTCCCTGCGACACCCAATTGTCGATAGCCGCTAATTCAGCAGCGGGATTTCGTACCACGTCGCGGCGGCCAGGCCCCTGCAGGCGCCTCCGTCTTCTTCGGGCACTGCCAAGTCCGGGGGCCCAAACGCACCCCCAAACCTCGAGTGCATCGGCGACATTGCCAGATGACGCGGGCGCACCTGAGCAGCGTGCTGCTGCCGAGGCTGGATGCAGCTCGGGCAGTGCCATAAGCTGCCGTCATCGGTGACCCGCTAGCGGCGGCGTAGGTCGGCCAGTACGTGAGCCCTGCTCCGCCGAGCGAGTTGTATTCGTCTGCGTGTGGCAGGATGACAGAGCGCGCCGTCATCGATGCGAGAACGGCCCTATCGCATACGCGGGGCGCCGTGGCTAGCGTACGAGCGACCCGCGAGGCTCTCGATAGCCCGCCGTCGGAATGAGCGTAATCGACGTTTTGGACGGCGGGAGGAGGCAGAACGGGCTGATACCCCTCCAGACTCCCGTAACGCGTACGCGAGAGCATTGCGCAGGGCTGCGCACCGGGGAGGCGAGCGCGGCCAAGTGATATCGGCACGGCGCACGCCCCCACGGTGCAGCGGGCAATCAGACGACGAGGCTCAATGTGACTGCCTGCGGCGCTGAGGTGCGAAAGCATCGGCGCACCTGTCTGATCGTGCGCGCCGTGTCGAGTGCGCGGAGGCAGGGAATGGAGTGCGAGTTGCGGGATATGGCCTCGGGCAGCAGCTGGATTGCGACGGGGCGCGCTGGCAAAATCGTCTGTGGCGGCGAGGTCGCAGACAGACGTCAGCTTACGTTCTAGGTTCGAAGTTCCTGGCCACCGGGTAGCACCTTGCACAGGCTCCAGAGATGAGGAACCGCGTGGACGTGTGCGGCAGGCCCGGTGAACACGACAGCGACATCGGACAGGAGCACATCCCCGATGGCATCTGCCGATGACAACCCTGACTATGACTGATGCGCACATCGTCGATATGCGCACTGATCCCGCACGGTCGGAGAACGGGCGGGTTCTTGAGCTTGAGGCTGTTTTGCATGTGTCAAGGACGAACGGAAGCGCAGCGCAAGCGGTGGGGAGGGGCGCCAAAATGATTGAGGCCGGGATCGAACCGACGACCGCTTGTGTGTAAGACAAGAGTGATAACCACTACACCACTCAACCGTGCTGGGGCTGGCTTGCGGGCTTTTGTGTCCAGTTCCTGCTATTCCCTGCCAGCACACGGAGGCAGACGCGGACGGCCCTTGACTCTGTTCGACGATCTGCGAGACGGTGTCGTAGGAAAGCGAACGACTCGGCGAGATGGGCGGTCGACTGGACTGATTCTGCCCACGCCGTAGGTTGTCGTACGTAACGCATGTTCCAACGCGAGGTTCCTGCTGGGTCGGCTGATGGTCTCGCCTGCTATTCCAGGTGAAATGGCCAGAGTTCGAGCTGTTCCTCGCGTTCTCAGGTCTCATATCCCCCGGCGCCGCCATCTGCCGAGCTCGAGGTGCAAAGCAGCGATGGATTATCTCTCGCACGCTCTCCAGAATCCCTCCTCCGCCCCTCTCTCTCTCCACGTCTGACTCTGAGACACCTCGGCGGGCCCAGTTCCTCCAACGCTCGCTGGCGTCCCAAACAAAAAGGCGCCACGAACAGCGGCTGACGCCCCAACTGCTCACGTTGGCCCGAGCGGTGGACTTTGGCGACAATGCATGCGTTTCTCCGTGGACAAGACGGCAATCGCCCTATCTTCGCTTCGGGGCAGCAGCGCTGTCGCACTTGCGCCTGTCCATCACGTATCGCGATACGCGGTGCATCGGGAGGCTACCCTTGCCCGATTCATTGAATTCGCGCATACCGCTCCGCCGGATCGCCCCGCCCCCGGGAAACGTCGACTGCATGCGTATGTCGACCCTGGCCCGGGGGCCCTCCGCACGAAGAAGGCTCGCGGGGCTCGGACTCGACGCCCAGAAAACGAATGCGGCAGGTAATATTCGCGCGCACATGCTCGGCGCATAACGCGCGAGCGGGTCGGATACTCCGCTCCGCCTCGCGCTATAAAGCCCGGGAGGGCGCGGGGGTGGCTCAATCCACATCCAGCCTCGCCGCCATCTGCGACCGCGCCGGGCTTCCTTTCTTCTTTCCGTCCGCGAGCCACCCGCCACCGCCAGAACGCTAACGCTTCGGACACCATGCTGTCCGTCACGCACGTCGTCGCGCCCGTCAGCGTCGCCGCATTCGCCTTCGTCCTCCTCCGCGTCGCCTTCTCGTGGTGGGTGCACGGCGCGAAGCACCGCGCTGAACGTGCTCGGCTCCCGCCCGGGCCCAGGGCGATCCCCTTCCTCGGGAACGTCCACCAGCTGCCCATGGACTACCAGGAGAGGACGTTCGCCGAGTGGGCGAAGCAGTACGGTGCGCAATATTATATTCTGATCATCCGCGATATCGCGCGGACGCGGGCGTGGGTGCGGGCGTGGGTCGGAGTTGGGGAGGGTGATGGTCGCCCCCCACTCCAGCTGCTGCGCCCGAGCCCGCGTCGCCCTCCGCGCGCCGATCTGGAAGGCGGCGTATTGAGTTGGCTGTCTGTTTAGGTGATGTCGTGTACGCGAAGCTGTTCCAGCGCCCGGTGCTGGTGCTCAGCTCGCTCCGCGCGGCGCAGGATCTGCTTGAGAAGAAGAGCAGCAAGTACTCGGACAGACCGCGTCTCATCCTTCTCGCCGAGCTGTGAGTTGCGCAACCCATCGAGATCCCGCCGAGTACGCGCTGATCCGCCCCGGGGACGCTGCTTCGCACGGCGCTAGCATGGGCTGGGACAACGTCATCACGCACCTGCCCTACGGCGACCGTTTTCGCAAGCATCGCCGGTGGATGCACGACAACTTCCAGTCGAAGGCCGCCCTGCTCGGCTACCGTCCGGTCCAACGCCGGGAAACGTACACCATGCTCGCCGGTCTGCTTGAGTCGCCGGTCGAGTTCATAGAGCACGTTCATAGGTCCGTCGGCGCATTTATCCCAATTATCCAGCGCTGGTTATAACGTCTTCCCGGGCAGATGGGCGGTCGGGACGATCATGGAAATCACGTACGGGCACCGGATACACTCGATGCAGGACGAGTACGTGAAGCTAGCCCGGGACGCGACCGTCGAGACTGTCATTGCCGGCAGCCCCGGCTCAATGCTTGTCGACTTTTTCCCGATATGTGAGCAGCAGCACGCTTCGGGCCTTCCTCGCACCCGCGCCTTCTCTTCCTGCGCGCTCACCGTGTTCGCTTGCAGTGAAGGAGATCCCCGTCTGGGCCCCAGGCGCCGGCTTCAAGCGCAACGCGTTCAGGGTCCGCGGCCTGGTGCGCGCACTCATGGACATGCCCTACAACATGGTCAAGACCGCCCTGGTACGCCCCGCCCCTGCGTGCGTTTTTGCGGGCTCGGCAGCTGACTGCCCCCGCCTCTCAGGCGAGTGGGAATGCGCGGCCGTGTTTCACGGCGAGCCTTCTCGAAGATGTCTACGCACGGAATGGAATCACACCCGAAGAAGAGGAGGACATTAAAGGTGCCGCAGGCGTCATCTACGCTGGTTCGTCGCTATCGCGCATTCAGACCGCCCACCCCAGCTGACGTCCGCCTGCGCTTCTCCCAGCGGGGACGGACACGGTACGCATCCTGCGCCTCAGCTGACTCGCGGGCGGCAACTGACGAGCTATCTGTGGAATTTGGGTGGCAGACCATAACGGTCATGTCCACGTTCTTCCTCGCGATGGTGCTCCACCCCGAGGCGTTCAAGAAGGCGCAGCAGGAGCTCGACGTCGTCATCGGTCGTTCGAGACTGCCGGACGACACAGATAGAGAGAACCTGCCCTATTTGGAGTGCTTGTTGAAGGAAGTCTACCGGTAAGTTAACTCGCCTTCTGGCCCTGGATGCCGTCACCGACTTGATCGTACTTTGCAAAGTTGGCAATGCCCCGTCCCGCTTGGTGAGCTATCATTATCCTCGGCCCACCGAATAGAGCGGGTGTTCAACCATAGTCCACAGCGATCCCACACAACCTCATGGAAGACGATGAATACCGGGGCTACCACATTGCGGCTAACACGATGGTTATCCCGAATATCTGGTAAGCGCCTTCTTGTTTCTCATTCCCGTGTTGATAATCCGGCAACTTATGTTTCCCGCTCAGGCAAATGACCCAGGATTCTAGTGTGTATCCCGAACCGCAGAAGTTCCGGCCAGAGCGCTGGCAAGAGATGGACCCGCAGACAGCCGACCTCGCCAACCCGCGACGGATTGTGTTCGGATTCGGCCGACGGTGCGTAACTCCACGCCCCAATTCTTCACGCGACAGCGGACGCAATACTCACTCTCGCGCCATGTGCACGTCCACAGGGTCTGCCCGGGGCGCGACTTCGCCGACGCAGGTGTGTGGCTCGCGATAGCAAGCGTCATTGCGCTCTTCGACATCGGCAAGAGCATCGACGCCTGGGGAAACGAGATCACGCCCCCGCCCGAGTTCGTCTCCGGCTTCGTCAGGCGAGTGCCCCTCCGCCCACAGATGCCGGACCTTCCATTCCGCTGTCGCTGACGCTTGTTTCTCTCCCCCCCTCCGTTTCTTCCGCTCCCGCCGCGCGGCGTGTCCTGTGTTTCGCCTCTGCAGCCACCCGAAGCCATTCGTGTGTGCGATCCGGCCGCGCGCTGGGAATGCCGCGGACATCATCGCACAGGCGCGCGCCGCGCTCCCGATTTGAGTCTCGCTGCCGTTGCCTCCGCACATCGTGCACCCTCCGTCTTCCGCCCTTTGCGAGCTGCGTCTCAGTCTGTCACTGCGTTCGCGTCCCACTGTATACCAGGCGCCTCTGCGCTCCACCTCCCACTTTCGTTCTCAACACCCAACCTGCATTCTACCGGATTTGCCGCGACACCTTTTGCCTGTACACTATCAGCACGGACTCCAGCGAGACGCCTGTATCGTCGCTTTCGTTATCACTCACTCCCGTTCGCACTCCAACTTTGAGCAACACTCTCACTGACTTTATCATAAATTACGGCGCTGCTAATACGTCAGGAAGGCCATATATCCATGTACCTAGCTAGCACCCGAGGATACCGTATCAACGTCATTCGTCCTTGTCAATTCGAACGCCCCATCCCGCATCCCTGCCAACTCCCCTCAAGCTTACGCGTATCCGCCACGCTGGGGTGCATACCCGCCGGTCTCTGTCGCATACCCACCACCACTCTTGAACTCGTCAGACGCAGCCCACCGGCCGGACGAGCCGGTACCCACAGCCGGGGGGAACGAGACGGCGACGGTCGGCGTGCGCACGTAGTCGCCGCGCGCCTGCGCGTCGTCCGTGTCCTTGTGCAGCGGCGTGCGGATGCCGACGACGGTGTACGTGAGCACGACCGCGTACTCCATCGCGACGCTCATCGTGAGGAAGAGCGCCCAGCTGCCCGTCGTCGTGCTGAACTTGCTGAGCGACGACGGGTGCAGCATCAGCACGAGGTGCCCTTCGGCGTCGAACCCGAGTTGGGAGGGTACAAAGGCGGAGAGGATGCCGTAGAGGACGCGCACGCCGAGGAAGGGGAGTGCGCAGGCGATCCCGAGCAGGAGCTGTCAGCGGTGGGAACGATGTGCGGTCAGCCATGGCTCTGTGTGGGAGAGGAATGTGGGTACACACCTTGCGGCGGTATTTGGGGATCGTTTGGCGATTGATCCAGCAGAACGCGGTCGCACCCACGAGGGTGAAGTAGAGCACGCCGAAGACGATGATGCCAATGTGCCGGAAGGTCGTGGCCTGGTCAAGTTGCGATTGAGTCTTCGCATTCCCGCTCTTGGTTCCGCTGATGACAACCAGCACGAGTGCCCCAGTGCCGAGCAGCTCTAGAAGCAACAACCCAGTCTTCACAAAAGCCCTCTGGTCGAGGGAGTGCTGCGTGCTATAAAAGCGTGGGGTGAGCGTTGGCATCGCGTTGTATAAGTGAGAAATAATGTACATACACTGTCCCGAGAAAGCCGCATGTAGCTATAAGTAATTGTGAGAGGCCCGCAGACTCCGTGACAGTGTATACGGTTTGTAGCGTCTTGTCTGTGGGGTTTTGTTCTGACAGGATATGTGTCACACCGCCGACAATGCGGACTGCAAGATGGGGGTATAACATATTAGCACTTGTCGCTAGCATGTTAAGGGACGTTCGGAAATGTGCTTACAGATGGAGAGCAGTAGCAGATATATCCACCCGGCCTTGCGGGCGAAGCCATTGCGGAACACAACGGGGATAATGACCAGGAGAAGGGGGGCATAAATTACGATTTCTACGATGGCGATGTAGCCGCGGGCGTCGAGTTTGACCATATTGTCGATGGCTCGTCAACGAGTGTCACCGAGAAGAAGGTCTAGGTCTATGCAGGAAGATATTAAAGTGAGGAGTGAGGAGTAGAAAAATGAAGAGGTGGATGCCCACCTATACTGCAGACTTGCCACGCTATATATCCTTCTCGTCCTCCTCGCATTGCCGTACTGTCGAGATAGGTTAGTTGTCAGGACCAACACCGCTTTGAGGTGTGCAAGATCCCCGGCTCCGCCTCGCATGCTATATCTTTAGACACTCGTCAACAAGCCACAACCACCGCACGGATGAAACTTCAAAACATTCCATGCGGACAAGGTCGATATAGCACCCGCTCGCACACGGAGTCCGTGGTACTCGGGATTCGCGCCCATGCGCCCCGCACGCGCCTCCACCATAGGATCCCCGCCGCCAATAAGCGACCCAAACATTTGCATTGCAGCGGCGCTCTCGCTAATCGCCAGTACTCCCGCGCACTGTTCGACTTCGATTTGAAAATTCCGTGCGGGCCCGTGCGGCACGTTGTAGCCGTCGCCTCGCCCTAGGTGGAGACGGTAGCACACAGTGCCGTCAGTGGTGAGCACGTTACATCGCAAAAATACACGAAAATACAAAGGTGCTGTACCGATGCCGGCATGGCCGCATTGCGCGTGCAATAGTGTAGATCGCCTTTCCGCACGGGGCGCCGACTGTCGCGGAGGATGTAGCGCGCCGCCTCTGGTGGGTAGGGCAATGACCCATGATCGTCTGATAACTATTGACACTGTTAAATATCAGTAGCTCACGAGCAATAGTAGAAGGCCTCTCTGTGACCGCATCAATAGAGCGCACGACGTCGAACCTTCAGCATTGCCAATGGTCCCGGGCGGACTTGGATCTTTCCTCCAGGCTCCACCCACCTACCTCCGCACCGCCACGTCGCAAGCGCTGCCCGCCCAAGCGCAGCGTCTTCGCGTCTTCGCACCTTCATACTTCACGAGTTGCAAGTCCGACGCGCCCCATGACGAGGGCGCAGCCGCCACATCGCCGTCCCGCGAGTAATACTTACGCTCGCCGTGCTGCGAACGCACCCACGCGCACACTCTCCGCTCCCGGCGGGGCTCGAGCCTGTTGAACGGCTCGCGGGCGTCCGCGCCAGAACCCGCCACGCGTAGGCGCACGTCGCACACGCGCACCTAGTGACCTACTGCGACGCACGCCAGGGCCACGGCACAGCTCTGCAGGCATATCGGGCGAATCAAGATGGGGGATCGGCCCCGGAGCAGGTTCTGCATCGCGGTGACGCATCGGTGGCGGCGCCCATGGGGTGTGAAGGGGGAAGGGAGGCACCGTCGGCGGTGGGGGCGCGGGCACGGGGACGGGAAACGTCGCAGTGCCGGCGGCGGGGGATGCTGTCAAATACGCGTACTTGAGCTCGCCGCATCGGGGGCGCGCGCGGGGCCTGCGCGCCCTCGTCCATCGGGCGCGGGGGCGGTGATCAATCGGGCGGGAAGACGATCGATCCCGAGCCGCCCCCTCTCAGGCCGCAGGCTCTGGATCCCAGGCACGCACACATGAGAGCCTAACTGTGTCGGACGTCCAGCATGACTCGGGGAGGAAGTAGTGTCTCCTCGTATGGGGGGGAGTGGTGAAGAAATCATCAGGTGGGTATGACATTGGGGGCCGCCGAGAGAGGACCCGGATTACGATCACTGGTCCCGGTCGCCGTACCACACTCCGCCTATCTCAGTCACTGCGTCGTCGATGTCGCCCTTCTCGTTGATGCCACGCTGGTGCTGGTAGTCTTCCGAGCCCACGCCACGTACTTTGCTGTTGTCGAGCCATACGCCGCCCGAGCGCTGGTCGATGTCGAGCTCGATTCGGGCGGCCTTGCATACGGCATCGAATCCCGATGGGATCGGTACTCCCAGACCGAGACGGAATTTCTTTAGAGGGCCTGTCCGCGCATACCGCTGGATGGATAAACGGGCGAAAATGACGTGAGCAGCGATGAGGCCCAGATCAATTGGTCGTACGCACCGTATATGTCAAACGCGACGAATGCAGGCATAGAGTGGCTATCCTACGGAGGTCAAGCATACGAGCAATCTCCTGTGTCTGCTCGCTTGGCCCATAAATATCTCCGAGGATCGGTGCTGTAGAAAAATACGTTGACGATAGAACGCGGCGACAACGAATGAGTGCGAGCTCACTGCCGAGTTGTTGAGCCAGTTGGGCTCGTATCTGGTGCTTGAGGCCAGTCACGAGATTCAGCTCAAGGAGTGATATTGGAGCTGTCGGCTTCGCAAGGTGAGTATGTGACGCCCAGGGTATGATGGCAAAGTCATACATACCGAGGATGCAAGGACGCGATACTCAGTGATGGCCTGTTTTACCCAGTTCTCACCCGGAAGATTTGAGGATGATACCTGGCTTGGTTGGTGATATGGACCGTCTGCGACGCGTATACGGCCGTTCTCGCAAATCAATTGGGTGTCCATAGTACCGCTCGTCGAAGGAAAATCGGCTGCTTCGCCGCAAACCAGGGCTAGATACGTCTTCTGCATTGACCTGTCTTGCATCTGGCGAGCGATATCCCGAGCCGCAGCGTGTGTGCGCGCTAGCAAAAGGACTCCACTGGTTTGCTAGAACGTTTGATTAGTGTCTTAGTGACGCTTCACGAGACACCAACGTACTTTGTCCAGGCGGTGAACTACGCGCAGATCTTCTTCCATAAACAAAGCTTCTCTAATGCCTTCCACAGGCGATGAGCTCTTGTAGGCAACATGTTTACATGAAATTTACCCCGAAGCGCAACACTCATTAAATCTTCGTCATTTTCCTCGACAGGAGGCGACTGTAATCAGTCAGCCCTCGTTACGTGGAATTTTCATCGTGAATAACCTACCGTGATAGGTCTTGAAGGCTGACAGACAAGCCCCCTGGGTTTATTGATCGCCACGACACTTTTGTCGGCGTAGAGGATTAGGTTCTGCGGTTTTAGCTGTTTAAGGAGGTAGCCATTGTTTCCAGCCGGCTTCGCCTGCTGGGTAGCTTTCTTTAAAGCCCGCATAACGGTGGGCTTCTTCATGTCTGAAAATCAGGAGGTGCAGGAAGAAAGCCTTCCGGGCAGCTTCTTGAAGATGCTGTGACGCAGTTGAAGGCGCTAAATGTACTGAGTTCTCTCGATGGTGATCGACCTTCCGTCTTTCTGTTTGGGACTCTGCACATAAAAAGTACAGTATTAGTACAGAAGAATATCAAGGAATTCCTCGGACGCGGTAGGAGTGGCATACCTTGCGTTGCTGGATCTGGAGAGAGAGCGCTGAGCAGGCGTCTACTGACAAGTAGGGGAGGTCGGAGCGCCCACCTTGAAGTTTGCGCTCCGAAAGCGTTTTGCGGAGCAATACAGACTCCGATTGATCAACGCATTTTGAGAAGCCGACTCGCACATTTCGTTTGTTTTCTGGACTCCATGAAGTTTCAACATCTTCTGCCAGACGTGCTCAGGTCACCGCTGTACATATGGTACACAAATAAAACGCTAATGAGCGCGCACCGCCTACAGAATCCAGCTATCAACGTACTTTGTGCGTTGTGAAGCTTGTTCTTTTGAAGCCCCGACTTGAGCCACTCGCTTTCACACTTCCACCTGCCGGGGCCCGGTACTTACTCTCGACTGACAGTACTCCGACCCCTTTTGACTGACCTACCGTAACCCAACGTGAGTGGACCGTTTGGTCTACTTGGTACAGAGGTCTCATGATGCCTCCAAGGATCTACTAGGCGGAGGAACTCGACGCCCCGACATGTCCGCCGCTTCGAATACTGAAGTCAACCCAGTGGCGCCCTCGAACCACATACCACGCTCTTCGGACTCAGACATCCGGACGTGTTGTACGGACACAGCTGCCCCGTTGAGTCAGACGGCGTGGAGGCTGCCGTCTACACCGCCCATCAATAGGCTTCCCGTCGAGATCCTCACCATGATCTTCGTGTGGCTCACCCGCATGCATAAAGACATTCAGAACCTCCAGTTCGAAGGTGCTCCGCCACAATATATCGGTGTCATGCGGGTTTGCAAGCTCTGGAACGACATCGCCCTCAATACTGTCGAGCTCTGGCAAAAGGTCAGCATTGGGGAATACCGTACGACCGCCGATCGGCTCTCCGCTGTACTCGCTCGTTCGCGCAGCGCGAGTCTTGACATCAAAGTTCGCGGGGCATCTGGAACCTTACGGCTGGCTGCGCCATTTCTGTTGAGGGAAGCTCATCGACTGCGAACCCTTAACATGGCCGAGTATGACGACGGCGTCGAGGCGGTCGATGCGCTACTTCTGTCCGCCGTGGAGTTTCCCCGCCTGGAAACACTCGTTGTGTTGGAACTTAGCGACCAACATTACCCCTTTGGCGTTACGAAAGTCGCCGAATGCCTCGTCAGCCTCGATGCCGAAAACCGATTCCCCTCCCTTCGATCTCTCGAGCTCCGTTGTGTATACATCCCATGGCGAGCTCCCGTCTTCCAAACCCTTCGCGCCTTTATCCTCGTCGACTGTCACGCCCCCAGCAACATCTCTCTTCCGGAATTCCTGGCCGCCCTTCGGCGTTGTGAACGTCTCGAAGAGCTCGAGATCCACTACACCTTCATGACAGCGTTCCCGGATGTAGATCCCAATGGGTTCCCAGTTGTCCCCGAGTACCCTATCGCCATTCTACCACGGCTGCACTCGTTACTCCTGCAAAATTGGCCATCGACGTGGTATCAGTACAGCCCCAGTGATATCCACGTCTTGCTGCAGCACCTCCGAATTCCCCCGACTGCCGGCATCACTATAAATCTCGAAATCGACCGAGAGGAGGTGGGAGGCTACGAAGACGATGCGGGCATCGTCTATCCCCCCGAAGACTACGGCGTCAACGTGAGCTTCCTCACTCCCATTCCCCAAGACTCAGCCTGTCTCCCACTCCTATGCAACGCGACATCCATCACACTCATGGCTTCTCATGTTGAGTGTTCGCAGCGTAAACGTTACGTGAACATAGAGTGCACCAGAGAGCCCGAGGCCGGTACGCTGCGCGTCATCTTCAATGAGTTCACGAGCTTCCACGAATCGGCTCGATGGCCGTATCCCCAGTCCAACCAGCTCCGCGACGTCTGCACCCTGTTCGCCCGGGCACCGCTGACCTCGCTCACGGTCGAGTTGCTCGACGCCACCAGCGACGTGCTCATGGACATGTTCCACACGTTCTCTGCTCTGACCAATCTCCACGTCTACTGCACTGGCGACGGCCAGGAACGCGAGCTGCTCACCGCGCTCGCTCCGCCGCACCTAACCAGTCACCCCGGCAGTGCTGTCTTGCCCGCTCTCCGCATTCTCCGCCTCGAACGCGTGGCATGGCCTGCATGCCCCCTCACTCGCATCATATTTTGCATCTGGGTACGTCGAGCGCAGGGCGCGGCGACTCTATCAGAGCTCCATATCACGTTCAACGATCGCGATACGGAGGACGTTGGGGGTGTCGCGCGGCATTATCGTGCGCTGGCTGCGTTGAAGAATGCGGTGGAAGGACTGGTCGTGTGCAGTGACGCAACTATAGAGTCAGATGCAAAGGTCAGCAAATACTGGGGCCGCTCGTGCCATTATCATGCTCATCTTTTTATGGTTTAGTGATCCGCGAGGGTCTGCGCAAATGGCAGCATACAACTCGGAGCTGCTGCAAGAACACAGACGAGTTCCTCACGTCTTGGAGAGAGCGATATTTAGATAGCGACCTGGGCGTGATCAATGAGGTTTTTCTGATCCAGAGAAAGAGGTTAACTGTTGATGAGTGAGTCGACGTGTTGAAGTAGCGGGAAAACATGTAATACAAGTTCATTTCCCTGAAATTTCCAGCATTGGGATTTGTATGTCACAAAAACGACCGAGTCCATCTGCAACAAGCTATCAATTTAACCGAGTATAGAAAGGTACTGAGATGTGGACACTTCCGAGTCGCACCATAGCAGGAGGGGTCCGCAGTGGAATGAGAGTGGCTGTGTCTTTGCCACGTGGAAGATATATGCTTCTTAGTTTAACGCGCGACCGAGGCAATTGCGCCTTTCTCTCTCTTGCCACCAACACGTCTTCTCCAGCACGCAGAGTCGCTACAATCACCTTACGTGGTTACGTGTCATGGATAGATACTCAAGGATTTTGGACTCTAAAGCACCCAGGTGAGTCCGCTCACCGCTGACAATCGGTTTTTGGACCTTACTGCATTTCGAAAACGCGCATACAGCCGCTCTCCGATCGCATTTTCTGGACTCAAAGCCACCATGCGTATGGCGGGGCTCATCGACCCGCCTAGGTTTACAACAGACAAGAAGCGCAAACGCCTGCAGAGCGATGATGTGGAGACCAGCTCAGCAAGCCCCCGCGCCCGGTTAGGGATGCCCGAGCAGAGCGTCCAGCGCCAAGAGCGCGGCAATCGAGAGCCCTCGCAGGACGCTGAAGGCATCGAAGGAATCAACTCTTCTGACGATACCCTCATTGAGGTAGCCCAAGAGGTTCTCCTCGACGATTCGGAGGACCACCAACTGCTGCTGGCGGGAGATAGGTTCTGGTTCGAAGACGGCAACGTCATTCTGGTGGCTGGCGACACGCGCTTCCGGGTCTATCAAGGGCTACTAGCTGCTCAATCTTCAGTTCTCGCGCATATATTCTCCTCAACCTCGCAACTTGTCAACACTCCTACCTCGGAAGAGATCATCTCTGGTCTAGGCGACCCGTGCCTTGTCGTCCGTCTATCTGACAGCCCGGAAGACCTTCGACACATGCTGCGCTTGTTCATGCCCAGGTAAGTGGTGTCGTATCTCACTCCCAGACTGTATGCTAACACCATCACACTCGTTTACTCAGCGCGCTCTTGGCAACGGGACCTTCGTTCGAGTTTGTCTCCGCATGCATTCGCCTGGGACTGAAATACGAGATCAAGCAGATCTACGACACTGCGCTGGCCATCCTGAAGAACCGCTACACGGACAACATCGATCACTGGGACTCTCTGAGCAACCGCGGGTCTCAGACTGGCTTCGACGACATCCACGCCATCGGCGTCGTCAATCTCGCGCGTCTCATTGGCGACTCGTCCATGCTTCCGGTTGCGCTCTGGCAGTGCTGTAGGCTTGGCTCGGATCTGGTGCACGGCTTGGCTCGGGAAGACGGAACTCGGGAGAACCTCACCCTAGACGACCTCGGGCTCTGCTTCGCCGCTCAGGAGAGGCTCATCAAGGCTGGCGTCCGCGCCCGGCTCCGCGTCTTCGCACCGACAGTCTCGGAGAAGTGCCAAAACGCGACGAAGTGCAAGGAAGTGTTCGTGAAGGCGCTCCGGTCGCTCGAGAAGAAGGCCGACATCATCGCGGGGACGGACCCTTTCGTGCCATACACGCGGATCTCTCTCGAAGGCGTGCTTGGACTGTGCTCGACCTGCAGCTCCGAGGTGAAGGCGCGGGACCAGAAGGAGAGGCGGGCGGTCTGGAACCGGCTCCCGGCGCTGCTGGGGATCGAGGTTCCGGGATGGGGGAAGGTGGCTGGCGCGAATGCGTGCTGAGGTGCGTCGTTCTTGCCCGCTACTCTTCGCGCGTTGATCGCCGAAACGGGTGTAGCTGTTCCAACAGTGCTTAGTGCTCGACTGTTGCTGTCATATTCTTATCGATGCCGTTTTTTCTGCCATATTTGGTGCCGCACTGTAGAAGGTGCGAACGAATATCCTTGCAAAAGTCACAAAGCTTGGCATCCTGCTCGAGCTCACTGCAGTGACTGCGCGACGCTCGACGCTGGAGGGTGGTGCACAATTCACCCCAAAACACCGCGTTGTGCCATACCTGTACTGCCCCCCGGTGTACAAATATGTGATACCGCCTCTTTGAATCCCCCGCTGATCCTTAGGAATGACAGACAAACGGAAAGTATCCTCGCCCATGCTCCCCAGCGTGAACCTGGTACGGAGTCACGTTCCGAACCTTCCGGGACTTGGTCGGCAAGCTCCGAGTGATTGCCGCTCGGTGTGTCTGTGGCTTGAAGTTAGCCTCAGATACTTGTCCCCGTTCTGGTTCATCCCGTCTTGTGAATGAGGACAGAAGACATGGCTATCATCTCAGCTGCTGAAGGTACAGACCTGTTGTGCTCATCGTATCCACAGGAAGCTGACCGAAACAGCGCCCTCGCATACGACTCCGTCCGGAGTGGCAGCGTCCTCCCATACACTCACATTTCAACATCTCACGCCACCCATCCACCAACTTCCAGTCGAACTGCTCTCGACGGTATTCGAGTGTCTCGCGCAAATGGACGGCATCTACGTCTCGCAATCCGTCGACGTCATGCTAGTTTGCAAGCACTGGACGGCTGTCGCCCTCAACACTTCCGCACTCTGGCAGACAATCCCCGAACGAGCACGAGTCGACTGGTTCGCTATCGCCTTCGCGCGTTCGAAGAACAGGCCTGTGGACATCGTCACCAATCCTACTTCTCTGCTATCGGTGGCTCCTCTCTTGGTCAAGGAAGCCCATCGCCTACGCACACTCGACGTCCTGCCCCGGGACACGGATGTAGATGGCACTGATTCGGACGTCGCAAGCCTGCTTGAAGACACCATCTTTGCTGTGGCCCGATTCCCCCGCTTAGAGACACTCATCATGGAGAACCCTAGCGTCGTGTTTTACCAGCTGGCCAGTTTTAATGATCCCGAGAGATTTCCCGCCCTTCAAATACTCCACGTCGACACCCTATATATACCATGGGACTCTTCGGTATTCCGACAGCTCCGCATCTTGGAGATCTATAATGTACACGTCCCGGAACCAGATGCAGTGCCACTGTCAGTCTTTCTGGACGTGCTGAAGACATGCCAATGCCTAGAAGAGCTCCGATTTCACTACGTGCCCTTCATCGATTTCACGGGACATGGGCAACCAGCGGCGGACTGTGTCGTCTCCTTGCCGATGCTGCGCTCGTTCTACTGGTTTTGGCCATACACCTGGGCCTACCAATCACCTACTGACGTCTATCGACTACTGGAACACCTCTATCTCCCTACTACGGTCGACGTGTACCTGCGGTTCGAAGTCGAAATCGAAGGCCGTGAGCCAACCCACTGGCTCGACGAATACTTCAACATCAACTACCTCAAAATGATTCCTTACGATGCCGGCCGACTCCCGATCCTTACCGCCGTGAAAACTGCCCGCTTCTGCAGCCCTGGGCCGTGGAAGGGGGGCGAATGGGCAAACCTCTATTGCGAGAGGTGTGACTTCGAAGGCTCGTTCCAGATCTCGTTTGACGGCGCACGGGAGCGCGGCTTTCCTTACAACCGGATGGAGCAGTTCTACCACTTCATGTCCCTATTCAACGACTCCTTCCTCAGCTCGCTGACAGCCAACCTGTACGGGCTCGACCTTTACTGCCTGCGTGACGCATTCAACAACTTCCCTTGGCTCGAGACCCTCGAGCTCTTCCACGAAGCCCCCGAGGCCCCCGAGGACGAATGTTGGCCACGCCTGAAAACCAAAAGCTTCTTCGTCGAACTCACGGCGCCCATGTACCACGACGACGGGGACGTGACCGCCAACCTGCTTAGGCTGCGCAATCTCTCCCTAGAAAACTTCCCGTGGTCCGAGCACGCGTTCTGCCTACTCTTCGCATCCCTCGTCGTGCGCGCGAAAGAGGGTGCACCGCTGCTGTCCAGTCTGCGCGTCAAAGTGGGGGAAGAGGGGTATCCTGGCGGCGAACGTATCCCGGACCGCGACGCGATCGCTGCCCTGCAAGCGATAGTGGAGGGGCCGGTGGAGTATGTAGACACCACTGTCTACACGCAATCTGCAGAGGTCAGCATGTCTACTTTGTCCGCTCCGCATCATCGTCACTGACCACTGTTTGATGTCGTAGGGAGAGCCCGCGGACACAAACGCTCAATAGAGCGTACACGTTGCGTTGGCAGCAGAGGGTGAAGAACGAAGGGCGTATGTCGATTATTGCGATTGAAGGGTTTGGCGTCGCCATTAGGAACATTTGTATATTGACCGCATTATCGCGACCAGCGCCGAGTCTTGTCTGTCTTTTCCCAGGTCATGGATACACGGCCGCATGATAAGCGAATCCACTGACAATAGACTTTCTGCGTGTGCTATATGGGCGTCTATAGTCCTGTTTGTGAGCGTCGCCGTCGGGCAGTCATTGATTGTCAGGGTAACACCTTCGGCGTCGTCAATGGATTGCTGCGCGTGAAAGGCGAGGACCGCGACTATATGAGCCGAGGGCGCGCCGACTGCGATATCGGCACCAGCCTCCATCACATAGTCGTTTTTTTCTCCACGCCAGAACGGACGGCCTCGAACTCACTGTCTGTTCCGCAGGTCTATCCACTGCGGGCGATACATAGCCAAGAAATTACGCTGTTCTATCGCATTGGTATGAGAACAACCAAATCTCAGCACGTTGGATGAAGTGACATACCGCTGACGGCCCACCCCTGCAGGTCCTCCGAATGGCCTTACAACATCTCACCCTCCAATCAGCCGGCTACCCGACCGAGTACTCAGCATTATATTTGACCGGGCAAGCAAGCAAGACGAACCTAACTCGACAGCGGACGCTCAAAACAACCCCATCCTCCTCGTGCTCGCACAAGTTTGCAAGCGCTGGCGCGGAATCGTGCTGGGCAGTTGGGAGCGCGTCGAGGTATTCAACCACGTCGAATGGCTCGATCTCGTGCTCTCCCACTCCCAGGCGCCCCTACTCGACGTCAGGTTCCATCGAGTGCGCGCCGCTGAGGATGCGCTGGCGCGGTCGCTGCTCAAAGAACACGCCTCCCGTGTTCGGAGGCTGTCGTTGTGTTGGCGAAAAGTGGACGCAGATCCAGAAAGCCCTACGTGCGGGTGGCAGCGCGTCAACAACAAAGTGTACCAAATGAGCCTTTCCGTGCTCAAGTCTCTGCACATCCACAACGCCGACATCGACCGCGCCGCGAGAGCCTCACGGATGTTGGACGGCCCCTGCCGGCTGCATGTCCTCCATACGCTGCGGCTCACCAATACGATCATCCCCTGGGAATCCACCGTGTTCGAGCGGCTGCGAGTGTTGCACCTCGAGCAGATCAAGACGAAACCGCTACTGTCGCTCGACGCCTTCCTCGCCGTCCTACAGCGCTGCACGCTCCTGGAAGAGCTTACCCTCGCGCACGCGTTCCCCGTGGACTTCCCGGACAGGCGCGATGCAAAACCCGTACGCGCGGCAGGCTCGTTCCGGATCGTCGTACTCCCCTGGCTACGCACCGTCAACTTCGTCTGGGGCAGAAAAGAAGGCCCGTGGAAGGACCGGATGGAGGTTCTCCAGATGATAGGGCACATGTATCTCTCAGCCCGCGCATCGGTTACAATTGACATCGAGCACTGGGGGTTCCACGGAGATGGCCTCCGGCACGTTGTTCACCCCCGAAAGGACCTGTTACCAATCCTCGGCACGGCGACCACGATCTACGCTACCTCGTTTCCGGGAAAACAGGGCGTCTTTGAGGCGAAAAACGACGAGGGCGGGAGCTTGACCGTGATCGTGACGAACCGCCAAGAAGACGGGCGGTGGGCGTACAGAGTCGAAGACCAGTTGAGGAACTTCTGCGAGATCCTGTTACAGCACAGTGCGCCAGTACGCAAGATTTCCATCGAGTCGTGGGAGGTCGACAAAGCAACCGTGACGCGCGGATTCGGGTCGACACTGACAGCCATCGAGATACTGTATGCGCATCCTGCCTTGCTGGACGACTTGCTGGCCCAACTGGTATCCCGGGCGAGGAACAATGCAGGACCGGTGAACGCACCCAATTTGCGTCGATTGCACTTGGGGTCGCTGACGTGGCACCCCGCGTTGCTCGATAGGATCTATAACTGCCTGGAATGGCGGTCACGACGCAAAACAGAGTTGACCGAGCTTCATATTGAGATAGACGGCCGCGACGTCGACGTCGACGACGAGATAGCCCGGACCGCGGAGATCATGACTTTTCAAATGCAGATGAGCCCTCCGGCCAAGGTCACAATCAAGAACATACCTAAGCCCTTCTTCCCACGTCAGTGCTCTTAATGTATACAAGCCAAACTGCCGCAACTTGCGGCTATAATATACGTCATTGTCTTGAACCCAGCCGGAAGAGCCTCCTGAACCAGCCTGCCTCTGGCGCAGTCCCCTTCCCTGCGGTGGGGGCTTCTGCGACGGGTTCACCTGAAGCGGCTGCATCGCGGTAGCGCTTCTTGTACTCTGCGGGTGTCTCTCCGCGAGTGCCACGCTTCCATATGCCCTTCTTAGTGCGTCTACAGCGCCGGTGTAAGCACGTCGCCAACAATGCAACGAATTTGACTTACTGTGCTTCGCTCTGCACCCGGAGGAATTCGTCTAGTCCTGACTTGCCGTATTCGGCGCCGGCCTGCTCATATACAGATGCCCACCCGGCCCGTAGCATCTCGACTGAGAGATCCCTCCCAGTCGTTAACCAGCCCGGCAATATGCGAGGCTTCAAGTGGACTGCCGAGACCTGGTAGACGCAAATTTGATGAGCTACTTCATACGGCGTTACGGGATTCTGCTTACTATGCGTCCGTATTGGTCTTTGCGGACGAGTTGGCAGTATATAAATCTGCCTTCAATTTGAGACTTCAGCCAAGCGAGACTTTCCTCGGCGTAAGGTTGGGTCGGGCGTCCAAAGTGAGCTGCCTGAAGCGAGGTGAGAAGTGGGTAACGTTATGGAGGTGCATGGGGCAGCACCTCAGGAGCATCCACGCCTCCAAGACGGATATGTATCGTCTGGTCCTTGAGATCGGCTAGGGCCTCTTAGTACCGCGTTTCATAAGCTACCGTTCGCACGCACTTCGCCCGACGGGTATGCTTCTGAACTTCAATGGCCACCTCCAACCGATTCCCGGGGTATGATATAGTCGGAAGTTGTCCGCATCTCCCACACTTCGAGAGATAATTTGAGTCTTTCATACAGACCTTGGGATTATACGCGAACGTACAGTACCTAGTAACATAGCCTTTGATCCATCGCCTCCTCGCGAGCATTTGCGGTGTGACCCACTCTCCATTTGCGACGCGCTTAAAGTTTCGCGCATACACATATCTCGCGCCTAGAGCAGTGGTTCCCCCGAGTGCGAAGGTGGAGAGAATAAGAAGCGGAGGAGGGAGTGCTGCGGCTCGTGCATAAAGCGAGGCTACAAGATCGCGGGTATTCTTGGTGAGGTCCTCTGCTGCGTGTTCAACTTCCGTTCGGGTTATTGGGGTGGGCTTCTTGGTGTCAGATGAGCCAGAAGACGACCATGGGAGCCAGCTGGGCATCGCATGCGTCGGTGTTGGGGTGGTCGTCGTCCAGGAAGTGGCGGGCAGCGCCCGACGCGCACCCTCCCGAACCGTCGGGCTAGCGCAGATCTAAGCGCCTTTCGGGAGTTATCTGATAACGATGGCCTCCTCCGCACCATCATCTTCCTCGCTCCTCGGTGCCCACCACACCCAGCATGATCACACACACGACGAGGGCACTGCGACCATCTTATATGCTACGGAGACAGGAACAGCGCAGGATGTCGCAGACAGGCTCGCGCGACTGTGCAGAGGGTTGCGCATTCGCGCGCGAGTGCACAGTATGGAATCTTACCCTCCCGTACGTGGAAAGTCGTCCTCAACGTGGCTGGAAGTTCTAACAGAGGACACATGTAGGCCGAGTTGATCAACGAGCACCTCGTCATTTTCGTTGTGTCTACCACGGGATCCGGACACGAGCCACGCGCAATGACGCCGCTCTGGAACATGCTCCTCCGCGCAGATCTCCCCGAAGACCTCTTCGAAGACATTGCATTCGCCACGTTTGGCCTAGGCGATAGTGCGTATGAGAAGTTTTGCTGGCCAGCAAAGCTTCTCAGCCGAAGGCTTGTCAAACTCGGTGCAAGCGAGATCTGCGCGCGTGGGGAGGGGGACGACCAGCACCACCTCGGGTGAGTCATGCTCATGCTAGGAGATGGGCGCTTCGCTAACAATTGGCACGAAGAATTGACGGCGCACTTGGGTCATGGATGAAGCAGCTCTCGGATGTATTGACACAAATATTCCCTCTCCCGGATGGCGTCGTGGCGGAGTCCCCCGACAGCCTGCCTCCCCCACGCATATCAATATCCGACGCGCCTGCGGGAGCGCAGCTTACGCGTAAGGACCCACTAGTAGTTGACCGGGAATACCACCTTGCTACGGTGACCTGCAATAAGCGGCTCACGGCGGAAGATTGGTACCAGGACGTCCGACACTTTGAGTTCGCATTCGACGACGACATACAGTGAGGTCCGCTAGACTGCTTCAGCAGAATGGCGTTTGATCATATACACAGGTATAATCCCGGCGATGTGGCAGTCATACATCCAGAAACTATTGCAGAAGACGTGGAATCATTTCTCTCATGTATAAGCTATGCGAATTCGGCAGACGACCCCATAAATATTGGACACACATTGCAGGGTACGCTATATTCGATTAGTAGTGCCGTGTACTTGCTCACCTCCCGCACAACCCCAGACCAATCTTTGCCAGACCATCTGCCAACTACCACTACAATGCGCGAGATATTTACTCGTTATGTGGACATCAACGCCGTCCCGCGACGATCCTTTTTCGTGCTCTTGAAACACTTTGCGCAAGACGAGCTCGAGCGCGAGAAGCTGGAAGAGTTTCTCAGTGAAGAGGGGGCTGTAGGTATTCCAGTTCATGGGCACGACATCTGCTAAACATACACAGGACGAGATGTACGAGTACTGCCAGCGCCCTCGGAGGACGATCCGCGAGGTGCTCGAGGAGTTCCGATCGGCAAAGATACCACGGGAGTATGTCTTTGACCTCTTCCCACCTCTCCGTCCAAGGCAATTCTCCATCGCGAGTTCCGTAAAGGCAAGTCTTATCCGCTCTACTCGCAAGCCTAACTCATTCAATTGTTGACGATTCACCAGCAATATTCACGGAGTATTCACCTCTGCATCGCCATCGTCCAGTACCGCACGATGCTCAAGATCCCACGACGCGGCGTCTGCACCTCATGGCTCGCACGTCTCAACACGGGAGACCAACTGCAGATCGGCATTCAGAAAGGCTTCATCACCCTCCCCACGGACTCGAAGACCCCAGTGATCTGCGTTGGACCGGGGACAGGCGTTGCCCCCATGCGCGCGGTAATCCAAGAGCGAGTACGCCAGGGTATCTACGGTGCGTCCCCGCTCCTTAACCCGCCCATGATCCTCAGAAATTCAGTGCGTCTTTAGAGGACACGCTCTACTTCGGCTGCAGGTCAGCGTCGAAAGACCACCACTACGGCGACGAATGGCGGGCGTACTCGATGAATGGAGAGTTGACCTATCGCGTGGCCTTCTCGCGCGATGGCCCCGAAGGTACCGCGAGAACGTACGTGCAGGCGCTCATTCGCGAGGATGCGAAGCGGATATGGGAGCTGGTCGGTGAACGCGACGCTTGGGTATACATCTCTGGGTAAGTTTTTATTTCGACCTCGCAGCGTGTCATACAGGCTGATTGTAGTATTCAGATCGGCGAACAAGATGCCTGCTGCAGTACGGGAGGCGATCCAGCATGCGCTAGTGAGTGAAGGCCGGATGTCAGAGGAGGATGCGAAGGAGTATGTGGTGCGGATGGAGAAGGAGGGTCGGCTTATCGAGGAGTGTTGGAGTTAGCGCAGGTGAGTCAACGTCAATTCACTTCGCAGTTCTGCGGCGCGTCGAGACTGATTGCTCGATTGCGGGCGCAGTTGTCGCAGTATTCCAGGAATCTGCGGGCATACAAATGATCGCATGCGCTCTCATGTCGGATGTGCTGCGAATTTTCTCCACTGCGGCGTCCTAGCGCTTAGGGTGCAGATGCAAAGGCTTGCGCCGCAGTGTCGTGTGGTGCAGGATTATCACTTCTAGTCATTGTGCCTTGGCGTACGGGGATTGACGTCCAGCCTTACTTTTGGCTTGTATTGCTACACGCATTTCTTTTGCGTTGAGTTATATGTAGGTGCTTGAGGACTCCGCGGGCTTATCGGTAAATGATGCGAGGAAGCGCACCGGCCAGCGCTCCCCGGATCGGCGTGCCTCACAATTGCTCACCTTGTCAATAGTTGACGTCAACTCACAGTACCGCGTGGGTCTCACCTCGGCGGCGGCCATCTTTCTGTTCACGCTGCGCCGCAGGAAGGTTCTACTTGAAATACTGGGGTGGTACATGTTTTGATCTGTACCACCACCGGCACCGGTACCATCCAGGACGCCATGCACTCCTATAGGTTTGGAAACTTCGGCATGCTCTCGGCTTTCTTACTGGCGTTCTCTGCGGCTTCAAGCTTGGGGGAGCAGGTGCCCCTGCAGTTGAACACCGCGTCGCCGTCCCCAAAGGGGCCTATCCTGTCTTCAGATTTCTACGCGTTCGTTGAGGAACTGAGGATCAACACCTCGATCCCTGGGATATCTGTCGGCGCAGTGCGACTTTCCGGCGATGGCAAACGACCTCAGGTCGAACTTGTGTCTTGGGGCCGCAAGACAGAAGAGGGAGACGGTAATGATCTCACTCCAGATGTAAGCGATCCATCCCATGCTCTGTGTAGAGCGATGCTGACTGACGAGACCTGCAGACGCTGTTCGGCCTCGCATCGTGCTCAAAAGCATTTCTCGCGACCTCTGTAGGGTTGCTGATCGACGACTTCGCCCACGGGCGGAACGTGACACCCCTGCCTGCCGGAATCTCTCGTCTCGACTGGGACACCAAACTTGCAGCCATTCTGCCTGACGAGTGGCTTTTGGACGACGAATGGACTACTCGTGCCGCCAGCATACGTGACGCGCTTGGGCACGTCACCGGGTTGCCTCGGTACACAGATATTCGAGCGAGACATTGAATATGCGTGGACTAACCAGCGACGTAGGCATGACTTCTCATACTCCGCTGGAGACTCGGCGGGAGATGTAGTACGCCGCATGAGGCACCTTCCGACGGCATACGAGCTGCGCGAAAAGTGGTCATACAACAATCAGGTCAAGCGTCCGTCATTCCCTGTTGGTGCAGCCGGCTAACTGTGTTGCTGTAGATGTATGGCCTCGGCGCATACATCATCGAGAAGTACGCCAACACATCGTACCCTGCGTTCGCCAAAGAGCGCCTCTTCAAGCCCCTGAAGATGTCCTCGACGACCTTCTGGCCGTCGGAAGCTCATGCGTCCGGGAAGCTGACGCAATCGTGGATGCATACGGGAAGACGCATCCCATTCTGGTTCACGGACGATGTTATGCCTCTGAACGCCGGCCCAGGAGGTGTCATTTCCAGTGTGCAAGACTTGGTGAGTGCATATTTGGCCCAAAGCGAGTCTCATAAACTCAACGCTTCACTCCACCTTAGGTGAACTGGGTGGCCGTCTTGCTCAACAAGGGTGTCGATCCGGTGTTGGGAGAAGCCATCATCCCGCGCAGTGTCTACGACGCGGTAACCACTGCTCAGTCCATCATGTCTGGGCATCCAACGCCTCAGCGTGGATTCGGAATCGTTGGGTATGGCATGGGATGGACACGCTGGACATACGACGGCGTCGAGGTAACCTTCAAGCTCCATATTATGCGAAATTCCTGGTCTGAACTGAGCCACAGATGATCGATCACGATGGAGGCATCCCCGGGTTCTCGACACTCGTTACGTTCTCTCCAAGCAGCAACCTCGGAGTTGTGGTCCTTATCAACGCGGACGAACAGCCAGAGCATGCGGACGCCATCATGAGACGTGCTTTCGATGACGTTCTGACGCGGACGAGCTCTGTAGCTGCCTCTGAAAACTTGTGAGCCCAAGCAGGCAGTCAACGTGTGAGCAGGACAACGACTCACATCTACTTCCAGGCTGGCCGAGAAGGCACCTCGTCCCGCGGAGGACGTCGTGAGTGAACCACTATTGCTCAATCTTTCAGCCTACACGGGCACGTACACTTCCCCGGGATACGGCTCCATCACGCTCTGCTCATCAGCAAGCACTTCCCAATATTGCGCCGGGGTTCTCTCCGACTTCTCCTCGCTCGGGCCCGTCTCCGGCTCCGGACCTGCCACGCTGTACGGCGCGTACGGCAGCATATGGTCGACCCACGCACGGCTTATTCACCACTCCCGGGACACATTCAACCTCACCTTCTCCGTCGTATTCCCCCACGGATACGGGGCGAACACGACCGCGTTTGAGGACTACATGGTAGGGTTCTCTGAAGGGCGCGCAGAGTTCGTTGTGGAGGGGACGGAGGTGACCGGGTTTGCGTTCGTCGACGACGAGGATGCTGTGGCGGCGAGACAGAAGCGCACTGGAGGTACGCTGAAGGAGACTGCTGATGCGTGGTTCGCCAAAGCATGAACTTGAATAACTCGTCGAAAAGTCTCATAATGGGCAACCCTCAATTGCTAGTAACGCTAAAAACATACATTCCTTTCCGCGCTTTGCGGGTGATATGTGAGGGGGAGTGTTCAATATCCCGGTAGTCGTAGAGACCGCCCCACCAGCCTATATGCGTGTTGGCAAGCAGCTGTGCTCACTCGGGTTCCTAGTAAGCATGTCTAATCAGCACCGGTCATATGGCTTTCGATATCATTATACAGGAACTTGCTGACCTTGTCTTCTTTGACATATTTTAACTCCACCGGCTCCTTGACTACTGCCTGCAGTGCGGCAAGTAGCTCCTCGCATGTCTTGGTACCCTCCGCATTTGTACCGTCGATGTGTGGACATTGTACTTCGACTCGCAGACTGAACAACAGCGCAGCGCCCCGCTTCGCGCGAAGAGCGAGGCACGAGAGGAGCGCACATAGCACTTGCATGTGCACGGACTGACGGATACCCTCAAAGCGTAGGGTGCGCAGAGCCGGCAAGATGATGGCCGTGACTGGATGATGGCGCGGCCCGCACGCGTCCATCGCAAGGACAGCGAAGAGCCCCTCAACACATGTAGCGTCGACGTCACCGGACCCGGAGAAGAGCTCCAGGGTCGACAGGTGCGGGAATGTGCGGAAGACGCGGAGTAGAGGAGCTTGCGGCAGCTCGTGCGGATCGATGGTCAGCGAAGTGAGGGGCGCCCGCGCGAATAGAGTGCAGAAATTGGTGCACTGCGCGGTTCGGGAGAAGGGCCACGGCGCTCTCGCTTCACGTCCACCACTGTAGTTGTAATTGAAAGAGAGCTTGAGTGTCCCGAGATCATCTCTCCCGCTGAGAGAGTCGTTCGCCCATCCATCGCGGAAAGTCCGGGACTCGGGGCCGTGCAGATCGGCGGAGGTCATGGTGCGAAGGATAGGCAGACAGGCAGAGTCAGGAGGTATGATATGGAGATAGTCGATGTTTTCGTGCTCCTCGTGTGAATCATGAATCTTCATGTGAACCTCAAACTCCAGGTAGATGTCGACTGAGCGGGTAAAATGGAGGCGTTCGAGCAGTTGATAAACATCGGTAGGTGATCCGAAGGCCCAAATGTCAGGCCAAAACCAGTGAAATGAGCGTAGCCGTGGCAAGGAGACAGTGAAGCCCGTCTCGTCGGGCTCGTGGTCCTCGAAATCTATGAAGTACACGAAAGAAAAGTCGAGTTCTTCCAGGTTCTGGCACATTTGAAGCACGGCGAGAAAGACAGAGAGCGGTACTGTGCTTGAATGCGGGACCCAAGTCTCGGATATCCGTAGGACGCGAAGCTGTCGGAAGATCGAAGTGTCCCATGGTACATACGAGGAGTTGAGGTCAAGAACACGAAGAGCTGGGAACCTGTCGCCCTCATCGAAGCTTATGAAATCGAGCGGTGCATATGCATCACCGCAGTATTCCACAAGAAGCGTTTCCAGGCAGGGGAGCCGGTCCACGGATAGGACGGTGTCTTCGAGTAAGTCGACCACGTCGGCGCCTCCTTCACAAACGCTGAGCCGGCGTAGCCGGGGGGCTTCTTCGGTCAAGGAGGACACGATCGATGGTAGGATGCGGGAGGCACAATGCACGGTGACGTCGAGAGGCATACCCTTTGAACGTGGGAGGACGATAGCGAGCCAGTTCCCCGTCGTGCGAACCTCGATATTCTGCCAGATGGAGATGGTGTTCATTGCGACGTCCGTCCAGAGCTTGCAGACTCCCATGATGTCGATAGAATGTGAGGGGCGACCATAAGTGAAAACATAAATGCCATCCATGCACGAGAGCCACTCAAAGATCATTGAAAGGACTTCGACTGGGAGCCGATGCACAGGCGGCGTACGTTGGCTCCATCTCTCTATGACCGCGGTGGACATTGTAGTATCTGAATACAAAGGTTCCATTCCCTACTGTCAGTCGACTTCTTGAAAATATCATAACGAGTCAATTCGTGGGCATACCGTCGTTCAGCGCTTCAACCTCTGCGCCTCCTGGTTGCATGACGCGCCCTTGCTGCCGAATGAGCATCATAGAGCACTTGAGAAGTGAAAATGCTGAAGTAGGTGATGAGCGCGCAGTGGGTGCCGCCCGTGTAGCTAGACCGTGTGCGGGATTCAATCTCAGCCCCATCGTACAATCGCCGCAACACATCTAGCTTGAGATACCTGATCGGAGTTAGAACATACTGATGCTACAACGATTCACAGTTGTACAACTATTTGTGGCTCCGCCCAAAATCAGTGGCAAGTAACTACCATTGAACGACAGCTTTCGAGTTCTACCAACTTTGATTCTCACCACAGGGGCTAAGTACCGAGTCTCTTTACAACATGATACCAAGACGGGGGCGGGGCACGTAATTTATCGGTCGGCACTATGTAGGCAAGGCACAGCAGAGAATTTCTCTTTTTAACCATGAGATGATGAGCCAAGTTCACATAGATCCCTACAACGTCTGTCAGCAATCAGCGCTAGATCTAGCCACGCGGAGCCACTGTAAAGAGTTGAATTACCTTCTGAGCTTGCGTAGAGACCATCTCACTCTCAGTGTACTCCACCGGTCCCTCCACCACTGCGTTTAGCGCAGCGAGCATAGGGTCGCGGGATGCGACGCATTCGCTACCCACTCTCAACGTTACATCAACACCTAGACCGGAGAGAAGTTCCGCGCCGCGCTGAGCGCGAAGAACAAGGCAGGCGAAGAGCGTGCATAGAACTGACACTCGTGCGGACTGCCGGATGCCCTCCAGGCGCAATGTGCGCAGAGCCGGCAGGACAACGCTCGCACCTGGAACATCGGGCAGGCCGCCCGCATCCGCCGGAGAAACAAGAGCGGTGAAGAGCCCTGCAACGCAAACGGCCTCGACGTCGTCGGGCCCAGCAAAGAGCTCCAGAGTCGACAGGTGCGGGAATGTGCGGAACGCTTGGAGGAGGGGGGCGAACGGGAGCGCGTGCAAGTCGATCGTCAGCGACGTAAGGGGCGCCCGCGCAAACAGGGTGCAGAAATCGCTAAGCTGCGTGGCCCGGGTTATGGGCCATGGTGGGCGTGGCGAGTTCTCCATGAAGTAGGGACATTGATCGATTTCGTAAGTGAGCTTGAGCGATCCTTGATCGTCCTTTCCGCTGAAAGAGTCGTCCACCCATTCACCGCGGTGGTTTTGCCTCCCAGGACTGCATAGACGGGCGGAGGTCATGGTGTGAAGGATAGGCAGGCAGGAATTGTCGGGAGAAATTAGCTTGAGGTAGCTATCCATGTTCTCACTTGCTTCTGGGGAGCTCGGAGCCGTCGCCGTCTAGAAAGACCGCAAGGTCCAAGTGGATGTCGGCTGAGGGAGGGAACTGGAGGTGCTCGAGCACGTGGTAGACATGGGTGGGTGATTCTATCGCCCAAAGATCTGGCCATTCCCAGTGGAATGAGCGTATCCGGGGCAGGAAGACGGCACAGCCCGCTCTGTTGTGCTCGTGCCCGCTATAGTCGATGAACGACACGCAGGGGAAGTCGAGTATCTCTAGACACTGACACGTTCGCAGCATGTCCAGAAAGACGGAGAGGGGTACTTCGTCCGAATCCAGGACACAGGCCTCGTGTATTCGCAGATAGCGGAGCTGTCGGAATATCGAGGAGGTCCAAGGTAGGAACAAGGAGTTGAGATCAAGAAAATGAAGAGCCGGGAATCTGTCATTTTTGCTGAAGCTGTATAATTTGAGCGGCGCCAGCCCATTGCCGAGGTATTCTACGACGAGTGTCTCCAAGCAAGGCAGTCGGTCCACGGCAAGGATGGCGTTTTCGAGTACATCGACAGGCTTGTCTTTGTGCGCATCGAGAACCTTGAGCGAGCGTAGCCGAGGGGCTTCCCCGACCAAGAGGGGTGCCGTCGAGGATAAGATACGGTCGGCATCATGCACGATGACGTCGAGAGGCATACCCTTCGAACGTGGGAGTGCGATAGCGAGCCAGTTCCCCCTCGTGCGTACTTCGATCTTCTGCCAGAGGGAGACGGTGTTCATCGCAATATTCGTCCAGAACTTGCAGACTCGCATGATTTCGATGGAATGCGAGGAGCGGCTCCCAAAGCTAGAAACATACATGCCATCCATGCACGAGAGCCACTCGAAGATCATCGACAGGACTTCGACTGGCAGTCGGTTGATAGGCGGCACCGGTCGTTTCCACTTCTCTTGAGCCAAGGTGGAGGTCGTATAGCGCGTATCCCCGGTATCTGTTTTGCATTTGAAGTGAGCTCCTTGCAGATACGCTAAGGTCCAACCTCACTTTCACCGTCTGTGGAGTTTGTTATGTTTTGTGGCTGCATTGATTACTAGTACCCTATTCGTTGCTGGGAATAGGCATCATCGGAACCGTGTAATCAATATTTGCTCACTTGGAAGCCCCGCTCGGGGTGGCGGTGGTGGCGGTCGAAGGAGGAGTGTCGTCGCGACTGGATGCTCGTCAGGACTAGTAGCTTAAGATACACTTCTATACTTGTGAAGAGCCTGAGCCTGGACTTTCTCGTTTAGCACGTCGTATAAGGGCCACAAATATCGTACTAAGTACAGTATTGCACCGGTCCTCGGGACACCCAAATTTTATTCTGTCTGCCCTAGCTTCGTCCCGCCCCCGGTACCTATGAGACCTGGCAGACAAGCACATATGTACTCTATGTACATGATCATGCCCTTATTTTGTGTATCAGTAGTTGCAGCCCAGAGAGAGAGCGGGATCTGTCCGAAATTTCGTTATCAAGCTCTCCTCAGTCCTCGGGACGGGCGGCAAATTTCCTTTGATGGTAGGTAGTTGCGTGAATCCCATCTTATCATGGCTTGCCGAGCGTTGCCGATGCCTCAATATGGCAATTTCAATCTTTAGCGCTGGCACGGATGGCCAACCGCAAGACCCTCTACCGCAACTCTATTCGTTCGATTCGCAAGACACCAGAACACTTTCAACAAGTTTCAATCATCTTTTGATATGGTATAGAACATATGAGAAAAGTTTCGTGGTCGAAAGAGAAACAGTGCACAATAAATGAGCCAGAAACTTCAAAAATCACCGAAATTCCATACTTTTACTCATCCTGTATTATCGTTTCTTCCCCTCCTGCTACATAGCTCAGAGGCATCAGTGCCATGACCTGTATTCACATGCTGAGGGTGTATTTGAGGGCTGGCGACAGGGGGATGGACGGGAAATCGTCAACTGTCCCGAGGAACCATAGTGTCCCGAGGACCGGTGCAATACTGTAAGCAGCCTGAAAGGTATATACTCTGAGAGCATGCGTATGCCAACGAGCCTTTGTCGTCGTTCGGACTGGGAGACAGGCCCGCCGTCACACAGCATATCATCGGAGTTTATTCGATCAAAGAGAAACGGGTAGATCAAGCTACATATTTTGAAGGTCCGACATGATCAACTTAACAGCGAGCGTTTACGAGTCTAATAGTAACGTAGCTCACCAACGGCGGCTTCCTGGCAGACCCATGGCGAAAGGCCTGCAGAGAACGACGTACCCTGAGCTGGATTCCGTATGCGATATCCCCTCGATACCTCAACTCTGACGATAGGCAATAGCCGTAGCATCCCGAAGCCGACCACGAACCACCTGACCCAGCCGCTGGTAAGCCTCCTTGCCATTCCGAGTATCCGTTTTCTCATTCCCACCATCTGCTCAACATTCCGTGGCACCAGTACGGCACGACGGTGTATACCACGGATAACCGCAGAGATGCTTAGGGCTCGCAACGCTAGTGTATCTGCCATACCGCATCGACCCCGCGCCTCGCTACCCCCCACAATAGTTGTGTCATGGTCGGCCTCGGGCATGCTTCGGGCACTCTCACCATGGGAATCAAGACAGTCATCGCAAGCTTCTATTACGGGGGTTATGCGGCCAACAAGCTTCATTGGCAGAGAAGAGCGGCAGCGCAGCGCATACTGCACCGCCCGGTGACATACGGCTTGCCAACTCTCCGGCTAGCAAATTGTCCCCGAAGCGGGTGCATCAAACACAAATATCCTGGAACGAGAAACCATTTAAGCCAGGGCCGCACGCTTCGACGAACACATACCACGCCTCTCTCCTCCCTAATTCACCACTATGCACCCGTCCGACCGACTGACAATCAGGACCCAGCAGGGTGTCAACAGCACGACCTGGACACGCCCACCCTTCTACGGCAACGAATCCATTCCAGAACTGTTCGCTTTTCACGCGGAGAAGAGCCCCGAGCACCCTGTGATAGTGTACGACGACGAACACGGCGCTGTGCGGGAGCTCCGCTACAAGGAGGTATACCCCGCCATCCGCAAGGCAGCCCACTTCGTCAACAAATATGTATGCCTCTCGCCTCCCCCAGTGGAATCAGAGGGTGCCGACAAGCCCCGTGTGGTGGGTATCCTTGCCATCGCCGGTACGTTCTCAGATACAGGTGATATCCGTGTTCCTCCTAACGCATCAGGTAGACAACATCACGCTTTCGACACTTCTCATTGGGATCATGTATCTCGGATACACTCCATTCCCACTTTCTGTCAGGAATTCAGCCGTGGCTGTTGCGCACCTCGTGCGGAGGATGTCCGTTCGCGACGTCATCGTCAGCCCGGATGCGGGTATGCAGCGCATCGCACACGAGGCCAAGGAGCAGCTCGCGAAAGAAGGCTACGAGCTCAACATTCTCCCGCTGCCTCAGTATCGAGACCTGTACAACGAGAGCGACGACGGACTCAACGTTAAGATGGGCCCGCTCAATGCAGACAAGCCGGCCGTGATATTGCACTCCTCTGGTTGGTCTCATATCAACCCATTGGACACCTATGCCTTTGATCTGACATTCATATAGGATCGACGTCCTTCCCTAAGCCGATCTCGCTCACTCATAGATCCCTGACCAGATGGGGATTCCTGACTTGTACGTCCTTTCTCCCTTCGCTGTACGGCATACGTGCTCATGTCCTCCTCAGACTTCGGCGACTTGGACATGTGTGGCGTACGAGCCTCCATGCATAGCTTGCCGATGTTCCGTGAGTTGGAAGACGATGTTGAGCAACACATTTCAACTAATATGCGGGTAACGCAGATATCATGGGTGCCATCAGCATCCCCTGGATGGTAAGAACCGCACTCATCGCTTCTCGCCGGACAGTTCTGATGACGGTGCAGGTTTGCACGGGAGCGGTGATAGCGCATTTCCGGCCGTCGTCTCCTCCTACCATCCCAACGCCAGACACGTTGATACGGGCACTCTCCGCTACAGAGTGCAAGATGGTCATTTGTGTTCCGTCTATGATTGAGGTAAGCCCCATGTTCACATACATGAAATTGCCCTAGCTCGAGCTTTCATTTCCAAGGCATGGGCTCGCGACCCCGCTTACGTCTCTGAGCTCAAGAAGCTCACTTCACTCGTACGTCACTGTCTTCCTTATACCCAGCGTAGTTGGCCGCTCATTGCACGGTAGCTATACGCCGGAGCAGCGCTGAACAAGGACGTCGGCGAGTTCCTGCTCGATGAGGGTGTGAAGCTGGTGACCGGGTTCGGCATGTGGGTTCCTCTCATGCACTATATCGAGGATTAAGACGCTGACATGCGTGCGGTCAGGACCGAGATCGGTGCGCTGGGAAGGATGGGGTCCGACCCAGCGCTGATCCCGCGCGACAAGTGGCAGTACTTCTCGCTCGCTCAGCCCGTCGACTTCATTCGCGTCTATCAGGAGGGACTCCCGGGCATTTTCGAGTTGGTCGTCGTGGTACGTCTCCTTTCCTGTGCGCTGTGATCATATTGGCGTCCTGATTTTGGGGTTCCTTGCTATGCAGGACGGACCGGCTTGGTCTCCGAACGCGTTCAATACGGAAGTGAATGGGCGCCCGGCGTACGCGACCAGCGACCTGTTTGAGGAACATCCCGATGACCCGAACCTCTTCCGAGTTTACGGGAGGGCCGACGACCAGATTGTCCTGTCCACGGGAGAGAAGGTAAGTGACTCGGGCTACGTACCCCTCCATGCTAATGCTGACGACCGTATGCCCCGTCCAGACCAACCCTGTGCCAATGGGTAAGCGGCGCAGTATTATCAGTCGAATCCGGTCTCACAATGCATCTCCAGAGGCCATCTTGCTGCAGGACCCCCTCGTCCATGCAGCGATCATATTCGGCCGGGGCCGCTTCCAGAATGGCGTCATCGTCCAGCCGAAGCAGCCTTTTGAGCCCAATGACGAGGCAAAGCTCGAAGAGTTCCGTAACGCGATTTGGTGCGTACATTCGTTTTCCTTACATCAGAACCAATGTGTTGAACCACTGGTTGTATGCAGGCCGACGGTTGAACGCGCGAATAACTTTGCGCCCTCGCACTCGCGTATCTTCAAGGAGGTACGCCGACACACCGTTCGTACCATGTAGCTGTGCACTTACGCGTACTCCCGGACCCAGATGATCACGGTCACGAGCCCGAGCAAGCCGTTCCAGTTTACCGCGAAGGGCACGCCACGCCGACACGTTTCGCTCGCGGAGTATGCGGCGGAGGTCGATGAACTGTACAGACGTGTCGATGAATCGTCGCAGGTGGATGTGCAGACACCCAACGAGTGGTCGACCGACACCGTGCCCGAGTACGTGCGCGCAGTCGTGAAGAAGGTCATGTGCGCAACAGATTTCGGCGACGAGGACGATCTGTTCCAGCAGGGATGTGACAGGTCAGTATCCCTTCCGCATCCTTTCAAGTCTCCTAGGCTCAGTGTCCATGTGTACTAGTTTGCAGGCTACGTGGATCCGGAACACGATCCTGCACGCCGTGCGCACGACGACCAAGGTGTCTACCCACGACGTCCCCGGGAACTTCGTCTACTTGCACCCGACGATCGCCGGGCTGAGCACCTTCCTGCACGGGCTCGTGTCCGGGAAGAGCATCGATAACTTGGATGTGGAGCGCGTAGAGCGTCTGGTTCAGATGAAGGCGCTCGTCGAGAAGTACTCCGCCAAGTGGCCTAGCCCGCGATGGGAGGCGTCGGTCGCTGCGCCTGCCGCCGAAGAGACGGTGTTGGTGACAGGCAGCACTGGGCGCGTTGGCTCGCACCTGCTCGCGCAGCTGGTGCAGAAGCCGGAGGTCACGCACGTGTATGCGCTCAATAGGGAGCCGACGGGCGAGGCGGCGAAGCTGGAGGCGCGCCAGCGCGAGGCGTTGAAGACATGGGGTTTGGATCCCGCTCTTTTGGATGGAGGAAAAGTGACGTTCCTCCCTGTGGATCTGGCGAAGCCCTCTTTCGGCCTCGACGAGATGATCTACGGAGAGGTGCGTGCTCGTTAATCATACGCATTACTCGTTTGCTAATTCTATCTGTAGCTGAGAAGTTCTGTCACGGCAATCGTGCATAATGGTGAGAGTGATTCAAGGATTGATCTGAAAGGACGCGTTGCTGAACGACCGCATAGCGTGGAGAGTGGACTTCAACGTCACGCTGCCGTCCTTCGAACCGCTCATCGCAGGGGCGCGCAGCCTGCTCGATTTCGCATTGAGCTCGCCGCGCCCCGGAGGTCCGAGGCTGCTCTACGTCAGCTCAATCACATCGGCCCAAAGTACGTTTCATCCATATCATATCTTGAGTCGCGCCTACAAGTTGCCTTCTACAGACCATTCCCCGGAGGCCCCGGTTTTGGAGACGCTCGACTTTGGCCCTGAGCTCGCAATTGGGCAAGGGTACGGCGAGAGCAAGTGGGTAACCGAGCAGATTCTCAGACGCGCCGCGAAGGAGAGCCGACTCAGGACCACCGCCGTGCGCGTTGGCCAGCTGAGCGGCGACACGCATGTCGGTGGCTGGAGCACGTCCGAGTGGGTGCCCGCGCTCGTACGTGCAAGCAAGCGTCTGGGTGCAATCCCGGCCGCTGAAGATGTAAGTAACATCCGAGTGCCAGAAGCTGCTGGGAAATTAACGTGAATGATTGCAGACCGTCTCTTGGGTACCGGTAGACGTCGCGGCGTCCGCTCTGCTCGAGATGCTCTACAGCGGGGAACAGGTGCTTCACCTCAGCGCCCCTCAGCCTGTCCCCTGGAATGCAGTTTTCGGGCCCATCGCGGAGCGGCTTGGGGTCCCGCTCGTCCCACCGTCCGAGTGGCTCGCGAAGTTGCGCGAGTCCGCCAAGGCGGCGGAGTCTGGCCCGAACGTCGGCGCGCACGATTCCGCGCACAACCTCCTGCCGTTCTTCGAGGCTGCGATGTCGACAAAGGAGTTGAAGTTCGACACTGGGAAGGCGGTCACGGTCTCGAAGGCGTTGGCGGAGCTACAGCCTCTCGGGAAGGATGACGCGCTGAAGTGGCTGCAGTTCTGGAAGGATGCCAAGTTCCTTGAGATTAAGTAGTAGTGCATGAACTCGGCATATGATTAGACTGTACAATTCTAGGAAATTATAGTGACAAGATAGCACCTACGTGCATGCCGCGATGGCGTAAGATTCACCGATACTCTTAAACAGCCGAGCACAAGGCGACCCGGGCTAAGAACCAGACTTCGGTATTGCGGTATAGATTGGGAACTGCTTTATACCGCACCTATATTAGTCTCCCAGAGGCAGACCTTTCACACTCTTTTGGGGGCGGGGAGGGCGAGTGTGTACACCTATATGTACTCACAAACCTGCTGGAAACTCAGTTCATCATGAGCGCTTGTAGTACGCGTTCTAAGCAATCTTACGTAATTGGCGCCGACGCGAAGCGACGCGCCCCTCGCGCCACAATAAGCGGTCCGCGCGACCGCGACGACCGCGACGACTCTCCTTCCTACAACCACCAGCTACCATGGCCGAGCCACCACAACAACCAGGAACTCAGCGGAAATCGCGCGTCCTCGCTGCTCTCGATAACCCTGCATTTTTCTCGCCTAACGTAGCCACACCACCCCCATTGCCCAGTACATTGCCGCCCGCGTCCTTGGGTCTGCCTTCGCTATCGCAAACACCGCTCAAGCGTTTGGAAACCCCTTTGCCGGACCCTGACTACCTCGCACTGCTAGGCGGCGCGTTTACCCAAGGGACGAAGAGGAAAGCGTCGGTGGATCCGGAGGACGATTTTGGAGCAGGCGGTATCCTATCACCCCCGCTGCCAGGAGCAGCTTCCGTCGTAAATCGCGGCTTCAGCCTCCGATACGACCAGGAATCCGCTGTACGGAGCATAGACAGGGGAGGCCCGGACCAGAAAACTAGGTACGTTAAGCAGTCCTACGCCGCTAGACATTCGTTGTCTATGTGCTGAGTGCGTTCATCTTCGCGTAGACTCGAAGAATTCGTTCAGCAGAGTATCAACAATGCTGTCCACGGAATTACCGTCCAGAAGGCCATGGATGACCTAGGAGTCAAAGAGTAGGTTGGCTCTTGTTCAGACTACACGCATACATGCTCTCATATTACTCGTGCTAACAACCTCACAGCAAGAAAGACCTGATTCCGGGCATGGAAGTGCGCCTACTGCCCCACCAGCTCATTGGTGTGAATTGGATGACGAAGCAAGAGCGCTTGAGCCCACACAAGGGCGGTCTCCTTGCGGACGACATGGGTCTTGGAAAGACGGTGCAGATGATCGCGACCATGGTCATCAACCAGCCGACGGAGGAGGACACGAACCGGTCGACTCTTATCGTCGTCCCCGCGGCGCTAATGACGCAGTGGAAGGACGAAATTATACAGAAGACGAACGGGATGTTCGAAGTCCACATCCAACACGGCAAGGACAAGCTCAAAAAGGTCGACCAGCTAGCCGAGAAGGATGTGCGTCATTGCCTTGTCGATCTCGCTTCGCGAAACACGCTTAAATTTGACTTTTGACGCCTATCTTTGCAGGTCGTCATCACGACTTACCAGACACTCAATTTGGACTTCAATGTTCCGAGCGATTTGGAAGACAGTGATGAAGAAATGCAGTGGATCCGTGACAACGGGTGCGCTCGTTTCATGGTCCTTGCTCTGCTGGACAGTCGCTGATCCGCATATAGTGGGCCGCTTTCGCGCATGCGATGGTACCGCGTTATCCTCGATGAGGCGCAGTTTATTCGGAACCGAGGCACGCGGTGCAGCAAAGCCGTCGCAATGCTTCGGTCCAAGTACCGGTGGTGTCTGACTGGTACACCCATCACCAACACGCTGTACGTCTCCTCGTTTTCATCTCCCCGAGCTCCATGTTGACGGTATCAATAGGGCCGATATCTACGGGTTCCTGCGCTTTGGGCGCTTCCGGCCATGGAAGTTCGTGTCCCTGCTTCGAGTCTGTCTAGTCGTGTCGCACTAACTAGTATGTAGCGACTGGGAAGATTTCAACAACTATGTTGCAAAGATGCAGTTGGAAGACGCTCCGTTAGCCGGTGAGTCATCCGCGCTCGGCCAAGCTCGTTGTCCATCTCAACAAGCGGGTAGGCATGCGCGCTCAGGAGATCCTCAAGCCTATCATCCTCCGTAGAACGAAGGACGCCAAAGTGGTGCGATCGGCTTGTCTCTGCATCTCGTCCTGTCCTCAACTGACTCTCGATCTACACATCACAGGAAGGCGAGCCGATCTTGCAGCTGCCCCCGAAAGAGGTCGAGCTGGTGTTTGTGGAGTTCTCCCCAGATGAGCGCGAGGTGAGTCCACGTCGGCCATAGTGCTAGGTCGCGAGGGCCCCTCCCTGATGCCAAATTTTCGCTAGCTCTATGACAGCTTCGAGAAACGGGCACAAATTCAGATCAACCGGTTCATTCGAAACAACACTTTGGTAAAGAAGTGCGTAGTGCTCCTTGAAGTTCGTTCCTATCGTAAGAGTGCTCATTCATGCGCGGAAATGTAGCCACACGGAGGTCTTCACATGGATCCTGCGCCTGCGTCAGCTGTGCGCGCATCCCCACCTTGTGTTGGTACGTAAATTCTTAAACTCCTGGACGTTGCGTGTGTAACCCTGGATCTAGGAACAAGCGGATGGCTTTTCAGATCCGTCAGCTATGATGGGCTCCGCAAGCGACAAGGAACTCGCTCGAGCAACGAAAAAGATGGGCGCCAAGTGGGTCGAAAACGTATGTATATCTTTACCCACCTCTATGTATCGCTGCCCTAACATACGTAATGCAGGTCAAGAGGAGGTTTGTCCTTGAATAGGCCACGTTAAGGGGACCTTGTGCTGAGGGCGTTTCAGGTTTATGGCCCGCGCGCGCGCAAACGCGCTCGGCTTTGAAGACGAGGGCGAGAGCGAGGAGAACGCGTGCCCGATGTGTGGTGACTGTACGTCTCCTTGCCATGGACTCCGCCTGCATCCTGCTTACTTAGTTTGACAGTCTTTGTGGAGAATAGCGGCCGCACGCTTATTTGCGGGCACGATATCTGCAGCGGTATGTTGTGCGGCGGCGCGCTCTCAGGAGATATCTGACCACATTGCTCAGATTGTTTGGACGCCCTTGCCACCTCGCCTATAGAGGCGCGGGAAGAGTTGTACGTACCTCACGTCGTCGACAAGTCTGTCCAAACCTATGCTTATACCCGCGTGTAGTGGCAACGGCGATGAGCAGACCAATCTGCGCATTGAGAAAGAATACGAAACGGCCGCAGCCAAGGGTCTTCGTCCGTGTACGTAACCTCGAGGTAACTTGTGCTGCTTCCGCTCACTGCTTGCCCACACATAGGTCCCACATGCAAGAAGATGCAAGATCTCAGGCCCAACGTCGTATTCCTGTCTTCTGCGTTCTATCCGAGTGAAGAGGAGATGGCCAACGCCAGTCGTGCAGCAGCCGCTGCGAAACGGCGCGGCCCAAGCCCACCAGCGAAGAAGCGCAAGATTGAAGTCCTTGAGCTCAGCGACGATGACAGCTCGGACTCGGACTTGGACGACGACCTGCTAGACTTCACAACGCTCATGAAGAGCTCTCCGAAGGACAAGGGCAAAGCAGGCGCTAAGACACCGGCGAAGAAGGCGCTCAAGGATGAGAGCGACGAGAGCGACGATGACGATGATGACGAGCCTTTTTCGAAGGGGAAGGCCGGGAAGGGCAAGGGCAAGGCTGCGGCTAAGGGCAAGAACGAAGACGAAGCCGCCCCGGGCCAGCCGAACGAGCACCTCCTCAACACGTGGAAGCAAGGCGGAAGCACCGTCGAGTCGAGCGCAAAGATGCTCCAGATGATCGCTTATCTGCAGGAGTGGGAGTCGAGCGGGGACAAGATCATCGTCTTCTCGCAGTGTACGGACCCCCTCAGCGCTCATTTCACCGCGATGGTATGCTAATGAGCGCGACTGCAGGGACCTCGATGCTCGACCTGTGCGACCAAATCTTTGCGCGCCATGGCATCCGCAGCCTGCGCTACGACGGGAAGATGAGCCGCGAGAACCGCGAGATCACCCTGAAGACGTTCCGGAGCACGTACGGACCGAAGGTCATCCTCGTTAGGTGCGTGAACAACGAGCCTCTATCGGAATGCCCTCGTTAAGTTCGTGGGTTGTAGTATCAAGTGTGGTGGCGTCGGTTTGAACCTAGTCTCGGCGAATCGCGTCATCAAGTGAGTCTCCTCTCCTCGGTCACACCAAGTCAACTTGCTGAAGAAGCAATAGCTTGGATCTGTCCTGGAACTACGCCACGGAGTCGCAAGCGTACGACCGTGTACATCGGCTCGGGCAGGAGAAGGAGGTCTTTGTCAAGCGCCTTGTCATCAAGAACTCGATCGAGGAGCGGTAAGTCTCCAACGAAGTCTCTGAGGGCTTGCATTGACGGTGTGTTGTAGGATGCTTGTACTCCAGGAGACCAAGACACGTGAGTACAATTGCTACATAGCTACAGTTGCACGCTTGCTGACTGTTGGACGCAGATCTCGCTGACGCCGCCCTCGGCGAAGGCTCCGGGCAGAAGCTGCAGAAGCTGAGCGTCAAGCAGATCAAGGATGTACGTCTCGCAATCTCAACGCCTTGTTCGGGAGGGACTGATGGAACTCTCGCCTCTAGCTGTTTGGCATGACCCGTGTTGCCAATTCCAACCACACTACCGGGCTCGAACATGGTCAGACTCAGCTCTAGGGCGCTCAACCGCAGCCTACGTTTAGGTATCGGTCAAGGCGTCCGACCCATTCGTGTATTTATCCTTCATTATGGTCGTCTTGGCTCCTGGACAGATCTCGCTACATACACGTACGCGCGCGCACTCGCACGCAGTGCTAATATCCTTTTTTGCTGCTATGGTACATAGGCGCGTTCGCGCATAGTTCTCGAGTTTTCTTCGTCATCGCTGCTACCCTATTGTACAACTTGTGTCTTGGTATACTAGATGTGCATTGCTGTATGTTCTTCTTATCATTGTCCCCACTATGTGGGGTAATAAATAGTAGATTTTACAGACGCACTGGTGACGCGGGAGGCTGTCCTTCGCTACCATGACTCCTTGTCTTGAGGTGGAATTCCCGCTACCTAGTAGGGTGTCTTGTTAATGCGCCCCTCCACTACTTTGGTCTTCATACTAAGCCTTCTCTTGCTCAAGCTTAGTTGTACCTCAGAGTGATCGTGGGAATGAGGGCGCCAAACCAATCTTAGCCCTTCTTAGCCTCAGGCATCGTCACACTTGTCCTCTTCGGAGTCGTTCATCCTCACCTTCAAGTTCGTGATCTCGGACTCGTGAGGATGCGGCTTTATGTCGTGCGTATCATACTGATTAGTAGGCTCCGAGTTTCTGGTCGACGATTAGGCAGCTCAAATTTCACAGCCGGTGTAGAGCCCGTCTTCGGCGCGTCGAGCCGCGAGCGTGAACGCCGTCCGAGAAGAAAATGTCCCCAAAGTGCGTGCTCTGTGTAATCAGTAGACTTCTCTAACCAGATTGATATAGGTGTAAATACTTGTACATGGGATGCTCACATGTTCAAGAAATAATATGAGGATCATCGACGGATTCTCTTTGCGACCCGCCGATTCCTCCGTATGCGAGGCGTCCTAGGGTATGCGCGCGACGCACCACCCTGGATATGACTCGAGCTAGCAACCAAACGAACCATCGCGACAGTGCCGTCAACTAGGATATAGGTGTGAGCTACGAACCGGATCCGGCGGGATCCTACTCCCGTGTCCACGAAGGCCCGAGGTTGTAGGCGACTTCAATCTTTGGTGCAACACCCGCTTCTCGCACGACAAACTCCTAACGCGATACATCCCATCTGTGCATGGCACAATCCGTGTCTGCGCGACGCGATACTCCTCCCACGGCGCCTCCTTGTATGATAAGTATGGGCCTCAATCTGTGATTCAACTCTCCTTGCACGACACGAACTCCTTCGATACCGCAGCCTCAAGTTCTGTGTGCTACTCGAACCGTCTCTCTGCACGTGGCCTTCTCAGACCTGGACGGTCCTATGGAGTCTTCTGGAGCTTGTATCCATTATCTCACCCTCGCTACTTGGCGACCTGTTGAAACTACTCATGGCGGGGACATCCTTACACTCTGTATCGGTTTGTACGGCGCATTATGACGCGAATAACATGGAAACAAGGAACTCCAAGCATGGCTGTGTGACTTGGCATTACATCCTAGATTCCCACTTCGGTGTCATTGTCGTACTACTACCATAGTATGATGGTAGCGGACTCTGCCGTGCTTGCGCGGCCTTACGACTTATACACAAGTAGCTTGCTATCTGTGGACGACACAAGCCAGATAGTTATCATTTCCACGAAGTATTACTCCGTCTCCTGAGGCCTCACTACTAACTTCACTCCACTCACTTTTCCGTCTCGCATACGAGCCAGCCCAGCGACGACACCGCCCAGCCCTCCCGGCAAAACTTCAATGCGCAGGGGCTTGGAAAAGACGTCGTTCAGTCAACCGACAATGCTCATATCAGCATACAGACTGACCTTGACATCTCCGGCCTCGAGCAAGCCCTTCAGGTGCATACGGAGGCCTGCGCCAACGTCCTTGTTGACGGGCGAGCTGAACAGCCCGTTCGCGAGGTGCACCGTCTTCGTGTTCTCCGCCGGAAACACCCCCGGGGACACGATGATGAGTTGTCCCGTCGGCGCGGTGACACCGTATGACAGCGCGAAGCTCTCGTCGCGTGAGATGGCGTCGTAAACGAGTGCAAGGGGACCGCCTGCGATCCGCATGATCTCCGCCTGCAGGTGTCCTTGGCCGACGGTGCGTTCGAGGACGTGCGTTGCCCCGAGGGACTGGAGATACTTCACGTTGTGCAGCGATGCGGTGGTGATGATGGGGGCGAATCCAGCCAGTCTCGCGAGCTGGATAACTATCGCGACAGCTGGGTCAGTTTGTGGCACGGCGGCTGCTCTGAGCGTATGTGCGCACCGAACTGCCCGACCGTAGATGCGCCGCCGAGAACGAAGATTGGTTTGCCGGCATACAGACCGCGGCCCCGTGCTTCCCACGGGGGAGTCAGCTTGGCCGAGGACGAAGACTCCTTCCCGTCGGGGGGCGCCTTGACCACTAACCACCACCACCTGCGTTGTTCCCACGCTCCCCCAAGCGTGCGGAAGGCGTGCCATGGTAAGAAATGAGCATATATACGCCTGGGCGTGTCCCTAGGAGTGTGTAGCCCGCAGTCTGAGTGATAGGAAGCGGCGGAAGTGATGTAAACAGAAGGTGAGTACGAGATTGTGTCCTCTGAAACGGCTATGCCTGCATAGAGCGGATGCCCGCATGATGCGGATGCCCACACATGTGTGGATGCCCGCGCGCGTGCGGATGCCTACGCGATGAGTAGATGCCCGCCATGCAGCGGATGCCCACAATGAAGTGGAGGTCTGAGTGGGCAATGGATGGTTATGTGGGCAGGAGAGAGCGATGACGCGGCCTGAGAACTGGGCGCCAAACAGACGTATGAGATACCAAGCGAGCACGGCGGGCGAACACACCCATAACTAAGCCCGATCCTTCTGAGCCACGGCGCAAACATAATGCAAGGAGCCCGGAGAGCAACGGGTGCCTCAACCTGTGGTGGGAGTACGGTATGATCTCGACGAACTCCTGTAACGCGCAATGCGCAACCGGATGGCCGGGTCCTGAGTGACCGATCTGGGCGACTGTCTGCATCTGGCAGGCATGGCTAGCGAAATGGAATACCATATAGGAGCAGGGACGGGACCGCAATTTGGAAGGGACTAGTAACAGAGAACAAACCAAGCGGACTGCAAGAAACAGCTGCATCTGCTTGACTCAGAACCAACCTGCGGCTAGTGACCGTGATGCTAGCATGCAGAATAAGTGAGAAAGTACACCGCTTCTACTGCCTCCTAAACATAAGGCATACAACATAATAGAATACAACTTGCCCTGTCTGGATCCTAATCCACCAGGACCCCTGCATATGTTAGACTCCAGTACCAGAAGTGACAACTGAAGGCAATCTATCCCTGCACCGCACGACTTGCCATGAACCTATACAGCCTCAATCTGCATGGAAGAGTGATTAGTTGGCGTCATATACCTGACCTAACTAGCTCCCTCTGCTACCACTGCTGCCACAAATGAGTGTGTACCTTGAGACATAGAATCAGATCCAAATTAGATGATCTTGAACAGCCTCAAATGGAGCTAGACGCAATTCGCTTGCGCCGCTGCCTGAATGTTCTATTCAGTAGACTGATTTCTGGGCATGGAAGCCCTAGAACAGCATTCAGAACAGTCCCACATCCCTATTCAGAGAGATTACCTGCCTGCTTGCCAAATGAACTAGTTTTATCATGGCGTAACTCGCGACCGCCCGTGGTGAATAGCTTCCAGTAGGGAACAGCACACCTAGATAGAACCTAGAAACCCCAAATAGTGCATGAACCAGCCCTATATGGATAAAATGAATGATTGGGTATGGACCCTTGGGCCTGAGCCCATATAAAACAGAAACAGAATCTGGATGTGGCGCTGCTAGAACCAGCTAATCAAATGTGAACTAGACTTTTAAAATAGGCCCTGCCCTGTAAAGTTATAAAAGGGCAGTAAACCTGACCTGGACCACCCCCACTCTGCCACGCACCACACACTGCCCACTGCCCCATCCACACTCCGCCAACCTGCACACTGCAAATGCAGTCAGTCACCATCTACGCAAAGGAGAGAGGGAGAGCGCCGGCGGACCTACCACGCAGCAACCGAGTCCGCGAGGTTGTGTCGTACGACGTTGTGTCTACGCCTCCTAAACCGCTCTGCGTTGGTATGAAGGTCGTGGTCTACACCCTGAGGAGATGGAGGAACAGCGATGGCCGCCTGTCGGACGGGCATGCTGCGGAAGAAGCAGGAGTTGAAGGCGAGATCATCGGAATCCGTACGATGGAGCTGGCCTTCACTGAGCTCATCGTGAGCAACAAGAACCTGCGATCGACGATTGGGACTGCATACCTGGCCATCCAGCACATCGAGGGGACAACGGTGAGCTTGGGGCTCTGGCGCACGGCGCT